ATACAATTGAATGGGCCTGGACTATAAAATATTAATAGATCCTGAGCACAAATATTACTCTTTTCATTTGATGTTATAACTGTTGATCCCTCTGACTAATATTTATATACTCAGTATTGAAGGGCTAAAATTAAAGACATGTTGATTATTTACTATCACCAGATTATTACATCATAATCCAATAAGGCGCTTACTATTCTCCCTAGAACTATCCCAGTTCTTTATATAAATATCCATAGTTTTTCTCATAGACCATCAATATTTTTGAATACATTGAGATACGTTTTTAATTATATTTTTTCGTCCATAATAAAATGGTATCCAAGTTCTAACAGTATCAATTTTGGTTTATTTTTTATTTTGTTCTCCATGCAAAACTGTCATGAACCGCTTAGGTTTTCAGTTGCATATTATCATGCAAAATGTCTCAGATCATTATTGAAACCCAACTAGCCCATTGTCCCTGTTCCACCTGTTCCACCTGTTCCCTGTTCTCTGTCTCCTGTCACACATGTCACTTCACTATTGTATCCTGTCTAACGTCTCTGTTCCAAATAATGTATCTCCGTTATCCCTTGTCCTTGTCAAACCCATTTAACACCCGTTCCCTTTGTACCTCTGCCTTTGAACTCCCTTGTAAAACATTAATAATATCAGCCCATGTTATCCTCTGCATCTTTCCCCGAAATTATCTGTATCTATGCCCGCTACCCAAAAGATGTCCCAAACTCAATATGACTAATAATCTGTCTCTGTATATCTGATCCCCGAACCCTTGTTTACCCGATCTGTCAATTAATATAAATAACAGCATGTTTATTTATTCTTATTTCTGTATTCAAGATCTTATCTATTTTTCCTGTTTCTTTGAATAAACCTTTTTCTACCTACATTCCTTTTATATATATATTAATACTAATAGATATATAATTTCTCTTTGCCTTGTCCCTCACCTTAATAATCATTCTGTTCTGCTCTTGCCCCGCCCCGCTCCTGACAAAAACAGTAAGTAAAATTATAAGGCAGTATATAAGTAGTTTGAGACTGTTTTTAAGATTATCTTTATTATGAAATAAAATGAACAAGTATTTATATAAAAAAGACTATCTGCTGTACCACTATCTTTAGTGTATCTTTGAAGTTGTTATCATTTTCCCAGTGTGTATCCTGTTACCTTTAACTGCTTATTTTGTAAATATGTTACACTTGGAATTACTGTCATCTTAAACACATTGTACTTCCATATCTTCAGTAAGCCTTAGTCATTGTGTTCTTGTAACCTTGTGATATGATATGATAGTACTAACTATCTATATTGGGTAATTGATCCCTTAATCATTCTTAATGTATTGATGTCATAGATATGGATTTATTTAATGTAGCAACAATATAGCAGATCACCACAGAGTTCATTGTCAATATTGGGTAAATTATGGGCAGCTTTTTTAAACATGAGAACATGAAATCATATTGGGCGCATTTTTTTTTTATTATAAATAAGACAATTAAAGTCCTGAATTTGAGGATTTTATCTTGGATGATAGTGGTTAACAGTAAATTGATGTTTCGTTGTAAAAATAAACGAAATGCAATGTCTGTTTGTGTACGTGTACAAAACAAGAGCTAAACATAATGGAGCCTAGTGTGGGGCTATTAGTCATTACAAGACCAAGATTCTCTTTGACAAGATCCTTTTGGACCAGTTGGGTATCTAAAATACCGCCCTAAAGACAAACGGTTAACATGATTATAATTTAGATGTCCTTCATATTATTGATTACATACAAACAAGGTCGCCAACAGTTCCAGATATTGTACGATTTGCAGCCTGTCATTCCAGTTGGTGGGAAGCTTTGCCGATCGTTTCTCCACAAAACTCCAGTGCGATTCATCGTACAATGATAGTTCCAACAATGTCACCTGGGTCTTGATAACTTGTACGGAAAAAACCTTAAGTCTCTTGAACGTCGACACAGAAGCGTTCTTATAGTGCATGGCCTCTTTCTTTAAAGTGGCAACACCACATTCTAAAATCTTAAGCGAATCTTCAATGGTGTGAGTTGTATGTTCCTTGAGCCGGCCACTATATAACCACAAGAGTAAATTTTTATTGTATTTTATCTTATTTAAATGTACTTTACCTTGATGATTCAATGACAATTAACTCCATATTATTTTGTGCAGACATTAAGGAGTCCCAGACATTAAGGAGTCCCAAACATTCAAAAAAATCATTTCCGGAATTTTTCTCCCAGCCAAAAATTCCGGGACGGACCATGATTTTCGGTGAAGAAAATCCATGGACGATAATTATCGGGCAGCAAAAAAAGTAGACCCCCCAAGTATTCCCAAAGCATCAATATATTTGCTGGGGGGAGCAGCACGGAGATCGTAATCATACTCTGCCATATTCATGGTCTTAGTTGAGCGAAACTCAGTCTCACACCTGCAATAGATAGATATATGTTAAATTTTCTTTTTTCTATATTTTTTTTTTCTACCATACCACTTGAATTCAATAAAGCCTGTATTCTTGGCCAAAGACAGCATGGATGGAATTACGTTCTCAATGAAGTACGTTCTTTCATGGTTGTTGGCATGTTCAGGTATTGTCTTCGTTATCAGATGGAAGGAGCAGAGCGTGTATCTTGCGACATTTAAAAACGTCTGTGACCTTTGGTCCAGATTGTCAACATTTGTTACCCATAGTGTGGAATTGAATTCATCGAATGGAATTTCTTCCAGCAAATAGACTAAATGGTCTAGCAGCTTGAGTGAATTAAGGGACTTGTTGCTACCTTGATCCTGTTCATACTGATGGTATTGTGCGCTTGACATCGTGTTGCTTTTTGAAAATGAAGTACCAAAATGAAATAATTTGGTGGGCTTCAGCACCAATACCGCCAACACCGAGTTTTTCACCAATTCCACCACACAGAGCTTCACCCATTCCACTACACAGAGCTTCACCCATTCCACTACACAGAGCTTTACCAATACCACCAAAGACAGGTACACCAACACCGAGAGCTGCACCAACACCGAAAGCTGCACCAACAACGAGAGCTTCACCTACACCCAGAGCCTGGTCGACACCCAGAGCCTGGTCGACACCCGGAGCTTCATCGATACCTGCACAAAGAGCTCACCACCGTATTTTCACTTTGGATCTTTCTTTTTTACATTGCTCAGCGTGTACTGATGGCATTGACATCTGGTAACGGTTGGATCCCTCAGCCACTTCAAATTCGGCCTACATAAGAATGAAACTAATATTAAAAATAGTCATATGAATACGTTTTTTAGCTTACAGGTATGGTTCTACGAGCTTCGGTGTTCTACATAAGACTGGAAAGTGAGTATATATTTAAACTATTAATGACATAAATACATACCAAGGCACAATTGCCATCATCAATTTCATCGGCTCGTCTTTTACCTAACTGTAAGAATGATGAGATACCTATGAACTTGCCATATACTATTAATACATACTGATTTACTGTTAAATACAGCAAATTTGGGATGCACATTTATTTGGCCGTGGTTATTTAGAACATCCGCCAATCTTTCACTGTATGAATTATACAGGAAGAAATCAGCGCTTGTCATATGAAATTTGACATCGCTGAAATCTATTATTACTTCATTTGATACTGTCAGTAATTGAGGCGCACTATCTTCCAAAGCCTTAGCAGACAAAGACATTAAATTATAAACGTCATTATCTTCAAAGGATTTGTATGAACTTCTAGGACTTACCACTGTAAATAGCTGCGATCAGACTGTAAAAAGCTGGACCCTATGAAAACTTAAGGCAACTTGCAAATTACTGTTTTCATAATTTTCCTGTGTCACCAGTACCGGCGAGATTGCTTGCTTATAGCAAAAACAACTTCAGCCCCATTGATCGATATCAAGGGGCTCTCATTATTATGGTGTAATCATCCGCCTTTTTGATTGCTTGACCATGTCTATTATAGCCTTTGTCAGAAATGCGGCCTGGCTTATATTAAAATAATAATATCATAAGATACTTACTAGTGGTAAACGAAGGGGATTTAAGCAGGCGAAAATGACTTTTATTTGTACAACAAATACAAAGCCTTCCTTTCCATAAACAAAAGAGCATGCAATTGAGAGTTGATATGATTGAATAGTTTATAAAGTATACACTAACAAAATAGATTATACAATAAAGGGGAGAAATAAAGGATAACCGACATGAAATGAAGAAGGTGAAAAAAAGGTGATATATTTATATTTATAAGATAACATGAATCCCCGCAGCTGAAACATTGATTAATCTTAGATGGTGACTCATAATATGGACTGTCTTGGAAGAGCCCAGAACGTTTTGTACAATGGTAGTTTTAAGACTCAGTATGAGGCTCTGGAACGTTCTAGGTGTTGGGGACACCGGGTCACGCGCAAAGTTAAAAGCCTGTGATACATGATAGCCTCCTACATGAAACCCTTCATTCTTCATTCACGTAAACAACTTTGTTAAGTAAACAATCAAATTGTTTTATTTTGACGTCCTATGTAAGTGATGCAAATGATGTGGTGTGGACAAAAGTTTTGAAATCATCTGGATGGTATCTAGTGTCAAATTACTGTCTACTGTAATTAAAAGTGTTTAACAATGGATATTTTTTTTTTGCACAGATAACTGGGAGTTCATACAATTAAAATGATTACAGATGATGAAACTAAATATCTGATATAACAGATGCACTGTATATAGACGTCCAATTAAAATCCGTGACTCAAGTTACTTTTAACGTGCCAAATCGCAGTCTACTATTTTCAGATGTTTCGATATAAAGTAAACACCTAAACAGATGGCTGATTGAATAAACAATTAAATTATACTGACATAATTCAGCTCTTGTTTGTCAGTTTAAAAATAAAACTTGTTCACTTACTAAGGGTTTCAGAATTAAAAACCTTAAATTTTGCAAAAAATATTTCTGCATGATTGATTAATGATTCATTGTCAGACTTTGTAGCAAAGGAGTTGCAAAAATAAAATAACCTGACTATCTTATGATGTATCATTATATTTCACTAATTCATATCCTTATTTAAAACCTAACATTGTGAGAGATACAAAGTATCACAATTTATTTTTTCGTATTTTCATTGAGGGTGATGAATATAATTGGCGTAAAGAGTTACGCGCAAACTTGTAAATTTTGAATAGACTAGCGTAAGTACAGCTGACAAAAAATATTTATATTAAGAGTTTTCCGATGCAATGTAACATTAGATGGCTGCTTCCGAAGCAAAGTTAATCATCATCATCTATATTTGACAGGTATTTTAGGCCAAGTGCATGTTTTAAGGCAAAGCCAAGGTATAGGAAATGTCACAATGTAAAGGGTTAAATGAAGCACACTCATAGTCGCTGTAGTTAACAGAAAAGCCTTTTTATAAAATATCATTAAAAATAAATTTAATCGTTTTCTTAAAGCTCAATTCTTCGTGATTTCCTCGACATCCTTTTATCAGTGTGTACAATAAGTTATCATTTAACATTACTGTGGATAAGCTTAAAAAGGTCTCTCGTTGCTACTCTAACTTTCAATGAAACTTTAACTTTCAATGAAACTTTATCATATGTAAGCAGATTTACTTGTTGAGGCGAAATAGCCCACGTTTCACTGCATATGAAGGTAAACATGAGTACTGCGAAAATCGTATGCTTTTTTTTTTTTTTTTTTTTTTTTTTTCTAATGATGTATTTTAAAATACCTTTTGATTGAACCTTTTCCGATATGCAAACACAGTTAATCTTTTGATTATGCTAATATTACGCTTAGACTCAACCGACTCCGTCTCCAACCACAAACAATCCTTTCGTGGTATTGAGCAGCCTGAAAACCAAAATAAATATTTTGAACGTCAAAACTATGACCTCTCCTATTTAATAAAACTTATTTTATTCCTGCTATTAATTGGAACATATTTACAAATGTGATATAAGCATTGCTGCCCGTGGGTGGGAGGGTGGATGGGGAGGGGGGTAAAAGCTAATTATAGAAAGAGCAATGACGATGCTTTTGATGATGTCTCTTCTTTGATTTTAACAGGTGTCGAACTAACTCCTTGGCAGCTTCCTTGACTTCGTCCACAACATCAATCCAATAATTTATCTTAAAAGGACTTTGTATCAATTCATTTTTTGCGTTATTCCATATACGATCCACAAAAGTCTTTGATTTTTTCAACAAATCATACACACGTTCGACATCTTGAATTCTTAAAAGGTGATCTGCGGTATACTTTCTAAATGCCTTGGACAGTTCTTGGTTGTCTTGATTATTCTTGATATCTCTGGATAAGTTTTGCAGATGAGTCTGGATATAACGTCCAAGATTACGAAGACGATTGGCTATGTCTGCATTGAACATTTTGTCATGAATATACTTTGTTCGTTCGATAGCATCGAGACGGATGCTTTCCAGTGGAATACGAAGTTCACCTGACAATGTGACAATTCGGTCAAAGTCGGAATTAACCTGATCCAAAGTCGCTCCAAACTGTTGGTTACAGTCGATGATAAATTTATTAATAGCACGTTCCAAAGTAACACAACCTGCTGTCATAAATAAAGAGTCCATCAATTCTGCGTCAGTAGATGTTTCGACGAGATCCATGGTTGATGTAAGCAATGAGTCCAATTCAAGTGTAAGGTTAGCGAAATGATCAGTTAAGGCATCTCCTGATGTTTGGGCCCAACCAGCAACTTCGTCGCGGATGGCAGTATAGCGAGGTCGAGAAATTAATGGGGAAGAGCGTAAAACCTTGGCAATATGTTTGCGACGCGTAACAGTGTCCTCCTTCCAGAGAATCTCGGGATAGACCCAGGAAGGCAAGTACTTTGCAAAAGTAAAAGTTATGTCATGGATGGAGTATTCAGTAGAGGGTCTGATGTTCTTGTTAGCCTTTAGCTCTCTTTCGGCGTTATCAGCTAAAGCTTGAACAGATGAGAGATAGTTGATGGTGCGTTGTTTGTAATTTTGCACGGTATTAACAATAAGTTGATGAGGTAATGGGCTTTCCTTTGTAATGATTTCTGCCTGTACGAAGACCTAAAAAAATAAAGGTTAACACACTTAAAATATGATACCTTTTGTATTAAGATAACTTACAGAAAGCACCAATGCAAGCATAAAGAGTAAAAACCTCATTTTAAACGTGATAAAGAAGGTAAAGGATTAAAAAATGAAAATGTCTACACCGACGTATATTTGTAAATTTTTCTACGTATTTTTAGGTCACCTGATCCATTCTTTCTCTTACATACTTTTGATCTTTAGCCTTGTACGAACGACGACCCACTGGATTTTCTTCCCTAATGTTTACAACTGGAAACGGGAGGTATTGCTTATATTTAAAAGACTATCCGTAGCTTTGATAAAAAAAAAAGGTAATATTTTAGCGTTTTTATAAAAAACAATTGTTATTAACTAACCTTTCCCAATGTTATTACTTCTCTTTAAAAAGGTAGTGTTATACGATTTGGATAAAAAAAAAATGAAGAGAAGAAGGGAAGGAAAAAATGTTTGAATGGTTTTTATTTGCAGACTGATAAAAAAGCGTTCGTATACATCAAATAATTCAATTGTTTATTTAACCAGAAGATCGAATGAACGAGTTTTATTAAGGACAGGGACAACCAAAATGCACGTAGTCACAACGTAAGATCTGTGATTTGGCTATCGTTTAGACTTGGAAACAAGAATACATCATTAAAAACAACATGATAATTACGAATAAATGTATATTGAATGATTTTTACTTGGTTTGATAATTTTACCATCACTCCTTTGCCTTTAAGCTCGTTTGATCTTAATCTTACGCAGAAATATTAAGGTCAAGTCTAAACGAGTAGCTGAAAGTAAGCTATAACACACATATACTGGTTTAAACTAAGCTGGTTGTGATAAATCTGTATCTAGGTCAAGTTATTAAGTTATATTGACCTCTTGGTGTCTATTAAAGCATCATAATCCCAACATTACGACTACGCGCACCCTGGCTGTCCCCGATAAAAAAAAAAAGACGTACGTGTAGACATTCTCGGTAGTATTGAATATTGATATAAAGTAGTGGAGATGTGACCTTGTCTTGAGACGTAGTCCAAGTTGATTGGATGTTGTCAACATATATACATTGTTGCAGATAATGAAGGAAGGTTTAGGACCGAGACTACCTTATATCTATGACGGTAGTATAAATGTGCTAAAGGTTGGAATCAAAGATACATATTCGGTGGATATTCGATCAGATATTGCGGTAATCAAATATTGGATAGATAATAGTATTCGTTTGGATGAATAACTACAAGAGCATGTTGTAATTAAATAGTGGTTAAGATCGTGGCAAGTGAAATGTAAAATAGATGAATCTAGTAAGGAACAAGAAAATTGCTGATGAGTGTATCACTTTTTTTAATTTTAAAAAGTACACAAACAAACAAAAAGTAAGGCGTGGGGATTAGACAGGTTTCTTTATTCTTTTTATCACTCCGCTATTCATATAAATATGATTAGCCCTTTTAAATTGTTGAAGTTTTCTTTCTTAGCGTTTATATCTTCTTTTTACTTATATTTTATTGCATTGAAATCCAATCTGTAGTGGTAAAGTACATTATCCATCGACCCATATAACATTTATACTTATTTTAGTTGTTTTCATTATTTTTTAATATAAAAAATTGTTCTCGATATCTAAATTTAAGTTTATTACAAATTATCTTGTTTAAAATGCTCCCTTCTATCCACACGCTACTTGATTACTTCCGTATCAAAGGACTGCTTATTAAAACTAGTAATGCCAGTTTCATGAATGCGACACTGCAGGTAAGGATTTCGCTGTATCCAACAATAACCTAACAATGTTGTGTTTATTCTCTACTTTGCCATTGAAAAAGGCCATCATGAACAATACCTTGGTATTGAAACCTGACAATACGACAGCTGTCAAAAGATTGAACGATGTCTCTGTGATTTTCAATGAAGTATGTAAAGGCAAGATGAGTAAGTGACAAATCAAAGAAAAAAAAAGTAGAACAGAACAGTGATTAAAAAAATGCAATGATTAGTGGTTAGAGAGCTTGCCAAAATCTTTGCTGGTATGAACACTCGTCAGCGAGTGTATACCCCACCCCGAATTTTGGCTGCCAAACACAACAGTAGGTTCAACTTGAATGCTTTTTTCAAGCAAACGGAGTCTGTAAAGGGAAATAACCATCCTGGTACAGAAGCACACCTTCCTACAGCTCCTCCTCCTACCTTTGACCGTACCATGGATACAAGAAACATACAAAGCGATGATGCTGCAGGTTAGTAAAAAAAAAAAAGTTTAGACAAGATGACTTAATTTTTATTTGTTGGTATTTTATCAGATTTATTCAGGTTTATTTTAGATTCAATCCAGGAAGCAGTGGTAGATGATGACCAGACTTTGGAACCATTCAAATCCCCCTACATTGCCAACGAGGCTATTCCAGTAGATTATGTGAATGTGAACGTCATTGTGGATGATGTGGTTGGTGACTTTCCAATGGATTTTTTTACTGGCCATGACATGCCCAAGATGGAGCCTATTGTTTGTTTCACGCCCACTGTAAGTGTATGCTGCGATCATCCTGCATAAATCAATTGACCCTTTTTTGTGTAGTATCTATACACAGGCACATTCACCCAAAGGACGTCCATTGCACCCCGTGCCGGCGGCGATGATGAATCACGTTTGCATAATTTACATATGCCGGGACGAGTAGATTATTGCATTGCTTACATTCAAGACCACCAAAATAGGCAATGGTGGGTCTTCGATGACCATTCAGTAAAACCAGTGTAACCAAACAAATTGCAACGCGGTATCAAATTTTTTATTTACATAAAGAGATAATTAACTTAATAAAAAAAAAGAATTATCAACGATTGTAAATAGGATTAAAGTTCGTGAGGCATTAAGAATAATGTATACTTAATTCCCTCGACGAGTAAGCTAATCTGTCGAGAAAAATAGTGAGATTGATTCTCTCATAGGACGAGGCTTTCTTTGATTTAATTAAGGCACAGTAACTTTTTTTTTTATATGTCATTCAAGCCAATCATGCAACTTCTGGTTTAAAAGTATGCAGTACTTGTAACAGGAAAACGTGTGTAGAAGTGTACATGTGTGAGCTGATACTCAACAGTAGAGAATATTTTTAATTCATAAATTATTATTTGAATGTAACCTATTTCGAGCAATGTCATTATTTCATTAGTTGTTTCGCCACGGTATAGACACATCCATCAGGGCCTATGCATGCCATTATAAATGAACCATACTAATACTATTACTGCTAAAACATGAAACAGATAAAAGTATCACAGATAGAACTAAAAGGCAAACGAAAAAAGCCAATGTCTTTTCAAAGGCGTAACCGTATAGAAGCAAAGATATACCAAAAAGCACCATGAAATGAGAAAAGTAGGCGCGTGAAAAGACGTGACAGCGTGATTTTTTTTTTTTTTTCCATGTCCTTTCTTCCTCAACATTTACAAAGGAAAATACAATGTCCATTAAAAGAAGCACACAGTCAGACCCTAATCTAGCAAGAAAAAAAATTAATGTTCGAGGACCACCCAATAATTCGGAAGTGACACATTTTCCTGTAGAGCGACCTACTCCACCCGATTCCTTATTGTCATTGAGGTAAGGCATCGTACCTGATCTTGATTGTTCTTTTTTGTTGTTCGTCTAATTTTGTGGGGGCAGAGAAGGATTATTTGACGACATTCAAGAATCGCTTGATGAGCTTAACGGAACGCTTAACAAACAAAAAGTTGAAGTACAACCGGGAAGACATAGCATTGACCAAAAATATATAAAGGAACCCGAAGTTCAACGCAAATACTGTGCCACCATAAAAGCATATTTAAGGGAAACTGATTATGACGGTATAGAGCCTGCTACGTCGCGTAGTGTATCCTCACTGGAATTTCAAGCGGTTTTCAAGTTTCTTATCGGTCGTATTTTACCAAATCATGTATTTGCGAAGAAATTTGAAGATGAAGTATTGGAACTGCTGCGAGACCTCAAATGTCCCTTGCTGAGTATGATTACTCCCGCTACACTAAGATCTATTGGTACTTTACATGCGCATCCAACGTTTTTTGCGCTATTGTTTTGGTTGACAGAGTGCAGTCGACAAGTGGATTTAACAACAGAGACCATTAGAGAACAGGAAAGAATAGAACATCCAATGCAAATATTTCGTCAATATAGTATTGGTGCTTATCATAAACATCAATCGGGAAACGAGGATCTTAGTGAATTAAACGAAAAGTTGCGCAAAGACTGTGGTAAGATAAATAGCCAATTAAAAATGTATGTATGTATTTGTTTTTTTCACTAAGCGTATCCTATTTAGACAATCTTCTTAGTCTTCGTCGAGATGAAATAGAAGCACTTGTATCCGAAGTTGCTGCATTTAAAACGAAGATTGAAGAAGCAAGTAAAGCAACAGTGAGTAAAAATTCGTTACAAGACAAGTTCAATTATACATGACTGCTCATCTCCCTTTCCACGTACATAGTCGCGATTAGAGGATTTAAACAGGCAAAACGTCATTTTACACGAGGACGTCCAAAAATACAAAGATTATATTGTGCGTACAAAAGATAGATCAAATCAGTATAAAACGATGAATAGTCGACTTGAGGATGAACTCGAAGATTTACAGATCGCTTTACGCAACACACAAAATGAGATTAAGGATATTGAAGATAAGTGGGCAGCAAGAAATATCATATTGGAAAAGGTCATCCAAACAAACGAAGGCCTGGAAAAATTTAGAAGCGATTTTACGGCTGTTACACAAAAGTTTGAAGAGACAAATAAGGAGGATGAATCAGTTCAAAAAGACTATAAAAAGCATATAAGTGAGGTATACCAGTGGTGCGTCTATAGATGAGTGTCATTCTCTCATCTCTTTATTACAGATTGAACGCAAGGTAGCAGAATTCAACATTATAACAGGTGAAGAATCAATAATTCTCAACCGAGATTATATGGATACAAACGATACAAACTGGGGCAGCGAAAATTTGGTATGATTCATGGAATAATTACATTTATAGTACTCATTGTATATATTTAGTCTCGCTTGGCAGCAAAAAAAGAGAAGTTTAAAGCTGAAATCTTGCAACTTGTACAGGATACAACACAGTCAAGAGTAACATTAAGCGAGATGATTGGAATGAACAAAAAGAGACAGTCCGCAATTAAAGAGGACGAAGAAGAATTCGAAAGAAAGAAAAAGATACTTGAAGAAGCGTACAAGGTAAAAACTTATTTGATATTACTCAATTGTCTTTTAATTTTTTCTTTTTTTCAGTCCCTGGAGTTAAAGCAAGCTCGCTTCAAACAACAAGATGAATTAATTACTACACGTCGTCGAGAACTTGTAGCTGCTGCAAAAGCGTCATTTAATGAAGCAGAAGGCAGGCTGGTCACAATTAGATTAGAGTAAGTAACCTTAATTTTATGTAAAAAAGTAAATTTCTAAAAAAAAAAAACAATATCCAGCCTGACAGCAACAAAAGATAAGGTTGAGAAAGTTGAAACGGAAATAAATAAAAAACTCCAAGAAATAAACGAAACTATCCCAGAGAAACTCGAGGATGTGAAGAAAAAACAGGTGAGCCACGAAGAAAAGATGATTGCTTTGGTTCAAGATGCTGCGAATAGACTGAATTTAGAATAATCTGAAAATATACAATAAAATCCACTCAGACTTGCTATGGATCAAATTTTTGTGTGTTTTTTTATTATTTAATTTCGTTTAAAGCCTTTTGCAACATGTCAAGCATGGTAGCATTTTCTTCTTCGGTACCCACAGTAATTCTTAAACAGCCGTTGCAGCCATACTCCATGCCTCTAAAACGTACCACCACACTGAGAGTCTCTGCCATCATGGAATAAACCTTGAGAGCACGATCATTACAAGGCTTGTTATTAGCATCCAAAATTTCAACTAAAACAAAGTTGGAGTCATTGCCGCCAAGGACACGACCGGTACCGTTAATTTTAGCCAACTTTTCAATAATAACGGCACGTTGAGCAATTAAGCGCTTTCGATAATCGTGCATAGTTTGAATGCCTTCTTCGGAGAGAGCTTCTGCGGCAATTAAAGCACTGGGTGTACTGATATTGTAAGGAGCCTTTGTATTGTTCAAGATTTGAATAAGATCAGGGTGTCCGATAGCAATACCGATACGAATACCAGCCAAGCCAAAACTCTTACTCAAGGTCTGCATCACAACCAAATTAGGATACTGATCGACCCAGGTGGCAACAGAGCCTTCTTCTTTATCCACAAAATCGACATAGGCTTCATCTACAACCACTAATCCATTATAATCGGATTCGAGAACAGCACGAATACTGTCATGAGAAAGACAAGTTCCAGTAGGATTACCGGGAGAGCATAAATAGACAAGCTTAATCTCTGGGTTTGCCTTGATGGAAGCAAATAACTAATTGAAGATTATCGTTAATATCAGTCATGCAAGATTTTTTCTTTCTTTTGAGTGGGGGAGTACTAACGTTGTCCAAGTCAAGCTGGTAAGCACCATTCTCCACATTCAATGGAGATTTAACAACTTGAACATCGTTGATTTGAGCACAAACAGAGTACATGCCATAAGTGGGAGGGGTAATCAAGATCTTGTCTTTGGAAGGAACACATGCAATACGAATAAGCAAGTCAATGACTTCGTCAGAGCCAACGCCCAAGAAAATGTTATTTGTAGAGGGCAATCCACGTAACTTTAAGATACGCTCCTTGACTTGAGGTTGATATGGGTCTGGATATCTGTTCAAGTCTCCTTTGTGTTCAGTGGTCAAAGCAGGACCATAGGCATTCTCATTGGCATCTAATAAAATGCCTGTGCTATAGTCGTCACGTGCACAGCGGTAAGGCTTTAAGGCTAAAATATTGGGACGAATGACTTTGGTGAGGTCAAAAGTAGACATCTTATTTAAGAAAAAAAAATTGAGGAAAGAAAAGATGAAAAAAAGAAAAGAATTTTCTCTGGGATTAAGGGAAAGCTTTTATTTAAACCAAATCGGAGTAAGACTATGAATGAGTCACTTTCTTTTTAATTTTTAATAGTTGACGTATTTACTTCTTGCTAGGAAGTGCAGCAATAGCTTCATCAATATCAGGTAAGAAAGCAGTTAATTTCTTCCATTGATCCAATGGTAAACAAATACCTAAAAATGCGTTTCAGACTCAAATCCGTTGACAGTTTCTTTAAATTTAAGGTACCTTTGCCAGGACGTTGCTCACCACTTTTATCCAAATATACCTCTCTGATATCAATGGCAGCTCCCCCATTTGGAAAAGATTTCACTGTAACTCTTCTCTTTACTGACAACTATTTTACCGCGTATTCAATAAACAAGGATCCAATAACGTATATCTAAACTTACAGGAAAGATTTGATCGCCATCCGCATTACGTTCCACATCAGCCTTTTTTTCTTTGGTCTTTTCTTTGGTCTTTTCTTTGGTCTTTTTAGCTGGTTGTTTCTTCTTAGGTTTCTGTCGTAGTTCATATTGGTGAATACGCTGACCTTTAAGGTGGTTTATTTTATCCTACCTTTTCTTCTTCAGAAGAGGAGACGTCGTCTGACATGTCCGAATCGTCTTCTGAAGATTCTACCTTTTTTGACGTGCCAGCTTGCTTTTTGGCGGGCTATAAAAAAACTGTTGGCTTACAACCAAAGTCTGCATAGGCAAACATTACCTTGTAATCTTCTTCTTCCTCTGAGTCACTACTGAATAATCGTTTTTCTTGAGGCATATTTATATTTTTTTTAAAAAAAAAAGGGAAAGAAAGGGAAGAAAAAAAAATTATGCTTGTCGCGACTCAGAAACGTAAATCAAGTCACTGTTCAGTCTTTATCTGCTTTTTCCATATTTTCAAATAACTCAATGAGTAACAGATTACCGATTTCTCTCTCTCCTTCTTCGTCTACCTCTAATAAAGTTGCCTTGAAACCCAATGAATACACAAAAGGTCTGGACCAAGAACATATCGTCCGCTTGACTGAAGATGCTTACAGGCATTTTGCAGACTATACCAAAGCCGAGTTAAAGTGTAAGTGCCACTCTCATTCAAGGTAATGGAGAGAAAGGAGGCTAATGAAACTAGTGACGGTCCAGGACTGTCAGTTATTGACGACCATGAACGAATCGACCAAGGAGAAATATGTTCAAATGAGCCAAATGAGTCAACGTTTAATGAAGGAAATGTCTAAACTACAAAATGCTTGTAAGGCAGTTAAGAAAAAAAAAAATCAAAAATATATATAGAGAGAGAGAGAGGTTGTATTGATTGATTTCATTGTAGATATGGATTTCTCGAGTTTTATTGAACAAATTGAACAAGTGCATCAGCAATCTATTGAAATGGAAAAGACAGCCAAAGCGTTGGATGAATATTCCAGATATCTAGGTAACCGGTTTTTCAAATATAAAATTGACTCATATTAACTCACTTCCTGTTAAAAAGAACTCAAGCTTTTAAAAATCAACTCTACCGTGACTCACAAGAAATAAAAAAACAATCCGTCCTATTTTAATAGGAGATTAAAGAACACAGGATATAACCTAGCGGTTTTTTTTAGTTTTTTCTTTCTTTATTCTTAACAATATGTTTCGTCCTTTAAACAAAGCGGTTATCAAGCCTGCACATACAATCTTGGTAAAATAGATTAAAATATAAAGAAGAGTAATCCATAAACTCAACATCAAACATGTTAGAAACGTACATACGCTGTTTCATTTAAACCTGTTACGGAGGTGAATATTATTATGTTAAAAAAAGCACAAGGGGAGATTTCAAAGACTTAACTTCTTTATACATAGTTGACACATCCCGATAACGATGTACCTCAATCTACGCGTGAACAAGTAGAAGAATTTAACAAGTACACTGTCACCACATATGTTCGACCCGAATTTGTAATCACTAGAGGCAAAGGATGTTACTTGTACGACCAAAGTGACCGTAAATATTTAGATTTCACAGCAGGTATCGCAGTGACAGCATTAGGCCATTCCGATCCTGAAGTGGCCCAAGTACTTTTCGACCAAGCAAACAAGTTATTACACACCAGTAACTTGTATCATAACGAGAATGCCGGTGCATTAGCTAAATCCTTGGTAGAAACTACAAAATCAAACGGCGGTTCTTGGGCTAGTAAATTGTTTATTGCAAACTCTGGAACTGAAGCAAATGAAGGCGCTTTAAAGTTTGCCCGTAAGTGGGGTAAGAAATTTTCTCAGGATAAGGTTGAAATCGTTTGTTTCACAAATGCTTTCCATGGTAGATCCATGGGCGCTCTTTCTGCTACTTATAACCCTAAATACCAATTACCTTTTGCCCCACTTGTACCTGGTTTTGTCACCAGCCCATTCAACGACATTGAAAAGACTTTAGAATCTATCACTGATAAAACATGTGGTGTCATTATTGAACCTATTCAAGGCGAAGGTGGTGTTCATCCTGCCAAGGCCGAATTCTTGCAAGCTTTACGTAAACGTTGTGATGAAACAAATACCTTGTTGATTTTCGATGAAATTCAAGTAAGTTTAGCCACATCGTTTTTAATCCTGATACACTGCTAATCTAATTTTATTAAAGTGTGGTCTCGGTCGTACCGGTAAATTGTGGGGTCATCAACATTTTGACAAGGCTTGTATTCCCGATATTTTAACCATGGCTAAGCCTTTGGCCAATGGTGTGCCTATTGGTGCTATTTTAACTTCAGAGAAGGTAGGTGAATTAATCAAAGCTGGTAAGTCGTACTACATTGATTAAAGAAGAATGCGATTTTCTGACACATATATATTTTAGGTGACCATGGCACCACTTTTGGTGGTAATCCTCTCGCCTCAGCTGTTGCATTAAATGTTGTAAAGCGTATCACTACACCCGAGTTCATCCAAAATGTCAATGAAAAGGGTGAGCACTTGCGAGGTTTGTTGAGACAAGTACAAGAAAGCCATCCTGATATCATCAAGGAAGTTCGTGGTTACGGTCTCTTGATTGGTGTTGAATTCAAAAAGGATCCTTCTCCTATCGTCAAGATGGCTCGTGAGCGTGGTTTATTATTAGTCACTGCTGGTTGTAACACTGTACGTGTCATTCCTCCCTTGATCATTTCAAAGGAAGAAGCCATTGAAGGTGTCTCCAAGTTTGCTGGTGCTGTCGAGCAATTTGCTGCAACTGCATAAAAAAATAAAAATTTCGTAGGTCTGAGAATTTACTCACTCCATATTAGATTTCAAAAATAAATAAAGAAATCTGTATTGTATATTTAAATGCCAATTGATGAATTTGTTATTATGCAAATCAGTTCTATAATATAATCGAAATTAAGATTTAGTGGAGGAATCCATCCTAGGCGTCGATCTTTCATACTGGCTTTGCAAACCAGTGCCTTTCTTCAGAGGCGACATTTAGCAGCCTTCTGATGATCTCCCAAAATTTAAAAGTCCTCTGGTTTTTTTATTTCGTCGTTTTTTCTTTTCCTTAGAAACCACAAAAAAAAAACCGCCATAATGAATCCTACTACCAAAGAACTCAACCTTTACAAGCTCATGCTATGCTGTGAATCAAAGTTAAACTCAGAGCCTGTCGAAACCTGGACAGCATCTGAAAAACGAAAGTTTGCTGCAGTAAGAGTTTGATGAAAGAGAGAGAGAGAGAGAGAGAAAACACGTCTCTAAATAAGTTGCTTTTATAGTTTGTAAAGTTTATATCAAAACTTACTGCGGAAGAGAAGCCACAAAAGTATGTTGAAACGCTACATTATTCTTAGATTAGTTTGTTAACCTACTGAGTACAGTCCAAGACCTTTCATGAATAATCTCGACCGATTGAAACGAGCTGTAATCGACCATAACATGGTAAGCAGTGGTTAAATGATATAAAATAAAGAAGAAAGACTCAACGCAATTTAATAGCACGTGGCAGTGGAAACCGGTGTACCTGAAGCACGTTTAGTAAAAAAGAAGCATGCTGAGGAGTTGAAGCAGTTGGAAAAGACCGATCCCGAGTGGTTGTTAGAGTTAAAGCAACAGGATGAACAAAACAGGCTTGAAGAAGCGTCTCGAAAGAAGGTATGCTAGTTAAAGCTGTTACGACGTGGTTAAATACTTACATGATTATGTAGAAGTTACTCGAGGAAGACTTGAAGGAAGAAGAAGCGGAAGAAGAAGTGGAGGAGGAATATGAGGAGGAGAAAAAGGCAGTGCCTTCCGAAATTCGACAAAGGTAAAAAAAAAAAAAAAAAAAAAAAGAGAGATAATTAATGCAAGTGTAAATGACTAAATAAGGACACGTAGAAACCCCACTAGACAAGATGAAACATCGAATATCGAACACGTATTACAACATCACCGCCAAATGCATGATGAGTTAACAACGGATTTAGGAAGAATGGCCCAACAATTAAAGATGAATAGTCAAGCACTGGGAGATACATTGACAAAGGATGATGTTGTATTGAGAGAAGCGCAACAAGCGGTTGAAAGTAATTTGGAGCGAATGACAAAAGAAAGAAAACGATTGGATGAACATTATTCCAAGTCATGGGGCACTAGTTTCATGACTATGGGAGTAGTTTTCTTTGTGTGTATCATGTTCATATTAGTATTCTTTACAATCAAATTTTTACCAAAGGTATGATGTCATTAAATCATAAAAGGTTGCCCTTGTCCCTTTAATCTCTTTATTATTTTTTTATTATTATTTTTTTTTTTATTATTATTATTTAATAATTTCAAAATCTATTATCGAGCATCCTGTACTTCATAAAAGTTCTTTAAATATTCCTCAGCTTCTGAATATTCAGTCTTGACTTGCGGTAACAATGGTGTGATACGCTTCAATGCATCTTCCTTCTCGATTTCCCCTGTTCCTTCTTCATCTTGGCAGTTACCAACGTTTTGAATCTTTTCACATGTTGCCTTTACTTTTTTTAATCCAATAGCGGCTGAACTACCTTTAAGAAAATGACCGAGTCGAGATAACTCGAGTAAATCCTTCTTTTCTCTGTTTAAAAAAATAATTAGATACTGTTTGATTAGAGACAGATCAGAACTTACAATGCTTCATCCATGTCTTTAAATGTAGTGTCGGCCTGCTCAAAGTAATTAAGTACAATACTGTATGAGAACTCATGATCATCTTCATCATCCATATCTAATAATTGCTCAAACGTATTCATATCAATAAGATCTTCAGGATTTAAAATCTTTTCGCCATCATCAGTATCTTTTTCTGTTGTGGTTAACTCAGCTGCTGATGGGCTATCATTCTGCAGTCATTTTTTAGTAAAAAAAAAATTCTATATAAAGCTTTTTCCTTCTTTCTTTTACCTTGTTCATCTTGTCTTGAGTCTTTAACAAGTTAGGATCGGGAGTACCTTCGCGACTAGTCATTGTTTCTAAGTGATGTGTAATTAAAGTGTAGGTAATAAGAAAAAAAAAAAAAAAAAAAAAAAAAAAAGGTATATAAGAAAAAAAGAGAAGAGTTTAGAACAGAAGGGAAAAATTTTTAGGTGATCGACCTCTGGGGGATAATACGTCATCGTTTAAGCCGTTCTGTTACACTGTAATAATCTATAATGTAACCCATTCCGTTTTAAAATAACGCGTTTCTGCTTTCTGTATACCTGTTATAAATAAGCCGCTCGGGATTTGTTTCTATATTTAAGTCTATATCACTTTTTATCGTTGGGTTTTTGCTCTCTGCTTTTGAGCACTCCTTTAAATCTCTTTCAGGCTTTTTCCGCTTTGGCTAAAATGACGTATTTTATTGCTAAATTGAGACATTATGGGAAAAACAAGAAGAAACAAATATTTGGGAACACTTGAACGGAGAAATTGTATTCATTCTCTCTCTCACTATCAAACAACGTGTTTCATTTGTTATTCTTTTTTAAACTGTAAGCATCTATAAAAATTATCTTCTCTACACAAACACATAATATACAATCCATAGAATCTGAGTTGCTTTTTACAAGTGATGGGGTCCCCGCGCCTGCTGACGGAATCGTTTATCAAAACTCCAGTCTAAAAAAAGATATAGTTAATCATCTCTTTGTTCGAATCATGTTATTTACTTTTTGGCTTTCACTTTTTTTTATTTGTCACCCTAACAGCGGTCTCGATCCCATATAAAGACCCTCAAAGGCCTGTTCTAGAATATTTTTAGTAGGCTTGAGTATCTAATGTCCGTCAAAACAGCAACACCTGCGCTATACACTGCAATTTAAGCTATTCACTTGACCCCTTCTTGTCTAACTAATGACTTTTTTTTTTTGGAGAGTGGCGGGAAAACAAATAAGAACGTGGGTAATTTAAATTTGAATTCAGAGTAATTCTAAACATAGACAACATTTCCTCTCTCTCTCTCTTTTCTTTCTCTTTCCCTCGTCTTTAGGGGAACATAGCAACGCTTACAATTAAATGATTACATTTGATACCAACAAGGAGACTAATTGCATTACAAAAAATTAGCCCATATCATTGTTGTCATTATCACATGAGTCACTCGATGATCTCCTATGCGCTAAAGAACTAGATATGATGAAGCTGTACTTGCTTTTAGATTGCAATGATCTAGCCAGCATGTACATGCACCAATCTGTACTTGTGATATATTTAAAACAGTCTTTCTTACTACATCATTTTCTTTGTCTTCTATAAAAGTCTGATTTCGCTGGTCAATCAATCATCTACTTAATTAGATAGATTTGCACAACTACGAGCTTTAACCGGTCTAGACAAGTACTTGGTCTTTTTGTTAAAAAGATAAATATAATTCTGGTTGCAGAAGGGGGTACAAAACTGAGAAATATACTATGTGTTCATAACAAACACTTCTGTGTTACCTATAGTAACAGTCTTTGATCTGACACAAAAAAAAAGAAACTTGTGCACTTGCTAGAGGATCTTCTTTACGTATGCGCTACCTGACATCGCACTTTAACGGTTGATTTCTGATTCTAACTCAAAAGTTTATAACCTAACTGAATAAATATTGTATTGTATATGAGAAATCCTTTCTTTTATAATTCAGTTACGCGTGAACGTGAACAGCAGTTTTGCGCTTCTGACATATTTGACACCCTGACATCGCATTTTGAAAAACATTTGCATTGGTTGTAAAAATAACTACCTATTTAAGTAGAGATGGAAAAGACATGGTCCACTTCTCATATCATTATCAATGTTCTACACTGTAAAAGTGGCATTCATGTCATAAAAAAAAGCGCCAACTGAAAATTAAAGATGTCCAAAAACCCAAACATCGAAGACCACTAAATTGCTTGGAGGCGAAGAGTAATAATATTTAATTTACTTCTGGCAGCCCATCACATACAGAGTGTTGACAGAAATTCATAAAAAAATGGTCTTCTATATCCCATCATAAGTAGATAGAGACAATGTCAAATTTATTGTAAAAGTGTATGCCAGATGAGGACAATTATATACTATGCGGTTTAAATATAATCGAAGAGTTTTGTTCACAAGCTCATGAAGCAGTTCAGTCTTTCGGACGAAGAAACTTTGACAATGAGAGTCAGGTATGCATGCCATGGGAAATTATCGGTATTTTAATAATTGGTTTTACGCTTGTTTGACGGTAAAGTCATTTAATTTAAGTATATTCTTTCTTTCGTTCATTTCGCTCGTAGACTTATACATGGAAAATAAATTATGTCGCTGATCCAAATGACACTTGTATTATTGTACCCCCTTTTTTTTTATAAACTAACTGGAACGTTAGTGTTACAGTCAACCAGGAACGATGTGCGACATCAGGTGCCCCATCCCAAACTGTACTTTTTATTGAATGCAGACCGATGGTCCTTTGCAAAATACGCCAGCAGCCCTTAGGAAAAGAATAAGGTTTTTAATAAATTACAAAACAGCAAAATTAACCTATTTTATTGGAGGTGCTATTAAGATTAACAAAGTCTAGCTAAAAGATAAAAAGTAGAAGATCTGTGAAATAAGATGGGAAATACTTTATTTATATCCCCATAAAACCGACAGTTTGGTAAACCTATCTTTTTTGATGTTTGTGTACCATGACAAGTGCGCGTTTTTATCATAATAATCTCCTTTCTTTTAAGCACACCTCATTTCTAAAGACTTCCTGTCACATAGTTCCTAGATACTTTGAAGCATTATTACCAATCATTCTATTAAAAACATTCGTCGGCATAAACGAAGCCATTCATCATTTAAAGATGAGCCCTGAATAATGATGCAATTATCAGTGGACACATGTCTCTACAGTCTGTTAGTTACACAACAAACCGACACAGTGTTTTTTCGAAAATAATTGAAGCGGCACTACTTAACTTGTACTCTATGAATAAAGATTCCTTTAAAATTGCTGTGAGGAAATAAAAAAGTCAGATAGAACTTACTTTACAAACCAATTGTTCAGCTACACAAGTATTCCCGTAATGTACTTGTATTTAGGTGACGTGATTGTATACTTTTACTCGTCAGCTTTCTCTGTGATATCACAGTAACTATCGACAAGAACGATGATGACCCATGCTTCCCATTTAAAAATGGGCTCAATGGTACTATTCCTACAGTGTTTATTTAGCCCACTAATGACACAAAAAAGACCGAGTCTTTTCGTGTTTATCAACCTTCTTTCCCGTTTATCTTTTGGTTGGCAGAAAATGAAGCACATTTGAATTAAAGTATGCCGTGTATCATTTGCGATAACTAAGTAAAACGTTCACGGATCCAAAATATTCGCTTTTGATTTTTCCGGATCATCTAATAATAAGAAAACCCATATTAGCATTCACATGTTTTTGAGCTTGCAACATATCCATGCATTATAGTTAATCAATAAAAATTTTGAAGTCTAATAATGCGCATGAGAGCGCGAATATACTCTCTGAGATCAATTAATGACAATTCTGCTGTGGATAAGTATTGACGTAATTTTTATTTTAGTACGGGCAGAATTACAGGGTAAATGATAGTTTAAGTTTTTTACCTTGTATGAAATAGATAGAATAAAAAGGTTTCCACAAGAGTATATACTTGAATAGGAAGTTGTCTATTAATGTTCCTATATAATATACGGCACATATATATCATTATTTGAGTCTTCTAAGTTAAAGTAAAATTCCAAAATGGTCAAAAAAAAGTTTGATTTAGTCCGCATTACATATATATATTAACATCTACTGACACCATCCAAAAACCAAAGGACCAACTTTAAGTATTGCCCACTATCACAGATCAATGAGCTTTGAATCGGTGGTTGTGCATAAATGGCTAAGAAACTCAAAGATTGATAGTTTTTTGCTTGAAAAAGCATTAAAAGCATTCAACAATTCTCTTTTTAATTACTTAAATTTGGTTATGTAATAACTAGCCCTTATAACAAGGAGTTTAAGCGGATAAAGATTTCTGACCAGAAATACCTCCAAGGCGTTTTAGTTTATAATTGCGATCATTTATTTTGGGACTGGGATGTGAATGCAAAGATATCTCATGTTATGTTCGGCAAAGATAATAAGAGACTTTTAGTCTATATAAAAAAAGACAGCTTAGTTAAAATAGTTCGATCTGAAAGGACGTATCATATACTAAAGGAAAAGCATAAAGACTATACATAACAATTTGACACTTCTGAAATTTATTTTTACTTTATTTAACAAAAAGGTAAAAGCATAGGAATCTTGTGTATGTCTGATTTACAACGTGATGCCAATGTTACATTGTGCATAGTTTTTTCTGCCCGTTCATTCTCATATGTGGATATTTGAATTTTTGTGTTTTTTTTTTAATTTTTATGGCATGTTGTAATGGAAGCAAAAAAAGTTTCGAATTTTATCTAGAAGCTTCTTGAAGTTCCAGGTGTTGATCAGTTCTAAATCAAATTAATATATTAGACAGCACATTTTTGTGTAGCGTTCTTAAGCGTCAGTCCACTGCGTATGCGTTATGCACGTATCTCAATATTAAAACGGTGCTGTTAATTCTAAAAATTTTAAATCGGATTTGTGAATCTTAAGCCTCCAGTGTAACATTATGCGGATATGCAAACGCAACAAGTTGAAACTGTGATAGCTTATGAAAAGAGACTATATTAAATTGTGAAACGTGAGATATGATTTAGTTTTTGAAATAGAAGTGAATGAATACAAATCTCATTGCTTGTCAATAGAAAGACTGACAGGCCTTATAATGAGGATATGATTCAGTAAAGTAAAATTGGGTTGAGTTTCGAGTTTATACTCAAATATACTTTGCCAAGTTTATGATCCTAATTAGTGAAATAGTCCTGGTGGTTTTTGGTCAAAGTATGGCTTTATTTATTCCCAATCACTATCACTATCTTCCTCATCATCGGATTTTTTCTTTTCAGCTTTAACCCATTCATCTTCTGTGGTTTGTGACGATTTAAGCGGCGGTGATTCGATTGGCTCTGAAATGTTACTGAAATCATCAGTTCCTTCAGAGTTTGTGGTGGAAGTTCTACTAGTTGGTTCATCTGTCTTGATATTTTTGGTTGTGATTGTTGCAGTAGATGTACTAGTAACTGGTGCAGGTACTTGGCTATCTTCATCGTCCGAATCCCATTTAAAGTCGGCATCGTCTTCTGTCACACCTTGTACAATCAGCTGTCTCTTCTGTTCGTCTTGTTCAATCTTCCATGCGTGATAAAAATAGCGTTGCCAAAATAAAGCATAGCTTACTTGAACAGGTACTATAGTTTAATATATAAGTAAATCTTCTAAAAACGCGTATACACATGTGCCGTACCTAATCTATCCATGGTTTCTCGAAGTGCTGGATAATCGTTTAATAACTGTGCGATTTCATCTGTATATTCGTCAATTTTAAAACTTGCGTTGAATGTATCCAGAACCTTTTTTTCTTGCTCTTTATCCTTCTTTGATAATTCAGGCTCTGTTAAATAGGTGCTTTCGTTGGTTTGCATCTTTGCTATTAAAGCTTCCTTTCGATTAGCACTAAAACAGTTTCCTTTAGTCAAGCTTTATAAACAAGGTTGGTTTACTTTACTATATACGCGGGGCACTCTCATTATTACTCTCTACTGTTACTTCTTGCTCTTCAGGTCCTAGCACAGTAACCGTGTTTTTCAAAGCCGAAATAACGTCAGTGCCAAACTTTTGTAGATAGTGTTCAGCTGATCGTGTTCCATTAGTTAAACCTTCTTGCAATTGAGTCAAGTCCATATTCTCAGGTAATCTGACAGATGTGATTTGAGAAGGTAAAGTTTGGTTCAAAGTATGTGTCAATCCATCCCGTAGACTAGTGAAGTTGACGGTATTGATTTTTGCAAGATTCTCACGAATGGTGTCCATTGGGTTAAGGTCAGCTGTAATATCTCTACTGGTAGTTGCCTGTCCGTCTTCGTTAATTGTTGTAGTAATTTCATTTTCATCGTCATCTTCAGTTAAGACTTGAGCAAATTCTTGAAGGTCTTTCTTAGTCCCTTCAACAAAAGCTTCGCTCTATGTTTTTGTTATTAGGAGGGTAATTTTATGGTAAACTTTATTTTACCTGTTTTTTCACGGTGTCGACCAAACTGGTCCATTTTTTACCCCAGCCCATATTACTAAAGGCCTTTATAATAACATCGTCCTCTTCAGGTACAGCAGTTGTTTTTTTAGTATTGCTATCTACTGCCGAAGCAGCGTATTGATACATATCATCCATGATAAAGTTATAGGAGAAAAAAAAAAGGGAATAAATATAGAAGGGGTTTTAATCTTTACTACAGTACAAAAAAAAGGGTGACCTTTCTTTTTTTATAACACATGATGTGAGTTTTAAATAGTAGCATCATCGGCAGCAGCAGCAGCAGCAGCAGTTGTTGTAAGATCACTTTGCTCTGCATAAGCAATGCTTGCTTTTAATACGGCTGTGCATCCAGTATAAAAAATCTCTGCAAAGAACTGATGGACTTCATAATGTTTGTCTAACTCCAACGCTTTCGAAAGGCCGACAGATGTTAAGTTTAAGGTTCTTTCGCGAATAGAGCATGTTTCATCAATTTTTAACAAACCATCCTTGGTTAACTGAAATGCCCTAGAAAAAATTCCTATTCTTGGATAAATATTTATGAAACGCAAACAAAAAAATAACAAAGGCTTACCAGGAAGGGAACTTTTCTTTAAGGCAATTGCACCAAGGACTGCGGCATGAATTACTAGATCAGAAAGACCTCCGAGTGCTTCTTTTTGTTCTCCTTCTGTTAGTTTTCTTTTCTTGTTTTCATTTTCTTCGTTTAAAACAAGCCCGTTTCTCTTCTTAAATTCAGAAAGCTTGTTTTCAAGGGTTGCTTTCACGCTTGGATCAGAATTAACTACATTTGGGTAAATGTTATCAGAATTTTTCTTTTGTATTACATGTGTAACAATTGCGCATACTTGGAATCGAAGCCAATATTTTGTCTAATCCCATCATGTATAAATCAATCGACATTTGATTATGTTTTCCTGTGATGTCTTGATTCATGTGTGATGCCATTTGTAAGAGTGATATGCCTTCATCCACCTGTTTTTTATCCAAAATTTGCTCAGATGTTACTGTTGGTATGGGAACTATTTCTTGTGGTTGTGTACCACTACTAAAACTGGCTCTTTTCCAAACATAATCTGAAATTTGGGTAAGCCGCGAATGGACTGGTTCCTTCTCATAAGGTGGAGGTGGGATTTCGCAAATGGCTTCGTTGCTATTACTTCTTCGACGATACCATGTTGTTGCTTGACCGATAGGTGACCCTACTATAGGTAATCTATCGGCGTTATTTAATACTAGTGAAACTAGTGTAGCCATGTTTGTGGGGGATAATTTAGAATTTTGAATAAAAAAGGAGGAAAGCAAAAGAAAGACAAAAAAAAAAGAAGGGGGTTAAGTAGGTTATAAATAAATACAGGGCGGAAAAGTTTCGAGCTTGAAAGGTCGTAGCATTTTGTTTGCCACGTGAAAAGAACGGAACACATGCGGTATACTCATACAATGGGATTTTAATGTGGTATCACTTTTTGTATGTCATTTTTATTTATTGTTTTCGACTGTTGCACAACGTCGTATTAACTAATTAAAATCACAATGGATTCCCAACGGAGATCAGTCAGCTTTCCTTGCTTATTCTCTCTTAATTTCCATAAACTTCTAATAGTCTCCCGTATGACCGTATTGACAATTCCGGCATTATGATTTGTTACACACACTTTATGTCTTATGAGTTCTCTTATATATGATCATAGCACCCGCCCTTTATTGTTTCAAAAACTGCCTTGCATCGACATTTGCGTGTCATCAGGTTGTATCATTTTAACACGCAATACTTTTTTTTTTACATGTTTCGTCATAGAAATTTCCGTTTGCAGCCTAAAATTCTTGGCTTTTAAAGATTTAAGCTCTTTATTTACAATTACAGAACTTTTCCAACAAACAAGAAACGGACGATCTTGGCAGATTTGTGTACAGAGTTATATTTGGTTTTATAGTATAGCTGTGCATACCAGTTTTAAAAAGAATGGCTGAGGTAACATAGCTGGGGATTACTCAGACATTTGGCTGTTAGCTTTGTAGTTAAACACTTAACAGTCAATATATTCTTAATCCGGACCCACTTTAATGTATCAATAATCGCTCAATTTTATTTCGAATGTAATAATGTATTGGTGAACACGATTCATAATGTTGATGAGTGTCAATTGCAATACAAAAAAGAATGTACGATAATTATAGCCACAGCTTTAATGAAAGCCTAATTTATACCCTCAAATACTTAAAGGGGCAGGATCTCAAGGTTCGCAATGTGAAATAGGTTGAAGAAGTTAGGCACAATTTATCTGTCGATTAAATAATTTGTCTGCTAAGTGGAACTGCTGAAAATAACTTTCGCCTAATTTCCGCAAGATATTCTGGACAGCAAAACCTCCCCCCTCAGGGACATGCTTTTGCTTTATGCTATCTGTCAAGTTTATCGATGCAAGGTTTACTGTTTTTTCTGCAAGAGAAAAACTTACACTCATTGTGCCCAAGAATTCAAAAAACACAATCTCAACATTCGCTGTCTTTAAACACTGTAATTCATACTGTACGAATTAAGTAAGACCATGCATTACCAGACGTCGCCCTTTAAGAAGAAGTCAACGTTATTTTTAGAACACATGATAAAAAAGGTCCAAGATGCAGTGGTTTGTATAAACCCCAAATTCCCAAGAAGGATATCCACCCGATCTACCACTGTTAACAGAGACCAAAATGGGGATAAAATCATCTCATTAATTGGCTTTAGTTCACTGGTTTCCCAAAACGACCTAACCCTTTCTCCGTTCAGAAGAGGAATTGTTGAGAATATCATAGATATAATAATAAGTTAATTATCACATCACATTAAGGATGGATGGTAATATAAAAGTTAATCATGAACCACACATTGCCCCGCTTGTTCACGTCATATCGTTGAAGTCTGTACACAGGGCACAACCCTGTGGCGAGTAAATATTTATAAAAATACAGAAATCATTCACCACAATTTTCTTCAATAATTGGTTTGTCATATGTATCATGTAGAAAAAATTGATATTGACAATACCGAGTACTTCAAAGGCTTGCTTGATTATCTTCTCGTACACTTGCTTTTCTATGTCCTTTTCTGTTGCTCTTACATTCGCATTTTGCACTGATCTGATTTCTTCATCCAGCGCAAATAAATCATACTTTATAGGATGTTTTGCAATTAGGTTTATCTATGAGAAGTTATGAACCTAAAATAAGCAAATATATAGAAGTTGAGGGAATCATAGAGGAGTCAATTACAAATTATTTGTGAACTAGATCTTTAGTCAAGTCGTATTTATTAGAAAAAGTAGAGGTCATTTGTAAAAAAGCTCACACTCTGTGTAACTTCAAGCCGCATTAGTTTGGCTGCAACAATGCACAGATCTTAAAGGGATAATAACAGATTATTCTTGACACATAAGGGGGCTCATCAATTGAAATACCAATTTCCCACTCTTTGGGAAACCTTAAAAGTCAGCAAAAATTCTTTCGTTTAATGGCTGTATGTCTCACTTTAATGCCATAACAGCGATTTCAAAGCAGATTATTGATTATGAATTGAGAAAAGAGCCTATGCGAAATGGCTGTCCTTATAACGTTTTTTTTTTCACGCTAAATAGAGCCCTTTTGTTCCCTTTTTAAAAAAACTGTTTAGACCAGAAATTTTTCGTGGTTTTCATAACTCTAAGAGACAAGAGAGGCATTATCTACATGTGAATAGTATGCACATAGTTGGATTTTTTTACATTGCATAAAGAAGTGTCATGATTGCCCATTGACACTAGGTTGAGGTAGATATCTGTCACTATGCATGATCGTAAGCACTTAAATAGTCCAAAGAAACTGCTCGGAATATATAGCATTATAAAGTAGGTTCATCATTTTATTGGATTTATATAATAACTTACATGGTAAAGCACATGAAAAAAGAATGTTTGAATTTGTTTCCGTAAGATACATTACAACAGTATTGCCTATCGGGAATCGATTGTGCCTGATTATGGTGCGATGGGCAAATTTGAGAAGATAAGACGGTCACGCTGGAGTCACACAAGGGAGGGCAAGAAGAGAGTGTATGAAATCCGTTGTGCACCGCCTGTACAGACCTTTTTTTTTTTTTTTTTTTTTTTTTCAACACACAACTATAACTCACCCGTTATGAGTAACCAAATTCAAGTAAGTCTTGTATCGTAACTCTAAAAAAATATCTACTGATAAGTATTTGCGTTTATTTTCTTTTTTATTAAAAACAATTAGGTGTTGCAAGCCGATCTTAGAAATGCGACAGTAAAGGAAATTAGTGATTGTATGAGAGCGGTCAATGAGACACTGGGCACTCAACAAAAGCTCGTAGTTTCTGGAAAAAAGGAGGATATAATCAATAGGTTCTGCGCCTATATTGGTAACCTTCTCATAAACAAACGAACTACCAGCCTCTCAAATGTCGTTAAAATCGTCAATGAAACAGCACCCAGAAAGTAAGATCATTAAAAAAAAATAACAGAACAAAGAAATAGATACTGATAATATCTAGGCTATCATGGGAATACGAAGCAGACCCGATAAAGATTACAGTACAAAAAGCTAAACGCGCCACTACTTGTGCTCAATCTATTAATCAAATAAGCTTCGTTCCAAGCCCGTTTATTAAGCCTGTCTGTCGATTAACCTCGATCAAAGTTTGCCCAGGTAAAATAATAATAATAAAAAAGTCAATCCCACCTCACTCATCCTTATTTTTTTTTTTTTTTTTTTTGGTAGTGGCTGGACAAGCCAGACAATCCAGATCGTTCTCTTTCACCTTGACTGAAGAGAATCGACGATTACTGGCCACGCACAATGCTGTCGATGAAAGGCCTCCATACCAAATTCGCTTTTACTGCGCAAAATATACAGGCGCCACTGAGCAGTTACAGCTTGAGTTCCCTGGTATATGTGAATTGAAAATCAATGAGAATGTTATCCCTGGACACGTGAGTACACAAACTGTCAATAACGCACACTTATTAAATCAATTATTCCCTTTACAATAGAGTTTACGATGTTTAAAGAGCAAACCCGGTACAGTCAATCCACCTGACCTGAGTATCATGATTAGAAAGTCTGCACAGAATAACATCGAGTTAATTTATATCAACAGCGAATTCCCATTCATCGCCAGCGCCTATATTGTCGAAAGGACGCCAGTGCAAACGCTAATTGATACAATGAAAAGTACACGGGTCTTGTCTAAAGAACAAGTGTTGAAGAAATGTAAGCAGCATGTTTGCACGCAGTTTCTTTTTTTTTTTTAAATAGTGGTACTGATTTAATTGTATAGTGCAGGAAGTCCAAGAAGATGCGGATATTTCAATGGAGTCAGAGACAGTGTCAACCAAGTGCCCTGTAAGTGTTTGATATGTCAGTCTGATTTATATATACTGACCACATATTATAGCTTGCCTTTACGCGTATTGTCACACCCATCCGATCCAAGTCTTGTAATCATCTTCAGTGCTTTGATGCAACTACATTCTTAACTATGAATGAACAAACACCTACTTGGTCATGTCCTGTATGTCAGCGACGGATCGAGACCTGGGAAGACCTAATCGTAGATGAGTTCTTCTCGCAAATGTTAGTTAATACTCCCAAACACATTGACAGCGTACGTGTCGAGCCTAGCGGTGTTGTCACTATTATCGATGAAAATCCAGATCTGGCGGAAGAGGAGTCCGAAGAGGAAGAAATCCCAGAGATTAAACCCGAACCTGAAGTGACTATTTTACTGGATGACGACGATGACGAAGAAGGGGCCAATATTTCCACCGCAAACAATTCTATACCCGTACCCGTCGCCGCTGCATCACCTACATCCGGTGCCAAAAGGGCATTTTCCCCAGAACTAATTGACCAATCACAACAACAGCAATCCCGCAAAAAACAAAAATCAGATGTAATCGATTTAACTTTGGACAGTGAAGACGAAAGTGATGACACAGGGATAAAGTCCAGATCTTCAAGGTAATTGTTTATAGTGTTTAAACAAAGGTCACATGTGTCTAAACTTAAATTATGCCCATCATGTGACCAGCAAACCCATCTTCTAATAAAGCATATTACATAATACTCCATTACAGTATCTTTAGTGAATCATCAGAATTTTTAATATTGCCGCACCATGCAACGTTGTATGGTAGAAGCACAATTAACAATATAGGTCATGCAGACTATCTTTCAAATTGAAATAAATAGATTGCAAATATTTTCGACAAAACGGCATAGATTTTATTAAGCCACTTTTCTTATATATATTTTATATTTACATCAAGGCAGTGTTACCAAAGGTTTCATCGATCTTAGAAGCTACACCTTCGAATTCCTCTGGGTCTGTTGAGTGCATAGCATGGATGTCACTCTGTACGCTATTCATCAATTTGCGATCCATGCTGGTCAGTCCCCCACTGTGGCGGCTAGATTGTTCAACTAAAACATTCGAGGGTGTACGACGAGTTTCTAAATTATCGGTAGCTTGTGTGCTATCATAACCAGATCTAGACCGAGAGTTTGAAATAGCAGAATTAATTCTGCCATCGTAAAAGCCAGTAGAATGGCGGCCACTGTTTAAACCTGAGTCTTCATCATAAAAGCCAGTTCTATTTACTCGGCCGTTCATCATACCAGAAGTAGATGTAGTATCACTATAATTGCCAGGGTTACCACTTGCTTTAAAAGCACCAAGGTGTCCGCTTTCAGTTGAGGTAGAGTTAATGTCTGCACGGAGCTCAGGAGCTTCCAAGTAACTATGAGTGCTTCTTGCAACCTAAATAGAAGAAGATTAGTTTTATTTTTTTAAAAAAAAACGTAACCATGGATATAGGCTTGTATGACATTACGTTATCAATCTTGTCAATTATGTTATTCCATGATCTCTTTAAATTATTGTTTCGCTCAATAAATTCAGCTTCCATATCTATAAATAAATAATCAGCAAATGACATCATATAACCTGTGATATTTTTTTATTTACCAGCATCTGTAATGTTATCGTGGTTATTCATCTTTGTTAAAGTTGGTTGTTAAAGTTAAAAGTGAAAAAATGGTAAAAAAATTGAATACATATACACAATTTTTATTGAAACACCATCAATAAATTCATTATCATATGCATAGTTAGAAACATCGCTATGATATCACAGGGTGTCACCAGAATCATTTAGCTGAAATAAGTCTTTTTATTAGATTGGGGGATTATTAAGTGGGGATAAGGATGTAAAGAAAAATATGGTACAGATGGGGGGATAGGTTGATAAACCAAATATAAGACAGTATTAAAAGATGGCGCTTGACCTGTTTGAGCTTGACAATATATCAGAACTTCCATCATCCTCAATAAATGATGGAACGGTAGACAAACTAGAATCTGACATATGAGATGCAACGGGGAAAATGTATGGCTGAGTTCGCACAAATGTGCTGGAGGGTGTGAAAAAGTCATGCTTTTCTCCAACATGGGTAGTTAAACACTCGGAACTGGGCAGATAGAAATCCATATCGACAGCATCAATCCAATGATCTCTCTTGCCTTGGAGACCAGGTGACGGAGGAGCATACATACCATCAACATCGATAGTCGATAGCTTATAAATCTCTCCCTTCTTGGTCTCAACGAATGCTTGTTGACTTGGTTTCTTCTTACTGAGACCAAACGAAGGAATGAAACCGTTGGTTTTAACTTGTGTTGTTTCTTCAATCTCCTGCTGACTTTCAGTGTCATCCACTGTTGCAATTTCCTTTGGGGCGGCCTTTTGCCAGAACTTGACAGGCTTCATGAAAGATTTATATTTGGATTCAGTAACTGCGGCCATTTTAAGATGTTGTATAATTTAAATAAGTAAAGATGAAAAGGAAAAACTATTGCTTCTATTTATATTCTTATTCTTAAAAAAAAAAAAAAAAAAAAAAAAAAATAACAATGGAACATGAACCAATGGGAAAAATAGGTTGATTTTTTTTTTCTGCTAAAATTTTATTACAATTAACCTGTTTAAACTCTTTTTTGAAGACAATGTACATGTATTCTGTCACACGTCTGAACGCATAACATTACGTCAAAATTAGATAGTATCTTACTTTTCAGAATCTCTCTTTATAAAAACGGAGCCTCCTTTCCTTAGCCTCGAACATGTAACAGGCCATAAATCTTGCTAATTATTATTCCGGGCAAAAGGTATTACCGACAGCCCCACTGACATCACTTTTAACATCATGTTACTGAATCTTCTCATCAAACCTTGGCGTTCCGATGCGGTCATATCTCTCATCGAATTTGGCTTCTACCAAGTCTAATTCAAATTGTGTCTTTTTGGCTGGATTTAAATTTTTCCTTTAAGCAGTGCTTAAACCAGGATATCAAATGGATAAAATTAATGACCACTGTGTTGAGTTTAATGAAGGTTACAGAGTGAATATTGATGTCAAATTATTTTTGGTCTTCCTCAAACACGGAACGATTTCTCTTATTAGCAGTAGGAGGCGACAAGTACACCTGAACTGGCCGAACATTGCGAGGTGGAGAATGACGAGAACTAATCGTACTGCTAATGTCTGCAAGCAGGGACTGTTGTACTTTGTCCAGGTTGATCATGTGATATTTCCAAACAAACATAAACTTCAAAGATGAACGGAATAAATCCAATTCAAGCATACAGGTAGGGATAGTGATCGATTGTAGCTTTTGACATATATAAAAATCTTCATACTCAAATAATCGAACCAGATATCCACGCCTTACGATAAAATCATAGTAAAAAATAGTGTTGTCTATTGAGTCAGTCATTAAATTGACCTGGTTGTGATACAGCTGTTAACACTGATATTTTTGTTTTGCAGTTTCTTAATCTCAATCTTTGATAGCTCATCATTTTGGCTTAATTGCTCGCATATCAGTCTTCATTTAACACAAAAGGCCTGCGGCAGCACGAGGCTTATGCAAAAAGCAGTGGTACCATACCATAGTGAAGGTCAAACTTTTTACCGAAACGGAGGTATGGTTTGAAAAAACCTCATAGTCATTAAAAACAGCCAGACGTTTAGTTGACTGTGATGTTCCTTCTCCACCACAGGTATAAAGACCACTACCAGAAAAAGCAAATCTAGGATATCTTCAAATTTGGACGTAAACTTAAGCTAATTGAGATGGCTTTCATTTTCCCAACATGCCATGTCAGATATGTTATGTGCGTATGAATGAGAGTTTTAGTCACTACTTTTTTTTTTCATATCATTTGATAGAATAGAGTTAACAATATCGAAAATAGCATATCTGGTGGTACTTAACTGCCGCTTACATTGTATTAATTTCGCCGAGACTTTGTCCATCAATGAACGAATATTTGAATTGAAGGCCGCTTTCAAAGCTGAGCTTCCTGTTGGAAAAACATTTGCTGACAAGGACACTGCGAGACTGGAAATGCAATCTTTTAGCAAAGCAAATAATATCATCGTAGTGGCTTTCATTGATAATATGCTTATATACTCAGATTTTTAGACAGCATCCATCATGTTTACGCAACCTGATATAAGCAATTTATCAATTTCTTCTTTATCCGAAAACAACTTTGCTTTAGAGATAAGCTGAGAGCGAATGCAGTCAGTAGTATAATTGGCGACGGTATCACTGATATTCTCAACTTCACCAGCATTGCCATTAGCATTTTTCAGCCACATTATCACCGTCTGTGTTTTCAGCTTTATCGGGTTTAATAGTAAAGTTGTCACCTTCATTAAGGTTGTCACTAACACTAATTCTACTATTATCAAGTTCGGTGATAGTAGACACGGCGCGATATGCAAAAGCAGTAGTGGAAGCTATGGCTGATATGTCGGAAGTTGCCCTTGACGTTTCTGCATAGTAAAAAAGAAAGAAAGTTAAATCACGAAAGAGATACCTTTACATAAACATTTGCATTTACAAAGGTTTTGGTGTATTTAAAAATGACAGATTAGGTGGACTTTTAAGAGCATGACCTTGAAACGTGAGATTTATTAAATTAAACTGGCCTACTTCAATCAAGAATTTACTCACATATATACCACATAAACGCTTAGTCTTTTAATCTACAACATTTTGTTGTATAAAGAGCACCACAACCGCTGTAGAGCTATTTCCCGAGCGGGACAACATGTCCATAGAGAGCTTCTTTATATCCTCTTGGAATTTACTGGTAAAATCATTGAAAGTACGTTTTCTATGACTTCCACAATCAGAGAAAACATATTTTTTTCTCCTGAAACGATTTCATCAAAAAGGAGAACTTGAAATTAAAAAAAAACAGGTTGCTGACTTAAGCCTGATGCGTCTTTTTATTTCGATTCCGATAGTGACTGTCGCAGATTTGATACAACCACCAATATTTAATCCTAATAGAATAGGGGTAATTTTCTGACGATACATTTTTAATATGCATCAACAATTATAAAAATAATGCACCTAAATCAGATATACTTTAAATAAACAACATGCTATGGCATGTAGAGGATTTGTGTACAAGATTAAAATCGACTGTGGCGGCCGGCCTGTTCAGTCTACTGGTATCTGTCGATGACAACGTGGTTGTAAAAGTTAATTCTTGTCTCACAGTTTGCCACCTGCATTTGATAGAACGTTTCGATTCTGTTTATAATGTAGTATTACAAGGACTAAAAATGATCAGTCATGTAATTGTGTTTAAACGTTTTTCCTATTGGCCCCAGACGACATTCTAGATGAATGACGGCTTTAGTATCAGCCGTTGTACAAAAAGAAAAGGTAGGTAAAAAAAAACAGTTTAATGTAAAAAAAGTTAAAAGATTAAAATAAGTATGTGTATAAGGAATATTAAAAAAAAAAAAGAAGAGATAAAACCATTTCAAATAGTTGTTATTAGATATGAGGGAAAACACATTTAGACGTTTTCTTCGTGGCCAGACTTTTCGTCCACGCTACCAGCTTGACGAGCTTCATAGGCCTTCTTTTCTTCGTTACGACGAATACCTCTTTCTTCCAAGCGTTGGTCCATAACATCACGAGGAATAGCCTTACGAGGATTGTATTCGAAAATAACATCCATTTCTTCGAGCTACGCAAGAAAAGGAAAGGTTAAAAATCACATGTTAAAAAGGGCTTTTGTCTAATTTTACTTACGGTGTAACCCTTGGTTTCGGGGTAGGCAAAGAAGACATGAACACACATCAAGAAATTGAAGGCGGCAAACAAGAGATACAAACCGTAATGGATTTCCTCCATCAACATGGGGACGACAAAGTTCAAAATCCAGTTGAAAAGCCAGTTAGAAGCAGTGGACAAGGAAACAGCCATGGCACGAACACGGAGAGGGTAAATTTCAGCGGGATAGATCCAACCGAGAGGACCCCAAGAAGTAGCAAAAGAAGCAACAAATAAGTAGATACATGCAACAACAGCGTTGGCCTTGTGTTTGTTGTCAAGTTCAACGATATACTTGTCTTTGGGACCAATAGACCAAGTACCAGTGGCCAAGATACCACCGACAATCCAAAGGAAGATAGACATAGCAAGAGCACCGATAATCAAAGTAGGACGACGACCCCACTTGTCGACATAAAGAATAGCAGGGACAGTCATGACAACGTTAACAACATAAGAGATACCGGATGAAACAAGCTGAGCTTCTTGATCACTACCAATACCAGCTTGTTGGAATAAAAAGACAACGTAGAACATGATAATGTTCATACCAGTCAATTGTTGCCAGACTTGGAGAGCAACACCAAGGAAGACACGGTAAGCCATACCAGGCTTTAATAAATCAGAATAACGATGAGAAGCAATTTCCTTATCAAAGTGAATGGTTGCAGAGATTTCTTCCATTTCAACGATGACACGAGGATGAGTACGGTCACCGTTACCATGAATGTCAGCAAGAACTTGGAAAGCTTCTTCCATACGACCTTGATCAGCGAGCCATCTGGGAGAGAATGGGAATGCCCACATACCAGCACAAAGGATGACAGCAGGTACACCTTGGATACCCCAAGGGACACGGAAAGCAGCAGTGTTGTTAAAATATTGACAACCATATTGAATCCAGAAACTAACAATAAGGTTTAATAATCAAAACAAATTTGTTTTTTTAGCCAATCAACTTACGAGATCATGATACCCCAAGTAATACTCCATTGTTGAACAGCGACGATACGGCCACGAATTTCCTTGGGAGCAATCTCAGATTGATAAAGAGGGACAACCATGGAAGTGACACCAACAGAAATACCGTTCAAGACACGACCAACACAAAGCATAGCAACACCATTACAAGCGGCTTGGAAAATAGATCCGACAATGAAGAGAGCAGAAGCAGCAATAAGAGTATACTTTCTGGAAAATCTATCTGCGGGATAACCAGAACCGAGAGCACCTACGAAACAACCAGCTGAAAGGGCACCATTGATACCACCTTGTAACAAGGCGCTAGGTTTCTCGAAAAAAATTTGGTATCTAAAGATAAAGTAAGTACTCAATCCCTGTGCTTTGAGATTCGCGTTTAACTTACTGATCTGTACCAATAACACCTGAATTACTACCGATATCGAAACCGAACATAATACCTGCAATGGCAGCAAAAGCGCCAATTGCGTAAACGTTCGAGAAGATTTTAGCTCCCATGTGTGAAATAAAGATCAAAAACTAATAAAGAAAAAAGCAGAAAAGAAGCATGATTGCCCTAACTTTTTATATCAAATGTGATTTTTTTCCCCACACTGAAATGATAGCCAATAAGTGCCCTCCTCTCACAAAATTAAGGGAGTATGGGGTCTGCTTAACTAAATTTTTTTTTTGTGTACTACATGTAGCACACTCTTTATTTTCCTGGAGGAAGATTCTATTGGTTGGTATCAATCGGGAGCAGCCCTTTTCATGACTTTACATTGATTAAGTAAGCCAAGATGTACAAATCCTAACCGTTTCTGTATTTGCGGATTGATATATTTATGTGGGAAACTTATTTAGATTTTCATTCTCCACGCACTCGCACACCAAAAGTGTATAAAACAACCTGTTAGGTTGTTTCACCAATAGTACACAGAGGCTTCCAAATAACCTATTCTTGCCTTTATATTTTCGTTTTACCCCTTTTCACTACAGTGCAAGGGCCTTTATTTCCTTGAAGCGGAAAAAAAAAAGTTTGATTCCACCTGCGTTACACTGATTCTGCCTTTTGGTGTGTGAGTAAATTAATTGATTTTTTTTTCAGTGGTTGGTTATTATCCTATCACATTTGGTGGTATGATATATCTCCTCCATCATTATTACTCCAGTTGGGATGATTGTCAAAAAACTGATTACTTAAGCTTGACTAAATCATGCTGATTATGCATATTCGACTTGTAAAAAAATCTTCCCACTCCAATTAGGTACTGTGACCAAACATTTTAAAGGTTTATGATTTATGATTTGTAACTTTTTACGAGTGTGCACTCCGCCACTAAAATTCAATTCTTGATCTGGACCCTTTTCTTGATAGAGGAACTGTCCCGTCTCTGCTATTTTTGTTTAAAAGACTACATATGAAAGTAAGCAATAATTATGGGTCCATATTATTCCCTATAATTCTTGAGGAGACACGGGTCTCGTGTCTGTGAGACATACACCATAAGTCCGAGGGTTGGAATTATGGTGACCAGATCACATTTTGTTAATCCAGTAAATGCGCCAGCAGCAGCGGCAGCAAACAATTGGCGAATTCTACTAATCTGACCACTATAGCTTAAAATTAGTTTGTGGGGAAGTCCGTGGAAGTGAAATAAATGGTCACTATTTTTAAACGCCGTGTTCTTAAAAAGACGCGACTTCTTCCGTTTTTTCTTTGGGTAAAAAGAGGGTAATGATGGGTAAATTTAATATCATACACAGAAGATCTTGTCATTGATATATCCTGATAGAAATCATGTTCAAAATATATTCTTCTTAGTGTATTACACTCGTACAATGCACTTATATATCCTCACTTTATCCTCAAGCTCATCATCACAATGAGGGTACGTTGGATCAAAAAAGGATTTGCACCCGATGAGTCCAATCGGGTTTATCCTCCCCACATTTACTTGCACCCTGTAAGTACATGGATGGAAAATATAATTCCCGCAGGGTACTATCTTAATCTGATTCTCTCATGAGTGTCACTAACCCTGTATTTAATACTAACACGTTTGATCTTTGGAAAATGCAACGCTTAACTTCTAATGTTACTACCGTTACGCAAAAACAGGTTTCTGTTCTGTTTATTACAAGCACACCGAATCGGTAAAAGTTGAATGTCGTTTAGCAAAACACAAATGTTTCTGTCCCGTATGAATTATATAGACGCTTGTAATCCAGATTAATTAGGTCATGACCTAGTGGTGCCCCTGGCGGAAGATATCTCGTTTTGTCATGGTATACTTGCCTGTAGTTCGCGTTTGAATAACTGAAGGTGGAATACTTTCTTTCTTGAACTTTGCAAGGTCCTGATTCCATATTATTTGATTAGCTTTCAAAGTCAGAGGAAGGTTGTACCTCTTTTTATACTTTAAGTTTTGCCCAGCTTATTTCTCCTTTCCATCGCTATAAGTCCCTTTTTTTTTTCAATAAAAATTAAGTAAAGAATGTTGTTTTAACAATAAACTAGCTAGTTTGTAACAAAGATAGTGGAAAAGGCAGCAATATAGTAGATAGAAAAGATAGAAAATTACAAATAAGCTATTTCTCGACCGGAGTATTTACAATGATATTCATAATATCTTACCCAGCTGGAGACCTAATGTAAAAGACCAGTCTCTTTTCTTGGCTAAGGAGTAATATAGGCTGGAGGTTTGTGTAAATCTAACGATCACCCATGAGTATTGATCAGAGCGTATACTCCACGTATCAAAATCTGAATGATAATTGTGTCACAGAATTTATAATTAAATCAAGACAGCACAAGAGACTATACGAGGGCATGTAATAGTTGGTGGAATGAGAGTCTTTAAATACTACCCTGTTCTGAACCTCACCGAAGATCTCTGATATGACTTTGAATGTAAACTATAAAATTAAAGAGACTCAATTAGTTAGCAATATCAGCACTGTGAGAAGAGGAATGGGGGAAAAACACACATTAGTCTAGCGTATCAGTAAGTTTCAGCGATGGACCCTCGAAGTAACATTATTAAATACTTTTATATTTATAAGTGCATATGTTTATTCGATCAGTAAAATATTTTCGAGATCTTTTGTACACCAATTAATATTACATATTTGATTTTCAATACATCTGCAAATGGGCATTGTGACAGTTTTTAAAGATCATTGGGCGCAGATAGAGGGAAAAAAAAAAGATTGGAAAAGTCAAAAAAAATGAACTGGAGAGTTGGCACAAAAAGTCTTTTACGCGTGTTAACAATGGCTAATACAAGAACAAAGATTACGACCACAAACACTGGTTCTGAAAACATTGCAAAAGCAACAGCTACAGCTACAAAGCGATCCGCGAGTCCTCAAGTAGAAACCGTAGCGAAGAAGGCCAAGACCGCAGCGCCCAAAAAGAGTGCTTGGGCTCCCTTTGATCCTTCATTACCCAACAACATGGTGTTTCCTACAAAGTTTGAAATCCCCCCTAAACCAGAAAATGCAATCAAAATTGCCTCTTACAACGTAGCAAGTCTTCCGGCTTGTATTAAGAAGGGATTCAATACTTACATTGACGCGGAAGACGCTGACATTGTTTGTGTTCAAGAAACAAAACTAAACCAACCCATTTCAACAGCTGTCAATGACAAGGTATACAAATATCGTTACTGGTCTTTTGATGAAAAGAAGGGATACGGTAAGAAACCGCACAAAAGAAAATGAACAATCAAGACTGATTATGTCTATTAGCTGGTGTTGCTGTTTTTTCCAAGTTTAAGCCAACGCTTGTTACATATGGTATTCCTGGGTTTGATAAGACTACAAAGGGTAGGGTCATTTCATTGACATTTCCAAGCTTTGTTTTAATTGCGACATATGTTCCCAACGCTGGTGAAAAACTTATTCGTTTGCCTGAAAGACGAGAATTCAATCGTCATATGGAAAAATACATTAGATCACTTCAAAAAGAAGGCAAATCCATCATTTGGACAGGGTAATTTTATCATATGAATATAGGGAAAACCATCACTGATAAAAGAAAAAATATATATGTAGTGATTTAAATGTAGCACATACTGCTGATGACCTTGCACGTCCGGAAACTAATCAAAAGAGCGCCGGTTTTACAATTGAGGAGAGAACAGATTTCTCCAAAGTTTTAAAGCCTTCTGAAGAGGATGAAAGCTTACCTGGTTTAATCGATACATGGCGTCATTTCAATCCTACACAAAAGGGACATTACACATATTATGGATACCGTTTCAAATCACGCGAGAAGTTGATGGGCTGGCGTTTGGATTATTTTACTGTCACCCCCGATCTTATGGACAAGGTTGTATCTAGCGAGATCCGGCATGAAGCTTGGGGCGCAAGCGATCACGTACCTTTAGTTCTAACTCTTAGGGATGTGAAATTGTAAATTAAATAATTTAAAAGTTTATTGTTTCGTGTGACGATAATTTTACAAAGAAGGAGGAAAGAGAAAATCTAGAAGGGTTATATATGTATTGGTTTAGATGGCGTTGGGCTTTTGGTCAATTTGATCAGGTTTTAATGGTACATGGTAGTTATCCATGATAGGAGCAGCATTGACCAGAGTGGGGGATGTAACGTTCGATCCAGGTTGCGTATGATTATAATATCCTTGCTGGTAACCGGCGCCACCAACACTTCCACCACCAACGACACTGCCTTCATGCTGATATTCATGATGAGGAGCATAGTCTTGTTGAACACCATATTCATTACGATAGTCATGTTGAGCATAATCTCCTTGTTGAGTAGCATAGTCTCCCTGTTGAGAATAGTCACCTTGATGGGAGTGCTGTTGATAATCATATTCACTGGCAGTGGAAGCGTTATTGTTATAATCCTGATAATTCTGAGGTTGATAGGCTGCGGCATTTCCGCTTTGTTGGTGATACCCGTACTCTTCATCAGTCAAATTCATGTAACCGGTTGGGTTAGAAGTTGGAGGTACAAAGCGACGTGCGTGTTGAAAGGGTGATGACGGAGCTTGATTCTCTGCCGTAGCCGCTGCACCTACTCCTGCTCCTGCACCTACTCCCATAGCATTGCTATCTGTCATCTTAATACCATACTCATTATCATGAGCTTCAAAATCCTGCTGAATGTTTCTTCGTCTAGTACGGCTTGTACATCCACCACGACGATTCAAACATGTAAGTAAGCCTGCAATCAACGCAATACCAACTAGAAAAAGGAAGCGGTTAGTCTTTTTTTTAAAACAAAGCTTGTTAGTAATATAATTCTTTACCGACACCACCGACTACTGAACCAGCAATAATCGCAGTTTTGTTAGGGCCTTCCTCTTCCTTTTTCTCGGCTTTAGGTTCACTGGTAGGTTTAGCAAGGGTTCCAGAAGAAGATGCACCGGAACTAGCTTCGCCGGTTGGAGAGGGCCCACTGGGAGGATTTGTAGTTGTGTCAACAGAAAATGGCGGAGGTGAGGTATCGCTTTTGTCTGATGTTGCAGCAGGCATATTCGTAGTAGTAGGAGCAGCGTTAGGAGCAGTAGTAGGTGATGCAACGGGGTTATTAGTAGTCTGAGCTTGAGTTGTAGTAGTTGGCGCAGGAATTGGAGCCTGGGTTGTAGTGGGTGCCTCAGTTGTTGTAGGTGCTGGTTCAGCAGTTGTAGCTGGAGGTGCTGGTGTGGTTGCAGCGGGAGCATCTGTTGTGGCAAGAGGCGTGACCTGAGTATCAGCTTGAGCAACAAGATTAGAAGCTGCACCCACTGCTCCCGATACTTGAGCCTGTACTGCACACTGCAATAGTACAAGTGCAATCAGTGCAATAAATTTCAGCGACGGTTGTTTCATTTTAAATTTTTTTTTAATTTGAGAGGAAATAAAAAAAAAGAGGGAAGAAGGAAACTAAAAGTCTTGGTTGGGGGGTTTATTGTATTAAATAGGGATTTAAGGACCGTGCAAAAAGAATAAAATCGTGTTGCTCGTTTTCTTACTTGACCTCCTTGGACCCCGATCATCATCTACTGATGAACCAGTCATTATTCTCTCTTCTCTTATTATTGAAATTATGTGTAACTGTACAAAGAAAAAGCTTTTTTTAATTCAAACTCAAAAGACTAACACAAGACAAGCGTCTCACAATCTCCGGGTTCCAGACAGTCTTTTTTTTAAGCCGTAATAAAAATTAATGCCAGAACAGTCAATGAAAAATCTATTTTTGGGCATCATCAGTCTTGTGCAAGATATCAGCAAAATAAATATTGCAAGTAGTGCATAAAACTTCATTCTTTTCTAACAAGCGGTTTTTTACCCTTTTTTTTTTAACCCCTTTCGACTCTCTCCTTTTGATTTTTAAACAAAATGGTTTATTTTTGACAATTATGTGTGTGTGTATGTGTGTGTCTTGGCAAATAAATTAAATTTTCTCACCCCTCTTTTATTATTTTGCTTTTTTCTCTGCTTTCTTTCATAGTACTAAATGATTATACGACGATTTTATTGTATCTTGAGTTTTACCATAGCAACTCTAGTATGTTTTGGCCATTCACAGCAATTAGGATGTCAACATCCTTCAAATTACTCTGATTTCTCCCTTGTCTTGATCAACCAAACCCTTATTGTAACTGGAGCAAATATGGTAATAGCAAAAAAAAAAAAAAAAAAAAATATGAAAAAAACCGAATTATCAATTAACGCATAGCCCAAATAATAGGAACAGTTAGAGGTGTGGACACAAGATATATCCAATGGATTTAGCACTACCAGTGATTGCTGGATAAATCATGCTTCCAATACCACCTTGGATTATTCGCCTTATAAAAACGGAATTGCATTTCAATATTCAAATACATCAATTGCCGTTCAAGCGGGGGATAATGGAACACCACTTATGTCAACTATGGCAATTTTCGATGTAACAACAAATACCTGGTCTGATCGTAATGTGTTGCCGAACAATTATTTTTTTTTTCAAAAAAAAAAAAAAAAAAAAAAAAAAAAAAAAAAAAAAAAAAAAAAAAAAAAAAAAAAAAAACGTTAATACTAACGACGTCTCATAATAAAAGCTGTCGCATTGATTAAAGGTACACAACCAGTGACGAAAGCTCGAATGTCAGTATCGCTGAATACAAGTACGAATACTGCCTGGTTTTATGGCGGAAGAGCGGAATCCTCTGCAACCCCAAACTATGTAAGACAAAAAAAAATGCGTAAAAAGATCAAATTCTAATTAATTTCAGTACAATACATTCTATAATTTTGATATCAATACAAATACTTGGAACTGGCCAACTACATTCTATTCTGGTGGTTACAGACCAGCAAGATATGGCCATACCAGTTCTCTAATGTAAATGACCATCGTTTAGCTATCGTCATTGTCACTAAAGATGTATTTTTTACTTTCTAGTTCTGACCGATTATTTATTTTGGGTGGAAAAACAGCCGTTCATTCTGAGGATAACAGTTGGGTAGGTGCTTCATTTGGTGATTTTCAAAATGTACTAGTATTTGATACAGTAAGCCACCAAGCAATCACTATGGCAACGATCGGTGATATACCGCCTGCTCGATACAGGTTTGTATTATTTCGGGTGTACATTATACTGCAAATTTACTAACGTACTTTTTCTATTTATATAGTTTCACAGCTGTAGACGGTAAGAGTGAGCCTATTTTCTTTTGCTTGTCTATGATACTAATATAACGGAAAATCACAGCGCCTGATGCAACATCTATTGTTTTATTTGGAGGACAAAATGTCAGCGCGGAGACAAGTTTTGATGCGACGAACGATATTTATGTTTTGGATACCTGTACATTAAATTGGACTAAACCAGAGATATCGGGTATACCACCTATTGCTCGCGCGGGACACGAGGCAATCGTTTATTTAGGACGTTATATGGTTGTCACAATGGGAATCCAAAATTTTGATCCAACAACTGGACCTGTTTATGTCAATGATTCTGCAATTTTAGACATGCGATCGTGGACATGGATTAATAGTATTCCCATCGGTCCAACCAAGAACAAATCAGTAAAATCATCATGTCGATTTGTATTTCCTGTTGTCGTGCCGGATGATGATGGAGGAGACAATACGACTGATACATTTAATCCATCAGTTGTAAAATATACAAATGATGATTCAAGGACTAAAAAATTAGCACTGGGACTCACCTTTGGTTGTCTGGGTCTTTTGGTGTTAGTAACCGCTCTTGTCATATTCATCTTAAGAATAAGAAGAGATGTGGATGCTAAACAAAACCCTAGATGGATACCCAGTGTATTGAGAAAAAAGAAACCAATCACCGAATCTACCACTATTTAGAATAATAGTAGCTTAATGTAAATACCAATATATCAATGACAACATTTTCTTGTGTTTTATATAAATCGCTTTTTATTATTTTGTTGTCATACGTTTCCTTTTCTTTTCCTTTCTTTCTTCGTCGTAAAAAAATGGCAGAGGAAGCAACATCTTATAATAAACACAGTGGCTATTATACACCTCAATCAGGGAAGACTCCGAGTACATCATCCGAGGCAGCTCAGCTAGAAGCAGCCGAATCCAAGGCTAATATTATTGATATTCCTTGGGATAATGATAGCTTTGATCTCGGCCTCGATTCTTTCCCTTCGACTGAATCATCCACAAAAAAGTACAATAAACTCCCAGTTATTGCATCACCACTAAGGATGCAATGGGTATCCCGAAATGATTCCTCAGGCGGAGAAAGCTCTATTCAAGAAAACGAGTCTGTTTCTACCAGCTCAAATGATTCAAAATCAAAAAGAAAAAAGACCTTGACTATAAATCCTTCCATTGATAACTCGTTCCCGTATATTAATGATGATGCTTTCTTAGATCGTATACACCCACCTAAAAAGAAGCAACAAAAACAGAAATCAAAAACTGGACGTATTGAGCATATATCTCCTCTACTGGATTCAGCAATTATATTTGATGAGCAAGACGTATTATTTAAATCATATTCCATTAAAAGTGTCTCAAGCTTTACGAATCACAGCCACAAATCAAATACAAGTACAATTGAAAACTGGAAAGTATCTCAAAGTCCAGTTAATGGTATGATATCACCGATTGTTTTGCCACCAAACCCTATCATTGCCCGCGAGCATAACACATCTGGTTCGACAACGCCCCGGAGTCATATTTCAGCACATGCACCACAACCACCACTAACTTATAGTGCTAGTATTAGAAGTATCGGACCCAACAGTATAAGTGCAAGTGGTGCTTACTATACACCACCATCGTCTGTTACATCTCATTCATATCGCAGCATACATGTCCCTAGAAATGGAGACGACTTGGTGCTTTATTCTGACTCCATTTATTCTACTAGTCCTTCTGAAAAAAATCGCCCCTACTCACAATTCTTTAATCCCAGCTATCAGCATTCCCGAGGCAAGAAACCTGCTGGCTTATTTACAAAAATGATGAAGAACTTTAAGCATCATTTCGCTAATAAATAAATAACATTATGTTTGGAATATCACACATGCACGAGTCTTACCAATATCATTTCCCTTTCCTTTTGCTTCTATGCACTTATTTCTAAAGGCTTGCTTCTCCTGTCTTTTTTCTTTACTATTAATTATGACAACACAATCCCGTTGTGTATTTATCAACCAAGGTGTAATATAAAACATGATATACTCTTTATCTGCTTAATAGTTAGGAGCTGTAATACGAGCATCACATTGACCCTTCAGTACATTTCGTTTTTTAGCTGATAACTATTTAAGTTTATATATTCGTTCAAATTATTTATATTGCCGGGCCCTGTCGGCTGACTTAATGAAGGCTCTGTATCAGGAGCTCCAGTCAAATTTATTAAAAAGGAAAGTAATTCAAACAAGAAAGACACTGTAATTTTATGTAGATAACAAGGGGTAGGTGACAGTGTCAGTTTGTTAGCAGACAACAACTTAATATATAGGCCTGACGTTTGGATGTCAAATAATGATGGGCCTTGATACCTCATAATGTTTGATCAACGTGTTTCTTAAGGACGGCTAGAGTGCACGTAGACATAAGGTAGTATCTGGTGCCTTAACTGTCCCTGAGACTAGACAAGAATATACAAGTTTACATAGACAAACATAATAATTAAGGGACACGTAATGTTCCAAAACGGCATGATTTATCAATCTGGATGCCATCACTAAAAGTACCTATAAACCATTTGATCTACCACCATGCTTGCCCCTTTTATCCTCCATGATCTGAAATCTAACTTGAAATACCAGATATACTTACATTACGAATTACTGAGGCTTACAAGCAATTTACCATGGTAAATTTGTGAGGCTAAAGAAGGTTTACGTGGGGTTATCGGGGATCGTTGTATTCAAAAGTAGTGTGACAAACAATCGTATGGTTGATTTAAACAAACGTTAAAATATCTTTACGAGTCAGAAGCCGCAAATTGCATCAATGTGTCATGCCTTATCACGAGGCTGAGCTCGAACAATAAGAATAATGAAGTGGCGTAAAAAAATAATCCGGGGCTGATGATTTGCCAAGTCCTCAAAAAATCTAAATGTAGAAAAAATGCAGCAAGTAAATTTTCATTTACCTTTTTATTCAACATGTCTCATGATAATTACGAATTGCCCTCTATATATACAAGAAAACCGGACAACACTACTCACTATGACTCGGAGGACGAAGAAGAGGAAATAAATATCGGGGGAAACCATGTCATGTCGTCGACTTCTGCTTTGCCAGCGAGACGCAATGCTTTCCGAGACATTCATGTGGAAGACAATCGATTAGCATGGTTATTGTTGGGAACAGCACTATCGATATTAATTATGACAGTAGTTCCTGTTCTAAGCGATATCCCAAATATCACTCCTTGGTTTCCCGGGGATTCTTTGTTTCGCTTCTTTGACCCAATTATAACTTTACCCTTAAATTTGTTTATTATAACCAGAGCTGATGTTATGACAAGTGGAAGGTCGAATTATTGTAAGTCTATACTGCATGGCTTTCTTTTACGATATCGAACACATTGTTTTTCTTTTCTATAGGGGGGTCTCTAAGCGAGGCAAGTGTTGTATGGTTATTGTGGTCATTTGGTGCTGCACTTTACGTCCAATTTCACGGAGTTCATACAGCCAGTGCAATGTTCAAGGTAGGAAATACTTGTTATTTCGCATTGTTATGACTGACGTTTATAATAGCATCCTATACAAGATTTTAATTTGGCTCATCCCGATTTGGTGGCCCAATACCCAGTGTTATACGAAATGTACTCAAACATGAGAGATTTATGGGAGCACTATATCGCACATTATTTATACGCGGGGGGTGCCATGATGATGAGCTGGGTTCAGTTATTTGCCTTCAGAAACCAAGTGCATGGTCCATTACCAACTACGACAAAAGTAATTTGGTGTATTGGAAGTATCTTATATGGCGTATTATTAGCAGGCGTGGCAATTGAATTTCCTCAAGGATTGATTGTCGGATTAGTGTATACTATTGTACTTGGAACCGTTTGTTGTTGCATGGTATTATTTAATCCAGTTAGTCTGCCAAGAGGTGGTCTATTTACAATGGGAAGGCGTATGGTAATACAGTTTTATTTAGGAGCTTGCGTTTTAGGCTTGCTAATTATTGTGATTTGGATTGGAAAATTTGGCTTGTTAAACAGAAAAGCTGCCGGTATCTAAGACCTTACCAAGGATATCCAACTTATAAACTGTAATACGTCCATAAAAATCTGTACTTTCTTCAAAAATAATTTTGACTCTCTTTAAGCCTTCCGTTGCTGGGAAATCAAAAGTTTGTGTAGGGTTGATATCTTGAGGATAAAATCTGCCGATTTCTACACTATAATCGTTGGGTGAATTAGGCGTACTTCCTACAGCAATACAGTTTTTGCCAACAAATCCACCTTGAAACTGTAAAACAATGCTTTCTACTGATACAGGCTCAGGAAAATCCAACAAAATATTTTGAGGGAGGCCCTAATTATGTATATGTTTGTTTGCTTTTCGCATAAAAAATAGTATTTTTAAAACAAGGATTACCTGCTCAGTATTCCAACATGTCTCTTCACTACCATCAATGAGATTTTGTTTACCATAGTTGGCGGTATCTCTGTTCAGAACCGAACTTACTCTATAAGACCATTAAAGGCATTAATTGACATGACGTTATTTTATTTTAGAATTGTAATACTTTATACGTGTGTCCGAGTTAATTAAGCTAGTCATTGATTTAGTTTTACAAAAAGAGAGAACAAAGGGTAACTGAATAAAAAAGTTCTATAGTCCAACAGTGACTGCCCAAAAGTAGAACTGTAATTATACCCAAAATCCAAAGTGTGTTTTCTATTTCAAGCCCTTTTCTTTCCCAAGTAACCTGTTACAGCTCGAAAACGTTTATTATGTACTGGCTCAACGGGATAGCAAGTCAACTTTCACTTGACTGTACCGTCCCTAAAGATAATAAGAACATTAAAGATGAAAAAGACAAACTTTCGTTTTCCAAATCACTCGATATAATATCTATCAAACCGTCTCATCACGCGTCCTTATTTATAACATGTACACGATCAGCCATCTATTTGTGGTCAGTCAAGGTAAGCATGATGTTCCCCTACTTTTTTATATTGCCATCTAAACATAACTTTTTTTTTATACTTGTGTAAGCCAACTACTGTTCTAGCTTTTGTGCAACGTTCCGAAAATCATATCCAAGAGTTTGGCGAGAATATCGAAATAATATGGAAACCCGACGCATCTTCGATTGTAGTCCAAGTAAGTTCATTCACAAAAAAGTTGGATATGCGTCTAATGTTTATATTAGACCAAAAACAATTATTTACTTTTATATGCAATAATCTCATACGACCAACGATCATTTGAATTCAACTTTCCAAATTCCACACATGCTTTTGTCACTGGTCCTGGCGAGGGAAAGGGGCCAAGAACAATGCTAATTAAGTTTAGGTTGGCGATCCGAATTGATGCTGGTATTGCATGGTAAATTTTTTAAAAAGATAATTTTTACATGAAATTTATGCAAAAATTCGGTTTTTTATTATAGTGGTTCCTCGTCCGATGACACCTTGATTATTGCAACAAAAGCACCTTCAGCTATTCAGTGTATATCGTGGAATCCTCAACAAGTGAATGCTACAAAGACATCTGTGCTTAATAGACTTGGGATTATGGAAAACGAAGATACAGAACAAGTATCCGATATTATCTATGATAAACTTATGAATATATCAGTATGGATATCCACAGAAGGGCGTGCTTATTTTGTTCAGAATAATAGCTCTTTGTCCAACCAAAGACGTGCATCTGTCAACAGCAGTAACGGATTACCCTCAAAATCCATCACTTCACCCAGCGTTCCCACCTTCGAAAAACAGAATTATTGGGCTGGTGTATGTTTCCACAAGGAAAATCATAAAGCAACTGCAGTTTCTGTCAACTCAAAGTTTTCATTAATCGCAGTAGGAACAGATAAGGGTATTGTATACGTATATTCAGCGCAAAATTATTCCTCGACACCAGTATTATCCCATACATTAGTGTTGACTTCTTGGTCGTCACAAAGTTCGAATGCACAAGACAATTCAGTAGAAACGCTTGAATGGACATCAGATGGATATGCAATTGCCGTTGGATTTAAGCGACGAGGATTGGCAGTGTGGAGTGTATATGGAGGCTTACTTTGCTCCTCGAGTGAAATGGATGATGTCTTTGATGGTGAAAAGTAAGCAAGAAGTAAAGTAAAATTGTCCTGATTCTGACTGAAATTTATAGTGCTGGTAAATTAAAAGATACATACGTAAAAGGAATCTGCACACTGGTAAGATAACACGGTTTCATTGAGAGAATATTACATACTTAAACAACAAAATAGTTTTGGGGACCTGGAAACCATCAACTTTTCGTTTTATCAGGGGACCTGTCAAAAGATATACCTACCAAGTTTTTTACAATCCCGTTTGTTAAATCTGCTTTGACGTCTTATTTACATTCGGACAATGCTAGACGAGGACTGCTGCAAACAGATGATCGAATTTTGCTCTATAATAACGGCGGAGATTACCAGGAAAATAACACAACAATCGATCCAGCTGCTGTAGCATGGACACATATCCAGGTAATGGTACTTTCAATTCATCGCTTTATAGATACTCACCTCTTTTTAAAATATAAAGTATCCCGCTTTATACATCACAGATCATTGGCCAATTCGATATACATCAATTAGTTCGGACGGGAAATTTATTGCGATTGCTGGTAAGCGAGGTTTTGCACACTACAATGCTATCTCCAATCGATGGAAGTTGTTTGGTAATCAACAGCAAGAGCAAAGTTTTCTGGTAAGAGGCGGTATGGTATGGTACAAGCATGTGCTGATTGTTGCTTGTGAATCGCTTCAATCAAAAACGTATGAGGTAAGCGGAAAAATTGAACGGGAAGAACATGAGTTCATCATACTGATGCTTTTAAAAAAAAGATTCGGATGTATTCTCGCGAAAGTAATTTGGATAACGCATACATCTTATATACCGAATCCATTTCCAATATTCCAGCTTATATGACTCTTTGCGGAAGTTTTTTGCTGGTGTATACTTCAGAAAACGTATTAAATGTGTATAATATTTGTTTGGGAGCCAGTAATAATAAGGGAGGGACGTTGGCTCGATTAGAATTGGTGAGACGTATCTCTTTAAAGGGAATCGTTGCTCGAGTATCAAGGGTAAGAAGTATTAGTTTATTCAATGCATTTAACGGAGGTAAAAAAAATTATCTTGAAATATGACGGAATACTTACCATATAATATTAATTATACAGATCAAATTCATTCTATGGAAAACGTTATTTCATCCAACATTATGTTACTGGTGGATGGAAAATTAATTATTTTATGCCCCAAAACTTCTGTAAGTTTTTTTATATTGTGTATATACATTTGTGTGTACTGACGGCAACACTAGGAAGATAATGACAATACAGATCTGAAGAACGACGGACCTTTATCAGCACCCATCAATCAATTCGATATGCACATCATTCACCAGAAAGCCGAATATTATTGGATCGGTAGAAAGAGTGTTGATAATTTGATTACGTCGTTATGGATAGCTGACGGAAAGGGGTTAAAGACATTTACCAACCTTTTATTGGGACGTGATTTTGATTATAATACGTATAATCAAGATATCTCGGACAGTGAACCTTCTACACCAACAACACCGGGGTTTCTGTCTTCATCTAGCTTAAATGTAGCTGACATGGGAAGACCGTTCTCTCTAGGCTACCGTATGGGTCCAGATGGCCTGTCGCCGTCTAACTCGATGGGTGATATGGATGAATGCTCCAAATGGAGAACAAGCGATTTCGATAATCTTAATAATTTGTCCATTTATATCCCTCTTGATTTCTACCCGCTCTGTAAGTCTATTTGTTGTTGTTTTCTTTTTGTGCGATTGGTTGGTAACTGACGTTTATTTTTAGCTATACTTTTAGATAAAGGCATTATTGTGGGCATCGAACAAAATATTTCGTATCGAGATTCATTAGGGTTTGTATTATTCAAGATGAGCCCAAAGGTATACCAATATATATAAAAGAAATATATAGAAAGCATAGAGTACATAGACTCATCCTTTGTTAGATGCATTTATTTTTGCACCATATCCTAAGATATCTATTGCAGCATGATTTAGAGCAAGATGCAGTTCTCTTCGCACGAGCCTACGAGAAATTTGTTTATTTTGGTCATGCTCTAGAGATTCTACTTCACACTGTTCTCGAAGAAGAAGCAGGTCATGACTTGGGTGATGGTACGGAACGTTAATTGCGATATATACAGATAAAAAGAGACTAACCGGGCTAATGATAGAGGCAATCTTGCCATTGGTTATTAAATTTTTGGACCAATTTCCTCACGCTTTGGATGTTATTGTGAGCTGTGCTCGTAAGACCGAAGTTGCTTTATGGGATCACTTGTTTTCGGTGGTTGGCAAGCCTAAAGATTTGTTTGAAGTAAATGGGTAAATTTAGTTTTCGTTTTTTATTTTTGCTAATATTACATGTGTAGATGTGTCTGTCAGATGGAAGGCTAAGAACAGCAACATCATATCTGATTATTCTTCAGACCATGCAACCGCTAGCAATCGGTGGAAAAGATACGATTCGACTGTTGCAAAAGGCCATGGACGAAAATGACTTTGAACTATGCAAAGAGCTGGTCCGCTTTTTGAGCTCAATTGATAGTAAGTGAACAATATTTAGAAGGGATCTTCAAAAGACTGATAATTTTAGGTTCTGGGCAAACACTTCAAGAGGCATTAAAAATGATCAAATCTCGCATGGAGAATCCGCTATCACCAAATAGTACTGACGTTCAAATAGACAAAGTAGCACAGAGTATGCACAACTTGAGTAGTGCTTAAAAGTAAAATAAAGACTGTATACCCCTTGAATTAGTGTAATCACTTACAAATTCATGTGACCCCAAATTTATAGCTTACTCTTTTTATTTTCTTTTTTTCTTTCGCCTTTTTGTTGCTTTTTTCCTCTTTTCTATTTAAAAACTAAAGAAGAAAAACTAGATCGCTTATTTACATGTCTAATGAACGTTTTTTGCCATTGACACAGAATGACTTGATGGATAATTCTGAGGAAGATCTTGAAGAAGAATATGTAAAGTGAAAGAAAATCTTAAAAATAAAAATAAAATAAAATAAAATAAAAATTTACAAAGATTTTTATAGTTAGATTCTGCACTGAAAAATAACAAATTTGGGCAGGATCATTATGAAAGCAGTAACGGTAGTAGTAAATAGTGTGTCCATTTTGTTCATAATATAAATAAGTCAATTAAAAATTTGTTTGTTAGAAACCATGCAAGACGATGTTTGGTTCCCGTCAGCACAGGGTCCAACAGATAAGCCGTTATTTATCAATGAAGAAGCCCTGATGTTATTATCTTCTGATGACGGTTTAGTTAAACGAGCGGGTATGACAAAACGGACCAAGAAAAGATCACAGCAGATACCACACAGCGGGTACGGGTCATGTGTAAGTGTGCCTATATCACCAACGAAAAGATAAATTAGCTAATCCAATCAAATTAAATAGGATCCCACATTAAATGCATCTTCGACCTCAGTTGACTATAGATTTGTGTATTTTTCTTCATCCTTACCTTCAGCTATTCACACCAAAAGCCTCGCAGATCTTGTACCTACCATTACTGAGAATATCCAACAATGCTTTTGGATTGACATTCGTAACCCTACAGAGTCAGAGATGAAGCAGTTGCAATCCATTTTTTATATTCATCCCTTGACTGCCGAGGATATCACGACAGAAGAACCGCGAGAGAAATGCGAAATGTTTAACAATTATTATTTTATTTGTTTTAAAAGTTTTGATGCAGATGCATATTCACCGACTTATTTGCAACCAGTTGGATTATATCTATTAATATTTAAAGGATTTGTTCTTACCGTAAGCAAACTAGCCCGTGTGTTTGTAAAGGAGCTACTAATAGCAATTTTAGTTTCATTTTGGATCATTACCGCACCCTTCCAACGTGAGAAAGCGTATGCTCCACCTAAAGGATTCATTGGTCGTAAAGCCAGGTAAGACAAAAAAAAAGTGGACACTAGTATGTTTTTAGGTGTGCTAATTAACTGCAGATTGGATATGTTATGGATTGTTAGATGACATCATTGACACGTTTGCTCCCTTGATAAGAGCCATTGAATTTGAAGTGGACTCTATTGATGAGCTAGTATTAATACTAAAAGAATCTGAGCAATCTGATATGCTTAGAAGAATTGGATATTGTCGTAAAAAGATGATGAGTTTGTTACGCTTATTAGTTGCTAAGTCAGATGTGATCAAAACCCTTATCAAGCGAGGCGAGGAAAAGAATGATGATGAATCGGTCAAAAATCATCGACCCAGTGTTAGCAAAGATGTGATTATCTATTTGGGTGATATTCAAGGTAAGAAAGCAGAAAAAAGTATCACGCATAAATATTGATTTTTTTTTTTTTGCATGAATAGATCATATTGTAGCCATGTTGCAATCCTTAAATCATTACGAGAAAATTTCTTCACGATCTCATTCTAATTATTTGGCTCAAATATCGATAGAAATGACACAGACGAACAACGAAATTAACGACGTGTTGTCTAAATTGACAGCACTTGGCAGTGTTTTGATTCCAATGAATTTAGTAACTGGTCTATGGGGAATGAATGTTCAGGTACCAGGTCAATTTCAGGTAAGTCGTTCTATTAAGATCGTCATTATTATTCTAATTATGTTACAGGAGGATTTGACTTGGTTTTTTTGTATTATGGCATCTATCCTTACCTTTTGTATTATGTCTGCATTGATCATGAAAAGTTACAAGATACTTTAAACACCAGCTTTGTTTTTTTTTAGAAATTCGTCACCAATCGTTAGGGGAACACGTGACCTCTCTCAACGCCCACACAATCCGTATAAATGGTCAAAAAATAAAATAAAACTATTATTCTTTTCTCTTTTCTTTTTGCTCTTGTTTCTCGGTAAAGCATATTCATATATCCACAACAACCATTAACTCGTGTCTAGATATACATATACAAAAAGGAACGCAGGACGCAACTATAAACAGAAAACCAAATAGACTTAAATAATTATCTGAGAAATATGTCTTCTGACGAAGAGGATTCCGATTGTCCATTGTGTATGGAAGAGTTGGATATTGCCGACCGTAACTTCAGACCTTGTCCTTGTGGCTATCAGGTTTGTACATGCTAAAGCTTCGCATCCGCCCAAAAAAAGGCACTCATCACTTTTGTAAAATAGATCTGTCGTTTCTGCTGGCACCACATTAAAACTAATTTAAACGGTCGATGCCCTGCCTGTAGAAGATTATATAGTGACCAAATTGTCGAGTTCGTGCCTGTCAGCGCAGAGGAAATTGTTCGCTTAAAGAAGGAGAAGAAAGAAAAGGACCGTCAAACACGAGATATGAGAGACCCTAGTAGAAGACAGCTGTCGAATGTGAGAGTCGTTCAAAAGAATCTTGTTTATGTCCTTGGTCTTAGTTTAAAGCACGCTACCGTGGATGTAAGTCTCACCCCTTCGCCTCCTCTCATCCCATCGTGTACTAACATGTCTAACATAGAATGAGTTCTTCAAAAAATACGGACGCATCGAGAAGGTTGTCATCAGTAAACGTTCTGCTCCTTCATCAGGCTCTAATTCATCTGTCGGCATTTACGTTACTTTTGCTCGAAAGGAAGATGCCGCTAAAGCTATTGAGGGAATGAACGGTATGGAGTATGATGGTAAAACTCTCAGGTAAGTCTTTTTAAATATTTGTTATATACGTGCCCTTTTGCTTTAACTAAAAGTTAGGGCCTCTTACGGAACAACAAAGTACTGTACATACTATCTGAGACATATGGCTTGTCCTAATCCCAATTGCATGTACTTGCATGAACCTGGAGATGATGTTGACAGTTACAGCAAAGACACTGTAGCTATTGGGTAACTCGCATATTAACGAATAGTATTTGATAGTCTAAATTAACTCCTATTTTCTTTTTTTTTCGTGTCTTATTATTATAGAAGTAAACACGCTAATTCGTCAACCAGTTCCAGCAGTGCAGCAGCAGCAGTTTATCCCAATAAACGTCCTGCCACTGCTTTGAAGACTACACTCGCTACTTCTTCCAGCACAACTACGACTGCAGTTACTCCTGAGATCAGACCTGCTACGACGACAGTACCACGTACATGGGCACCTATTCCAAAGGTTGTTCCTCCTCCACCTGTTGTGATTCCAAAAGAAGAGCCGCCAGTGGTGGTCCAATCTCCTCCTCGGCCCCCTTCTCCCCCCTTCCAAGAAATTACCAAATCTTCTTCATCTACGATAAAGAAGGCCGCTAACATCGTACCAGTAAAACCTAGCAAAGCCAGTTCTTCCAAGAAGCCTGTAGCAGAAAAATCCAAAAAGCTCGTCATTCCATTGGTGATGGAGGAGGATGAAAAACCCGCACTTCCCGCTACCGCATCTTGGGCCAAAGCTCAACCTGTGGTCAATCACGAGAGTGTCATCACTCCTGCTAACTTTGGCCCTTCTTTATCCGATGCTTTACACGCACCTCAGAAGCCTAAACACGCTCCCTCTCTCAAGGTCAAAAAGGAAAAGAAAATTAAAGGTAAAATGGTACGTTTGGAAGAGTTTGAAGAGGCAGAGAGAGAGGCTAGAATCGCAGCTACTAAGCCCAAGACGGTTGCCAAACCTGTTACTCCTGTTGTCGTTCATGAAATAAGACCTATTCAAAATGATGCTAGATCGACGGATCGCATTGAACCACCACAGCCGTCACCACCAGCTCCTATAGCATCGCCTGTCGTAGTAAAGAAAGAAGTTGAATCGGACGTAGTCGAGGATACCGATAAGCCTGAGATGGTAGAAATCAAGAAGGCTGCTTCTGAAAACGTAGTTGAGGAGGAGCCTATGGTTGTTCGTGAAGAAGAGAAGGTGGATGTTGTCATGGAATATGATGAACCTCAAGTAGATGAAGAGATGGATTCTATTCCTGATGATATCATTAACAATGTTTCCCAGGAGGAGATTGAATATGTTAAAGCTGCGCACGATAATGAGAAGATTGAAGATCTTGCTTCTTTGAATGATGATATCATCAAAGCTTTTGATAATGCTGCTAATGAATCTTCTGAGAAGGTTCAAGCGGATGAGAATCGTCAAAAAGAAGACAATGGCAGTAAATCCGAAATTGATGTCAGTGAACCATTGCCTCAGACTATTTCTTCTCCTATGGCTGCCATGGATAGATTATCTGCTTTAGTTCAACAAGAGATCATGACTGATTCACCTGAACCACCTCAATTCGACGAGAACGTTATTTCTCAAGAACAGCAACAGGAACAACAACAACAACAGCAGCAGCAGCAACAGCAGATGCAACAACAACATATACAGCAACAACAGCAACACATGCAACAGCAACAAGCTTATCCCCAAGGAGGGCCCCCTCCTCCACATCCTGGCATGAATAGATTTGATATGGGTATGGTCATGCAACCTGATAATCGTCGTTCACCTATGCCTCCACCTGGTCTTGGTAATGTTCCCCCACCTCCACCTCCCGATTGGATGAACCGTAGCTTTGACCCGTTCAACGGCCAAGATCCATCACTGATTGCAGCACGTCGTTTACAACATTCCCAACGTATGCTGGAGGCCAGTGGATTATTTAATGGCGGCGGATTTGGTCATCCACCTGTTGTTCCACGCTTTGGTTTCTCTCCTGACTTCAATCATGGTCCTTCTGGATTCCATCCACATCAACCCCCACCTCCACCTCTTGGTATGTTCCCACCACCTCCCCCTCCGCATCCGATGATGAGAGGACCACCTCCTCCACCTCCTGAGATGATGAATATGCAACCATCCTTTGGCCCTCCACCACCACCACCTATGCAACAAATGGATGATTTACGAAACGAATTTGGTAACATGAAGATGAATGGAGAGGATCAATCACGCGAAGATTTTAGAGCTTTATTGCCTAATGTCAATATTAGCTTTAATAATCTTCAAGAAAAGAGAAGGGCGGAAGAGTTCTATCAGCAACAATTGATGCGTCAACAACAAATGCAGAGAATGTCAGCAGAGCAAGGTGATATATCCTCCCACAATGGCCCTATGAGACATCCATCTTTCAATTCTTTTTCTTCGCAAGAAAAGATTTTATTAAGATCTCCCGGACAATGGCAACAGCAGCAACAGCAGCAACAGCAGCAACAGCAACAACAGCAACAACCATGTCCTCCTGAGCCATTGATGGAAAAAATGGATGAACAAGAAGTTAAGAACCCTGATGTCAGAGTGGAAGCACAAAACTTCTTTGGCGAGTTCTTAAGAAAAGCCGCTTCTTCTACCCCTCAGCCTGAAATGTCTCCTAAGAAGGAAGAACAACCTGTTCCACCTGGTAAGTTTTTTTTTTATATACCGTACAATATATATGTGCTAATTTGTTATATTATGCGTACCAGCTGCCTTACCCTTTCAAGATCCTGCTATCATGTCTGTTCGTTTAAATGATGCTCCTGTCAATGATGCTGTTCGCTCTCAAAACACGATTCTACAAATTTTAGGCGGTCAGCCACCTCCACCTTCGCCTTTGATGACTCTTCAGCAGCAGCAGCAGCAGCAACAGCAGCAGCAGATACAACAACAACATCATCAGCAGCAGATACAACAACAACAACATCAGCAGCAGCAACAGCAACAGCAACAGCAGCAACAACAACACCATCAGCAGCAGCAACATCTCCATCAACAGCAAATGCTTCAGTTCCATCAACAACGCCAACAGCAGCAGCAGCAGCAGCAGCAACAGCAGCAACAGCAGCAACAACATATTCACCACCAGCAGCAGCAACAAAGGCAGATGGATCCTAGGTTCATGATGGATCAACAAGGTAGAATGATGCATCAAGACGGAGCAAACTTCAATGATATGGGGCCTAAACACTTTAATAATATGTTTATGGGGCCACCACCTAATTTCCAACAACAACAGCAGCAGCAACAGCAACAGCAGCAGCAGTTTCACCAGCAACAACAAGGTAACATTCCACCTCCACCATCATCCTTTATGACTGGGTTTAGAGAACCAAATATGGGTATGATGGGTAGAATGGGGCCACCGCCTGGCATGATGAGACCACCCATGCCACCTCCACCTAATGATATGAGATTTAGACATGGACAGATGGGCAATGGTCAACCTCTACCACCTGGCATGTTTACTGAAGAGAGCCAACATTAAATCTACTCTGGTATATTATACAAAATCTACACTATTTCCATTTTCCTGTATCACTCCCAACATTTATAAATAATTGCGTTTTACTCTTTTTCTAAATTCCTTTTTCTTTTCTTTCTCGCACACATATACACACAACACTCAAAAATGACATAATTTTTTTAATAAACAGCTTTTTTTTTTTCTCTCTCTCTCTTTTTAATTTTACAAAGGCAGGTTTTATTTAGAGGGAGAATTGACAAAATTCATGCTGTAGCCACCACTTCCTGCAGGATCTTGCTGCAACTGAAAATTGTCTGTTGAAAGACCAAATTTACCCAACAAAGTGTTTCCCAAATCCTTTAATTTCCCCATCATTTCCTCTTTTTCAGCTTCCATTTTTTCCTTGATTTTCTTTGGTAATTCATTTTCTGCTCGTCGACATTCACGAAGGGTATATGCATCGCTTGTGGATTGCTTTAATTTCTTGAAGTCCTCTAGGGATTCTGTCATGGCAGTGGATGTGCCTATTTTCTCGTTGGCCTGAGCCCTGCGAAGTAAAGCCTTTGTATACTTTGGATCCAAAATAAGTGCCTGGGAACACATATCCCGAGCTTCTTTAAGTTCATTCTATGGTAATCCAGTTCTAGCTGCTGTTTTTTAAGGGTTTCTTTTTAGTAGTTTCTTACCTGTTTTAAATGACACGCTGCAATATTTCCAAAATAAATAGCTCGTTCTTTATACACTGACTCGGGACATGTCATTAAGGCATTCTCGTATTCGTCAATAGCTTTCTTATACTCTCCCTGCCCAAAAAATGCGTTTCCCTTGGCCTTGTATTCCATAGACTGTCTAATCAGCTCCTACACATAAAAGTTTAGAACGTTTTTTGTTTCTGTCATGGTTTGTCGTATTTCTTTCTTACTTTTAACTCTTCTGCTGGATACTCTTCGGTTTCAAAAAATATATCGCCATCCTGATCAGGATGAGGTACTGGTTTAGGAAGGTCTACAACCTCTTTAGGTGCTTCGGCTTGAGGAATCTCGACAACTATCGACAGTAAAAATTAAAATTGTTTCGAAGGGTAAATGGGCTCTTGCGTTCTACTTACTGGGTTCCTCGACAATTTCTTCAATGACAGCCATGACTTTTTTAAAAGAAAGAAATAGAAGAAAAAAAAATGGAGGGGGAAACCCAACTTTATTCGTGACTTGTTGATTACATACGTTACATTCAAAAAGCGCAGGTCTACTCCTACATCAGATTATGTATATCAAAGCTTAAGCCAGTATAATAAATTTGAAGTGATTCTACTACACTTAAAGCTTCTAATGCTGCTACATAGTTAGCTATCTTTGCTAATGGAATATAACTATTGGCCCCATAAAATGATGTTTGCATGAAAGATTTGTGTAACTATGTCTGTTTTAAGCACAGACCACATTTACGTACAGGATACCTTTGGATGGTTGATACGCGATTTGATGTATCCTGTCAAGCAAGCATGATGCTCGTGTCACGTATTTAGAGGTAACTATGTGTTAAATAGCTATATAGTAAGAATATAGCCTGGAAATGTTCTGTCTTTAGCTCTTTTTGCAGTGATATACTACTCTAAAGGTATAATGGGGCTGAAGCGATATATAGACAACATTTATTAAAAACGTGGTAAAGCTAATCCCCTTTGTAAGGCTGTTCCAATTTCTGAGATTGATATCTTGTTAATACAATAGCTTTTTGGCAGTACTCTTTCGTGATCTGGCCAGCAAAATGTCCTTTTCTTAATAGTGATTGAATAGCCTCTTCCTTTGTCCATTGCTGCTCTACCATGACCTCTGGTAGATAAGTAGCCGTTTCCTTCTGACCATTTAACTGGATAAATTCGATCCAAATGCCGTGTTTACCAATCTCCCAATCGAGATAGTCCTTCGCAACCTCAAAGTTTGTCAATAGCGATACTGCACAAGTTAAATGAGGAATCTCTTCCAGTGTAATAGGGCTAAAGCGGCGGTCTTGTAAAGCACTGTCCCATTTAAAATCAGTTAGAGTTCCCCCCGTGCATGACTATTTTATCCTATCAAACCTTATCAAAGCATATTTACGGAGTCCTCCGTGTAAAGCAAGAGGTGTAAAACTACCTATACAACCTCTCAAGTGAAGTTCCCCATCTCGAGTTTTTTTATGCCATGTGACAAACAATGGACTTGAAGAATGTTAAAAAAAAAAGTATTTGCATAATCAAGTGTTTATATTTACTATGGATCGTTTGGAAAGTTAGGCTTTGGATCAGGTTTCTTTTCCAAGTGTGCAATGAGCACTTTGAAGCAAAACTGTACGTGTTCTTCAGTGACAACAGACGTCATAGTGTTTAGCAAGTGAAGTATGGCAAAGATAAAAAAAAAATAGATAAAAAAAAAAAAACTCACTATTTATTATTTACACCCCGTATCAACTGAGACACTCTCGCTTGACAGTAAGACTATATCGTGGTTTTTATTTATCAGAAAAGAAAGTAGGCAATTCTTACAAAGAAAATTGCCCAAGTACAATTGCGAGAGATTTATTCTCTGTGAGGGCTCGCCCAGTTGTCTTTTGGCCCCTTTGTTTATTAATGACTCTAAGCTGGACTCTCGGAGAGGCCAGAAAAAAACATTTAGCTCTGTAAGTGATCGTCATCCCCAAGAGGGTGTGTAAACTCGAAGCATAACTACTTTAAACCTCAAATACTAATATTATTAATTCGGCGACCTTTTCAGCTTTTAAGCGTGTACCGACAAAAGAAGCTATATCGTGCATGACGACGAAGATGATTTTGGACAACCTCGTTGACTTATCTTCATAATTTGGGACAATGGGTCGATGTATTCAATAAAAAGCACTTGTACTGAATGCGGCTGTTCCATTGTTTATTTTTAAAACCATAATGCTTAATAATGAAGTCAAATCTATCTTTGCGTTCTTTATATACGTACACACAATCAATGTAAAGGCTATTTAACTGCGCTCTAGAGCTCAAAAAACAAAAATTCGACATTACAATCTTTTTTTTTTCAATCATGTTATTATTTAAAGCCTTTATCTTTGTAATTTTTTTCCATATGGTACTGTGTGCAGGACCACCCGAATATATTTCTGTCTTGGCACGTAAACCAACTACAGAAGATATAGTATCATCTTCTCCGACAACTGGGTTGTTACGTACGCTGATGAAAGAACGTTCGGTCAAACGCTCTAAAAGTAATTATTTAATCAAAAGTGGAAAATATCAGATACTAACCCTTCTCTTTCAAAAGATTTTTTGAAAGCAATGAACAGATCTACTTTAGCACAGCTTCCAGATTTACTGACAGGTACAAGAGGGTTTGTGTCTCTTTGGGTATCTGATCTAGAAGATAATAAAGACAATGATGTAGTATTTGATGTATCGAAAACCTTGGATGGATTTAAAGAACCCAAGAGTGAATCTGTTTGTACATTTTGCATCTATCATTGGGCAAGTTTTTTAATGGTCTCTTTAGCTATCAAGATGGTATGGTACCTTATGTTCCTTTCTTTGAAATACTTTTCTTTTTCTTTAATTGATTTATTATAATAAAGTACCTGCATTTTTATAACAAGCGTGTTCCTTATAATGGTGGTACAAATTCATCTGTGATTCATGGCAACATGTGAATGTGAATGGGTGAGGGCCTTGTTTTAAGCCTCCGCAGCAGTCACCAGTTTGTGGGGGAAGAGGGAAAAATCCTTCATGATTTTTTTTTAGGTTGTTTGTTTCATTGTCAAACGCTTTAAAAAAGCAGTAAAGCCTAACCTCCAAAGACGAAATGCGTAATCTTGTTGTACTTGGTGGTTCTTCTCATCCTGAGTTTACCGAAAAAATCTGTAATCGGTTAGGTATTTCAGAAGGAAAGACTCGCCTCAGCAAATTTTCAAACAATGAGACCAGTGTCGAAATGAAGGAGTCTGTTCGTGGACAAGATGTATATATTGTCCAAAGTGCTTGTGGCTCAGTCAATGACAACTTTATTGAGTTACTTATCATGATTAATGGCTGCAAGAGTGCCTCTGCTAAACGTATCACAGCTGTTATTCCTCATTTCCCTTATTCACGCCAACCCGATGTTCCTTTCAAGCAGTCTGGTGCCCCGCTCACATTTTTACCTCCTCAAACTCCTCAGTATCAGCCCAATCAACCCAACAAGGCAGAAGATGTGTCAAAGCAATTGTTGCGCAAGTTGGGACAAGCTGCTCAAGAAGAACAAGAAGTAGAGCAACCCAAAAAGAGTAGTGCACCATACCGTGAATGGCGTGCACGTCCCGGTGTTTTGATCGCTGATCTTTTAACCTGTGCTGGTAAGGGCATATTAGAAAGATGATGGGAAAATATATTCAACTGTTTTTCTTTATATATCTTTCTAGGTGCTGATCATATTATCACTATGGATCTTCATGATGCTCAGGTAAGTTTTTACATAAAAAAGTGATTATGTGCATCATTAATTAAGATGGCTTTAGTACCCTGGATTCTTTGATTGTCCTGTTGATAACCTTACTAGTTTATACACTGCCATCAATTATATTCGCTTAAATATCCCTGACTACTCAAATGCGGTTGTTGTTTCCCCTGATGCTGGTGGAGCAAAGAGGTAAAGAGAGGAGGAAGTTATTATCGTAAAAGATATTAATATCGAGTATGTGTGGATCTTCTAATTTAGAGCTACATCTATTGCGGAGAAATTATGTATGGATTTTGCATTAGTACACAAAGAACGTATCAAGGCACATTCACAAAAGAAGGAATCTATGCTTGTTGGCGATGTACGTGGACGCAACTGTATTTTGATTGACGATATTACCGATACCTCATATACAATCACCAAGGCAGCTCGTTTATTACGGGAAAAGGGTGCCAAAAAGATTTATGCTCTTGTCAGTCATGCTATTCTTTCTGCCGATGCTGTTGACCATATTGGCCAAAGTGCTATTGATGAATTAATTGTCAGTAACTCCGTACCTCAGCATCAGCATATGACTCATCCAAAGATCAAGGTCTTTGATGTCACCTCACTCTTTTCTGAAGCTATTCGCCGTACTCACTTTGGCGAGTCTCTGTCAAAATTATTTGAAGCACAAAACTAGACACACCTCACAATAGACACCTCATCTCAATATGTACACATGCAAAATAAAATAAAATAAAACAAAAAAACTGCCTTTCCCATTCGTTGTAATTCTTCTTGGAGTCAAGTGATGTATGGAGAGAGGATTCGCCTTCTTTTTGTTACGTTAAATGAGTTTTAGCTTGTTGCTTCACATGTCTTGAACATCAAATGCTTTTGCTCTAAGAAGAATGGCATTTTCAAAGCACACGAAAAAAAAAAAAAGAAACCACTACGTTTGCATTATTTCATAGTCACTCCAATTGTCCGGATTAATAATATTTGCGTTTCGTGTTGCTAACCTGAAACAATAAATGAGCTACTGAATTTCCCACCATATTTTCAAAAATACAAGTACTTTCTCTGTGATTAATTATTAACGTAAAGCATTTTTTCCTTGGCAAAACATCGAGGAAAGAAGCTAACTGAATGTCGGTTTCATCCACGACAATCCTGTAAAGTTACATTCGTAACTGAATCTATTATTCGACGAGTCAAAAGATCGCCTGTATCCAAAGGGTTTCTTTTGATACCACTCTTTACCTTCGACCAACATTCTTCAATTGAATCAAGAAAGGGAGGGAATATGGAGGCAAGTCATCGCACTTATAGCTTTTTTCTTCTATGAAAACTCTGATTGCAATTGGTTTGTGAATTGGTGCATTATTCATAAGATAATCCATTTCTATCTAAACAAGCCATCATGCTGTTAAGATAGCTCATGAAATGAGATGATCTTGTACTCACCCTACCATTCATGGCACTTTAAGTAATGCTAGATGCCGATCCAGCACTTTTTTTGTTGTTGTTGGTATAAGTGGACGTACAGCTATTCACTCACTTGGACAAGTATAGTTATTCACTCACTTGGACAAGTGTAGCTATTCACTCACTTGGACAAGTATAAAACAAGTCGTTTCATGAAGTTCTTGCGGTTCTTTCTCAGGCATTAAAGGAAGTGAAGGCAACACAGACAACATTCAAGAAATACACCAAAATCATGGAAAGTGAATTGGATGTAAGTTTCCTTTTTTTATCTTGGTAAGCTCAGTTCCCGTTTTAATAAATTTTGTAATAGGTTTTATTGAATTTGAATCTGTTTACGAGAAAGGCACCGCTTGACGTTGCTTGTTCTTCCGATACAGACGTTATTCCACCAGTCAAAAGTCAAGAAGATCCAATTAGTCAATAATTAGCGGGTGTTTTAAACAACCACCCAAAGATCTGAGTATAAGCGTATTCTCAATGAAAGCCAATATGGTAATATTATCCAGCAATGTTATCAAATGACTATGATTCAACATTCGGAAGAACTTTTAATATTTCTAATAAAACACATTTTGTGGAAAAATAACCCTGTGCTACATTTAAATGTCCTCATCAGTGTAGAATGAATCTGTTCCCCTGTATGTGTTTTAGCAGACGTTGCTTTTTCTAATGAAGAAAATATGCAACCGTTTTGATTTAAGTGGTAGTGATATTATTTGTTTTTAAAAAAAATGGTCAATGGAATGTTTTATTCATCTGTACAGTTGGTATCGTAGAAAATTTTAAACCATCTGTAAATCTCTGGATCAGGCAAATTGCTTTTAATTGCATTTATGACGTAGGACATCAATTGGAGATTATCAATACCCCAAGCTTCTGGATCACGTTTACTGTAATATAATGGGACACGGTGATCAACTGTTAGAGACCAATATGGGCATCTTTTTGCGCTAAACTTTGGAAAAGCAATTTCACAGTTTGTAACAGCACACTTGAACCTATTTTGATAACACATGATTGTCAATTCCTTAGTTGTAGCCAAACTTTGGCCGTCACAGTTGTTGTGTGTCAATCGTGATTCCATTTGTTGTCTTCTTTGTTTCATTTTTTTAACAATGATGTCATAAGTCATAGTGGGAGGTTGATCGTGTTGAGGTATTTTCCCCGTTGACAGCCATGATATGAAACTTACACGTTCGTAGTCGTATACGAGTATATTTCGTAATCTAAAATAAATGATTAGTGGACCCTCTTCTTCTTTTTAAGTTTATGAAACTTGCCTCCGACACCCCAAACAGAGACCACCTTTGCCATCTTGGGCTAACTGAAATTCGTTTTCAGTACCAGCCATTTTGACCTGGCAGTCAATACATAGTTTAAAAGTGTACAGTAGTCGCTCGATTTAAGGGTGTTCGATTTAAGGGTATTTTCTATTTAAGGGTGGATTTTGTAAAAACAGCTTCCGTCCCCAGCATTAACACCACTAAACCACTATTCTATTTAAGGGTGAGATTCCAATTCCCCATACCCTTAAATCGAACGATTTGACAGTGTATTTTTGACTTTTTTCTAACTTTTTGATCAAATATATTAAATGTCCGAATAAAAATAAATATTTCGCAGTAATGATCATATTTCACGGTTAAAAATGGCGTAGTGACTTCTGTTTAAAATAGTCACGCTTTTCGATTTAAGGGTATTTTCTATTTAAGGGTGAGATTTCCGAAATTTTTGGTCACCCTTAAATCGAGCGACTACTGTACTTGGGAAAAAGTAAAAAAGATAACGTCAGCAAATTAGACAAGAAAAAAAAATCAAATAGGATAAGCTTACTGTGGTGGATTTAACTTTTTCGTGAAATGCTTGGATGTACTGTAGAAAATATATAAGTAACCGTGTAATCTAATATTTGTCTTTACCTGCCTTTTCATTAGTGAGTGGAGTGTAATATTTTATAGTCTGTATCTTGATTTGGTATATCCTCTTCGGGGCGGGAATGAAATCATGGAGAAACTGTGCGTCGTCGTTGTTGTCGTCGTCACTCTGTTCGGAGTCAGAGGAGATTATAATGACTTCGGGACCATCGGGAATACCTCTGTATAAATCGACAGGGTTTTCAGACGATGCCCTACCATCAAGTAAAACCTCGACTTGACTTACAGGAGTTTCGTTCGACACCGTGTCTTCAGCAGCTTGAAATTTATCAATGGCTTCTCGCATGACAACATCCTCGTCCGAAGAAGGTTGACTAGATAATTGTCGGAGGCGTTTAAGATAATTATAAAAAGCTGAATCATCGAAGTCATCCATTTTAGTTTTTGGAAAATCTTTTTAAAGAAAGAAAAGATTACTTGCGCAGTAAGGTAGGAGAGGCGCTTTTTATTTGTTTTTTTTCTTTTTTTTTTCGCCAATCTTTCCACAAACAAACAAAAAATAACGAATACCTTGGTCATATTTTTTTTTTTTTTGAAAATGATGGTGTTTTACAAATGGAACAAGTTATTAGTAAAAGGTTCTCGTAATATTATGAAAGTTTAAACAGTTCAAGTTTAATATGTTTAATTTATTAATATATGTCTTATTTATTTCAAAATCAATACTTTGTGTTGCCATTTTTGGTGTTTATCACAGCCTTACATCGGTAGTTCATACTTCCGACCAATTTATCTAAAAAAACGTTTTGTGTTATATCATACCACTCATCACGGAGAGCTGCTTCTAACTGATTATTTATCTGATATCTACGTCTCTCTATGCTTTACTCCAAGTAAGCCCAGGCATGATCAATTGAATTGAGTTCTGGGTTTTGGGCAGGCCAAAAAAAAAATCATAACTGTTAACACCACATCTTGCTTTATACTAGCTTGCATAGCTGCCAATATGACAGGAAGTGCCAAAAATAAAGCTCCTGGATGTTTCTTAAGTTATATTTTTTGACAAACAGTTGATATGGGCCTCCTGATTTATTATGCCCGTCATAATAACAAAAGGTCCTAATCCCCTAACCCAAATACACCTCCAAATTATAACTGACAAGGTCTGTATAATACTTTTCTCCTTCTTTTCTGATCACTCGGACCCCTCCATCACTACCTTGGATGTTAAACTTCGACTCATCCGACCAATAATAACATTTTCCCACTGCTCCGTGGTCCAATTGACGTGTTATTTGGCCCAATCAAGCCGATTTTTTTCTTTTATTGCTCCGTAATACGTGTCTTATGAGCTGCCCAAAAGGACCCAAAGCCCATAATATAATGCAATAAAGAGATAACTTTTCTTCAGGTCCCTCTCCCCTCTTTTTTTTTGATCTTTGAATCGGGACTTGAAAATATTCCTGTTGTGAGGGAAAGCTGAAAATTGATTGGCTAGTTGGGTATACGGTTGCTTCAGGCTCGATATTCCTCTCACTTGCTTTTCTTACCTTAAACCTCAAGTTTTTTATTTTTTAAAATGAACAAGACAGCTCATTAATAAGTAAATTGACAAAGAGAACACATGTTTGAAGAGATACAGGGTTTTTATTACCGAAAAGAAGTGAATTTTACAAATACTCGCTCTTTTCTCTTACTTCTTGTTCACGCAGGCCATAATGTTTCGTCACTTGCACGAGGAAGAAATAACATTCAGCTGCTTTTTACATTGGACCTGATTTAATAACTAGGCAAGGGGACGTGTGTCCTACCTAGTCAAAGCCCATTTGGGAAGGCTGTTTTATGAGACGGAAAACTTCTTTATGACGACACATAGACATAGTTGATTTCTGATTCGCTTGATACACTGTCTGAATTTGAAGAATATAATAAAAACACCGGCCCAGTTTTTGTTTGCCCTCGCCTCTTTTTTCTTTTTTTTCCTCATGAACAGCTTGAAACACATATCACTTGTTACCTTGGTGGTGCAGAATAGCGCCCTTATCCTGATGATGCGCTATACACGGGCAAGTGTACCGGAGGACAAGCTATATTTAGCTTCGACAGCCGTCCTTATGAGTGAAGTTCTGAAAACACTCGTATGTCTTGTTGTTGTATATACTTTATTACCAACTCACAAAAAAACAATACCGAAATTAGCAACATTCTTATACCACGAACTCATTGTCAACTGGAGAGAAACTGTGAAGTTAGCTCTACCTGCCATCTTGTACTTGATACAGGTAAGCAGGCAACAATGAAATTACCTGCCTGATATTTACGTGTCATTTCTTTTTTAAGAATAATCTACAGTATGTGGCTGCCACCAATTTGGATGCTGCTACTTTTCAAGTAACATACCAGTTAAAGATCTTGACAACGGCTTTTTTCAGTGTGGTCATTCTCAAACGAAAATTATCGACTCGTAAATGGATTGCCTTGGCGATATTGACCGCCGGCATTGCATTGGTTGTTATGCCCAAAGGAGAAAAGAAAATAATAGCCACAGAACAAGAAACATCTATCGGAAATCAGTCGAATGCCAAAGGCCTGCTATCTGTATTCACAGCTTGCATATTATCAGGAATCGCTGGTGTATATTTCGAAAAGATCGTAAAGACCGCTACAAAAGAAGTGGACCTAGAAAAAGATAAAAATTACGATTCAGAACAAGCGATAAAGACTCAATTATGGATCCGCAATATACAATTGTCACTGTTCTCAGTTATATTGGGCTGTATATTTGTAGTGGGCTTACAAGATGGCACTAAAATCATCCAAGATGGATTCTTCCAAAATTATTCGTATCTGACTTGGATGGTTATTTTGATCCAAGCAGGTGGAGGATTGATTGTAGGCTTAGTGGTGCGATACGCAGATAATATCTTGAAAGGCTTTGCCACAAGTATCAGTATTATCTTGTCGAGTTTTATTAGCTTTTGGTTATTTAATTTCGAGATAACAGTGACGTTTGGAATAGGTGCATTACTTGTTGTATACGCCACTTATATGTACGGAAGTTCCTCTTAATTTTTAAATATATATATGTACAACAAAATTGTTTATTTTTCCCATCTTCTTTATACTGCTTCGTTACATTATGATCGATCATCATCCTTTCTTCTACGCTTAGCTAATGGTTTTTCCCAAGGAGAGTCACGACTAGAAGTATCTTGATCGACTAAATGAGTGTATTTCGTACGTCCAGCTAAACCGAAATTCTTGACTTGCATGATTTTCGGTAATACATCCTTATTACGCACCTCATCAATTGTGGGAGCTGAATAATCACGTTGAAGCACTTCTGATTCAGGATCTTGATAAAATGCACCTTTGTGATAGTATTTTTGCATAAACGTATGTTGTCCTTTCTCCTTGTTTTTGCTTTCCTTGGCTCTTTCTAAATCCTCTTTTAATCGAACATCTTCCGGAAGTGCTCTTCTACGTTCTAATTCTTCCTCTTCCTTTTCGCGACTATACACATATCTCATGAGTGATTACTTTCATCAATACAATACATTAACTTACGCAATACGTTCTTCTCGGTCACGTTTAATACGGTTCAATTCTCTGATTCTCCAAGCGTCAAATTCAGCTTCTTCATCTAAACCATCCGTGTCATCCACAGCATCCTCATACTCGGTAATTTCCTTTTGTGTGGCTATAAAAGAAAAGAATTAATACCTCATCATCTTTCTTGTATGATTAGCTTACCTTCTTCTTTTTCACGTCGAAGCTCTTCGGCCAACATGTCATGCGATTGTTTCTTTCTTTCTTCAAGTTCCAGCTCCAGTCGCTTTTCACGTTCCTCCTCTTCCTTTGCAAGCTTTTCTTGTTGCAAAATTGTTTCGCGGCGGGCTCTAATTTTAAAAGTTTGGTAAAAAAAAGAAAAGAAAGAAAGTCCACGCTTCGTCTTACTTTGGTATAAATACAGGCTTTGGTAAGCGAGCAATTGTATCTTCTTCTTCACTGGACGATTCATACTCACTCGATCCCTATACATGTATAAGTCATCTAAATGCTGTCTCCTTTTCTAATGCTAACCTCTTCTTCTGAGCCCTCTTCAGATCCCTCTTGTTCGGATTCTAGTTCCTCTTCTTGCTGTTGCAAAGCTCTTTGTTTTAAAAGCATGCGCTCTCTTGCTTTTTCATCCTCGTCAACATCCTCTTCTTCTTCGTCGGATTCAACCTGACGTCTTCTTCTTCTTCCCGAATCCTCATCGACATGTTGAGTTTGTTGTGCTTGCTGCAATCTTCTTAATCTACGATCGGTACTTGCATCTTTTTCGGAAATGGTGGTTTGTTTTACACCTGTGTCAACCTCTTTTTGGGCAAATTGAACCTCGCCTCTCTTTCGTCGAACGGGCTCCTCAATTTGTTCCTCCTCTTCTTCCGAATCGGAAAGATCATCAACGTAATTCTCAGGAACTTGTCCTGCTCTGTAACGCCTTGCCTGGTTTTGAGGTCTTTGTTGCTTTTGAGTAGGTCTAGCTGACATATTTCTATTTGAGTAACGAGAGAGAAGAAGAGAAGAAAAAAAAGAATTTTAAAAATTGTCCAAAACGTCACAATAAAATAGATTACCGGACTCATCTTTATTTTGTGTTTTTATTGCAAGAATTAAGGGTGAGACGAACCCCCTTATTTAAAACTATTAAACAAATTCATATTCTTCCTCTGATGCTTTATTACTGACAGCAACAGAGTTTGTGGATCGAGTAGATCTAGGCTTTGGGGAAACAGCTGGAGAGTTATGTCGAGATGACGCTGACTGACTCTTGCCTCCATTGGGAGTAAGATGGTCCGGATATGCCATAGTATTAGCAAGTTTTCTTCCTTCCACAAACAGAGCTTCAAATATTTCATGGCCTAGACCTTTTTGCCTTTCAATCACTTCCTTCTCAAGCTTAAAGCTGGCAGGAATGATGGTTTGAATAAATTGTTCAAGGCGGTCTTCAGTTAAGATAATCATTCGTAAGACGGGAAGAGTGACTTCAATTACAGGCGTGTCTGAACCCATCAATGCATTATGGAGTATTGAAACATGTTTTGCAAAATATGTTGAATCATCGGGATTGACTTCTTGTTTTAAAAGGGCTAGCAATGCATCAACATCATCCTTCGTATTAGAATATTCGGCACTGAGCGCAATAAAATTACAAATTGCATCCCAAGCATCGAATTCAACTTCAAGCGTTGTCATCAACCAAAATAACTCAGTTGCCATTGTATGTAATTCTCCATTATTCAAATGCTCTGATTTATCCGGGTTGTATAAGGAAAAGTAAAAGTTTGCTTTTGACATAATATCCTAAATGGAGTAAATCAATTAGGTTACAGATGTGATTTACGGCCAACTAAAAACTTTGCTTACCCCTCGAAGAATTTCTCCAAGCTTGCTGATAGTATCATTTAATGTGATGCCAAAATGATTCTTGTCGGATTTAAAGTAATTAAACAATCGAAGTATAAAAGCTTCAGAAACTTCTTGCATCACCTGCAGATTTTCAGAATTGCCACTGCTATTGATATTGGCAGGTTTTGCCCAAGTAGTCATATGTTCCAACATCTTTGTAAATGCAATCAAATCCATTTCGGGCTGTTCATGACCATCTTTCGCATAATACAACGCACCAAAAAAGTGGTCGTAAATATTCGATATTTCTTCAGGCCCAAAGTGAGCAGTGTTCTTAACATGTCTCAAAGCATTGCGCTTGGTAAAGGATTCGACACCACCGATAATTTTAAGCTCGTTTTCTTTGCGGTATTTGTTGATTTTATCAGATGTTACTTTGTTAAAGTCGGTATACTGAATGAACTATTAATGAAAGGTGTTCATAAGATATAAGAGCAATGTAACTTACGGCAGATTTCATCAATTGCTTAAATATCGTAAACTTCTTGGCATAGTCTTCTTCCGTTGTACCCTCTGGCAAATTTAACGAAGCGAAAAAGTTTTTAACAACAATGAGTAATTCCGAGTCGTCGTCAACCTCACATAGTTCTTTTTCGTGCGCTTTCAACACAGCTACAATAAAATATTTAGAATGGTAATTAACGTAATTGATATTGTCATTTACCGAGACTAAATATAGATAAAAAAAAAGTCAATACAGTTTTTTTTTTCTTGCTGAATCAGCTAATTATGACTTACGCAATTTGAAAAAGTATCTTTGGTCCTTCCATAAAAAAGCAATCAAGTATACGGAAAGCAAATGGCAAGGGCATTGAATTGATGAATAATGTAAGAAACCAAGGAAGACAGGCCACAGAAAGCTGTATATCCTTTTCTTTGAAATGTAAAGTGATGTTGGGCAAGTATTTTTCAACAAGTCTTTCAAGAACAACTTGATCCAATAAAACACCGTACATGGATGAACTATAAATCACAAAATAGCTCAATTATTAACATTTCTTTACTTTTCCGATAATAAATCCAGTTTACCTATAATATCCAGGACACAGTTGATCTACTAGCGTATTTAAAGTCCAAAAAGCTTGCTCCTCTGTCATGTAGCTAGAAAAACAAAGAGTTAGGTTTTCTTAAAGACAAAATCACAATACAATGATATAATTACATCAGTAATGAAGAAGTAACAATATTCATTGCTTGACAATAGCCAATATCCGGATTTTTCCATGAATATGCTGTCAATACTCTTCGCAAACGATCGATTCCTTCTGGTGCTTGATAAGCAGCATATTCAGGAAGTGATCTATCAAATTACTGTTATTACCAAATAACTTGCATGTGTGTGTTTGTGCTAAATTTTACCTGTGCAAATCCTTATCAATGTCATCCATCGAGGGCGATACTTCATTTTTATGAGTCTCCAATAAATTTTCATATAATCCATGGTTGGCAAATCGAAGAAATATGGATCCCGAACAAACTTCCCATATTTCTCCTCTTAATGAATTTGGCAAACCTTCCTTCACCATTTCTGAGAAAACGTACGGCTGTTTACATAATGTAAGATTTCTACCATTTTCTATTGAGAATATGCGCACGTAAAAAAAAAAAGCTTAGTCCCTGACATGGTGGTTTGTTCAAGTGTTCGTAAATTTACCCTGAAAATAGTCTACCCAAATTGCAGTTTTTTCGTCGTCCTTTTCTACAGTGGTGTCACTTTTAAATCCGAATTGGAGTCCTAATCCGCCAATGGGATCTGAAATATGAATAGGACCTTCTGGTGTTTGTAAAAGTTCCTCTGATTTACAAGTCGACAAAAATAACTTTAATGAACCCTTCATATTCAGCACGTTTGCTTCCAATCCAATTTTCAGAAAATCACAAAATTTCTCACATGCTGTTTTCTCGGCCTATTTCCTGCCTATTAAAAATCATAAAATAACTCTAGCGTGTGTGTACTTACATCGACTTTCAGATAGTGAGTCATTTTATGCCACGTTTTAAATGATAATGCAGATCTGTGATGATCGTCATTTATTCTTTCGAATCGCGTTATGGTGTAGAGAGGAAGAATGAAGGACTGATGCGATATTCCAGGCTTTGTCATTGAAGCTACATCACCAGATTGAAATGCCAAGAAATTCTGTGATTGATATAATTTACCAGGATACATGTTTTTTCTGACGATTGCAGAAGCTGGTAGCTTTGATTTGTTGTCTGGATCCATATCACATATATAGCACACATTTATCTCATCAATGACTTTCTCGGTATCGGGGAGTCTAAATAAACGACGAAAGGTTTCATCTCTCTTTCTATGCTGGAGTACATCTTTCAATGGATTGTTGGGGCCATGCGGTATCTCAGAAGACCTTCTACCTTCCATAGCTGGGCTGGTGGATAAACGATCGACTGATTCGCCTTTGAATGCGTTTGAGTTTGAATTTTTCAATAGTCGATGAACCGAATCACCTGTTAATTGAACCAGGACGTCATAGACCTATCATGTAACTATTAGAATATACTTTGTATCCTTTAATATGAAGCTTACCTCATCACGATTAAACATATTGGAAAAGAGATACTAAACAATCGCTTGATTAATTTTTGTAGTCTCGAGATTTCAACAAGTTGTGCTTACCTCCTGATTGTCCTTTGTTGTAACACGCATGCTATGTCGGAACAACTTTCTTATGGGCTCTTTAAATATATCCTTAATATCCTTCAACTCGATCAAAACTTTGAGCTCGAAACCAATCAAGTACGAGTAAAATGCCAAGTAATTCTCTGAAATATACATCCATCCTTGTCTACTATTGCACGAGCAAGAGTAATCTAAAAGAAAAAATCAACATCACATTTTATCAGATCGTTTATTTTTTTCCCTTACAATTCACGAGACGTTCAGTTGATTTTACATTAAATGTTTGTCGAAAAGTACGAGATGCATTTCTTATGATATCATCGTGCAAAAGGTCATCTGTGTCATTATCTTACGTAATATAAATAAAAAGGATTAGCCAAATTTGTTTGAGCACATGTCATTGATCTTACCGGTAATAGTGGAGGATACAATCATGTTCATCTGTTTAATCATCCATTCTTCTTTTGCAAACGAAGTGGGTATATCTTCTAATTCGGGTAACATATTTATTTTAATCCAATCCCAAGCTGCCTCAATGGCTTCTTCAGAGTCCGAAGCTGCTATTTGTAGACATGTTGCGTTAGGTTCTCGTTGGAAAAGGATTCGAAACGGGGGTTGTTTTGCGTCAAACCTTTTGCGGGGAAAGGAAAAAGAATTATTATCAAGCGTTTGGGTACAAAAAAAAAATTAAATGTCTTATTACAAGTTAGTTATAGTACTGAATACATTTTTGAATATTGCGTTGCCAGGTTCGTGAGACCGTTGAAGCATAAAGTACTGATTTTGCTGTTCAATTGTCCAAAAAGGTACAAGAGTGTTATCTGTTGAGGTGGGTAAACTGAAAGTCTATATGATATGTTAGTTTCTTTCTCTTGTTAAAATGAACGGGATATCATGTTACGTTTTTCGGTATCTTGTTTAAACTTGACGACATGATTTTTTTTACGAAAGGAAACGGAAAAAAGGTAAAAAAAAAAAAAAATTATTCAAACAATCTGGGAATACCCTTTGAAATATTATTTTCAAACACAGCTGTATTATTCGTGCTGCGCCGTTGAGACATTTGGTGTTTACAACTTTTGCATGATTTGTAGGTGAGATGAGAAATACAAATGTGAAATTTATGCCACACCAGATAGAGTTTGAGAAAGAGAAAAGTGCCTGGAAACTCTTGTTTTAAACTAGTTACGAAAGCTTTTTCTGCCAAGAATGGCAGCGTTTACATTTGTGGTGCCAAGACTTTCCTTAGTAATTTTAAGATTGATCATATCTTTATTATTCAACTACTGGAGAAAAGTAACAAAGTATCTAACAGTATATTACTGGAATACAAAACCTCTCAATGTTACATGATGTTTTTATTGCCTTAAAATTCTAACACTCGTTCTCCCATGCTTTTTTCAGAATGTCTTGGCTGTAGATAAAGGTCATGTCTAGGAACAGCTGTATGAGACACTTATTAAATGGAATAATTATGCTGCAATTAATTTGTTTGTTATTGAAGTATGTATCCTTGCTCGATTGCACAACTTTAATTTTGTTCAAAAACTTGACGCATATCAAACGTGTTAACCCATTGCTAGTTTACTAATACAGGAAAAAAATTGGTACTTGGCTGACAGGTTAAATGGATCATCAAAGGGACATACAATTAAGCCATGTAAAGAAAGAAACAGTTGAATATGTGCCATACATCAAACATAAAGATGTGCCCTAACCTCTACTAAATCACGCACCATGTAAATTTTGCCACAGAGTAACAAAATAGATACATTTTACGGAGAGCTATGTTCCTTTGTGTACATAAACCTCTTACATTTATAAACATGTAGTGCCTTCTATTGAACTGTAATATTGAGAACTGGGTATTGGCTAAGGGCATGTTTATTTTTTATTTAGATATTCTTAGACACAAATCATTGTATTAAAGCCTTTATTGACAGGTACTTTTCAAACATGTTCCAGCCTCATTAAGAAAGACAACAGCGAAGTAGAGGAAGCTGAAAAAAGATCTTAAGCAAAAATAAAGCGAAAGGATATCCTTTGATTTATATCCATATAAAAAATTTACATCAACTACAGTTTTTACATTGAATTCTCTACAACCAAATTGATAGATTGATTTTCTACATCAGAAGATAAGGAGAATTTCTTGTCTGGATGAGACAAAAACTGACATAACGCATAGAAAGCATTACGAGGTTGATTGTTCAGAGGAGTGATATATAAATCAGAAAGAAACATCAAACATTTTTCTGCCCAGAAAGTAGATTTAAGCTTTACTAAATGTCTATTTTGTTCGTTTGATCCAAGGCTTTCTTTGTTAGCAATAATCAATACAGTTGGTAGATACTTGAATCTTTCGGCAACAAGTGCACAATACTGTACAATGTCCACCATTGATGCTTCATTAATTTCACTTTGAATGGTAACAAGTAATGGGTTGAAACGTTCATCACTTTCATTTTGTGAGGTGTATACTTTAAAAAAACTTTCAGTCTCTGGCGAAACAGTTTGATCCACTACGTAACTGTTTTTTGGGACGTATGTACCTGCAAATAAAGTCATGTGTTATATCAAAGCATAATGCTTTGTGAGAAATCAGTGACGTATCATACCAATCATGAATCGAACGATCAAATTGATTATCTCTTGTTCATTTAGTAGAGGCTCAGCTATAAGATTTGTATTTGACTCCCATTTGAATGGTAGATTAGGGATATCTGGGTTCTCGTCTACTTTCGACTTATTTTCATAGTTTCTTTTTTCTCAAAGGCAGTTAAAAGCTTACCATTAGCTTCGTTCAACATTGCGTAGAGAAATCACTATCGACTTAGAAGAAACCTGTCTCTTTCGACAATAATGCGCGAAAAAGACTGACGATGACGACAGTTTGTAGAAAGAACAGCAGTCTCCATCACGTGTAACCACATCCTCTCGGAAAAGATGCGCCTGATTTATTTTTTGTGTGCGACTTACTGTATTCTACACAACTCTTTTTGTTTTCCGTTTTCAATAATTTTTTTGACATGTCTGGACATGACTCGAATGCAAACTTTTCATTTCCGGAGAAATCACAACCAGAAAGCTATCAAAATAGCCCCGAAATAAATATTACACCGAGTTCGCCTAATGACAATAACCAAAAGGTAAATCAGAACAAAGTCTTTGCCTAATCCTCTTATCCCAACGCACTAAAAAAACTTTTCGAATTTTACAAAGCTTATCGAAGCAAAGACTGCTGTAATACTGCTCAAAAGTTCACGATTATGCACAAAAAATGAATATACACAATGGTTATTAAAACTGCTATATCAACCTTGTTCAAGGAAGGATGAGGATGTAAGGGTACAATACAAAAGAAATGCCCGTATATAGAATAACAGTAATACTAGGGAAAGAATGTAGTTTATCTTTCTAGAAGTAGGAGAAAGATCTGGGCCACAGATTTTTCAATTAATCCGGGTTTGTTAATCATCAAATCATGGCATTTATGCGCAAAATACTAACCTGTAAAAGCAGATCCTTCAAAAATTGATGTTATAAACAGGCACAAGGATCAATTATACGTAATCACACCAAAGACAACAATTATGACATTAAACCAAGAAAATAGACTTGTTTATATCATTGATATGAGTTCTAGTTTAGCAACAGTGGGAAATACGCGATCAGATATCTTGTTGTCCGAGGTTTTTGAAACGTGAGTCATTCATTTAAACACAGTGTAACAAAAGACACTGACATAACCTTTCATAGGTTAAAGAATTCCCTAGAAGGATTAGTCCAACCATTTTCAATGCAAGTTTCACCAACTGAAAAAGCAGTGGTAAAAAGCGAGACAGAGATCTTCATAACCAATGAAAAACTGACAAACCTTATCTTTATATTAGGTTCAACCTTTTTTATGTTTAACAGTAATGGCTGACTGCTCTCAATTTGCATCGAATGTAAACGTGATACCAATGCTTGTGGAACATCCAACCATGAGAGTGTTTACACAAAATGCCATCATCAATGCAAACAATATACACACCATCATTCGAAAATTGAAATCCGAATTTATGGCTTTTCAAAATGATACGACACAATTCAGAAAGTCGATGAAAAAGAACAGGCCAAACATGGGGTATGATTTGGATGTTGGAAATGAAGTGGCCCCACCGGGTGGGGTAGGTATATTAGATGCTACATCATTTCCCAAACACGTAAAATCAAAATCATATTCGGCTGATTCTACACCAGTGATACCGACTACCACCAAAAGTAAAAGTTCTGGCCAACTACATACATCATTATCCAACAAGGATCTTTTACAGAAATCTAAAGATACAGCCTACCATTCCTCAAAAAAGGAAGTTTGGGGAATAGGAAAATCAGGAGCAAATTTATCCCGTATTTTACATGCCGGGCATTTTGCATTAAAGCTATTACCTAAGCAAGGTCGTGCTCAGCTTATCTTGATTACGGATGGCGCTATGAAATCTAACGTACATGACAACACATTCGTACGTCAATTTGCAGAGGAAGATATCACTTGTCATATTATACAGATTGGTTATGCAAGTAGTTTTATACCGGGTAGGAATTTCGGTTTCGTGCCAGATACGGAAATTCTTCAATTTTTAGCTCGTGCAACCTGCGGAACTTTTATGTATTCAGAAAAATGTTTACAGAAGCTTAACACGAATACATCATACAGCCAGGAAGAAAATTCGCCCACTACAACAAGCAAATCATATCCTGTAATTCAATTTGTCGATCTTAATAAGGCAAAGCACATTCTGACGCCCAACATATTCCACAGACAGTTTTTGTTCAGAGAAACTGTTTTGACCAGATATCATCATTCTGAGTCAATTCTTCAAGCAGAAAAGGACTCTGGAATACCACACAGAAGAGATAACGTGGAAACCAACAATGAATTGCGAAGTAGGTTTAATTTTCCTTGGGATCCTTATGCAAAACCACCAGAAGGTGATTGGCGTTTATTGAAGTATAGAGAGTATATCCTGCCGTCTGAATTTTCACATATCATTGCTGCTAGAGCTCGTGAAGGATTTACAGTACAATCTGTAACTTTCGATGATGGTACTGGATCTAAACATGTTGATTCTGGAATTCAAGATTTGGAAGTACCTGATTTTTCAGCTGTTCGAAAAGAAAGGATACAGATTGTCATGATTATGCGCTGGCAACCCAATGTCTCCATCGAGTATAGAATAAGGGCTACATGGCTCCCAACAATTATTGGAAAATGTGACTCGTACAAAAGTGAAGATATATTAATGTCCAGTGGTATATTTTCTCGTGGAAAAGCACCTCGAGCAGAAATATTTGTCAGAACCGATGCAAGTTTCGCTCACATGTTACAAAATTGGGATGTGTTTAGGAGAAGAGCTCAAATGATGGGTGTAGTTACTGGATCCATTTATTTTGGGGAAACATATGCTGCACCGGTTTATTCAAAGATTGAAAAGCTTAAATCATATCTGGTTGATATTTATGAAGGGGATGAAATACTCAAGACTGTGATTGGATTTCCAAATAAATTCTGGATGAGTGCATCATCGGCAAGTAACAGCGGAGAAACAGCTTCAACTATACGTCCTGATGCACAACATATGAATAGCTCGTCAAGTAGAATCGGCATGTCTCATCAAAATATGCAGTTTATTGATTCGTTCAAAGTCTTCTGGGAGCGTGTCAACAATTCAGATTCAAGAGCAAGGACGAGATCGTGGTATGATCCTGCTTGTATAGATTTATTAGTTGGTGATGTTTCGCCTTATATGACTCCTAAATTGACATCTACATCAAATCAAGACTTTGTATCTAATGTAGAAGAGGATATTCTTCTTATGGTAGGTAATGTAAAATCAGTAATGCGAGAATGGTCTGATTTTGAATCAAAGGATGGAACCTTTGTCAAAATGATGCTCAAAATCACCACAAGTCCATTGGCTTTATCCGAGGAAAAGGTCAAAGATTATTTCACAACTTCCCTTGGGTATCCTCCCTCATTTTGTGAACTGCGCGTCAGACATGAATATGGTCGTTTAATTACGCTAAGATTATTATTTTTCAATGTGGAAGTACTAGTTAGAAAAAGAACAACAGAAAATTTGATTCATTTGTTGAAAACAACAGATAACACAAAGGCATCATGCAACATGATCTGTAAAAGACCTTTCTCTCGGTTATTAATGAGAGACCCAAAACATTTTGGTGATGCCGTACTGGAAACACAACCCGAAACTCCGGGCAGCGAAAAGGCTATTGGCAATTTAACCAAAAATCAAAGCAGGTCCAAGGCATGGTATTTACCTGTAGCAATGTGGCTTACAAGTGAATACATTGTTCGTGATTATCTGCAGCATATGACTTGGACATGGCAGACTGACAGCTACCAAGACGTTTATCACAGAGAGAACAAAATGATGCCTATTCATGATTTAGCTTTCCAATTTTTGTGTCAGGCCCGGCTTAATCAGGTACGCTTAACAAAATCGTATTTTGGAATAATTTTTACTTATTCAATATTCATATAGAATTACCAACTTGTGTCTCCACTACCTGATAGTACTCATTTTTATCAGGAGATATCTCTTCCTACTCGGGATGGCAAATCTACATCTGTTTGTGCAATACAATATTTTGTTTGGAAGGATTCGGTAACTGGAAAAATTACAACGGAGTTATGGATGGAACCTAGTGGTAGTTTTGAATCAGATCAATACGATTTAGTCAAGAAGTGGACATTCGAGCCTGATAGAAAGACGATCTCTCAATTAGTCACATTCGATCAGATCCACGCAGTAGGAAGATCAAAAGGAGTTGGCGACTTCAAGGACAAAAAGAAAGGCACTCTTCAAACTGTAAAAGCCCCCGATGAGGATACTGCTGTAATGATGCTTCCTCAGCTTTTTGACGTGGCCTCTGTTCTGAGATGCAACAAATTTGTGGTTGCTTCTTTTAAGTTGCCTCAGTACAAAATGGTACCTTTACCTCAATTCAAACTGAAAACTCTCCCACCTACGCCTACACATCTCGATGATAATGGCAGCAGTCAACAAGACCCAAATAGTGATCACTCTGGGTACTCCACACCTGTTATTAGGAACAAAGGATTTCCCTCAAGGTCTAATCGTTATTTACGCCGCCATGCCGCAGCAAGTAATTTAAGTTTGGAATCTTCCATACCCAGCTCTCCTATTCCGATGGATACATCATATCTGTTCAGTTTCCGACCAGATCAGCTCTTAAACAAGAATAAAGAAGTTATTGCCAGACTGGATATCGTGTTGCAAGACTATGTACTTTTACACTATTTTGTCGAAAGATCGCTGGACTATATCAAACGGTGAAATCCTCATGTCACATCATGATGTTGGTACAGCTTTCTGGCAAGACCTTAAAAATGCACTTCAGTCTGTTAACAAGGAAGGAGAAATATCAAGCACAGGCCTAATACCGGATCTTCGACAAACACGATGTTTTGTAAAAGTATTTGACCCTCGTTCATTTGTTGTTATTTTATTTCCCAGTTTAGAGTCCGTTTCTACAGGTTTGCTAAAGCTTCAAGAAGAAAACGAAGGTTTTACAAGGTCGAAAATCGAATTATGCAAATCTTTGGATGTATTTATGTTTGAATGTGTTCGCGAAAAACCAATGAAGCCTACGAAAGCTGATGTAAGATTTGAAAATCCACTCGAGGCAGATAGTCGCTACCCTGTAGACGATATAATTTCTGAGGCGGATTCTATAACCATCAAACGTGTGAAACATCTTGTTCATGAATCTGATGGATTGGGGGTCATGTTGAGGCCGGAATTATTTGAAGGCGAATACAGCACCTGCCAAAATCAGGCTCAGCTTACAGATCGAGTTTTACGTGTAGCACAGGATGTGTCCCGGTACTACTCTAACAGTTTCTTAAAGTCATTCTATACTTGCTTGATGCGAGGATTTATGGTCGATGATGATGACCTGAATAAGGTATTGGAAGTTTGCAGTGAATCTACAATGGAAATCGATATCACAGGATTTGTAAATATTATGAGCATGCAAAAACGAGAATCAGTGCAATGGTAAGCAAAAAAAAAAAAAAAAAAAAAAAAAAAAAAAAAAAAATCGAAAAATGCAAACTAATCAGAATACACAGCGATACACAAGAGGCGGAGATCCAGGGGAAATTTGACACTATCTTTCATCAATACTTCGAGTCTGTTCAAACCAAGGAAGGAACAGGTTTTAATCTATTTTATTACAAGCCTCCTTTCAGCAGAAACGACAATTATAATCCACGTCAAGATAATATGTCATTTGATGACAAAATATCCCACATTGTGAATTTGGTTGCTTATTCTCAAGCACCTTTATTGATTCGTTTATATGCAGCATACAAAACCGATTACACTGACGACCCTGAAAGTAATTTATGCCCAGAAATTGTTATACCTATTTCGTCTATTCCGACTTCTTATTCTGGCCAGACCACTGACGGGGAAGAATTTAATCTAGAAAAGGGAGGAGCTAAAACAAATGAAAAGTTCCCCTTTAATGTCGGTAATACAAAGGTTTACCTTCGGATTGTGTGCTTAAATATGTCTCGATCAGTTCTGGACGATTATGTAATCAATGACAATGTCATGCCAGCCGCTTCAGAGTAAGTATTAACAAAGCGAGTATGCTATTATATGACTATGTATGTTAAAAGTCTTTATAGGACTTTGATTCGATCGATGCAATCACAGCCAGAATGTTTTTCATCGCTCAGTCAAGACCAACAGGTCGCTTTGGCTGAGACCGACTCGAGGATCAATTGGTTTTTAAAAGAAGAGACGATCCATGGTCTATTAAAATTCCCCTCCATCTCTTTATCTACTTTAAAGTACGTCGAATCACAACTCAGTGTTCCAACCCCTTATGCTGGATACCCTACATCGATTGTTTTACCGTTTGAATTCGTAAAGAATTATGCAGAAAGCAGGACGATCTTTATGAGCGAACTCGAAAAGGATAGTTGCCTTAAGAAAAATGGAAAGTACCAAATGAAACGGGTGGGGGACTATTTTTACGTTTGTGAGGATGCAACCTATAATATGGGAGAAGAATCATCTTACTCCAATAATGCATCGCCTATAGCCACTGATAATTCACAGATACCAGTACCTGATTCAGATTCGCTGATAGATACAAATGTTAGTGACGATTTTTGCGATGGCTTAGGTATCAGCATTTCCCAGCACTCTGAAAAATACGACGACGACGATAATTCTGAGGGAGAAGAAGAAGTGGGAGAGTACCAAGAAACCAGTGTTCCTATCGACAAAAGACCGCTTTACTGGCTTATTCTGATACCCCATGAACGATATATGCAAATTTATTTTTACAGCAAAATACAATCAATTGTTGCAGGTTTTGAAATTTTGAGTCCTATAAAAGAAAAAATTAAGTCAGTACAAGAACGTACAAACCGTCTTGTATTGTTAAATTCATTACAGGAGACTCGTGTATGCAGGTAAAAACAAAGTACAGCGTCAGATCTTTACTGTATTTTCTAACCTTCACATTTATAGTAAATACCTTGAAGCTCTTGATGAAAAGGCATTAAGCGAGATGTATTCTGACGAAGAGGAGTCAGAAGAGGATAGTTCTACAGAAGAGATACCCGCTTCAATTAACAGATCATTTGAGGTTACAAAATATCAACCAAATCAATTTTCTTGTCCGTTGGTGTTTACAAAACGATTCCCACTTCATTGGCGCTTACAGCCAAATGTAGCTATCAAGTTTTTAACCACGGATGTTCTTCGATTATTCACAGTTGTTAATCGACCCAACATGTTTGTTATCGAACGGGATGGATCGATTGTGTATTGTAAAATATATGAAGAAACCATTGGCGGAGAATCTGAGGGGTCTCCCAGAACTTGCTATGGATCGCCCGTCCAAACCTTATCTGGGAAGCCTACAGATGACGACGCACAAACATTGGTTACAATCAATATGCCTGAACCCGGATCAAAACGTGAATTAACTATTACATCCGCAACTTCGCCTCGACCTCGTGGAACTAATAACTCTAGACCTTTATTAAATGAAAAGAGAGAGCTTGTTCTTGAGGTGTATGGTATAGACCTCCCGTCGTGGGTTGAAAGAGAATTTGTCAATTTGATTGATAATAGGCTTGTATCACAAATTACGCTGAATGAAATCCAACAGTATTTTGTACGAAATTCCACCTCTAAGCCGACCTCAGCTGTACGTATACATAGTTAGTTATTGGATTCGGAACTAATTTTTGTTTATGAGCAGGATGTCGAATTCATTCTACCTACGCATAAACCTCCTACGCATAGGGAAATGCTTCGTGTCCCTAGTTTGGTAAATAGCCCTTATGTGCTTTTACAATTTTTCAAAAAGTCGATAATGGCAGATAACATACGTCCATTAACTGGTCCTTATGTGAAAGAAGCCGTGGAGAACTATTATAGAAGCGCATTTCATTCACAGGAAGCCGATGCAGTACAAGATGGTAGCAAACGTGAACAAAAAGGGCAAGTATTTTTATTTTTTTTCATGAAAAAAATTATTTAAATTATATGCCAAATATAAACTTTATCGTTATAGTGTTGGTTATCAATATATTCTACCAGGATCTTTCTGCTTTTATTATAATTGTACAAAACGCTTACCTGGAGCTTCATCCACCCTTGAATTACTGGCGGGTCAAGGTATTGCAGGTATCTGTTTGACACTTTTGGATGATACCGGGACACCTATAACAACCGTGAAAGAGGACGACAATAGCGGTAACAATTTTGATCCTGAAGTGATTCACGACTGTCTGGAAGAGGAGTTCAGGGAGGCCACGACGGGTACTACGTATAACAACATCGGTGTTGATATTTGGGTGATAGGTGCTGTGGATGGAGATGCATTAATGCAACATATCTACGAATGTTACAGACGAAGTTTATGCGATTATTTTATCGAAAAAACAGTGACTATCGATCTGGGAGCTGCACTTTCTTCTGATGGTGCGTTAACAAAGGCCGTTACAGCGAAACCCGAAAGTCGTCTTGGAACAGTATTGAGAAACAAATTTATAGAATCTGTATTGTTTATCCTGAAAAAGGCTTCCGAATTGAAAAGTCCTACAGTTTCTTCAATGGACGCAGAGATTCAAACCACACCTTGGTGTATGGATGATCTTATACGTTATTTAGATGTTGAACTTCGAAAAATTGATCCATCCCTTCGACCAACTGTAGCCTGGACTTCTTTGGGAAATTCTGTATGGGGTGACAGTGATGATGTACCTAACCCAGATTGTAACTGGGAACTGTATAGAGGATTTCATTATAGACAGCGACAAAAATTACAAAGTAATATCCGATTAGTTGCTATCAGCGGCCTAGATGAGTTTGTCGAAAAATTGGGCAGTGTATCTGAAGCCTTTTCACAAGATAGACGACCAAGTGATACAGACAGTCAGAAGGGCAGGTCAAGACGAAGTTCGGGTGATTCCGCAAACACTGACCATAGTCAGAAGAAAAGTAAAGCGGGCACACATGATCATTCAAGAGCATCGAGCGCATTGTCCAATTCCGGGACTTTTAGTAAAAACGGACCTCGAATGGATTCAAAAAAACATTGCTTCATGATCATGACTCTGGATGTTCATAGGCTCTCTATTTATGCTTATAATTGGTCAGAATCTGTCTCTCAAGAGCTGTTTAATGGTTTGTTCCGTGTAGCTAATCGACAGGAAGCTCGTAGTCAACTTATGTCTAATATTTTACACCAAAAAATGGGTCTGTTTCATCATACAGCCCCAATGAAGAGTATAGTCGAAAGATTTGCAACCACTTCAGTTCAAACAGTCAACAAGTCTTTATCTTCGCACTTTATGTCAAGCGGTACAACATATTCTGCTTCAACGCCGATCATCCACCTCACTTCACCTAAAAAAAGCACAAGGCAGTATGAGACGACAAACAAATTGGATACAACTCCTGTTTCCCGAACCCCTGGTGGCGGCCGACGTAACAATAGTAATAATTTTCCATTTGTCAACTCAGGCCCTGTAGCAGCCAGTATGCTTGACCTCAAGGATATCATCGCGTTCCCTACCACAGCTCCATCTCGTGAACAGATAGAGACACCCAAAACTGGAGTAACAACACCATCACATATGACTCAATTGATTGAACAGGAAAAACATATCGATAGAATTCTTCAAAAATCCGCCATTCAAAATGCAGAATTAGATCATGCTTTGATGGATTCGATCACGGATTCTGTGGCTGATACGATCCGTAGCAAGGATTTCGATATATTACGTCGACATGGACAACCATTTTTAGAAGCGTTTTTGCGACGAGCTAAATTACAATCTGCACACCGAAAGGCATTAAAAGTATACTTAAAATGGCGAAAGCGGTACGGAGACCCAAGTGCCGAGATCGGATCTACGGAAAGATTATCTAGGCCAGAGGTTTCAACGATTATGCGATCATCGCGAGTACTTCATTTCTGTCGTACTCCGCTCATATTTTGTGACCCTGAAAAGGATTGGACCAATTTGCAAGAGGCATCCGCAGGTAGAGGTGTCGTGGTTGAATGGTTCAAAAATATGGGCAATGCGCTCATGAGTGAATATGCAAAATATCTCGAGGGAGCGGATATGCAGCTGATCGATTTTGCCAAATCCGAAAGTAATATAGGAAGTGGAGAATCGACTCTGAGAACATCCAAATTTAGTCTAGGAAAGAAAATGACCGCTGAGTGCCCCCCTACATATTTGCTTCGAGTTTTTGAAGGAGGATCGATTATTTGTGAAGTCCGATTGACAAGTGTATTTGTGTCAGTAACACTATATACATTACATCGACAGTATGGACGCTTAGATTATAACAGATTTCGTCGTGACTCTCGTATCAAAAAACGAGAGAATTTTAAACGTTTCGAAGAAAACTCGGGCAATTTTAAACAAATGATCCATATCAACTCCTTTGTGTATGACTTCCAGTTACATTATATACAGAAAATGCTTAACGATATCAGTCAGGTGCCGGCAGATTTAGATATATTGTATTTTATACGACGATTTGCTCGTATCAATCAACAACCGTCACCATATTCCAAGAACCGTATCATACATGGGTTTTATCAGTTCGAAGTAGAAAATATCAATTGCAAATCATTTTTCGAAAACTTGTTTAAAAATGCGCCTCGTCATGGTCTAACAAACATTTTGGCAAGCCATGGATATACTGCTGTTGCAGTATCCAGTAACGATCTATCTTTTAAAACCAGTGAAAAGCAGGATTCAACCAGCTGGAAATATACATTAGTCATGTGTCCATCTTTGGATAATACGTGTGGGTTATCTGATGATGATGCAAAGCAGGCTACAACTCAGAAAATCATTGTAGAATACTTTATTCTCGCTGTGTATCAAGGACGCGTTTCTCCAGAATTCATGACCAAGGCCAGCTGGATAAAAAGTGGTGACAAGTTAAACGGTTTATCACATCTTTGTTTGCCGGAGGAGAGTTTGAATTTAGCAGATATTGTATCAAGTGCTCGAACGAGATTGGATGGTATTGTTTCAGAGGTAAAAAATTAAATCATAACAATTTCGTTTTTTTTTTTTTTTTTTTTATTCGAGATCTAACAAACAAATACATATTTTTAAGGTTATTATCCGAAGTAAACGGGTTCATGACTGGAGTCAACTTTATTCGGCGGATCTCAGTTTAGAAAAAAATGTACGCACGGTACCAGAACATCCTGAATTAATCGAGCTTATGAGTGAATTTGATCGTATCGATATGACTGAAGCAGATGAAAATATGGCCATGATTTTCAAGATGAAGCTCGATTGGAATGCCGCATTAAACACTGTCAAAATGCTGACAAAGAGCAAGACCAAAGATTTCCATGAGGGCGGACGGCGACACTTATTACTGTATAGCGCCAGATATATGGAGTTCATGTTACATTTAAGAGTCGATAGTGGTAAACAGATACAGGGTTGGGTGGTAAGTCGAGAAAAACGTGCAGACAAGACGGTATTTGATGGTGCAGAAAAAGAACAAATGACTAGTCTAAGCAAGATATTTTATTATTACATGTGGAGAATTATTGCTGGTAGAACATGTATCTAAATCAAAAGGAACAAAATAAAAATTAAAAAATCTAAAAATAAAAAATTCGAATATAAAAATATGATATAACACATGTATATATAACGATGATGGTGGTGTCTATAAAATATATACTTATTAAAGAAGGAGGGGGAAAAGGGGAGAGACGAGAGAAAAGGTTGCAGAACAGAAAAGAGAAACGACATATAATAGGGGAGTATTATAAATACATGTAATAAGGGATGATGAAAAATGAGGGATTCGGAATGTATGATTTGCTTTTTGGTGCTCAATTCATACGGCAATTATTACTGCTGTAATACGTATTTATTGTTTTACAAACATTGGATAGATTAAAACTAAGTTGCTAAATTATAAGTTGAAAGAGGATATACAACAGGGACATTAAACTATTACTTAATAATCCATTCCAATCCTAAAATTCAATATAATATATAATAAATGTTTTACCTTTAGTTTCTCTCTCTCTCTCCTCTTCTTCTTCTTCTTTACATTTTAATTTTTAAAGCTTATTATTATTCATTTATAATAATTTACTTGATATAAATGGCTGGCAATTATACACAGAGAAGTAATGATCAGCAATACCAATATACTACTGAGCCGTCAACTTTATTAAATAACGACAACAATGACCAATATCACCAACAATACTATCAACAAGACATTGAGTCACATCATCCAATGTATGTTTATATCTTTTTTTGAAAAATAAAAAAGCTTTCTTTAACGAAAAGACTCATCCCTTATACCCCTGAATTTTTTTTTTTATATGTATTTATTTATTTAGTCAAAGCTCGTCTAATATTTCTTCGTCGGCCGGTAAAGTAAATTGAATATTTATAAATGGGATTGCATGTACTAACTCCTTTTTTTTTTAACACCTCCTAGCCGGCATTTTTTCACATAATCAGCATCACCCCTTGCCACAACAACAACAGCAGCAACAGCAACAAAGATTTGATAGAGATACACGCACATCGTACACGCAATATGACGGATCTTCAGATTTAGACTGGGTAGATTCATCGTCGTCCGTTCGATCTGATTTTCCGGAACCTCCACCACACCCAGTCGCCGATATCGATTTATTTAATAATCTGCGTGAGGACATTCATAGCTCGAGTCGATATTTGCGATGTGCTCCTTCTACGGAATCCTTGGTTGCCCTTTTAGAAGCCAAACGAACTAGAACCCCCAAAGGAGTCAATGCTTCATCTATCCGATCTCCTACACCCACACCACAACCTTCACAAGACCTCTCCTCCGAAACATTGGTGAACGGTCCTCACAATAGTGTACTTTACCCGGCATGGACAACTGCCGCCCATTTTCAAAACTTACCTTCTTATAAACAGATTCAAGACATATTTGTATCATTAAAAAACGCATTTGGATTTCAGTACGATAGTATGATAAACATGGTAGATCATCTAATGGTGATGTTGGATTCTCGTGCTTCAAGAATGACACCCGCTTTAGCGCTTCTGACCTTACATGCAGATTACATTGGGGGACCAAATGCCAATTATCGGAAATGGTACTTTGCAGCTCAACTCGACCTGGATGATGCCATTGGTGATAAGAACGCCGCCACTCGTGTGGCAGAAAACCAAGAGACAGCAGCCATTGATGAAAATCAGCAGCAGACCTTGACAGAAGCCGAACAACAATGGCGTAGCAGGATGGAGCAAATGTCGGATCACGATCGAATTCGACAATTGGCTTTATGGCTTATGATTTGGGGTGAGGCATCCGTCATCCGTTTCTGTCCTGAAGCATTGTGTTTTATTTTTAAACTGGCTGATGATGCCGTTGAAAGTAAAACAACAGAGGTGGCACCCGAAGGAGATTATATGGATACCATCATTACACCGCTATATGACTTTGTCAAGGATCAAGTATATCGTAATGATAAAGCAAATAACTCCATACGAAGAGATAAAGATCATGCTGATGTTATTGGTTACGACGATGTGAATCAATTATTTTGGTACCCAGAAACCATCACTCGTCTTGTGCTAAATGATAAGACAAAGTTCATGACAATTGCTTCTACAAAACGGTACGATTCTCTGCGTGACATGAACTGGAAGAAGGCCTTTCAAAAGACTTTTAAAGAAAAGCGTTCTTGGATGCACTTGGCTGTTAACTTTACTCGAATTTGGATCATTCACATTGTTTCCTTCTGGTATTATATCGCAGCCAATTCCGGTATATTGTACCTAGATGACGACAAGGAAATTTCAGAACAAGAAACATCCGTTAAAATCTCTATGGCTGCACTTGGCGGTGTAGTAGCTACACTTTTGGTGATGTTGGGCAGTTTTGTTGAATACATCTATGTTCCGATGAATTTTCAAAGAGCCGGTATTCTTTCTCGACGTATGGTCATACTGGTTTCGATACTTGTCTTGAACGCTGGTCCGTCTGTGTATTGTATCAAATTAAATCGAACAGGTACTTTATCCATGGTTGTTGCGGTTGCTCAGCTGCTGATCAGTTTAATTACCAGTGTTTATTTTGCCATCATACCTCAGTCTCGCTTGTTTATTCGTTCCTCCAAAGCTAAAGACGAACGCAAAACACCAGCAAGTCAAACATTCACCGCTAGTTTCCCACATTTGAAAAGAACCGACCGATTAATCTCAATTGGTTTATGGTCCTGTGTATTTGGTTGTAAACTTTTGGAATCTTATTTTTTTATTGCGCTCTCGTTCAAAGATCCACTCAAAGCAATTGCCAATATGAAAGTACTGGAATGTCAAGACGCTATTACAGGGTCTCTTTTGTGTAGTTACATGCCATCCATCTCTCTTGTTCTCATGTTGTTAATGGAGCTGGTCTTGTTCTTTTTAGACACGTATCTATGGTATGTTATATGGAACACGGTATTTTCGGTGGCTCGTTCATTTTATCTGGGTATCTCTATTTGGAGTCCATGGCGAAATATCTTTTCCAGATTACCTAAACGAATCTATGCAAAAATATTGGCTGCCTCCGAGCTGGATATTCAGTTACAGCCCAAAATCCTTTGCTCTCAGGTATGGAATGCACTGGTAATCTCCATGTTCCGTGAACATTTACTATCTCCTGACCATGTATCCAAATTATTATATAGACAGGTAAGAAGAAAAAATAAATACTTCAATATATATATATATATATACATTGTGAAGCTAACTTTTATATATGTAAATACAGATGCCCGGTTTAGGAACAAACAAACCTTCGTTAAAAGCCCCTAATTTTTTTGTCTCACAAGAAGATGTTGCATTCAAAACAGAGTATTACCCTCAAAAAAGTGAAGCAAGTCGTCGCATGCAGTTCTTTGCTCAAAGTTTGACCACTCCTATGCCCGAATCATTACCTGTACCCAACATGCCCACTTTTACCGTCATGACACCGCATTATGGAGAAAAAATCATCTTGTCCCTGCGAGAAATCATTCGAGAAGAAGACAAGAATGCGCGCATGACTTTACTTGAGTATCTAAAACAATTACATCCTTTTGAATGGGAAAATTTTGTCAAGGACACCAAAGTTTTAGCAGATGAAGATCCGGATCAGCCACAGGATGAAACTGTCACTGTCAAATCGCAATCCAACATGAGCTCCGCCACGGATGAAAAAGCAGAAAGACAGCACAAGATTGACGATTTACCGTTTTATTGTGTGGGATTTAAATCATCCGCCCCCGAATATACGTTGCGTACTCGAATTTGGGCTTCCCTGAGATCTCAGACATTGTATCGTACAATCACAGGCTTCATGAACTACCAAAAGGCCATCAAACTACTCTATCGTGTAGAGACACCTGCGCTAGGTGGTGGATCCCCCGGAATTTCTGAAATTGAGCTTGAACAAATGGCCAACCGCAAGTTTACATTCATTGTCGCTATGCAAAGGTATACGTCGTTTAATGCTGAAGAAAAAGAAAGTGTCGAATATATCTTAAAGGCGTACCCAAACCTTCAGATTGCTTATCTTGAGCAAGTCAAGACACCGCGTGAAGACCCCAATGATCCTATCAAGTTTGATTCTGTCTATTACTCGGCCTTAATTGACGGTTACTGTGCTGTTAAACCAGATGGGTCTCGCACTCCCAAGTATCGAATTCGATTACCTGGCAATCCCATTTTGGGTGACGGTAAATCTGATAATCAAAATACGGCCTTGATCTATTACCGTGGTGAATATTTACAATTGATTGATGCTAATCAGGATAATTACTTGGAAGAATGTATCAAGATTCGTAATGTACTTGGTGAATTCGAAGAAATGTATCCATCCAATGAATCACCTTATGCCAATGACACGTCTGGTAAAAGTCCCGTGGCTATTGTGGGTGCAAGAGAATATATCTTTTCTGAAAATGTGGGTGTGCTTGGTGATGTAGCTGCTGGTAAAGAACAAACCTTTGGTACCTTGACACAACGTATTATGGCAACCATTGGTGGCAGAGTAAGACATATATAATTTAATAATTTTTTATTAAACATGAATTCTAATTATTATTATTATTATTTTCTGAAAAAAAGTTGCATTATGGTCATCCTGATTTTTTACATGCTATTTTCATGACAACGCGAGGTGGTGTCTCTAAAGCGCAAAAGGGCCTTCATTTGAACGAAGATATTTACGCTGGTATGAACGCATTTGAACGTGGAGGACGTATTAAACATGTGGAATACTACCAATGTGGTAAAGGTCGTGATCTTGGTTTTGGATCTGTATTAAACTTTGTGACCAAGATTGGTACAGGTATGGGAGAGCAAATGTTGTCTCGCGAATATTACTACCTGGGTACGCAACTCCCTTTAGACCGCTTCCTGACATTTTTTTATGCACATCCTGGATTTCATATTAACAACATCTTTATTATGCTCTCCGTGCACATGTTTATGTTTGTCCTGTTGTTTGTGGGTGCTACTAGTGTTCCATTAACCCTGTGTGAATTTGATGTGAATGCAGGACCAGATTCCCCTCAAAAACCAGACGGGTGTTATAACTTGAATCCTGTTTTCGACTGGTTAAAACGTGTGGTGATCTCTATTTTTGCCATCATTTTTGTTGCCTTTTTGCCGCTCTTCTTACAAGAATTAACTGAGCGTGGATTTTTTCGTGCATGCAGTCGACTCTGTAAACACATGTTGTCCATGTCTCCCTTTTTCGAAATCTTCATCACACAGACATATGCGAATGCGATTTTGAACAATTTATCGTTTGGTGGTGCACAATATATTGGTACAGGTCGTGGATTTGCAACTGCTCGATTACCCTTTTCCCTGTTGTATTCTAGGTTTGCAGATACTAGTATGTATGTGGGGGCAAGAATGTGCATGATTTTATTCTTTGGTTCATTGGTGTTATGGATCCCACACTTGGCCTATTTCTGGATCACTGTGATGGCTCTTGTGTTGTCTCCCTTTGTGTTTAACCCACATCAGTTTTCTATGACAGACTTTTTGGTGGATTACCGCGAGTATATTCGATGGTTATCACGGGGTAATGGTGTTACGAACGACAATTCATGGATTGGCTTTTGTCGGTTTACACGTATGCGTACTACGGGTGTGAAGAAGAAGCAGTTGGGTGAACCCAAATCTGCCAAACAACAATCGCGTGCACGGTTCGGTGTCATTTTATTCTCAGAAATTGTGCTACCCTTTATCCTAGCAGTGTTGTGTACGGTTGCCTACATGTTTATCCGTAGTATTGATCCTATCGACAATACAAAACCTTATAAAGGTCCCAGTGCACTTTTGCGTGTAGCAGTTATCTCCTTTGGTCCAATCTTATTGAACGCGGGTGTCTTGGCCGTGTTATTTATGGTGTCCTTGACAGGTGGATGTGTTGCTTCCTTATGTTGCGGCGTGAAATTTGGTGCAACGATTGCTGCCATTGCGCATGGATGGGCTGTATTTAATTTCATTATATTCTTTGAGATTTTGTACTTTTTAGAAAATTGGAATTTCACTCATGTTATCTTGGGCATGATTGCTGTGGCCTCGGTGCAACGATTCATCTTTAAGTTAATGACAGTCTTGCTACTGACGCGTGAGTTTAATGGGGATCAAAGTAATCAAGGATGGTGGACAGGACGTTGGTATGGTCGCGGGGTAAGTTTTTTTTTTTTGTTTTGTTTATTCTTGTGGGGGCATCCCATTCAAATATACTGACAAATATTTTTTTTACATACGTATAGTTTGGCTGGCACGCGTTTACACAACCTTTACGAGAATTTGTGTGTAAAACAGTAGAGATGAGTTTATTCGCTACTGATTTTATCATGGGCCACTTTATCCTCTTCTTTTTGTTCTGCGTATGTTTGATCCCGGGTATTGATAAGTGGCATTCGCTCATGCTATTTTGGTTGAAACCCAAGGAACAAATCCAGGAACCTATCTATTCAGCCAGCCAAAAATCCAAACGTCGACGTATTTCCATCTTTTATGGGTTCCTGTTGGTGATTATGTTTGTGTTGTTTGCTGGTCTTTTGGTAGCTCCACATATCATCGGCCCGCGTTTAAATCTAAAAATTACCTTGCCCATTTAAAGAAAAAAAATAAAATAAAAGTAATATACCCTAGTGAATATTTTGTAATCTGAGAGAAAATTTATTATTGAACAAGTCGAGTCCGGTTAGAGACAGCTTTATTGAGGTGGAGGAGGACGTTGGTTCCAACCGGGTGGTGGTGCACCTCTTCCAGCACCAGGGAAACCTTGAGGAGGCTGTAAAAAAAAAGATAGGTTAGTTAAAAAACGCGTGTTTAGGCTAGAATGTTGAATGATTTACCATGCCAGGACGGAAACCTGGGGGAGGCATACCAGGAGGAGGACGGAAACCCATGGGAGGCATACCTGGAGGAGGACGGAAGCCTTGTGGAGGCATACCTTGTGGAGGCATACCGGGCATAGGAGGACGACCATAAGCGACAGGAGCACCTTGATAACCAGGTCTGGGTTGCATCATCTATATCCAAAATAATATTAATACATGTTAAAAGCTATAATCTCAATACTTACACCAGGAGCAGGACCGCCAACACCACGAACGGGACCAGAAAGGCCAGCCATAGGAGCACCCATTGGGGGAGGAGCGGCAGGTAAACCACGACCCATAGGCTAAAGAAAGAGTTAAATAAAGAGTAATAAAGCAAGACAAATGGCACTCACTCTTCCCATACCAGGCCCAGACATTAAGCCAAGACCTCTAGATCTAATATCATCAGAAGATGGAGGAGGAGGACCGTCGATAGACATGCTGACGATGGTTTCACCTCTTAAAATGACGAGACCTAATGTTCTCTTTTGTTCGAGGTTTGCTGCTGAATTATCTTTGGCGGTCTTGTTGATTTTACGGAATTCCTCACAATCAGCCAAAACGAGGTTCATGTGTTTATCAAAGGCCAACATTTGACCAGTCAAAATACGTGAATCGGATAGAGTGATTCGAAGTCTGTAATTGACAATATTTGACATTTTCGAACTTCTAGACGACTAGTAAGAAGAAAAATGAAGAGATGAGTACTGTCATGGCAGTGTTTGGGCGTGTTTTCCTATTAGTTACCATTTTATACGTATTTTATTATCAAATAGATTAGACGTGTTAAAATGTTGCTCTCTTTTTTTTTTTCCTAAAACGCAATCCTAATAGTAAAAAAAATAAGTCTTAACCCCGCCTATAGTCTACACACAGTGCACAGCACAGTGGCTTATGGCTGCGTCATGCCCGTTATTGATTGGCCCAACCAGGAATCCACCCCCTACATACAATTAAAAAAAAAAAAAAAAATAGACAAGCAAATTCAGGTTTTTTTATTGTTAACATTAATTAAGAAAGATGCCCCGTGTTCACGACCTTTGTGCCCGTATTCAGAATGGGTTCCGTGCCAGACTTCAGACGATTGCGATACCCGAGACCAAGATGAATTTGGCCGTGTCAAATATCCTTTACAAGGAAGGCTTTTTATCTTCAGTTACTCGTGGTAATCATATGGCACCTGATCAAGCATATACCCCCACCACCAATGAGAATGTAGCCACTCGACGTCTTTGGCTCTCTCTCAAGTACAAGGAAAATAACCCTGCCTTGTCCAGCTTATCACTTATCAGCAAGCCTTCAAAGAAGGTTCACTTTACTGTCAACGAGTTGAAGAATGTCGCCAGTGGTAGAAGAGCTCAATTCATCAAGCCTCTTCAACCTGGAGAAATCGCTATTGTCAACACTAACCGTGGTGTGTTGGAAGTCCAAGAGGCTATCGAAAAGAATGTGGGTGGTGAGCTTATCTGCCGTGCATCCTAATTTTTGACGTTTACCTAAAAATAAACAAAATAAAAAAAAAAACTAGATTTGTATCATACTTGACCTGATTATTATTATACAACTGTGAGAAAAAAGAAAGAAAGTAACTTCCCACACCCACGCTAATGTCAAATACTAGTATTTGACAAGCATAGCATAGCATCGCAAGAGAGCTGAATGATAGAAAAAAAAAAGATATATAAAGAGTGAAGTTTCTGCAAAGTAATTTTTTTTTCTTCACTCTAATAAAGTATCAAACAATGTCTACTCAACAAACCATCTCTACCTCTAAGCAAATCTGTGTCATCACCAATGTTGACTCTCTTCTCGGTTACGCTTTAGCTTACCGCTTTTTGGAAGCCATCCGCAACAATGAAGATCCCGAAGCCCAAGGTATGCGCAAGCTTCGTATTCTTTGTCGTGAAAGCCGTGGTCTTGGTTTGAAGCGTCTCGAAGAAATGGGTGCTGAAATTCAAGAAGTCAATTACAAGGAAGAAAAGAAGCTCGGTGAAGCTTTGCGCAATGTTCATAGTGTCATTCTTATCCCCGAGAACTCTTCTGATCGTCTCAAGGAAGCCGAGAACTTGATCAAGGCTGCTAAGCAACAAGAAGTTGAGCATTTCGGCTTGATGTCCATGTAAGACAAATTGTGATTGTGTAACACTCCATTATGTAACTAACATTTTTCCCCTATTATTTTTTAAGTGTCGGTGTTGATCGTGTTCACCAAAATGAAGATGCCAATTCTAACGAGTTCCGTAACTTGAAGGAGTATCATCAAATCGAAAAGAAGGTCAAGGAAACCTTTGGTGGTGATAAGCATTGTATCTGTCGTCATCAAATCTTTAACCAAGTCTACTACTTTTTGGCTCCTCAAATTGAAGGCGAGAACAAGTTCCCTGTTCCTGTCAAGAAGGACTGTAAGTGGGGTTCAGTCAACATGATTGATGTCGTTGAAGCTGTTTACCGTTTGGCCCGCAAGCAACATCAGCAACAACGTAACGGTAAGGATGTTGATACCTTCTACCACAAGAATGTCTATGATTTCACCATGCCTCGTACTTTGAATGGTCAAGATATGGCTCGTGAAGTTGGTCAAGGTTTGGGTCGTGAAGATCTTCAATTTGAACAAGTCTCTGATCAAGATTTCAAGAAGCAACTTGAGCGCATGAGAGAGGACCGTCGTTTCAAAGACCGCACTGATAATAACGGTAAGATCGAAGAAGGTCGTGACGGTTGGTGGTCTGTTCCTATCGGCAAGTTCCTTAACGAACAAAACATTGAAACCATGATGGAGTTCTGGAGATTGGCTAACAAGGGTCAACAAGATAACAGCTCCGATGATCTCAAAAAGATTTTGGAACGTCATCCTCAAGGCCTCAAGGAGTATTTCAAGACCAACCGTGAGCAATTCAAGCAATTCAAGTAAATTCTTTACTATTGCTTAAACAATTCTTTATAGTATTGTTTGTTATAAAAAAAAAATAATAAAAAAAAAGCTTCTTTTTTTTGTTCTATAATACTCTTTAAGTGTGTTTCAAATTAGGATGTCAATGACGACATTGTCACACAATATATGTAATCTCCGCTTTTCTTTCCTTCCTTTTTTTAATAGCGTCACAAAGACAAAGGGCCCTATTTTTTTTTATAATTTTTTCTTCTTTTTTTTTCTTTCTTCTACTTAATCTTCCAATGAGCTTGACTTTTGAGTCACCAACAAGAGGAGGGAATGAAGCGTATTTTACGCCCTTAAATATGCCAACCATTCACACCAACACTACGGCAACCGAAGAAACTAGCACGAACACACCTTATTACACTGCTCCTATTAATCCTGGTCTTCATCAAGACTTTTTAAATGCGATTCAAGCACGTCATTCTACACAACCTACCGTACTCTCTGCTGTTGCTAGTCCCACCAGAGCTGACGTTGGCTTCTCTTTAAACATGGGCTCACTGGCTCATCGTAGACAACCACCTTCCTTAAACAACAGTCCAGTTGCAGCTCCCTTGGAAGCCAACGCACTGGCCCAGTTACTACTAGCTTATAAGGACAAGTCTCACCTGCTTCTTTTACTGGACGTACGCTCATTTGTCCAGTTCTCGCATTCCAAAATTCGTACTGCCATCAACATTTCTATACCCAATACCATCTTGAAGAGACCTACATTCACGCTGGATAAAGTGTATGAGGCCATTGTATTGGAGGAGTCTCGTGAAAAGCTTAAAACATGGTCTACTGTCGAAACTATCGTCTTTTACGATCAACAGTCGCAATTGTTACAGGAGAATTCCGCCTCTGCTTATTTGGCCTCTAAACTGATCCGTGCCGGTTTCAAGGGCCAGTTAAACTATCTTAAGGGTATGTTTTTTATATAGTTTATAATTAACAAATACTTACATTTTTCTTTACACGGTAATAGGTGGTTTTGAGGCGTTTGCAAATACTCACAAGGAGTATTGCGAAAGTACACTGTCACCAAGTTCATTCCAGCAACAACAACGTTTGATGATGGCTTCTGCGTTAGGACCACCTACGGACGGCGGATTTAATCTGTCGAGTGCAGCATTGAAAGGAGGTCGACCCAAATTGCGGTTAAATAACCTGCCAATGGCCACACCTTCTTTGGGACCTTTTACGGCTCCCATGCCTCAATTTGAAAACCAAGCATTCAATCCCTTCTTTTCCAATATCCGTCAAAACATGGAGCTGTCACATGGACCCATTCGTGAACGTTTTCCTGTTCGTCTGCCAAGCAAGTGTAACATGGTCGATCCTACAAGGTTGATTCAAGCTACAGATTCCGTGCCACGCTGTGTTGCAGGAGGTCACATGGAAAACGGGCTCTTTCAAGCTCCGGGTTGGTTACATGAGACCGTTCAAGAAAACGGTGCACAAATCCTCGCCGAGACCTACGAAGTACGTGCAACAGAACAATTTTTTTTTTTTTTTTTTTTTCATTATCTAACTTTTTTCATTATTTAGAAATTAGAGAGGACAGAACAGCGTAGACTACAAAATATCATGCATTTCCACTCCAAACATACAGACAATCCTGCTGAATTCCCCTTTAGTATTGTTGCTGGTATTGAAATGGGTGCATTGAACAGATATACCAACATCTGGCCTTTTGGTAAGCAATCCCCATGGTATTACCTGTACTCTACTTTTCTAACCTTAATTTAAATCATTACAGAGTATACGCGTGTTAAAATCCGTCAGCATGGCGTGTCTGATTACATTAACGCAAGTTATGTGCAATACATCGAAAGCAACGACACCGTATCTGATGCACGTCCTGATGGCGTGGATACGGAAACGGTAAAGATCATGAAGACGTGTGGTACAGGAGAAAATACGCAACCGTACCGTCGATATATATCCACACAGGGACCTTTGCCTGCCACCTTTAATGATTTCTGGCAAGTGGTTTGGGAGCAAAACTCCCGTGTATTGGTGATGCTTACCAAGGAAGAAGAAATGAACAAGATCAAGTGTCATCGTTACTGGCCAAGCACTGTCAATGCCCCAATACAATATGGTGATGTCACCATCACCTTGACAGAGGAAACTGTGAGACCTGTGTTAAAGATAAAGGGCGATGATCAACCCTTAAACCCCGATGATGTAGTCATTGTACGTGCCCTGAAATTGTCAAGACTGGGTGAAGAGCGACATGTGACTCATTTGCAGTATACCGGTTGGATGGATTTCGGTGTCCCTGACAACCCATTAGGTACACTGCAAATTATTCAAATGGCTGACGAGGCACAGGCTGTGTATGAGAGTGCGGGTCCCATGATTGTACATTGTTCTGCTGGCTGTGGTCGTTCTGGCGCTTTCTGTGCCATTGACACTGTGCTGTATCGCATCTCCATGGATAAGGATTTAGCTGATATGCGTGATATTTTGTTGCAAACCATTTCAAAATTCAGAGAGCAACGTCTCAGTATGGTGCAAACTCTAAGACAATTCGTGTTTTGTTATGAAGCTATTTGGTGGTGGTTTCTTGGTCATGGTTTAGAGAAATCCGTAGATGTCATGGACACTTCATCCTAAAGTGACATGCAAAAGAGAAAGAAAAAGGAAAAAAAAATATATATACACATATACACACAGCTTTCTTTTTTTTTTTTTATGTAGTAGAATTCCAGCGAATAATTCGTCTTTTACTCGTCTTTTTATGTTTTAAATCGTGTTTAATATCGTGGGGTATGGAGCGAAAAGTAGCATGGTCAATGATATGAGAAAAGGGAGAAAGGGTATAGTGAACTGTTGTGAGATGCGCCAATTGTTTGGGTAAACATGTTGTCTCTTCATGAATATGTTGTTCGAACCCGTAAAGTTCGTTTAAAGTGGACAGATTGGCAGCAGTAATGGGAATGCTCCCATCCGTTGGAGAGGAAACACCACTGGCAATATAGATATTTTTCTTTTGCAAGTGACGTTTGCTCAGGTTATGAATCATACTGGGTAAATCCTCTCTCAACAACACTCTTAACTGTTCTTCAATTTCACGTTGCAAGTAACTACGTACACTGGTTACACTATCAAAGGTGGATCCTACCTTGATACTGGTGAATGGGTCATTTTTAAACACCAGTGTAATTCCCTTGGTTCCTGATACTACCAATACGATAATTCCAGTCAGTTTTAATTCGCTGATGCTTAGCAGTATTGGCACAATCAATGGTTGATCTGCTGCTAGTACCGGGCGAGTGTGTCGGGGTAAATCAGACTTTTTGTGCATCGGATTTGCCTTTTTTTTTTTGTAATTCGTTTTTTAAGATCACGATATGTATATATACATGATATTATTTAACTTACTTGAACTTTGGTTTGGATGACAAGAGAGGCATCGCCTGCATAAGTCAACTTGAACATGCCACGAAATTTGTCTGTAGAGAGTTCACCTACCTCTAATATTTCCAAGTCAGGCGCCTACTTTTTAAAAATTAGTTACCCATATCTGTTTATCCTTCTCTATTTCGCTTCTTACGGTAGTACCCATATTTAATTGGGTCACAGATATATGATCCACAATATTGCGAGGTTTGGTACCTTTATTTAAGGCTGTTTCCAATTGTGCTTTGGCTTCATTACAGAAATCAGCATCAAAGTCTGGCCAATTGAACCGAAATGCCATTATATGTTTGAAAGAAAAGGGGGCCCTTTATATTTGTGTTTTAGTTGAACGAGGTAATATTGCGTCACAAGAAAAATAAAAAGATAAAGAGAGAAGAGGTCCCTTAATTTACACGTGCTAGGACCCGATGATGGTCTGAGCGCAGTGTATGTAGACCGCATGAAAAGACTTTAAACTCCGTCTGACAACACACGATAAAATGTGGGACCCCATGTGTTAAATCTGATGTGGGGAACAAGGTAATTTTTTTTTTGTGAGATATACATGATTTTTATTGTCATTTATTTTTTAATTGTTCTATACAAGGGGTTTTTTTTTATATAATAAAGAGAGAAAGATTTACCATCCACGCTTGGCGAACTTTTCGTTTTCTTGTAAATCATCCAAGTTGATACCAACCATGGCCTCACCGAGGTTCTCAGAGACCTCAGCCAAAACCTTGGCATCGTTGAAGTGAGTGACAGCTTGAACGATAGCCTTGGCACGCTTAGATGGGTCACCGGACTTGAAGATACCAGAACCCACAAAGACACCATCACAACCCAATTGCTACAGATAAAAAATAAAAATGAGTATCACAACAGATCGGGGAGTTTAAAACCAATCTATAAAAAAAAAATTACCATCATGAGAGCAGCATCGGCAGGGGTGGCAACACCACCAGCAGCAAAGTTAACAACGGGAAGACGGCCCAACTTGGCAGTTTCCTTGAGCAAGTTGTAAGGAGCTTGAATGTCCTTGGCGTAAGCATAGAGTTCTTCATCAGTCATGACAGAGGCGCGACGGATCTCGGCAGTGACGGTACGAATGTGACGAACGGCTTCAACAACGTTACCAGTACCAGCTTCACCCTTGGTACGGATCATAGCAGCACCTTCGTTAATACGACGCAAAGCTTCACCGAGGTTCTTGGCACCACAGACATAAGGAATCTTGAAGTTGTGCTTGTTGATGTGGTTGGATTCATCAGCAGGGGTCAAAACTTCAGATTCATCAATATAATCAACACCAATAGATTCAATGATTTGTGCCTCAACAAAGTGACCAATACGGACCTTGGCCATGACAGGAATAGTGACAGCTTCCATGATTTCCTTGATCATTTGAGGATCAGACATACGAGCAACACCACCGTTCTTACGGATATCGGCGGGGACACGCTCTAAGGCCATAACAGCACAGGCACCAGCTTCTTCAGCAATTCTGGCTTGTTCAGCATTGATAACATCCATAATAACACCACCCTTTGATTATTATCATTATTAGTCATCCTAACTACCCTCAGTGACTCATAATTCCTTACCTTCAACATTTGAGCCAAACCAGCCTTGATGCTGTAAGATTGTCCATCAGAACCGTTCTCTTCGGTCTTGGTAGAGTGGAGGTTAGCAGGGACAGCAAAGGCAGACATCTTCTTTATATTTTTTTTTTAAAATAAAGTGTTGAAAAAAAAAAGAGGAAAAAGTGTCAAAAAAATAAAAAAGGTTTTTGTACTTTGCTCGCACCTTTGGTCCCTCCGTCCTCATTGGCCTGAATTCACGTGATTGTGTGAAACGAATTTTGAGGCAATCTGAGTCACCCAAAAGAGTGCAAAAAAAAAAAAAATATATGAAATACAAACTCCTGTAGATCTATGATCTGATCTTTTTTTTTTTTTTGAATGAAAGCAGTAACATTTTACCATAAAAATGAGACACGCGAATTATTTCTCACGCGTTAACCATAAACCCCATTTAAGCTTTTTTTTAACTGCGAAAAGGTTTTTCCCACTGCTTTTCCCGGTAACACGGGTTTAAGCGAGAAAAATGAGTTTTTTCTCTGCGCTTTAAATAAAAAAAATCTTTCAATCAACACGGGTTTCTACGTCATTCTATCTGTGTGATTTGTGTCTGTGTGCTTACATGTAAAACATTTTTTTTTTTTTTATTACAGATATAACACTTTAAATGATGGAGAATGCTCAACATGAGACGACCACACATGTCGATAAATCAAATATTCGTGGTCCCAATAATACCCTTAGAATTATCTTTCTGACCTTGTGTCTCGCCGGGTAAAACATGTACAGAGAAAAGAGTTGCATAATTTCCCTCCCAATGCTCAACACACACACTTTTTTATGTTTCTTTTCTTAGACTTCAATTCACATGTAAGCTCTCTACAAGTTGTTTCTCGCGCATTCTCTTCTTCTTTTCTTTTCTTTTACGTGATTAACACTCCCCTCTTCAACCCCATCTCTTTTTCATTTAGGGACTGTTGAAATGGCTTATGGTAAAACTACACACTCATACTTTCAGCTTCACCGTGATAATAACCAGATTATTTTAGGCACGCCTTATTTATTATCACTGGGTCTTTCCAAATCAAATATGTCTCTAGTATGGATTGCTGGTCCCCTATCAGGTAATAGAAAGCAAAATAAAAGTATAATATTCTAAAAAAGTAACACTGTGTGGAAAAGGCCTGATTATGCAACCTGTGGTCGGGGTTATATCAGATAGCTGTAAATCAAAATGGGGTAGACGAAGGCCGTTTTTAGTAGGCGGTAGTATCATTGTCGTCCTCAGTTTACTCGTCATTGGTTGGACACGCGAGATCACTCACCTCTTAACAAGGTCGGATTCAGGCAGTCTATTTAAAACAGTCTCCATTGTCATTGCTATTGCCTCAATCTATGTCTTGGATTTCAGTGTGAATTGCGGTAAGTTCTTAAAAGATGGGAGATATACTTTTACTAAGTAGGCATGATAGTACAAGCATCGTGTAGAGCATTGATTGTGGATGCATTACCCACTTCGCAACAAGAAGATGGAACAGCATGGGCAGGACGGATGGTAGGATTGGGTAGTGTAGCAGGTTACTTTATGGGTTATGCGGATCTTGTCAAGCTCTTTCCGTTCTTTGGCAACACTCAACTCAAAGTGCTTTGTGTGTTCGCGGTATTTGTATTAATGTTGTGTAATTTTATTACGTGTTATGCCGTAAGGGAGAGAGTGCATGTAGATGATAAGGTGACAGGTTCCGTCTACCAAGTCTTTGCAGATATTTTCCATCATATATGGCATCTACCAGCACCCATTCAAACTATATGTAATGTTCAATTCTTTGCGTGGATTGGCTGGTTTCCGTTCCTGTTCTATTCAACTACATGGGTAGCAGAGATATTTGAAAGAAACCTTACAGAAGAAATGCAGGATCCCGTAGGGCAGGCCACCCGAGCTGGTTCCTTTGCGTTCTTGATCTTTTCTCTCATCTCATTATCAGCCTCTTTTATTATTCCACTGATTGTCACACCTTCAGACCCAAATGCACAAGACACTGTGTGGTTTGGTAAGAAGGAATACACTCTAAGATTTATGAGATGGAAATGGTTGACTTTACCACGTGCTTGGACCGCAAGTCATTTCATCTTTTGTATCTCCATGATGTCCACATTGTTTGTTTCCGATGTCACAGCAGCTGCTATTGTCATTGGATGTTGTGGTGTAAGTTGGGCTATTTCCATGTGGGCACCCTTTTCCTTGTTGGGAGAATACGTATCAGCACAGGAAGCTCGTCATGGCATCTATCAACCTGTCGACACAGAAGAAGAAATTGAAATGTTGGGTGTAGGTCAAACTTTGCCGTCGCCAGAACAAGAAGAAGAAGAAGAAGAAGAGGGAGGAGAGGAAAAGTCTGAGTCTCCTGCTGCTGGTGTTCTTTTGGGCATTCACAACATGTACATCGTCTTGCCTCAATTCTTAGTGACCTTCCTCAGTAGTTTTATCTTTCGTCTGTTTGATACCGTCGATAACAAAACTGATACCATTGGCTTGGTGTTACGTATAGGTGCTGTCATGGCGGGTGTGGCAGGTTTTATCAGCCATCGCACTACCACCTGATGATACCTTAATAAATCTTTCTTTTTTAAAAAAATTTAACAAAGAAAGGCCTAGAGTATTTCTCGTGCATATTGTATACTACATAATAAATATTTTATTATTACTGTGATCAATATAATCAATTATGATGCTTTAAAGTGAGATAAACAATACAATTATACGGGTTTATTGTGTATAGTTGCATATGTAAATCACATTCATTTAATCAGACTTGATTGTTTTATCTGCATACCTTTATTGATTTCTGATATGTATATATATAAACATAGCACCTGCTGACATTGGGAACTGATACTACGAGTATTGAATATTTCTTGTTTAGCGTAAAAGATAAAAAAAAAAATTGAGTGACAAACTGGCTTTCTTTATTAAAATAAAAATCGTGAAGGTCTCTAACAAAGAATTAGAACAACTTTATTCAGTTAAGCTGCCAATAAGATACAGCTGTCAGTCGGAGTAAAGCATTTTGATGACGTACTTGTTTTTTATTTTAAAAGACCTATTAAGAAGAAATTTTCTCACTTTTTTTTTTTTCTCTTCTAGCATATTTTTTTTTTCTACAACTAAAATACATATATAGCTTTTTTTTTTTCTTCTTTTCCTTTCTTTTCCAATACTTTTGAATCGGTTTTTTTATATTATTATTATATCAAAATGGGAGATTATGAAAGAGCAGCCAGTCCCATGGTAAATAAATAAGAGAGAGAAAAAAGAAAAAAAAAAACCTCAACATTTATGAAAGAAAATAGGGAGTTGTAAAATAATTAAACTGAAAAATAACATAGGACACCTTCGAAAGACCTGTAAAGGCAGAGGAGCATATTGAGGCCAGACGTGATCGTTCAATTTCTCGTTCTCGCAGTCGATCCAGATCACCTAAACGTGAGGTACGTGACTCTCGTAGTCTTTCGCGTTCTCCTCCCCGTCGCAGTACTTCTCGTCGTCATTCTCCTGACCGTCGTAGTAGCAGACGTCGTGCTTCTCCTTCCCCATCCAGAAGCAGAGATCGTAGAAGAAGAAGGTAATTGTCAATGTATAGATTAGCCTTTTTTTTTTTACTCTCTCAGTCAGCTTTACTAACTTTCGAGTAGTATCTCTCCTCGTCGCCGCAGTCGTAGTCCCCGTCATCGTCGTCGTTCTCCTCTCCCCGTTGTCCCTCGTGGCTTGAGCGGTGGAAGATTGGAGGCAAATAAGGAATTCCATGGCACCAGAGTAAGTTTGATTTTACCTTTGATTTTTATTTTATCAGTATAGTTGATTTATAAAAATAACAAATAGGATGAGCCTGAGATGTCCAATATTCTTGGTGTTTTTGGCTTGAGTTTGAGAACAAGAGAGATTGATTTGGAAGAAGTGTTCCGTGAGTTTGGCACAATTGAAAAGGTGACTATTGTCTATGACCACCGAGTAAGTATTTGTAATGTGTATGTGTGTGACGAGAAACTGACATTTTTTAAATGATAATAGAGCAACCGATCCAGAGGTTTTGGTTTTGTTTACTTTAAAGATCAAACAGAGGCTACTCGTGCACGCGATGCTTTAAATGGCATGGATATTGACGACCGTAAGATTCGTGTTGATTACTCAGTCACTCATCGTCCTCACACACCCACACCCGGTGAATACATGGGCGAGCGAAAGATGAGCCATGATAATGGCCGGGATGATCGTCGAGGTGGTGGATATGACCGTGATCGTAGATCCAACAGCTTTAGAGATAGAGGACGTCGCAGAAGTCGTTCTCGTTCTCCTGAAAGACGTAGAAGATACTACCGTTCCAGAAGCAGATCTTGGTCCCGCTAAAGCAAAATAAAAGGCTTTCTCATTTAGCTGTTTATCCCCCCACAAGCATCCAATTTTCAAATCTTCAAATTACTCTACTGCCTTCTCAAAGCGTCAAAAAATCCAAAAAAAAATAAAAATCCCAAAATCCCTCTCCACTCAAACTCAAAAAAAAAAAGTTATATTGTCTTCAAGTGTTTAATTAAGAAAACGCCCTGTATAAGCCCTTCCGTCTTTATCCCCCTTGCAAGGAGTCAAATACATATTTTATTAGAATTCAAAGCTACGGTAACAATTCACATTATGACGCACACACTAATTATTACTTTTTTATCGCACAGGTTCATCAGAACACAAGGAAACTCTTAAAGCAGGTTTGTTAATCATCACCTTTTTTTTTATTTAAATAAACGGTCTGTGTCAAAAAATAAAAAAATATAAAAAAAGGATATTAGGGGGTTTTGTACTACTGTACTGTACAAAGGGGAGTGTATAATAAAAAAAATAAAAAAGATGGAGATGGAGATGTCAATGCTCATGCTAAGAAAAAATATTTATTATATACACATGAACTCTAATATTCTAACTATGCGTGACCCAAGCCAAAACCAACCAAGGGGATCCATAACAAGATGACACTGACAACGGGAATGGTCAAATTATCATCCAATCCAAAGAGATTGCTGATACCTTCGGAAAAGGCAGCCACCAGACCACCATACAGACTCAAGACACTCAATGGAACGGGACTTGTAGATGGTTGGTATGACAACGGGTAACGTGCCAACGGACCAAAATACATCCAAGTCACCATGGTACCCACCACTGCGGCACCCAAACTTCCTGCCAACGATTTACCACCGTATTGTGGTGTATATTTACCCCACAGACGACCACAGATACTGGCTGTAGGGTCTGTCCATGAGAGATAGATAATCGAAAGTGCTGCAATATCAATTGGAAAGAAATAAATGACAATCACACAACCTATTGTTTTAATGAAGGGGAGTTTGTAAAAAAAAAAAAAAAAAAAAAAAAAAAAAAAAAAAAAAAAAAAAAAAAAATTAGTACGATTTCCTTGTGATTAAGTCATCATCATTACCAAGCAGATAGTAGACAACACCATTGACTCTGTTCTTGACTTCGGAGGGTCGCATAAGCGGGCCTAAAACGTAACAATAGATTCGGTTGAACCACTCTGCGTTAAAACGCAACACTTCGGCAGATCCCACCACACACAGCATGGCAGTTAAAATAGGGTAAACGTCACTTGCTTCCACACCTCCCATAATTATGTATAAAACAAAGAAGCCTACAAGATAAACTGTGTCAGTCATCGGCTTCCATGTTGACATGCGAATTTTTTTGTTTTGTTTTGTTTTACCTATACTGTAATGGAATGTCTTACGAGGAATCTCCCAGCTGCCTTTCGTTGGCACATGAGAGTACTTTTTATCTAGGGATGCTTGTTCTTTACTCATGTAATGTATGAAAGAGTGAATAAAAAGATAACACTTTTTAAAATGACATTTTTTAAATATAAATCTATTTTGAATGCACACAATCATAAACCCCGCTGCGCGCGACACTAAAAAAAGGCATTATTTTTGTGCTAGTGTTATTCTTTTTTTAATTTTTAATCCTTTAACACTATGAATCGCTACGTTAGATTGTCATTATTCACAAAGTCTTTTAACAGACAGAACTTATTACGAGGCAAGTATATTAAGAGCAAAATAAAAATAAATATACTGATAAAAAAGACGTGCAGTGAGACCATTTTCAATGGCCACGACGGAAACAATAGACATGGAAGGATCCATGAACAAGATTGAAGAATTATTCAGCGCCGCCAAAGACGAGGTAAAAATGAAAAGCAGCTGAAAATCATGCCATATCTGCTCACGCGTACATTTCTTTATATATGTAGTTGGAATATGCAGATGAATCACAAGGATCTGTTTACTACCACGAAGATCGTACCACAGCCGAAAAGGCCGTGACGGACGTCTTAAAGGCGTACGAGGATTTTTTGACGGAACTGCCTTCCGATGATATGAGAGACGTTGTCAAGTCCAAGGTTGGAATGAAGATGAGAGAATTGAAAATGACCTTTGATGCATTGCCCGAGGAAGGACATTGATTTATTTTTTTATTATTTATTTATTTATTTATTGGTCGTAGGAACATGACCTGCCTTTAATAAACGCTCCAGTCTGGAAATCTCATCAAGTGATGTAGCTTGTTTAAGTGCCTCCTATTATTGTTATTTGGTATTTAATAAAAAAAAAATGTCACACTAAATATATAATCATCACAAACCTTGATCTTGATTTGTTCATCAGGTGTAAGACCGTGACTTTGTCCAGCCTCTCCTAACCCTTCTCCCGGCTCAAATGTCTTTGTTTTATGGTCGGTAATTGATTTGGCCAAGTCATTATCCGTACCATCTGCTTTACGGAACAATTGTTCGGCTTCTTTACGTTCTGTCAATTTCACCTTGTTGAAATCCAACACGTGTAATTGAGGCAGTTTATAAATCACAAAAAGACGGTAATGAGGTTTCTTGGTGACAGGGTTATCCAATACACTGAGGTGCGTCAACTGCTTACAGCTGATTAAGGGTTCCAAATCGCCTAATTCAGAAAGCGCATTGTTGGTCAAAATAATCGTATGCAAGTTGGGCACATGCTCCTCTAATCCACTCTCGATTTTACTAATACGGTTGTTGTTGAGTAATAACTGTTGAAGACGGTTTAAGCGAGGAAAGTTGCCAAGCACACGTAAATCATTGTTTATAAAGTCAATCGAGTCATTCAAATCCTAATCCTCACAATTAATATATGAACTATCTCTTTCTCTCTCTCTCTTTTTTTTTATATATATTGAATATCATGTTTACTTTGGTGACGCCAAGGTTCTCAATGGCAGGTATTTTTAAATCTGTCGAATAACAATGGTTAAGCATCCGCGTACGTATACGTATATTCTTTAATCAGGCTATTTGTTTACCTCGAAGAATAAGTTCGCGATCTCCCACTGGGTTGATGTGTGAGATGCTGTTATTTATTAAATCGGCAGTCAACTTCATTCTGATGGTTCAAATAAGAAGATGGAAAAAAAAAAAAAATAAAAAAAAAAAGAGTGAAAAAGGGCCCCCTATGAGCTGCCATTGAAGTGGCTTGTGGTTGTGTTTAGCGCGCGGAAATCCAATTAAAAAGTACAGCACTTCCCACATGTATATAACTCTGTATAAAATTCTAATGCTGTGTGACACTTTTGTTTTATTAAGGCGTGGAATCATAAAGGTCGGGAAAGGATTTGGAAAACTCGTCTGACAAGATACTTTTAAATTCCTGTAGTAAAAAACAAATAAAATGTCAACCATGCTCAGATAATTTAATATAAAGCTCGCTTACGTTGACAGCCTTGATTTTACCGTTGGTAAATTGGTTCTCTGTTGCTGCTCGTTCAACAAAACCCTGTGTGAAAATATCTGGATTTTTACCGTGCTCGACGAAACTATGAGTAGGAGTTTGTTAATCTTGAAAAAGGCACTACTTTTACATTCACAATGCTACTTTATGACTTCTTCAGGGATAAATGAATCAATGTCATCTTTTAAATGGTCAATGTCTTTATAATGTTCGATAATGCTGTTACTATTCTTTTGGCATTAAAAACTTGTTGTTGTAAGGGCTCTTTTTCTCTCTCTCTATAAAAAAAAGATGCTTACATTTTCTTCCATACTAGTTTGTTGCCATCCGGTTGAAAATCATAGACAATCACACTTAGTTCAAATAATTCTTGTAACAATTCATTCAATTGATCTTCCACACTTTGTCGTGCATTCACAGTTGAATTCTCTTCAGGTTGCATAATGAGCTTTTATAGATTAAAGAAAGAAGATAAATAAATAAAAAAAAAAAATTAAAAACTCCTCCCTTTTTTATTATTTTGATTTTTTTTTTTTTTTATTTGGCATGAATTTTTTGAAAAAGAAAGGTATTATTTATACAAGGTGTTTATAATTTATCGGTTTTGTTGTTGATTTTGTGAGTAATAACTACGAACCATAGAGGCACTCATATTATCACCCAAAGCATCGTTCATCATGGTGGGTCCATATCGAGATTGTGGTTGAAACGCACTTGAGCGTCCATTGTTATATGAATCACCAGCAACAGAGTATCCACCACCTATGGACTGTGCATATCCACCACCACCCATAGATGGTGCATATCCTCCCGCAACAGATTGTGGGGCTCCATACACAGATTGTGAGCCATTGACTGAGTATGGATTACCACCACCGCCGTAGCCTCCATACACGGACTGACCACCACTAACAGAGTAAGCAGGCATACCACCAGGGCCGGGGGACATACCAGGCATAGGTGAGGAAGTCATACCACTACGTTGAGACATACCATCACTATAACTCTCACTAGATAACATGCGTTCGTATTGAGACCAAGAAATTAAGGGAATCGTCTTGGGATCAAATTCACCTTCATCCGCCACTGCCATCTTCTTACCCTTCTCACCTACTACCACACGCGTATTACCCCAAGAGAAATCATCGAAATGCCAGTAAGAGTAAACAGGGATCCAGAAAGAAAAGATGGGTAAAGCCAAGATAGAAATAAAGAACCAGGCAATGTATTCCCAACGTTTGTTGATGATAAAGATCAAGATTTGAAGACCATAAGTACAACATAAAGTAATAATCGTAATATACGGAATTTGATCCTTGGCTTGTGTCAGTGCATAAATCAAGTATCCTAAATAGGCCAATAAAGCGGGTTGAACCATGGTACTGAAAAGATCCAACATAATCACAAATCTCATAGAGAAACAACAGAAACCACATAATTTAGGTAAAAAGATCAATTCACTTAAATTGTGCACGGTGGAATTGATCCATCGACGACGTTGCGAAATCAAAACATCCCACGTATCAGGCGCATTTGTTTTACACTGGGCATCCGGGTTAAACTTGGTCTTGAAATTGGGGAAATGTTTAAGCAAAAGCGTAGTCAAGTAACGATCTTCACCCAAATACAACAAATTCTTCTTGTGTAAAGTGTCAACCACGTTAATAGTATAATCGGCAATAATCTCATTAGCTACAAACAAGGGACGTTGTCCATCCACCGTACGGACACGGTACATGGTGAAACAACCGGGCAAACAACTGACAGTAGAGAACAAGGATTCAAAGGACTTGATCATATGATGAGAAATAAAGTATTCGTACACTTGAATCATCGTCACCCAACTGTCCTTTTCATTCGCAATCGTCGTTTCACCACAAAGACCAATAATCTTGGCATCGTGAGCCATACTAGCCACTAAATGCGTAAGCCCTTCACGCATTACTTCAGTATCTGCATCCACCATCAAGACATAATCATACATTTCGGGGCTAATACCAATAATGTTCTTCATTTGATGATACATTTCAAGTTGCATAGGGTTCATGGGGGCATCATATTGAAGACGGTTCAAAAACTGCATCAAGACTAATTGTGAATCACGTTTACCACGATTACCAGGCTTTTGACGTTCGTTGGGGGCTCCGACTTTAGCAACAACAAGGTAAGGTACAACATGACCATTGACCACGTATAAACCAGAGTAAATCTTGGCTCGGTTATGTTGCTTCATACCTTCACCCACCGAAATGAATGAAACTGGCTCAGGATCCACAGAAGGGTCAACACCAAAGATATCCAATACAATACGAGGCGTGGGACGATCATTACCACTACCAATAATCATACCATCACAAATCACCAAAATCAATTTACGCTTATCATCATAATGAAGTGTACCCAAAGAATCAATGGTTTTACGCAATGACTCTTCATCCTCGGTATAACAAGTGACTTGACAAATAACAAATTTATCCGATTCTTCAGGCATACGGTTCGTACCGAAACGTAAAGCAGCACAAAACTTGGCAAAGATGACCAAACAAAGACAAATGGTCACAGCCAACAAAAAGTAGGTAGAGAATTGACATTTAACAGAATTACGGTTATCCACCAAACCAGCATAATACAAGTTTCGGATACAGGCTAATTCTCGATTCTTTTCTGCGTCGGTCAATTGGAGCGCATGGAATGCTTCAGAGATATCTCCACCAGAATTCTTTTGAAAGAGTTCAACTACATATGGATTCAGGAAATTCACGTCCACCGCTTCAGTAGGCGCAGATCCTCCTTCAGGAATCGAAAGATAACGACCACCCAAGGTATATGTAGTGAGATCATAGACATGGTCATCAATCACGGCCCAAATACGGTTCATCTTGGATCCATTTAATGTGTAAGAGCCTTGGGCTTGATCCTTCAAAGCCTTACTTTCAACACCCATATTACCCTTTTTATAAGACTTGCGGAGCATGGTCATTTGGTCAAAGTACCAGTTGGGACGATAATCACCAGAGGCATATCTGAAATCATGGTATTGCGCATTGACATCCGTCAAATTTTGTGTGTAGTCGAGTGATACATAAGGAGATACGCCTTCACAAAGATCGGAAGGCTGAACAGGAAACATATTGGTAGCATCTTGACCTTTATACATAAGCACAGCAGTAGAAGAGACCACACCAGGGTAATGATGGTAGGCAAAGGCACCTAAATCAAACACTTCACCACGAATCGCTACGAATCCTTCTGATTTACCATCACCTATTTGCAGTTCGTTTAAAGAATAGACGTTTTGTTTGGGACAGATGATATCACCAAAAAAGACCAAGAAACCAATGACAAAGGCACACATAAAAGTAATGATGAAACAAAGCGCCACTTTTTCACGCCATGCCAATCGCACATCTTTACGTTTCATACGTCCACATTTCATCAAGAAATAACTAGGTACCCAAAAAGTAATGGCCCATACAAAGACAAGCCATCGTTTACGTCCTGGTGTCATTGAACTAGGTTGTTCCTCTGTCGCATTGATATCGTCTTCGGGTGGAGATAACACAGGAGGTGTATATGTTCCTTCTGTACGTGTATCACCATATTGTGAACCTGTGTATTTGGAATCGCCATATTGACTTCCCTCATAGTAGGAATCGGTAGCGTTGCCCATAAACATTTGCTTGGGTGGATTTAATTCAGAGAGATAGGACATTCTACCACCATCATTGTGCTGATCCATACCACGTGTTTGGATATTCATACCGTCTTCTGCATCCAAAATAGATTCGGCTGCAGCAGCATTCTTTACACTGTTGCTTTTTATATCTTGTTTTTCTAATGATTTTAAGTGTTCCTCCAGCATGTGCCAGCTCGCATGACTCAAAAAGACCTGATTTTTATAAAAAGGTTAAAACATGTATCAATCTAAACAATAACAAAAGAAATAAAATTACCTTGCTTGTGCCTACAACCATGTCGGCGTCTAGCCATTGATGCATCTCCTTTACAGATTCACATTGTTCTTGCTGCGTACCACTGTGATCCAATCCCATATTACTAAACTTGATGGCATACTTTGACAAAAAGTCTTCATGTGTACAAGAGATCAAGTAAAATTGCTTCATTCTGGTAGCTAAATTCTTTAAATCAAATGCCTTGATCTGTGATTGAACCACCTGTTTATCGAACTGAGTTGAACTTTCTGTTGCATTGGGACGCACACAAAAGACGGACCAGACAGTTGCTTCCGAAAACGAGTTGATTAAATCGTCCAGAGCGTGTTGAATTTGGGAGAGCACAGTGTTGGCCCCAGTTGTTTCATCGCGTTCCTTCTTTTCGACAGCAGCTGAATTTCGCTTACTTTGACGCATGGAGGGCATACGTGTGGGTTTCGCAGATTGTTGCGCTTCAACAAGATCAGCCATACCGCCCAAGGGATGACTATCAATTGCCAAGTTCTCATCAGAGAATAATTCCAGAGTAAATGAATTCCATGAAGCAGGCATATCGGGACCACCACGAAACAAGGAAATAAAATCCACCAAAAGTTGATTATTGTTCTTGGTGATGAAACCAGTGGTATCATAAGTCACTTCACCTGCAAAGTGATTGACGGCAAATTGTCTAATACCTGTGTTGGATGTCTTTACAGCCAAAGCAGGACTTTCGGCATTGTATTTAAGAATGGCTTCCACTGCGTTGGAATCGGAAAAGACACGTTTGCCGCTGGTGGTCTTTTCAGACATTTTGTTGAAAACGGCACAGATACCTCGTGAATGTCGCTCAAAGAGTTCCACACAGGCAGAAGTATCGTTATAGGGAACTTCAGGTACATCAATCAAATCTGCTAATAGTTCATCGTTACCCGTTTTGAACATGCGAGTGGATAAAAAGTTGTAGACGCGTTCGTTGGCATAATCGATGCAAAATTGGTCAAATCCGACTGATCCAAATCCAGATGTTTGTGTTCCAGGGAAATCCAGAATACCAATAAAGCTATTGAATTGGTCTACACATGTTTTTCCATTAATACGTTCAACCAGCCATGAAAATAAAAGTGAATATAAGGTTTGGGCTAATTCGTCACGTTGTGCAGTGGCTTGCTCGGCATCCAAAATCAAGGTGGTGACATCTTTACCAATTTTTGTTGTTTTAAAAGTCAAGACGGATTCGAGTTCTCTTACTTCCACACCTAATAAATCGGCCACCATGTTCAGTGCCTCCACATTTTTAATGGTGACACCTTCACCGGTACCAACACCCGCAATATTGTCAAAGGAGATGTTACCCAAATGAAGGATAGCAGCCAAAAGTTGTATGATTCGACTCAAATGGTCTCTTTTGAAACCAGCTAAGCGCATGACACCCTTCAGTTGATCAAATTCGTCTTTATCTGCTCCCAAAATAGGTCGGCCGTACCTTGACAGATAGGTGTAAGAGGCTGGGTCATCTTTCAACTGTAACACTTGTTTTTCGTCGGGAGAAGTTCCGGCCAAAAGCCAGTAAAAGATATTGAAATTGCCTTCTGTTGATTTACTGGCGGTGAGACGAGATTTTTCCAAAAAATAGTGAAGGTTTTTAGCTCCCAACATACGACCGCGCTCGTTAAACTGGATCTCGGTATAGAGACCAAAACGGGATGCGGAAAGATTGTTGTAAGCAGTTTTGGCAGAACCAAAAGCAGATAATACTTTTTGGCCATGGATGATTTGTGCCTGGACTTTAGATCTCTTTTTACTGGAGCTAAGAGCGACTAAATGTTCAATCACTAGATTACGAACTTCTGATTTTCCACTTCCGGATTCGCCACTAGTATAAGAATAGATGATATCAGATTGTGACACACAGCGAAGAAAAAAAAATTAACTCACTTTAGGAAAACGGCTTGATCATTCCCGGTTCTTCTCATGTGGAAAAAAGCACGGTTGGTCAACTCAAATACATGTGGGTTGAGTTTTATGGGGGATTCGGGAGAGATTTCCTTGTAAGAAGCGACATAGTCTTCACTGGTCTGGGTATCGTTTTGGGCCAGTTGTTTAAAGGGGTTGATGGCAATAAGATGACAAGGTCCGATATGTGTATAAATGTTATAATTAGAGAATCTAGAGTTAAGGATATCCGTAATTCTTTTCTCATCCAAGTCGGATATAGTCGACAAGTCCACAATAGCCTCTTGTTGTTTATTCGACATCTATTATCTTTTTTTCGACAACAACAACAACAAAAAAAAAACAAAAAAAAAAAATAGAGGAAAGAAAAAGGTCGGGCTCGAAAAAAAAAACTTTTTTGGGAATTATATAATTTAAAAAGAGTTCAAAGAGAAGCCATACGATTGGCAAGACTTGGCAAAATATATAAATAGCTACTGCTTGTTGACACTTCGTATTTCCAACACCGATTTATTATTATTATTATTTTTTATTATTGCATAACAAAACGCTACGTAATAATAAGATCATACTACAAATACTTTTGTGTTAATTATTAGCTTTTTGTTTATTAGAAAAGTTATAGTGTAAAAAATGATGCCAGGGATGAAGGGGATAAAAAAATAATTAAAACTGAGATTATACAAGGTTTCGGCCCTATTGGGAGAGAGAGAAATATTTTTTAGGTTAGTTTTAAAGCGGTTACAAAAGGTTTGGAGTCAGGATGGTGCCTTTGATTTTGGGCTTTGAGTCGAGGTCTCTCAATTTTGGGAGGCTGTTGTGCGTCCTGAGTGATGGAAAAACCTGTCTGGTTTTGGAACGGAGTTATTTTAAGCAGTGGCTTCCATGCAGAGATTGCTTTTTTCTCTCGTCGTTGAGGTCGACGACGTTGGCATGAACAACGTGGCTCAGGTTTTTGTCGATGTTGTTGGCATGGATACGAATATCTATAAATAAACTTGTTGTTAAAATGTTGATGCGTTTCATCCACGATAATGCGCCTCGTTGCTCCTTCTTTTTTGTCCAGCAATAATAGCGATAGGTTGGGCTCCGAGTGATGTTGTCCTTGCTTTTCACTAGCAATGACAGCTTGTGGCTTTGGTAATCTCTTTTTAATCGTAAATAAACTTTTTCCAGAAAAGCGTGGTGCATCTGTATTTGTGTAACCAGCCTGATTATTTTTCGGATTGGTCATAGTAACCTGGCCAGGCCCATCCTGTTGCTGTTTAGCAGCGCTCTGCATTTCTCGGTTCATGACGACGGGATATGACCGGTACTGCCCACTTGCTGGTACCGGGCGGTGGTTAGCTGTCCCATGTTTGGGCGCAGTCGCTGTTTGTGTATGGTTGGACATTGGATTACGGTGACTGTCTTGATGGAGCACAGAGGACATATTTCTTGCGATAAAAGCATGATGGTTGACAGACGGAGGAGGTGAAGGTGCTTGCTTGGATTTATGATACTCTTGACGGTGTCTCTCTTTCATGCGATCAATAGCAAATCCGGGGGATCTTTGGATAGAAGGAGCGCCTGTATGAATAGAGGATTTCTTAATCGAACTGTGACTAGCAGCATAAGAGCGAGAGATTAGCTCGATTAATGGGGTTGTGTCTTCTTGTTTGAACTCGGCGGGGTTTAAAGCAGACTCGGACCAACCACCACCAGTACCTTCAGCAGGAGAAACTGGCCCGTCGTCTTCGGAAGACGAAAAGGATTCAATGGATGTGTTATCAGAGATACAAGTAGACAGTCTGCCTCTGATCATGGGTGGAATAGTGGTGGGCGGAGGAGCATGTGAAAATGGCGAGATTGTGTTTGCATTACTGCTAGAATTTGATTTTAAATTGAGCGAGTGACGAATATCTTTGGTGGACGTTTCGCTGCCTTTTACAATAAGAAGCAAATGTTAACTGTCGTAATATAGAATAGTTTAAAAAGTAGTAGCTTACCAGAGAAAGATTTTGTGCTCTTAGTGGGTAAATCACTAAAAATTTCTTCCAAAAGGTTTTTGGATATGTCAGATGTATCCGTTAATAGGGATTGGACCATGGGTGAAGCCACTGAATCTATGTCAGATGCCACATCCTCTTTTACGGCATTGTTCTTTTTGCTTTTTTTTCGAAAGTTTAAAAGTCCCATTGTGTGATTAGATAAAAAAAAGAGAAGTTGTTGTATTACTAAAAAAAAAAAAGGAAAAGAGGGTGTTTATTGTGGTTCTTATAGGATGAATTAAACTGAGATACAGGGATAAAGACAGTAATCGAGAAGGGTGAAAGTGAAAGAAAAAATTCACTATATCTCCTGCAGATATATACGTATTGTGTACATAAAAGGTATTTCAAATAAAATTGGCATTATGCTACACAAGTCCCTTATTTCATTTCATGTGCATACCGAAAAAGGATTTTAGTAATCTACAAATAAAACATAAAAAATGGCGGTATACTGTTTATGCGGCTGTTGCTTCTGAGCATACCATTCATGCAATAGAGTAAATGTTTGTTTGTGAAAGTAGTCTTTTTTTAATGATAATATAAAGCTTTGACCATCTTGTTTAATACATGAATCCAATCTTCTTATTCTTTTATTCTCTTTTCATTCTGTTTTTTTTATTAAAAAAAGGTGTATATTTTGCTTAATTAATCCTATACGTATTTTCGTTTTTACTTATCCCTCTCCCCCACCGTGAATCCCGAGAACAGAGAAATAAATTTCTTCTAAATAGGTAAAATCTTCGCAACACAACTCCTTCTTTTTCTTTCTTTGTTGCAACCACCATCATTCTCCTTAAGAGTGGTACCTATAACTAATATGTGCTGTTAACAGATCCATCGGGATTGGGACACTCCTTATTTGCAATGATGAAATATTCTAGGTTCATCATTTTTTAAAAAACAATGGCCTCAGCTTTTGTGTCACAACAGAAAATAATATTTTCTCTGAAAACAGGTGTTTACTAACAGTACGTTTTTGGTAATAAAATACATAAACGAAAATCAGAACTAATGTAATGTATACCTTGCATCTCTTCAGAATGATGATTGATAGATTTTTCTTCGCTAAAAGCGCTGTAAAGATCACTTGTTACCCGATGTATAACCATCGATCTTATGGGCGTATGATTTGGAGCATAAAGGCTGGAAAGATTCTAGATTGCAATGCGCCCATGTTTTTGCTGGGCTTAGGGGAGCAAGAAGGGACTGAATGATTTCATCAGATTACATTATTAAACAGTGTAACATATAACCCAGATTCCTTTTTGTTTCAGTCAAAACCTGGTAAGAACATGTGTGGGGTTTTTAATTAGATTTTTTTTTTTTACTAATCGATCCCAATAGAAGGATAAAGATGTGTAAAGGGTCTTTTTTGGTTTAAGGGATAACAAAGTTGTGTAATACAGGAGCTTCTCGATCCAGATTGATTTTTTATGCAAAGCAAAGAAACGATATTTTTTTAGTTTTTTAAATAGACACAAGAATACAATGACCTGATTGACTTCATATGAAAAATCAGCGTTACGTATTATACCTCTGCTTTAGTTACTCAATAGCTTGCCACCTGTGACGAATATTATGCAGGGTTTTTAAACTCATCACAGGCGATGGTAAGCGTATAGCCATGTGGCGCTTTTGCCATTTTACTACTGAGGATGTCGATCTAACTATTGTTGGGGGGCAACCGCGTCAAATGGGGAAAAACTATCGTTTTAAATAATCGATCGTAAATAATATTCACTTCGTCATAATGATTGCAATAGACAATTTCCTGTAACGAGAAAAGCAAAAGCAAGTTTATTTTTATTATTCTAATAAAACCAAATAGGTACATTTTTACGCAAGACCAACTTCAGCTAAGCTTACCGGGCACATTCGCAACTAATCTGCATACAGCCTTTGTGGATTGTTATGTAAAAAGACCATAATCCCTTGCCTTCAGAAGAAGAAGACGAAGAAGAAAAAAGGTTTTTGGACATCGACAATAAAACTTGTATGCAGCAACAATCTCGAGCGAAAATTTAAACATCGTAAATACTTCACAGGAGGGACTGTACATTACATCATCTAGCTAGTTAGTCAGCCTTTTTTTCTATATAGAGGTAATCCCTTGTTTACCCTGTCAAAAAGGAGGACGTTACTTAGCGAAATGTTACACAATGTTAGTTGGAACGCATCCTTTCGCCACTAAATCAGAAAAGCTGAATTTCCTTTTCTTGTTTCTATCCAGGAGGCTCTCTTACTAATGAACCAAATTCGAAGTCATAAAACAATTATGATTGATCCGCAAAAATGTCTAATACTGTCACGAAGTATTACAATAATCTGTTGTATCAGGATTTTATTAGCTGGTAATATTCACTCTTTGGTATTTTTAATCATGCAGCTCTTTGTCTGTAAAATGTCTTTATAGTAAGATACTTCAGAAATGATGAAGTAAAATCAATTGTGGCTGTTGCTTTCATGACATCCAGGTATGTATTATCCATGTTATGATTTATATAGATAAATATTTATGTTATTATGCTCGACCTCATTTGAAAATTGCATTAAAGTCTAGAAACTACTGTTGGTATCACCGCTGTTGATTCCGTTGGGCTGTCACATATTAAAAACAATGAAGCCCCAATGTTTAATAATAAATGTCCGATAACAATTAAATGTGTGAATAGTTTTTAGATATTAGATTGTAGATCATGAACAGAAAACATAACTATGCGTATATAATACACAGACTTGGCTTTTGGATCTTCTGATGTATTTTGTAGATCCTAGTCAAATTTTTAATTGAGAAGATTCCACAAGATGAATGGAAAGACCTATGAAGCAACACAAAATAGTGACTATAGCTCGTATATCGCTATTACAACCTCCGCTTTGCTTACTGTGTATGTTTGTACAAGAGTTATATTGACATGAAACCGATAGGTATAATAAACGGTTTATTACCAAAAACTATAGGAAATGCTAACATGGTTCCATTTATAGGCCTATGAAGCCGTTTTATTATTTTCATACTTCGCCCTGCAATAAAACTTCCATTTAAAATTCGTGTAACATGATAAGTTGGAAAAATCAAGTATTTGAATAAAAGTGGTCTTAAGTTTGAAACTCGTCATGAACCAAGTGATGACGATAAGAAATATCATTAGCTGGTTATTTTTAGGAAACATCTAAACTTTTCGACATATATTAAGCATCTTAAACTATCAAGTGAACATTTTACATGTGAACAATGGTATAAAATTAAGCTAAATACCTGTTAAATACCCGCTAACTTAGTAACTATTCTTCCAGCTAAGTGTTGTGTAACGTTGGACCGTAGCAGCAATGAATTAAAAGGAAGGAAGGGCACCAGAGTAGCACTAGCAAAAAAAAAAAAAAAAAAAAAAATAAGGCAAAAGAAAGATAAATATAAAAAAATATGGTTGTAAATGATAGATTGATATATCTGATTTTAACAATAATCAAGATTCTAGGTATACAAAAGGATGCAAATGAAAAACTCATGTAATACAAATCTTTACTGAATATACAGCATCTTTCTAGAAAGATACCATAGTTTTCAACGTTCATGTCATAACTCCATACAAGGCGCAGTGTAAGGATTAGGGAAATAATGAGATATCGGTATAGAGACAGAATTTTAGCCTTTTAACATCTGTAGTTGATCTGATTGTTTTATTTCTGTTTTGTGTACATTGCTGATACACCATATTCAGGGCCATTGTCTTTATTATTAATTATACCGACCCTTATTAGGTAAATATGCTACTGGGGTGATCTCCATAAAAGATAATAAAATAAAACCTTATTTAGTTGCTCATAATCCAAACATTTAAAAGGCCAAATGATAAAAACAAACTTTTCAACATTTATAGAGAAAAGGTAATAAAAGATGAGAAGAATAAAAAATCAGTACATCAGGAGTGACAATGTACAACAAAATAACCTTTTTTCGACTAAAGGCGTGAAAAATAGCCAATTGTAGGTTGCTTGTACTTTTAATTATTCTACGTTTGATAAGTTTTAAGAAAAAAGAGGAGCCATAACGGTTACACGATTAATATTACTGTAATACTAAAAGAATTTCCCAAGTTGATTAGCTATTATTTTTGAGCACATCCTCTCTCACACTCTTTTTTTCTCGCACTTTTTTTTTTATAAATTCACTCTTCACTTGTTTTTTCTTGCAAAAAAGAAAAAAAGAAAAGGCCAATACAACTAGATTGAAAGAAAAGAAAAATCAGTCATTATGCGAATGTCTCTTGTAAACAAGTGGCTAATTGTTGTTGCCGTAGCTTTATTGCAACTCGTATTGACAGTTCAAGCTCAAATTGATACAGATCCTCTCCCAACTACCACAACAAAACCTCCAGTAGTAACAACTACTACAACTACGCCTAAACCTGTTGTTACTACTCCTGCTCCTACAACTACGCCTAAACCTGTTGTTACTACTACTGTAGCCCCGATTACAACAACTGTCTCAACTCTTAAGCCTCCTTCTATCATTGCTAATACAACTGCCTCCTCGACTATTCTTTCAACAACTACTACCACTACGTCTTCACTGATTAGTATTCCTACTAGCAGTATGCCAAGTTCTACATCTATCAGTATTACTTCTGCCTCCTCCTCTGCTACACCTTCTGCATCAGCATCACCTGATCCCGAAAAATCAGAAAAACCAAATACGGCAGTCATTGCTGGATCTGCTGTTGGTGGCGTAGGTAATTATTTTTAAACGCCCCATAAATTTAAACTTTTTTAAATTTATATGGTTTTCGTTCATTTTTTTAGTTCTTCTTGCTTTGATCGGTGGTGTTTTGGCTTGTGTCAATCGCCGTGGTGGATGTACTAAGAGAAGAGACAAGAAGAAGTCTGATTTTGAGGATTATGGATTGGGAGATTTCCCTCATCACAGAACTCCTGCTATTCCTCCTCCTATGGTCGCTAATAAGCCTGTATCACCCACTATTCCTAGAATGAACGATCAGGGTAATTATTATAACGACGATCCCAACTACGGTCACTACAGCTACCAAGATAATAACATGGACTATGGAATGCAACCCCAGCAAGGATACTATTATCCTCAACAACAACACCATCAACAGCAACAGCAAGAATATTATGATGATGGTAACTATTATTATGATAGCAATACGTCTGCAACAGCTTATTCCTCCGTACCTCCTATGCATCAACAACAGCAACAACCTCAACCAGGTTATGCAATGGCTAATGTCCCCCAAAATCATAGTATGACCACCCAAGATGTTTACAAACCTGATGAAGTTGGCTCTCCCATTAGTAGCCATGCTAATGTGCCCCATCATAATAGATAGAAAACAAACATCATCCCATATTCTTCTGTGTCAGTCTGTTTTACAATGCCGTATAATTTATCCTTTTAATTTTTTCGCCTTCTTTCAGATAGTTGTTAAACTCTTTTACAATCATATATTAATAATAATAATTCTATTTACCACGATTTTTGTTTTTTAACACTAAATTAATATGTTTGGGTGTTTTATTTTAAAAATTAGATAAAACGTAAATTAGTAATATAAATTAAGAGGGGGTTTAAGTAGGGTTATAGTTAAATACATAAGTGTTGACATTATCAACTAATAATAATAATAGAAATAGAAATACAGTGATGGCATAAAAAGGCATAAGATATATACATTGGGTGTGGTTTGGATTAGAATTCCCTATTTTGAGCGATGATTTCTTTCATCAGAATAATCGGACTTGAACCCCATTATACTGCGCTGTGTTTCTATAGCTTGCTTACGAGCTTCTTTAGCCAGTGATTCAAATCTTGATGACTCTTCATGATCAATAGTTTGACCAAGCAAACCTTGTCTGAAGCATTTGGCTAAGAACTCGAGTGCTTCAGGATCATCAGAACGTCCCGCCATAGCCCAGTATTCAAAAGCCTTTTCAAGGTTTCCCTTTTTCTCATAATAGTAAGCCAGTTCTTTCATAGCCGAGACGTTTCCTTCACTTTTTTCTTGAATCAAAATTTCGAGACCCTTTAGTTCATCGTTCTTGGCGTTGGTTTGAATGACCCACCCATTAACCAAGTAAGATCCAATTTTGAAATTCGCATTTTGGTTATTTGCTTGTAAAGATTTATAGAACCAATCAAACGCCTTATTTCGATGGCGATTCGTGGGAAAGACACCTGATACACTCAAACACGTCTCTTCCAGACAGCCTAATGCATACTCCGCCATACCTCCAGGACATTTTCCAGATTCATAGGCCTTCATATAGCACTTTCCGGCTTCCACCAGATTTTGATTTCCTAATTCGCCAGTTTCATAAAAGGAACCTTCTCTGATCAAAGACAACATACACCCATTTTTAGTAGCACGTTTATACCAAGACTTGGCTTCAGAGGCGCTTTTAGAAATTTTGAATGTAATTTCACCTGAAATAATTCCTGTAAAGCCATTGCGATATAACTCCCCGAGTTCATAAGCAGCAAGACCATGGTTTAAGCAAGCGGCCTCCTCAAGATCTTCGAATCCTTCTTCATAAAGACCAGCCTTAATTTCCAGCTTGCCTAATTCATAATAGGAGGGGGCGTGATTCTTGTTAGCAGCAGTGCGAAGATAATTGGCCGCGCGTTTGGAGCGAGCAGCTGCGTTCAAATTGTTATCTTTGATTGTTTCAGCAATTAAGTACTTGGCATAGTAGTAACATGATTCGGCATGGCCAACTTGGGCAGACTTGTGATAGTAGTCAGCTGCTTTCTTACAAGGTGTATCGACATCTTGACCATTGTTATCTTCAGAGTGATAGTATTGGCCCAACTTGAATGTGGCGTTTGTATCATTTCGAGCAGCCTTCAATAAGAAAGTTGGGAATGCTTTAGTATCAGAACCCATCAGTTTGGTGATTTCAGCTAATCTCTCATAAGTTTCATTGTTCAATAAGAATACACAGGCCTTGTTGTAGAAGTCAGATGCCAAATTAATGTCAATTTGGACACCATGACCATGTTCATAACATTGACCCAAGCGGAATTGAGCATAACTGATAGCCATACTATCATAATAATCACAAGGGACAACTTTTTCAAAGGGATCAATCAAAGAAGACAATTGGTCAATATTTTGTTTGGTTCGCAGTTGGGTATCCTTCATAGCGTAGTACAAAATCATGATTCTGGCAACAGGACTAGCATCAGAAATCTCATGAAACCAATCCAAGGCTTGTCGTTCCATATTGTAGTAGCTGTATGTAATACCAGCGGCAAGCTTCATCTTGTTGATCTCATTCAAGTAGTCATTGTTGGTCTTGATTTTTTGAACACGTTCTTGGACATAGAATTCAGTAAGTCGGTTCTTGAATGTAATAGAGGTACTTGAACTAGCATCAACCTTTTGGAAACACTCCTCAGCCAAGTCTTCTTTTCCTTCCATTGTACCATACAAGTAGCCAAGTTCGAGAGTGGCTAATATATTACCAAGCTCACTGGATCTAGTAAGATATGTTCTGGCTGTTTCACGGTATCCTTTGACTGTACCATCACGCAGAGCTAATAAGCCTCTGTAATACTTGAATTCTGCTTCCGTAGACTTCTTTTCTGAAACACTAGTGATAGACTTGAAAAGATTCTCAACTTTAATCAATTGGCTAGTAACATCGGTGTACTTGTGTGATTTGTAATAGATTTCAACCAATCGCATTCTAGCGTAGATTTCAAGCGATTTGTCAGTAGCCTTATATTTGAGACCATTTTCGTACATAGCAGTAGCGGATGATATTGTGCAGCCATTGCAAATCTCATTTTCATGGCATTTGCCTAATATAAATGGGTTGTGTGCGTGAGTAAAAAAAAGAAAATGTTAAGGTCATACGAAGACTTACCTAAAAGAATGAATGGAATAGACAAGTTTTTTGCATTGTAATTAATCATTTCACTAAGCCAACCAAAGACGATCAATTTACTTCTGGCTTTTCCTTGACCTTCATTCAAAATGAGCTGAGCCCCTTCCAATCTAGCAGACCAACCAGTCTTCTTGGTCACATCATTAGCTTTAGCTACAGCAATAAACTTTTTTAATGCACCAGACTTGTTTTTAGCTGCTTTTAAAAAGAGGCCTAAAGCGAAAGTCATTCTAAAAAAAGAAATGATACATGTGAGTTAATCTATAAAAAGATATGGCGTAACGACTTACTTGTTTGCGATTGGTCCCTCTGCATTTTCAAAGATATCAATAGAATGGGAAATGTCATCATCGTTCATTTTAGAAATAAAGTCACAAAGATAATGACCCGACTGGTGATCATTTAATGTAATTGCGCGCCAAAGACAGTGTAATGTAAATCTAAACTTGACATCAGTGTTACTTGCTGTGGCTTCGGATCTTGCTTCGTTGTAGATGTGTAACAAGTCGCTGTATTCTGCTTGATTCAATTGCGAGTATTTTTCGTAAGTTCCTCTTGGATCAATACCACTGTTTACCACAAGGGCGAGCATCCTGTATGCAATAGGATCTTTTTCCAAGCCAGCAGAGCGATTGAGTTGATTGAAAATATGATAATGATCAATGGAGTTGTTGTGGCTATTTTTGATGATATAATCAGCCAAATATTGTATAGCCAACGATTCATTGTGTCTCGCCGCAGCACTGAAATATAAGAATGCCTTTTCATGATCACGACCGTCAGTTCCTGGACCATTGGTAAAGTGGTAGACGCCAACCATAGTCAGGGCAGGTGCATAATCCTTTTCAGCAGCATCAGAAAAGAATTTGAATGCATTTTCTCTTCCTAAACCGGTATGTTGATGACCTTCCCGTAGCATCTTTCCAACGTAATATTGGCAGTCTGCTTTGTTTTCATCAGCTCCTTTGAGAAAGTAGGCAAAAGCTTGATTTTTATCAATGGGCACAAATTCAGTTCCATCTTCCAATCTAACACCATCCATGTAGGCCCAGGCAATCCAATAGTATGCACCACTATATTGAAACTCATCTGCAAGCTTCTTTAAAGTGTAGAAGGCACTTTTAGGGTTCTTTTGAGCTCCACCAATTCCATTATATTCCCAAACAGCAACACGAACACGAGCTTCGTTCTTGATTGCAGCCACATTCCAATGTTCTTCGTCAAAAGCAGTACAGTGATGATGAATGACTCTTTGGAATTCAAGATAGGCGTGGGAGGGATTTTCTTTCCTAATAAGCAATCCACGAGATAACTTGGCTGCAATATTATCTGGGAGACTAGCAAATATATTCATGGCTTCGGATAGATTTGGGCTCACACCAACGCCCATCCAGTACATTTGCCCCAATATAACTCGTGCAGGTATATCGCCCATTTCGGCAGCTTCTTGTATAAAACTGTAAGCCTCCACCGGATTTCTCGGAGTGCCTATTCCCATTAGTGACAAGACGCCTAATTGTCGTAGTGGCGTAGTAAATCTCGAACCACGTTGGCCATTTTCATAAAAAGTGGCTTTAGCCGCAGCACCCATATAACGAAATGCGGTTGCAGCAAAATTTGGTCCAGCTTTTAAGTAGATTACACTCATTTGGTAGCAGCTGATACAGTAAATTGGGCTTGATTGAGAGATCTGAACTTTTTGACAATATTTGATTGCCAAACTTAACCGATCAATTTTCTCGTAATACAATGCTAATGAGAGAGATGCAACTGAATGACCCTGAAAATAGAAAATGTTAGTGTAACCGCCAACAAAATCTGGGGGAATAGTGTTACCATAGTCGCTGCATTTTCCAGCATGTTAATAGCATCTCTAGTTCTGAAGCCTGATACACCATTAGGACTGAAGAGAATAAGGTTTCCGAAAGCAACTTTGGCAGGGAGTAAGCCAAGCATGGCAGCTTGATAATAAAATTGGCACGCCTGATCAATATCTCCTTGTCGCTCAGCATAAAATCCCAAAATAAACGAAGCACGAGCATTACCATTTTTAGAAGATTCATCCAAATACAATAGGCCATGTTTTTTGTTCTTGTCGTCATCAGAAGAATGATAAGGTGATGAATTTTCTTTATCGTAATCGAAAACACATTCACAAAGCATACGCCCAGCGCGATATTGAGCGAATGAAACTAAAAGCTTTGTGCGATCATTTAAATTTTGATAGTTTTGATGTCCATTGTTTGCAATGTGCTGAAACAAAGTCAGTGCATGCGCCGGACTATGTTCTGGTGTATTTTTCGATAAAAGTCTTAAACCGTCAATATACATGTCACTAAATTGCTTTTCAAAGTATAGCATTTCATTTTTTTGTGACACCAGCACGTTGGTAGAATTAGGGAGGGTGTGGAACGTTAGACTTCTTGTGGAATTGGTATCTGATACGGAGAATCGACGATCGAATAATGATTCATTACTGTCGTAGTGACTGGATGACGAACTTTCCTGCTGCTGTGATTCAACTATAATTTTATAATCATTTGAATAAATCGATATCTCAGATTGTGTGTCCGTATTTGAAAAATGCGAAAATAATGCATCCTGCAGTGATAGACTGGATGACGTGCTTGACGATAATGTTGAGAATTCGTCATTTGTGATCGCTTCCGTATACGATACGCGATCTTTCAGATTATTCAAATTTCTTAAATGGAGATCGATATCGTTATTGCCTTGGGTATTTATAAAGCTATTCATGTCAGTTAATTTATCCTTAATGTCAGAAAATAGGTAGTCTGAATTGTCTTCGTTGTATGTAATTGGTTGTTGTGGTTTTGTTGGAATAATGACATTTGATGCGGGTTGTCGTTGTTGTCGTTGTTGCTGTGGTAATTGTGATTTGGGTGGTGGTGTGGGGGCTCTAGTAGATTCTATCCGTGCTCTTTTTATAGGCTGTTCTTGTCGTTGTTTGTTATTATTTTTGCCAATACCCCCAAATAATCGTGCAAATATTCCTTTTGCCATTTTAAAATTTATAGAAGAAAAAAGTGAAGGGAAAAGGAAGAAAAGAAAAAAAGAGAAAGAAAAAAAAGGGAAAACACGGATTTTATATTAGTAAAGTTATCTTTTTGCTGCGAACGGACACAGGGACTCACATTTTTTTTTTTTATATAGATATTCCTTCTTATGTACACGTACACGTAAAAAGCGAAATATTCAATCATCTGACTATTTGAAACACAGTCAATTCAACAGATGATATGCACTCTCAGCAAACAGCATGCCTAAGCAATATTTTGGAAATAGACTATATTTATTCCTTGATAATATGATCTTGATACTTGGCTAAGAAATAAGTGGATGTAATGATCTAGAACGCCAAGGTCACAAAAAGTCTATAATTATTTTAATGGGATACAAACCCACTAGTTGTATCGCAGAAATAAGGAGTTCCCCAGTTCATGTTAGAATTCCAATTATATAGCATTGTTGATAATAAGTCAATATGCTGTGCAATGATGGTCTCAATGTTTGCTGCACAGGCCAACAAATATGTTTGTTATTATTCCATGCAATTCCATCACATTTATTTCTTTAATTTTAATGAACAATTAACAAGCGTATGCTATTGTCAAGTAACACGTTTTCGGTCAATGCTTTACCTTTGGACATACAGCTCCATTGAAGAAAAAATTAAATTTAAACCTGAAACATATTGCTAAATTACTGTGTGCCCAAATGACTTTGAGTTAGATCTTTGTTTTGTGTGTTCCTAATTTAGCAAAAAAAAAAAAAAAAAAAAAAAGTCGGTGTATCAATTATTTGAGTTACCATGTTGGTGCTTGAACCGTCTGTTGCGCATCTTGTTTAACGCCTCCCCCCATCCCACCCCCACACCTCTTATCAAAGAAATAATCTTGCACGACTTTAGATTAAAGGGATCGTGAGATATATTCTAAAAGCACTCACGCACTTATAATTTCCTTAAACACACTCCGTTATTTTTCCTTCGATATATTTCCCTTTTTCATTCAGGAATCCAGCACGGAAGAGAAAGGAAAGATCAAACTCCAAATGGGAACCTTAAACGCATTTACTGTTAGTCTACCTCTTGTACCAATATGGTAATTCAACATCTGTCTATTATCGTTATGACCCCTGAAGGGAAGGGTTGAACAATACAACTTTTTTTTTTTACATGCCGGAAACTTAGTCAATGGATGTAACAAAGCCACAAAAATAAGAATTAACGTCAAAAACCCTGGTAAAAACCCGAATATCGATCTGTTTATAGTTTCCGTTCATTTTAAAAAATGCAATATAAACAAATACAAATAAGGAACAGTAAAACTACTTTATTGCTTCTTTTTTTATTCTTTCACTTTTGCTCTTTCTTTCTTACCCTTCACCCAAACATATCAAATCTTGTATATAAAAATAGTTTAAGATAATAATAGATCAAACCAATCTAATTTGCAACCAGTGTATCGCTTTCACAAACACACAATTATAGTAGATATGTATATGTTTAAGCCACTTAAAAATTTCTTAAAAGAAGTTGCCAACGTTAGAATAGCTAGATAATGATTCTATCATTAGCAAAGCACAATTGCTCATCCGCTGACCGGTACTACTACTGATGTAACTACAGCTCAGTAAGCTTTGGGCGTGTGATTTTGTGGTAAAAGTTGTGTAATTAATATGTCATTTTTTCATGCATCGCATAATGTTAAACATACATCATGATAATACTTTGATTTTTGGTCAATTGATACATTACTTATACAATCTTTGAGCATGGCGAATTTTACAGATTTTACTTTTATGGAAATAAAGAGATTGCATATTTTTTTTTCACTTCTTCAGAGTCTGTATTCCCGCTTTTCGAACACTAAGTGTTCCTTTAATCTTCTTTTTTTTTTGCTTCGCTTTATTTTTAAACTCGGTGATACTTCGGAGTCTTTAATTAAATGAACGATCCTTTTGTCTATTGTTCTTATGGTAACACTTAGTCAAGATGGACCTTATGTCTGCAAAAGTGAATTTACATCACCATGTGATGTAAAGATTACAAAAAAGCCAGTATGTAATACAGTCCTGGTGTATCCATTGAGTCACTGGAATATGGGATTTTGTTTCCAAAAACGATATTTCTTGGCTTTGTTTAATAGTTGATCATCGACAGGATGAGTATGACAAGTACCACCAGAACCTTTTTACAATACCCTTTTGAATTGATGCTGTAAATTGGAAAAATCTATTGGTGTATACATGCCTCAATGTTTATTGTAAAATGGAAAAAAAGAAAACCGTTACAACATTGCTTCTATTCTAGTAATTACCTAATTTATGCAATGCATGATTTAGTACCTTTTTCTTATATCATCATTTGATTCTTACCGTTTGTATATCCGGCCTTTCCTTAGGATCAATGACCAATAGAAACTTGATCAAATCTTCAAATTCGTCACTATAATGACCTTCTTCTTCTTTATCTGTTGGGAATTTATAGTAACCATTTAAAATCGCCAAAGCGATTGATCCCCCCATTTCATTGACACTTGCTTCAAATGGATTTTGGCCATATGCGGCAGCATAAATAGTACATCCCAAACTCTGTTACACATTAGTTCACCTTGTCCATGATTATAAATAGTCTCGACTAACCCAAATATCCACTTTTTCATCCAAAATTGTTCCTGTTTGTACGTCATATAGTTCAGGCGCGCGATAAGGTATTGTTGAGTGCTCAGCCGCAATGTCCTTTTTACTGGTATTAGTAATACGGTCCTTTTATCAATCATTACCAATCATTTACCTGCTGTAACAATCCATCTTGCCTTGTTCTAATTGGTATTCTCCCTTTTATCACTGATCCAAAATCCATCAATATCGGTGTCTTACCATCGTCGGATATCAATATATTTCCAGGTTTTAAGTCACGATGGGCTGCAAATAAGATAAAAAAGAAGCAGATGAGGACATTATAATATTAGTATGAAACACACTTACCATATGGCACAAGTGTTCCTTCTGGCTGAGCAGTAGCAGATGATGTTTCAGAAGGTGTGGTGATTGGGACATTTGGCAAGTGGTAGTTATGAAGTTCCTTAAGTGCCAAGCAAACTTTGAGAAAAAATTGCAATAAATCTTTTTCCGGGAAAAATGTCTTGTTGATATTGTTGGCATTAATGTTATCTTGAAGGTTTCCTCTTTTGTAATAAGGCAAAAATACATAAACAGTCTTGGTTCCATCTCTATCTGTTAACACACTTGTGTCCTACCACATATGGATTAACATTTCATTCCCCTCCTTTTTAACTTCTTTCTCCTGTCCCCCTTACTTTACCAAAATCTTAATAATGTATTCACTTTGAAATAATCTGTACATTTCCACTTCATGCATAGCGTCAGTTATTGTCTGGTCACCAAGTGCGCATTTGATTTTTTTCAAGGCATACAACTTATGGCTTGATTCATCCTTGATTAAATACACAAACGAATATCCACTAAAATAACGTTTAGATAAGCATCGATAATCCAATTTTTCCCTTCTTTTTTTTTATTTTACCCTTCTCCAAGCAGGTTAATAACTTTAAAGTTCTTTCGGTTAATGCTGATGGTTGGATTAGGAAAACAGCATGAGGTAAGTGCGTAAATGGTGTCTCTAATGGTGATTAAAAAGGACATGAGGGAGTAATAGAAGTATTTAAAAAGAAATAAAATAACATGATTATTTATTCAATAAAATTAGTGTGACCGTCGTCGATATTGAATGATTATATTTTTCCATCTTTTAACTTGTTCTCTCTTACTTCTATGCAAGAACTTTAAAAATTAGTGGTCACATTAAATAAACAGAACAACAAAACACTTACTGCTCGTTTGATCTCTTTCATTCAGGAAAAATGAGGTCATTTCAAACGCTGAAAAAAGGAACATAGGCATTATCGGACTTTCAATTGCCTTTGCGTTCTATCATGTTCACTATGTATGCTTCTGCAGCGACGCGTCCAGCTCAAAGTTCAGAATACCAGTACAATAGATACAATCTACCTTGGAAAAATCTTTTATGGGTAAAGAAATTTTACCCCAACAACTATGTCGACAATACGTTTTTAAATGAACTACAATAAGAAATGGTACTAAATGAAAACACCTCTGATCATGACTCTACTGATGTAATATGGGGCCATAATATGCTGCTATAAGTGTTCCTGAACTTGAAATTTTTATTCACAAAGGTTGCCTTGATAAAAACAAGAGTTTTAAAAGTGCTTCAGCTGAAAGCATATCTCGATCGTGTCAAAAAAACATTATAGCATCTCTTTCCGTATCATTTTTGGTTGCAATACGGATCGCTCTGAGCAATAAAATAAATAACGCATGTTTTTTTTAAAAAAACATTAAAAGCTTAGATATGACTTTGTTCTTGCGTTATACATGAGATTGACAGGCCGCGATCATATTTGAAAAATCATTTCAAGTACTTGTGTAATTGAATACTCCTGCATAATTACAATTCCTCGCATGTTAATGAAAACACCTTTCAGACAAAACAAGAAAAAAATGAAGATAGCCTATTTTAATCACTGCTCAAAAGAATGCTATCCCAAACAGTTACACTGGAGTTTGTGAGGAAATACAGCATAGCGAAGGTCTTTCAATAATATGTCGCCGTAAACAAGATTCTGAAATATGTTAGGCACAAAACCGGCCTCACATTTAATATCGTCTTTAATATTATACCTTATATTCTATAAATCATGTGAGCTTAATCCAAGGTAACTGTATTTATGGTATAATTGTAACTGCTTCTTCAAATGCAGTTGTTAGAAGTTCATATTGGATATGCGGATAGTATGTTCCATGATTGGTAGCTGCACCGGGAGCATAGTCACAACGGTAATGGTTGAGAAGGTTAACAGACACAAACTCGAATAAATTGTTTCATGAAAATGTCTTTCCGACAGCTTTTTAAAAGGTGACTATTTCGTATATCAACATTCGAAATACTCATATGAACAAAACATTTATTATTCAAATAGTCAGCTTCAATAGAAAGAAGCTTTCTTTTAGTTTACCTAGAAGAAATGAATATAATTCAAATGATGTTTGTTCGTTCTGTTTCATATAATTACTGCAACAAATCGAAAAAGAATTCACTCAAGCATTAATCAATGTTTTTGGCTAGTCTCGATGTGATATGACAAATCTCCATCAGATCATCCATCACCATTTTTTAAAAAAGAAACAGTTTCAAAATATGCAAAAGTTGATGCAAAAAAAAAAGAAAATCTACCATAACAATAGATCTAAAGATGAAAATAAGACTGATAATTTCTTGATCATAAACTGTTGTGTTTTAACGTAAAATAGTTTTCAAGTGGAAAACATGCGTATAGAAGCCATCTTCAACATAATCTAATTGCTCTTTAATCTCCAAAACTTGTAGCATACAAACTTGGAAAACATTCCAGTTTCGTATCTGAAGTCAAACAGAAGAACTAAAAAAAAAATATTCTTGTGCTTTGATTCCTATTATAAATAAAAATATCCAAAATATGTGCAGTAAAATAAATATGAATAAGTATGGACGTTACAGAAAGTGATAAAATGGACCTGTAATTTTATCTGGATTGACAAGACTTTTTTGAAGAGCTTTTTCTGCGTAACTACTTTTGCTTTTACATCATTCTGGGTTTCATCCCTACCCCAATCTATACATGTTCTACCCTATTTCAATTGAGGCAACATATTCATGTGTTTGATAAAAAAGACTTCCGTCGGGCTAATTTTTTATTTAGATGAAGACAAATCACATCGAATTGAAACAAAGTTGTAGTATATTTGGCCGTATATTTTGTGGAAGCTCTGCTTTAAATTGTGGGCCCGTCGAAAGTTTTTAAAAGCTGCATTTCATGGTTTCAGGAATAATAAAATTTCTGTCAATACTGTTGTGGTCATCAATCAGGACCTCTCGTAATAATGATTAGGCCATACTCAGTTTATTAAGATGGAATGTTGTAACCCTTTTTTTGTACAATATAAATTGTTATAGCTCCATTGGGATTTTATTTAAAGAGTAAATTAACCAAGCGCCGCTGCTACAAAGTGGAACATATTCTGAGGTTAAACTACATGATTGGTTCCTAGATGTTCATGTTGCTCGGATGTAAGCCGGCTTAAATCTGCCGCTACCGTATATTGGCGATATATTTCCATTGGTTTAGTGGAATAAATCAAAAATTGTTAACAAATAAAAATGAGAAGGTAGAAATATATTTGGTCAATTTAAGTATAAACGTGTTTAATACAAGTTAACTTGGCACGTAGTACACTTTGTTCTTTTAAAACAAGAAAAAAACATTTTTCAAAAGTGCCGAACTAACACTTATTGGCTTTACCCCATCCCTAACATGCTAATTTTAAAGAATTGGAAATGTCCTCCTTTTTGGTTGTCTGCTGATAAAATATTGCAATCCCCATAATGCCTCAATCTTTTAAAAATAATAACCCGCCATACTTTTTTAATGAACTGGCAACAACAGTTTATCTGATTCTTGTTCGACGATAGATTTTGAAAAGAGAAAAAAAAAAACGGTAGATATTTTTTCCTTCTGAATGACATATTTTCTAAAGAAGCTATCAAAATTTTCCATACAGAAATTTCGAGCCCAAGGTCATAATTATCCTATGCGCTTCTGTTCTGAATGACTCTGCATCTGCATTTTCTGATCATATGCCCTATCAGGTCAAATATTCATTAAGGGGGCTCATTATAATGTCAGTGAGGTGGGTAATTACAACCAGAGCAATGGTTCGTGTAACTACTTCCTCATTCCCGTATCACACTCTTATGCATGATTCAATAACTCGAAGGACTGTGAAAGAGGTTAATAAAGGAACGACAACAATTAATGGGGAACTTTATTAGTTATGGTTTGGGGTTTTTTCTCTGGGTTAGCAAGTTCGGGGTTCTGAGCTGCTTCCTTAGTTTGGGAGTGCGGCTACAATTTCCCCGGTAAATCCGTATACTTCTTAAATGAGCATATTAAATTCAAGAGAGGCTCTGTCTTGTTAATCAATTTTCGCATATTTTATCCTCGACTATTTTTCCTTAAATCACAAATGGGTTGCTGTTATCTAAACCATTGTATATTTCTACCTGGACTTTTCGAGTCTTCTGTTTTCAGATGCAGTTGTACCAATAGTCTTTGAAAAATGACGTGAGGATCCCCTAATTCAAATGACCGAATGGTTTGTTCAAACTCAGGAAGAGTTGTTAGTTGTTGGAAATGGACGGCCCGACTAATATGAGACCAGCAATTATATAAAAAGGAAGTTGGAAATAAAATTCGATTGTTCCTACTTAGCTTTTTCTTTTCTAACATGGTTTCTGCTAAAATTTTACCTGCCTGTAAGTAAATTTAATTGATTACAGTATGATCATGTTACTAAATGCTCTATAGTCTTAAGTCTTTTCGCTCTTGCAAGCGCACAATTGGAAAACAATGTCATTGAGTATAATGTCATCAATTTATTAAACGATACACATACTATGGGTGTTATCGTAGACAATGTAACATATCCTTTGTCTTTTGATTCAAAAGTAACCAATATACTTTACAACGGTAAAGCACCTGTTGCTAAGAACGGTTACCAATACGCCAAGATTTCTAAGGAAGACAACAGCACCGAGGCAGAGCCGTTCGTTCGTCAACCCACTCATGAAAGTACACTCAATGAATTTTATAATCGTACATGGAATACGCAGAATGTGTCTCAGCTTCCTGTCGTTTTTGAGCCTTTGAAGGCTATCAATCGTGCTCAATCCGATTTGCACAGAGAAGGTGAAATTCCAACTATTCACTTAGTGGCCAACCAAACTGCTATCGATTTGATGCACAACAGCAATTCTACCGAAGATTACAAGATTGACACCAATATGACATACATCACTTTGAACAACACACAATCTTATGAAGCTGCCGAAATCTCCTTAGCTGGTCGTAGTTCTCGTTGGATGACTAAACTCTCTTATAACATCAAGTTGGCAAAGAAGGACCGAATCGGGGAGTTTAGAAGAGTCAAACTCAGAGCCATGGATACGGATCCTTCATATATCCGTGAGCAACTTGCTTACGATGTCATCAAATCCACCGGTCTTCTCTCTTCTGAATTCTCTTTTGTTCGTGTTTTCTTGAATAATCAAGCACTTGGTCTCTTTGGTATTATTGAAACATTCCACGACCCTTGGTTGGCCAATTCCTTTGCTGGCGGTGATAAGAAATACAAGAACGGAAACTTATACCAAGGTGTCTTTCAAAATGCTCAATCCTCTGCAATGAATCGCACTTCAGATTTGAGCTACTATAACAACATCACAGCATACGCAGATGGCCAGTACAAGATCAAGGTTGAAGCTTCCAAAGGAAAGTCCGAAGACTACACGCCATTGATGGAATTTACCAAGTTTATTGATACCGCACCTACCACTAGTTCCGACGCTGTTGCCGCATGGAATGAAAAGCTTGATACCGACAGCTTCCTTCGTAGTATGGCACTTGAAGTAATTATGGGGTACTCTGACGGTTACTTTACCATGGTCGATAACTATTATCTGTATCAAAATTTGGATACTGGAAAGTTCTTTTATATCTCCTCTGACATGGATCTTACTCTGGGTTCTTGCATGTTTAAATTAGACGACATGTGGAGTGGAAACTACACGACTTTCCCTGGTTTGGCTACCCGTCCTTTAATGAAGAAGATTTTGCAAGTACCCGAATTCAAGCAACAATATGAAGAGTTACTGGTCAATATCACCCAAAAGTTGGTTAATCCTGTCGTAATGAATGATCGTATTAATGGTCTTGTGGCTATGACTAAGGAAGATGTCGCTTGGGACAAGACATTACCTCGTGTCGGTAAAGATGTTTTCGGTGCATTAGGGGCTGCTATGAGTAACTCTAGCGACATGAGTTCTATGGAATCATCTGATATTGGAAATGTGATTGGTGACTTCCCTCCCAACATGGATATGGAAGTCTTGCTCGATTTCGGAACAAGAATGAGCACTAACTTGACACAGCAGGATGCAGTCAATGGTCCTACTGGTTACAAATCTTTATCTGGTGTTAAAGAATGGATCAAGAACCAAAGTGGCGCCATCACGAAATTTTATAATAGTACTTCTTAAATAATCTTACCCCCCCCCCTATAATATACATGTGCATACAACAAACAACAATAAATCAGATAACTTTTATTAAACTTATGCCTTTACAACGCGCTTTACTAATGATTCAATACCTTCATTGGTTTTGATAGCATGTTCTAAACTCTTGAGAGCATATTTGGCCAACATATCAAACTCAACATTGACTCTATCACCGATGGTTTTTAAAGGCATGATGACATGAGTTTGTGTATGAGCAATCATCATGATGGAAAAGGTTCTCTCTTGATCATTCACATCACATACGGTAAGAGAAGTACCATCCAAACAGATAAATCCCTTGGGAATCACATATCTCATCTTATCTCTATCCTCTTCTTCCATTTGGACAGTATACCAGATCGAATTTCCTTCAGGCTTGATAGATATGATCTTGACAGTGTTGTCAACATGGCCTTGAACCATATGACCACCAAAACGCTTCTTAGAATCCATAGCGCGCTCCAAGTTGACCTTGTCGCCGACCTTTAAATCACCTAAATTAACCTGTAAATATTCCCTGCGTTTTTTTGCTGATTTGTAATCATACCCAAGTTGGTGCATCTCAATGTTTCAGGTGCAACGCCCACTTTGAAAGAATCCGTATCGAATTCAGTTGCAGTCAAACATGTACCTACATAATTCTAATTAGCTTCGAGTTCATACAATAGTCTTGGGTTAGCCTTACCATTGATGGCAATGCTGTCGCCAAGATGGCAGTCAACTAAAATTTCGGCAGCGTCAGAAACAGTAATTGTCCAACCATTTCCACCGGATTCAGTGTTGTCTTGCTCCTTGATGGAGGAGACAGTGCCCATAATTTCAACAAGACCAGTAAACATATTTGTAATCAACTAACAGAATCAAGTATCTACCCGTCTTCGAAATCTTATTTATCATAAAAAGGGGAGAGTGAATATTAAGGACTGTGCTTTTCAGTTATCCAATCAGTGGCAAGACCGGATTTGCAGGACAACTAAAATCTGACGTTTCTTAAGATCCAGATGGGGCACTTTTTGACCTATTTAAACAACGTAATAAATACACTAGATAAAACAATATAAAGGAGCGGTATATCATTATGGATAATGCATCTATTAACAAGCCAAAAGTAATCAAAGCATCAGTCGAAGGACAAGGACATAAGTGCATACAATTACTATCATATTCTCCCTTCTTGAATCCTCACTGAGATTTAACCATCATGAAAAAAAAATGGGGCTCTCCTTCGGATCGCTCATCCCATATTTGAAGACGTATTAGACAGACCCTCCTGACCATACATTTTTGCGCTTAGGTAAAAATACATGGTTCCCAGGAGGAGAGATCGATTGGGTACATGTATGCACAAAGCTTACGCAGTTTTAATCATACATAATAGCATTAACAAAAAAAAAAACTTGGAGATTACATCATCACATTTCAAGGAACCTTAATGATTATGTAGTGTGGTCCCTCTTAAAATGAAATTGTATTCAGTTTTAACTTTTTAAACAAGCAGTGATAGTAAAACAATAAAACCAGACTTATATGTTTATTTAAGTCTTATTATATTATAAGTATCCATTGCTTGAATCGTTGCAAATTTTTAACCTGCACTGATTAATTACTCGTCCCGAACTTATGCAACTGGTCTCAAATTGCTAAGTTTTCGACTTTATTCTAATACCAAAGTGTTCTTCAACAACTTAACATTACTATAACAGCTCGTATATTGTAAAATAAAGGTTTCATTACAAACAAACGAGGGCCAAAGGCGACCGTCTATAAGTCTATGTATGGTAATTGAAATGATAATACTTGTAAACTCCGTCATATGCGCCAAAAAAGCGTTTCGCGAGACGTCCTGCAAATCAAAAAAAAAAAAAAAAAAAAAAAGCTTTTCGCAAAAAGTTGTCGCTCTTCTGTTTTTTCTTCTTTATTGACTTCCACATTTTTCAAGCCATGAGCTCCAGATTGTTTGTTTGCTAAGTGTGTGAAACAACATTCTCTGAATCAGCCAAACTAAGAAGGCACAGCTACCGATTACATTCAACAGAAGTGGACATTTTAGTAAATGGAGGTAAGTTAAAGTAATACTACATATTCTTTTAAGCAAATACTAATTATTTATTTCTAATAGTGTCTACAAAAGTTTCACGTAATGATGATGGTGTCTTCCTTTGCCCTTATTGTTCTCTGGGATATACTTTTCCGGACTCTTTAAAAAACACGTACAGAAGCATTCTCAAGATTGGGAAGCAGAATCAACCACAACAACTGATAACGAGAGTGAAGGGGAGCAAAGCTGCACAGACAGTGACACAGAGGTAGATAACGATGATACTGTTGCGGTTATTTTGGATACTGCTATGGTCACACCACTGTCAGCTGCTCCAGAAGTAGTCAAAGATAGCTACAGTACACGAGACTACACGACCGCTGTTCTGTCAGCTTTCGATGCATTATCCCAGACTAGTGAAGATAAACACAAAAAGCTCTTAATAGCAGAACTGGGAGATCTAAAACCTGTAGCATACATCGACCATCAAGCAAACGAACAAAACCTCTTAGCGCATTCCAACGTGATAGATAAGTTAACATCATCACATACAAATGAAAATCCGCCATTGTTCCTTGCAATCACGCCAAAAAAAAAAGAAATCATTCTGGGGAGGATATTGAAACCAACATGTCGCCTACAATACGCAATGTGCTTTTAAATAGTCCTTACAAAAAACTATTATCCAAAGCAAACTACATTGAACTGGATCACCAATGTTCGCTTTATTTGAATAATAACTGGTCTCTCAACCCCATCGCAACACACATTGCCTCCAAAATACTTGAAGAAATGATCCTTGTGGAAGCCCATAAGGCATTGCTCGTACTCTGTGGGGAGATCTATGGTAGGCTTCCTACCCTTGATGCTCATCACGAAAGAACCTCCATAACAAAAGGCAACCTTCCCCAAAGTTCTTTGCCTCATGCTGACACTAAATATCCAAACGTGGAGCTATGCTTGATGAACGTCGACAATAGCCAAAAACTCGTGCTGGGTACTAAGACCATGAATGTTTTAATTACATCTTCTATACGTATCGATTGCAATGAGAAACCGGTAGTCGGTCCATCAAGCTCGAACGGATTCTTGCCAAGCAGAAACTCAAGGATTTATGTCGAAAAAAAAAAATTGGATGAGATTGAAAGAATGATTGAGAAAAAAGCCACGTTGAACGAAATTAGTACCCGTCAAGTTTTACTGTATCCTTTCGACGAATTCTCTCAACTCCGCCAAATAAGATCAAAATTTGACAAATTATCCACGTATCTTTGTTACAGATTTTCTTCCAAATATACAAATGATTGTCGCTCTAGGCCTTTAACAATTTGGATATTGACTTGTTAGCGGAAAATCTAATAACAAAAAAATAATAAGAGTAAGCATTAACCAGATTGAAAAAGGGAAAAAACGTTATTAATCATAAAAATGAAGGTTTCTTTTATACGCAATAAACACAGCCGTTGATTGTAAATGGGAAGATGACTACTGTGGGTAGATTGTATCGACATATTGGTTAAGCTTTCAATATTCCGCAAGGTACATCCTGGATAAAAGAATAACAGTCCATAACTCAACAAATATATTAGTTTTACGTGGATTATGAAATATCATCTGACATGTGTCAAAAGGTGAAAGATGATAATTAATTCAATAGTCGGAGTGTACATATGTTACCGTAAATTTGGTGTATATACTGCTTGAAAACAACGATTAGTAGAATCCTCATCTCGATTTGTAGAACGGTCTACTAATGTCCAAATTGTTAAAGACCCAGAGCGACAATCATTTGTATATTTGGACGAGAATAGTTAACAAAGATACGTGGATGATTTGTCGAACTTTGATCGTACTTGGCGCAGTTGGGAGAATTCATCGAAAGGATGCAGTAAAACTTGACGCAAACTAATTTCGTTCAACGTGGCTTTTTTCTCGATCATTCTTTCAATCTCATCCAATTTTGTTTTTTCGACATAAATCCTTGAATTTTTGCTTGGCAATAATCCATTTGAGCTTGATGGTCCGACTACTGGTTTCTCATTGCAATCGATACGTATGGAAGATGTAATCAAAATATTTATGGTCTTGGTACCCAGCACGAGCTTTTGGCTATTGTCAACATACATCAAGCATAGCTCCACGTTTGGATATTTAGTGTCAGCATGAGGCAAAGAACTTTGGGGAAGGTTGCCTTTTGTTATGGAGGTTCTTTCGTGATGAGCATCAAGGGTAGGAAGCCTACCATAGATCTCCCCACAGAGTACGAGCAATGCCTTATGGGCTTCCACAAGGATCATTTCTTCAAGTATTTTGGAGGCAATGTGTGTTGCGATGGGGTTGAGAGACCAGTTATTATTCAAATAAAGCGAACATTGGTGATCCAGTTCAATGTAGTTTGCTTTGGATAATAGTTTTTTGTAAGGACTATTTAAAAGCACATTGCGTATTGTAGGCGACATGTTGGTTTCAATATCCTCCCCAGAATGATTTCTTTTTTTTTTGGCGTGATTGCAAGGAACAATGGCGGATTTTCATTTGTATGTGATGATGTTAACTTATCTATCACGTTGGAATGCGCTAAGAGGTTTTGTTCGTTTGCTTGATGGTCGATGTATGCTACAGGTTTTAGATCTCCCAGTTCTGCTATTAAGAGCTTTTTGTGTTTATCTTCACTAGTCTGGGATAATGCATCGAAAGCTGACAGAACAGCGGTCGTGTAGTCTCGTGTACTGTAGCTATCTTTGACTACTTCTGGAGCAGTTGACAGTGGTGTGACCATAGCAGTATCCAAAATAACCGCAACAGTATCATCGTTATCTACTTCTGTGTCACTGTCTGTGCAGCTTTGCTCCCCTTCACTCTCGTTATCAGTTGTTGTGGTTGATTCTGCTTCCCAATCTTGAGAATGCTTCTGTACGTGTTTTTTAAAGAGTCCGGAAAAGTATATCCCAGAGAACAATAAGGGCAAAGGAAGACACCATCATCATTACGTGAAACTTTTGTAGACACTATTAGAAATAAATAATTAGTATTTGCTTAAAAGAATATGTAGTATTACTTTAACTTACCTCCATTTACTAAAATGTCCACTTCTGTTGAATGCAATCGGTAGTTGTGCCTTCTTAGTTCCGCTGATTCAGAGAATGTTGTTTTACAGACTTCGCTAAAGAGCGACAATTTTTTTGTTTTTTTTTGTTCGTTGCTTGGCGAAAGGTTTTTTTTTTTTGCTGACAGTACTCTTAAAAGTTGTTTTCTTGTTGCACGTTCTCTTATAAAATGGAGAAGACACCGTTTTTGGGTAGAGGTATTCATCTGTAATTTGTTACGATGATCACTGACTTGAAGTGTCGCTCTTTTAAAAAAATGAAATAAATTGTTAGCGAGGGATCTCTTTTTCATTTTTAGCTCGTCTTTAGAATTATGCATGATTACAATGGGCTTTCCAGACGCACAAGCAGATGGCGACGTCAATCTGTTTGTTTATAGTGAAGAAAAAAATGGGTGTTTTTCTTTTTTCTTTTTTTTTCTTCGTGCCAAAAGTCTTCATTGGGGGTGGATCCTTGGTGTTTGTACTTGAAGTCACACGGCATCACTTGCGCTCCAGAATAGTTGCTTGGTCAAGGTATCTCGTATCGTGTGCCAATTTGGGGTGATTGTTCCGTCTAGGTATTTCGCCACTGGGTGCTATTAGATGATTCCCGAATATGCCAGATTTCGTGGGGGTTTTTTTTGCTGGGATACTGGACGCTGACGATTTGTTCTGGGTAACGTCACCTTCCCCACTCGGTGTATGTAGATAACGATCTGGGGGAAATTATTTAACAAGCTGCTGAAGGTGAATTCAACTTCACTTTTACCGTTTGGAGCATATTTCAGGTGCCCTAGCTTAAGAGCGGGAGTTGTCTTTGGTGGTTTAAAGCAGCATTCTACTTGCCGGTCGTGCACTCCTGAGTTTGGAAGAAATGGATCCCTCGTCGTGTAAGTCAGAATTGGTTCATATAAAAGAAACCCCAACGGGTAGAACGCTCGTAAATTGAGAACATGGTGTTTTGAACTCTTTGTGGTGCTTCACGACAGTCCTTTTTGCGAGCCATCAAAACTAATAAAAAGTGGGTGAGTGCAAACAGAGACTGACTTCCTCGCAGTCGCACTTGGGCAGTTTTCTTTATAGAAACTGGCTAGCGAGTCTCCACCTTTTTCATGATAATAAAAATTCCACTGTCTTTTCTAATATTTCTCTTTATGTAAATGTCTTGTATTTCGTGTGAAGAAGGAGATAGTTTTATTGACTCCAAACTTTTCTGAGACCAATCACTCTGATCATCATTTATGGTTAAGGGAATGCTAAAGGCTAGTACGCTTATTAGAAAATTCCTGGCATAAAACGATTTACACGTATAATATCAAAATTATATTGTCTTTTGTGCTGCAACCAAAGTGCTTGAATGAATGACCAAGGCGAAACATGCATAATAGCTGTATTAAGTAGTTTTAATTTTATTAGTTGTCACCGAAGAAACGGGTCAAGACGGACAAATAGTGGGAATTAATGGTGTCCTTTTCATTTTGATACAATGTCATGAGTGTACCCATAGAAGCCATGAATAGCATGATATCACCATGAGGCACACTTCTAACAGTGCCATTCTTTAAGGCAGTCTTCCAGAGAGACTCTAATGCTCTTGGGAGACAATATAAAGCAAGTTCTACATATGCGAATCAGCGACTAAGCCGTAATAAAAATAATATAAATAAAAATTTACCTAATTGGCGACTGGGAGCTTCGAGAATGACCATACTACCACCAACAGCACCAGCAGCGGCGTAGAACCACGGTAAATCCTTACCAAATATATTTCGCAATACACACGGTGTGGACAATCCCATGACAACGTACATGGTCAAGAATAGGGTAGATCTCAAGCAAGATAGTGCAAACTTTTGCAAGACGGTTTTAGGCCTGATGTAATGTAAGTATGTAATACACAATTTGAAACTCTAATAACTCACTTCTTTCTTAATTGTTTCAATTTAAATACAACCAACATAATCTGCAAGAAAAATTAGTGATGTGTTAAAATGAAGCGGTAGGATACTTACGACATTAAGAGGCACATACATCTTGAGAGATCTTAAAAATTGATCTTTGAAAAGAGTGACTTTGTTACCCGTACAGCTATCAGTCAACGGATGCTGAAGCGCACACACAATAAAATGATGATTCATTCTTGGACTAATAGCGTTACCGATGTTGGGACTGATTGATTGCGAGACGAATTGACGACTCGATACACCAGCAGGAATAATTACCGAAGATTTATCTTCTACTAAATGATTAATGGTAATACCAACTGCTTCTGCCACACGTCCTGCCATACGACCGAAATTTGTCTTGAATCCACCTTGTGTCAATAAGAAGGCAAAGTAAGATTTAGGTAGGGTTTCATAGTTGAATAAGAAGGCGTAAATTAACTGGGCACTTGCGATCATCATGACACCAACACCCGAGTATTTGGAAAGATATTTAGCTATGTGATCGTCCAACTTGGTTTCACCGGGGTGATCTTGTTTGCGCTTGATGGCCCATTTTTTCATTAACCAGGCACCGTTAAATTGGAGGGCTCTTGTAAACAAATAGAGCATGATGGATTGTCTTCTGGATTTATTACGGTCGAATGCAAGAGCTAAACCAGCTAAACTTCCTGCAACAAATGCGTTTAATTTATCGGATTTTGCGTCACTTGTCTTTCTTAAATGTCTCATGCCACATAATATTCCTTTGTAACTACTAGTGAATGTGCTAAGAAATAATGCGAATCCGGCAGTATCTCTAATATTTTTGTGTTAAAAGCGCAGACATAACTGTATTTATATGCAATGAATACCTTCCGGCCATTTGTCGCAAGATAGCAGGCCTAATTTAATAATTATAAAAATTAAGCATGAATTTCACCTCGCACATTAAGCATTGATTTTTTTTTTACCTTTTGAGAATATTTCCTGTCAAGAGAGTAGGTAAAATACCGATTAAATACTTTACAGCGAATGCAACGACAAAGGTCTTTATGAATCCTCTGGTACAGTTTTGTGCACAACTCTTTCCCTCATGACGACACAAATGAGGGTCTTTCTTTTCGGAGGCAGAGATTTCCATGTTGAGTCGATTCAAGTTCTGACTAAAAGAAAAATAGTCAACATTCGGGATCTCTCTTTGTTAAACTTTATAACTTTTGTCGTGTTCATACCTACTGAGATGTTTCAACTTTTCTTGGAATGAACGAATAGACAGCAGCACTTTTTCGGTTTCTTGATCAGTTAAAAGTTTAGACACAATTTGAGCTAAACTTTCAAGGAAATTCTCATAATACGAAGCTGGTATCTGCGGCATACCGCCGCCTACTATATCAGACATAATGTAAGAATAAAGTACTAGGAAAAGAGAGAAAAAATGAACGCAAGGAAAAAATAAATAAAAAAAAAGTTGGAACAATGTTTGGGGTTATACTTTTCTTTCTCATCACATGATGTGTTGTACAGGCATTGGATGAGCATCAAAAACGGACAGTTATATCTTAGTCATTCATTATCGCATACCGTACGTTAAATAACTCAGTGCATTGTATTTTTACACAAGAAATGCTTGTTCAAACCCTTCATTTACATTGTGTTGTCATGATGCTTTTTTTATGTCATTTCAAAGGCCGGGTAAGTTGTGATTACACGTGTATTTAATGTCAGGGTTGCCTCTGCCCAACTGTGCGTGGGAACAGTTAGTGCGTATCCTTGCATGAAGCACACTTATCCTTTACCTCTATTTTATGTTGATTTCGACACTATTATAAGGCCAAATTGGTGAAACATAGCAGCGTGCCTTTTTTGGCAACTTCGGAACATTTCATTGTTTTTAACATTTGACTTTCATGGAAAGGCTCTAATATTAAAGCTGGCTATCAATTACCTGACTGATGCTTGTGTGCCACACTGTCTTAATTCAGCAACTTGCATAATTCACCAGACTGAAAAACCATGGCATCAAAATCGATATGCATCAACTCCGATAACATGGCGTTTGTTTTCTTTTTTTAATTTTTTTCTTTTTGGTGAACGATCTTCTTACATTCTTAATGTTCAAAACCCTTTTTTCAAGACCAAAGACCAGTCGATCTATTTGGACCAGCGTTACATGCAGTGGATCCAGCATAGAGGAATGTGTACAGGCCTCTGTCGGTTCCTTAACAACTAAAGCACCTGACGTTTGCGTAGTTTTGGTGTCAAAGTCTTTTTCGCTCTCTCATTACCGTCAATTGACACAATCATTGACAAGCACTTTAAAACCTACTGTCTTGTTGGGTGGTGTTGTGGATCGCGTACCTCAGGCTGACCATGGTATATCGCTTTGGTTAGGTTATGATGAAAAGATTGTACCTTTCACTATCAAAGACAGTAAGGACCGACTCAAGATTCGTAGCACATCAGTAGGAAGGTGGGGTCGTGTAGATGATACCGAAAGATTAAAGTTTCAGAGTGATTTGATTGATAAAAAAGGTTGGAAGGATTTTGGCTCAGTGAGCACGCCTGCCCAGGCCTTCGAATTACCTCCCGGCTTGGATAAAAAGCCTTCCTTTGTTTTTACTGTCTCTGATAATGAACCTGATCAGTTGCTTCAATCGTTGGACCATCATTACCCTGATGTTCCCAAAGTGGGCATCATTGGTGCTTCAACTCCTTTTGTTACAGGTGAGCCATACACATTGTTTGAGGGTACCGAAATTATGGGAGCGGGCATTGTTGGATTTGCTGCTTACGGTCAGACCGGAAAGGTCACCGTCAGCCATGATGCTATGGAGAATTTGGGCAAGCCAGTAAAGATTACACGTTGCAGAGGCAATATCATTTTGGATTTAGACGAAGGCGGCGCAACCGGTTTGTTATTGAAATTGATTCAAGGAGGTCCCAAATTATCAAAAGACGAAGAGTTTTACTTGGGCGTTTATCCTCTGAATGAAGATGAGACTGCCCACGATAACGTCACAATCAGCCGTATCACAAGTGGTGATCCTGGTAAAGGCAATATGTCTGTTGATACCACTGCCGATCTTCAAATTGGCCAAACAGTTCAGGTAACTTAAAATAATGGGACCAAGACAAGAAAAATAGTGCCTCCTTAACACAAAAATTATAGTTTATGAAAAAGAAATGCCTGAAATTTAAAAATGTATCTAGCGATCCTTTTGAAACGAATGAGATTGTTTTCGGTGTAAGCAGTAAAGATTACACCATTGATGCAGCGCCTGTCAAAATCCCTAAAGAGGCGTTAGTCATTCCTGGTGTCTTTGGAGGTGTGAGTGAAAACGGTGTGATTGTGGGCCGTAGTGAGATTGCTAGTGAATTATTAGATGTCCCCTTTTCAAAAGTGACCTTCAAGTTAAAAGAATAAAAAGAATATGTTTATTATAATAATGTACAGTCTAAAAGTTTCTAGGAACAATCTTCTTTCTCTTCTTGGTAGTAGGACCATCCATCATGCTGGAAGCATTTGCAATAGCAAATTCACCCGCATGATCGAAATTCTTCTTCAAGGGATCCTTGATATTCTTTCTGGGTCCTGTAGGCTTATCCTTGCCTTCAAACTTCTTTAAACCAGGCATACGCTCATTCTTGGCATCCTTTCTCTTTTTACCCTTTGTTCTTTCGTGGATATTTGATGGTGCTTCTCTTAAAGCAAATGACTTGGCCAAATGACCCAAATGAAGTCTCTTGACGTGGAAAATATGTTTCTCGGCAGCAGGATGGGTAGCATATGCACGACAAGTGGACCAAAATGCTTTACGAGCTAACATGACACGCTAAAAAACAATAATGATTAATTTTCAAATAATTTCCCTTTTTATAAATGTCAACTTACACTTTCATCGGCAAGGATATAATTTTCCATTGTGTTTTGAATATCTTGAGCGGGGGATTGGAAATCATCACCGTTTTCAGCAATGTTCTTCAAAATTGTTTCCATGGTGATAGATTCGGGGTGTAAGTCTTGAGCCTTCAAGACATCAAGATAATCCATTTCACTAGGTAATAAGAACAGGGTGGCTTCACCAGCCTTACCAAGACGAGCAGTACGACCAGCACGGTGAACATAATCCTTAAGATCGGTGGGTACATCATATTGGATAATACGATCAACGTTAGGTAAATCCAAACCACGAGCGGCGACATCGGTACAGAACATAACACCAGCCTTGGCTCTACTGAATTCTGCAAAGGTCTGAGAACGCACTTGTTGATTTAAATCACCATGAAGACGGAACACTTGCTTCTCGCCTAAAAGTGTACTGATCTGACTGGCTTCTTCGACCACCTTCTTCTTCTTTTCTTGTTCTTTACCAGCGACATCATCAGAACGATTGCTCTTAAAGTTCTTGTTGTTTCCTGTAATGTTCTTGGAGAACTTTTTGGCTTCCTTCTTTCCCACAATATCATTTAATGCCTTCTTCATGATCTTCGTTTCGTCGTCATCGCCATTTTCTTCGTCATCAGAGTCCTCATCTAAAATAGGCTTACCGGCGTGTGCAAAGAGATCGTAATGGAAATCGACTGAATCGCAACAAGAGAAGAAAACAATGATTTTGCTGTTGACGGATTTTCTGGTACGCTTATCATAAAAGCAAGATTTTAAGAGTGCCAACAAAGTGATTAAACGTAATTTGGCGGGTACAATGGTATATGTTTGCTTCAATTGATTGGGTGTTGTGAATTTCATTTCTTCGTCCTCTTCATAGTCGTTCGTTGTAGCCAACACTTTGGATGCATCACGTTTTGTGTCTGTACCACTAACAAAGGCAGGTTTGACAAGCGACCAACCAGCCAGCTGCTTGACATCATCTCGGAGTGTGGCAGAACATAAAATTGTTTGACGTCTGATAGGCCATTGCTTTCCAACTAATAAATCTCTGTATTTCTCATTACCACCCATCATGGTCTTATCATCGATATAATTCATAATCTTCTTCAATGTTTCTTCGAAACCGAGATCTAACAAACGATCTGCTTCATCCAATACAAGCCATTTCAAATTCGAGATATCGAAACTTTGTGTGTTTTCCAAATGATCCAAAAGTCTACCGGGAGTACTAACCAACACATTCACACCCTTTCTTAAACGAGCCTTCTCTTTTGCCTTGGAGTCACCACCAATAACAATACCGGGAACAATCCAATGTAAACGACGCATATTTTCGTCCTTGGGTCTGGGAAGACTGACGATCTGTGTCAAGACACCCAAGACTTGTTGTGCTAACTCTCGGGTAGGTGTCAAAATAATAGCAACAGTACCTACCATACGGTCTCCAAAAGGTTTCTGGTTGGGATCGTCCTTGGGTGCTGTAGAAGCTGCAATCAGTCGATTGACAATAGGTAAAAGATAGGTAAGCGTCTTTCCTGAACCTGTCTCGGCTTGAACGACAACATCGACATCTTCGGCAGTATGGATAGACTTGACAGAGGATGAAGGACCCAATAAGACAGGGATCGCTTTAGCCTGAACATTAGTAGGTGTGGTAACATTAAATTTCGTGACTAAATGATCAGCAAGATCGGGTTCGATACCGATTCCGGTGAAAGAGCTTGAATCGACTAAGGCCGCATTACTTGCACCTTGACGAGTACTGAGTGTCTTTTTGTGGTAGGTAGTAGGAATGAGAGGGTTGGAGGAAAAGAGAGAAGAGGCAATTTGAGCTCTGCCATGGAGAACTTTGGTACCGGGAGCAAGTCCAGTTGCTGCTGCTGCCTCTTCGCCTTCTGGTGCTGAAGCAGCATCGGAAGTGGGATCGTTTGAAGTAGCTGGTGCTACTGCCTTGGCCTTTTTAACGACAGGCTTTGGTGCTGAAGGTGTGCTGAAGTTTAACAAGATTCCGTCGTCATCCATTTTATTTAAAAGAAAAAGATCGTGATCTACTTAAAAATTTTCTCTTCTGTCCTTTTTTATTTAGATTTTCATTTAATTGATTCGCCGCATTTTAACTTCCATTTACCCAAATATGTACTTGAACATTATTTCTCTGTATATGGCAAGCTTATTGGCATTTCAATTTTGATAGTCTGACATTCATTCCCTCACAAGCCATGTACTGGCAGCACTCAATTTATATTGACTTGATTGTGTCCTTGCACGGGGGCTTCCCATCCTTTTAAACTCTTCTTGCTGTAACAAAGTAAACTAGGCAATTGATGAAAAAATCTTGAGTCTGCTTTTATTTTATGATCAACTCGTTATTGAAAACAGAAAGGGTGAATAATTGAAGCAGGGTGATATGATATAAAATTCAGTGAATCTATTCCGAAGCATAACCACTAGGCGGTAAACTACACATCCGAGACGTTAGTACTGACATTTTCAGAGAAGTGTTGAATTTTTTCCGAGCTGCTTCTGCACGGTTTACATATTAAATTTTTTGAAACTAGTTCATATTTCATCGTACGTTAATATTATGGTCGAATTAGTTCAAGGGTGTATCTTGACAATCTGCACGGGTTCAGCTATTTATTATGTAGGTCTATATTATTTGAATACTTGGGCCACCATTAAGATGACATTAAACGGTCTTAGAAGACGATATGAAGACGTTGTGCCAATTAAACTTTAAGAGACGACGGGAACAACAGCGAGCTCTGGATCAACATACTTTTTACTGCAAACACTAGACAGTGAAAAGAATAGTTAAACCCCTTATATCCCGTGGGTGCTTTGGACTCGAGTAACGAGACTTGTATTGGTGTTGGTAGCATCCAGATGACAGTTAATGGTGCTAGGTTGTGAGTTTTGGCAGAAATCACAATTTAACTTCATCGTTAATTTCGGTGTACGGACCTATCTTATTGATGATATTGGGCCTTGCAGAATAAACAATAGAGTCATTGCTATTTGGGGTACCCTGAAGGATCGTTATATGCAATTCCTTCCTGTCTTGTCCAGTGCAAAAATACGCCTTCAGCTCTCCTTTTTATTTATATCGTTTGTATCAGGCTAATATTTGTGAGCGATGTTTACTTTCTTTTGGTTATAGCTCCACTTTAATTGGAGTCCTTGTTTGGTTTACAACATTTGCACCCAATGTAAATCAGCACTAGACTATACACATAGTAAGTGTTGCTAGGCAACCAACCATAAACCCTGTATGCCTAAATGTTACACTTTTACAGGGCCTGATTTCCTATGTTATAATATTCTACATGCTTAGCAAGCTTTTTTTAAAAGTTTAATCATGACCTTTTTATTTGTTCGGTATCACTCAACAAATGATGACTAATTATTAATTGAAATTTAAACATTTTACCTAAATAGCTTTTCTAGCTGGATGGAGACAAATGTTGCCATCTATGGTGCGATCCCGGTGTGGCTTTTAAGCAAGCTGGTGGCCTCCCCGGCCATGAATAATTCTTGTGTAACTAACTACATTACATGAAGTCATAACTCGATCAGGGCTACTCGGTCGTATCGATTACATCACTGCATTGTATAAAATGTTTATAATATGGACCAATTGTTTTGAGCAATGAATACAAAACACTTTATGCAAGGAATATAAAATATAATGATCGATATAGAAACTGGTGAAACTTGACAGTTCCTTAAAAAAGAATGCTCAGAATGAGTAATTGTTATTGCCAAGCCGTGGTTGCTTCTCTCACACTTGCCAAGAATTGACAGCTATTTATAAATGTCGATCAATTCGTTAATTGAAGTTTGGGATTTACAGAAATTCTAGGAATTCTACTGAGACCATCTTTCTGACTAGGATAAAGAGTAGAATTCTAGAAAGGATCATGACTTGCAAAAAAAAACTTTTTCCGTCACAGCAGATCCTGTGGGTGATGAACCTTAACTTTGCCACACCGGCTATGGTAAGTATGACGTTGCACCATATTTGATTTGCTGCTGGGTTTTAATTCGGTAATTTAAATAATGAACAATGTTTTTTTTTGAAAATAGATTTGTCTCTATATAAAGGGGGCAAACACCTTTTTATTCTTACAATTTCATATTTTTTTCTTATTTATAAATATGAGTTATAATAGAGCACTTTCTACACCCCCTCCCGAGCCTATTGAAACAAAAGTCAAGTATACAAAGAAAGCCAGACATGGTCATGGTAAAGATGTTATCGACTCCCACAACATTAGACAAGTCGCCGGTTGCTTACCGATTGATCCTGCTGGCAAACGCATTCTATTGATATCCTCAAGCAAAAATCCAGAACATTGGGTTATTGTAAGTTTGATCTGTTTTATGCCTAGTATATGTATACTAACACTTTATATATAGCCTAAAGGTGGATGGGAAATTGATGAAACTCAAGAACACGCAGCACTTCGAGAAACCTGGGAAGAAGCAGGGCTCAAAGGACGTATTATTCGACGATTGGGGATATTCGTAGAACGTGCGAACAAGAGAATCAAAGCACATCACTGGATATTTGAGATGGAAATAGATGAAATTGCAAAGAAATATCCCGAACGTCAAAAGAGAGATCGTCGTTGGTTTACATATGACGAAGCCTTGTTGGCAACCCAGAATAATGAATACATTCAAGAAGCAATTCGGGTTTCAAGTTTAAACCCATTATCAACACCTCGTTCTTCAATAGACGTACAGGTTTCACCCACTACCCCTACAGCCACTGAAGATTTAATGCACTCAGAAACACCAAAGAAAAAATCGATGGATGGTTTCGAAACCTTGAAAGAGCTGATGGAAAACACCACCATATCCTCTTAGATGTTTTATTTTTATTTATTTTATTTTTAATTTATACACATATACCATTTCTTTTGTTTTTCTTTCATGCCCCGCGCAGACAACATAATAAAATTATTTTAAGACAATTATTTATTTTCTTTCATCATACATACGCAAATTTAAGGTTGGCAACGGGAAAACTGCGCTTTATTTCTAGTGCCCCGATTTTAGCTTTACGACACATGTTTTGCCAAAACGTATACATCTTTTTTGCTACCGTGAAAAATTAGTGAGGGCGTCAAAATGTAGCTCAACTCCCGCTCAACCATCAAAGGCTAAATTTCTGTTTTTATCGCTAGAACTTTTTTCCATTTTATTTCAAACAATGATAACAGAATTTGTATTATTGTATTCAAGGTTTATAGTTTTTTTTTTTTTTTTTTTTTTTTTTCGCACACATCAAGTTTTTTTCTCGTGCAGATTTAAGTGTACATAAGGGATAATTGCCTTTTAGAGAAAGTAAAAACAGAAAATTGGAATTTGGCGGGGTTTCGATCGATACATAATTATAGTGATAATGCTTTTTTTAGAAATAAACCGGGGCAAAATCAATAACAAAACAAAAATATATTCCTAAAAATAATTACCAATTCAGAATAATTACAATTCAGAATAAAATCGGAATAAATGTCTCTTGTTTTCTTTTACCTTTCATCTTTTTCAAGGAGATGCAATGATATGAATTAAATGGATATCGTACAAACGACATTTAGTGTAACAAAATCGGTTACACGTTGAGTAACACCACCTGGGTTGCTGTTTATGAATTAAACAAGTAACAAAGGGGAGGAGAATCCTATGCATTAGGCTGATCAAAAGTTATTTACAAACTATGATGTACACTCAAAATGTGTCTTCTTTGACAAGATATTTTAAAAGATGAACACGTTACCAGTGTTATCAACACCAAGTAAATCAACTGAATTACATCGGACTACAATGCTTGCCCGCTAAATCCAAATCGAGCTAAAATAATCTGCCCAGGAATTTGGATACCGGCTATGAATCTGTCTCGCAAAGTAATGTCCATAAGTTACAATGGGCGCTTATTGCCTTATTTAAATAAACTGGGATATTGAAACAAACTAAATAATTTTTTTCTCATATGCATGTTGGATTTATATTTTGCATAATTTGTTTTTAACTTGGCATGGGCGGAAGGTGATATAATATCAAAGCCATAATGGTTCTCTCATACCCGTCATGTAAAAATGCACCGTTCTTTCGACTTTAAATTTAATTAGAAACCATTCATAAACATAAAAATAACACAATGATTATGTGAGCAAAGAAATTGACTGGTGACGAATTCTTGAATGAAGTGGCAAAGCACAAACACGAACCTGCAGCGGTTTAATTAAAGAACATTAAGACGTGTAAAGATTTACCAAAATACCAACGCTCATTCATATAATTTTTATTGAGTCCATAACTTAAGGTGATATAACACATAGAGAAATCACATTAAATAGTATTCTCATCCACAAATAAGCAACAGTTATCCGTTTTTGCGGTGTCGCATAAACAAATTCCGCTGCTTGTTGAACAAAGCTATATTACTAGTCGCTACAAAAATCAAAAGAGCACACACAAAGAACAAAATTACTGACTGGTTCTGTATGCCCTAAAATTCACATTTGTCAAAACAGACTACCTAGCAGCAAAGAATAAAAATGGATCCGATACAAGATAATTGATGTACGAGATAGTAATAGCTACTGTAAATGGAGTGACAGGATAATAGTAATAGTAATTGCATACTATTATAGGTCCTGTATCTTACTAGTTTATCAAGTTGATAAATAGAAAACATCGGCTTGTGTTATCCTGGCGTATCCCACCCATGTAGAATAACAAATTTCCTCCTTGTTTTCAAGTGGCCAATACTGAATTGATCGGAGTAGGTTCAAAGAGTGAAAAGATCCAAGCAAAAATAAAAGTGATTAGATTTGTAAAGTGACATGGGCTCATTGAACCCTTCTTGCTGTATTTCACTTGGTAACAAAAATATAACGTCTATCTCTTCCAAGATTATGTATCATCATCCATTTCATCAGAAGGCAAAGGCGTGCCAAGTTTGTTTGCTGCATCGTCTGGTCGTTTCATTGTAAGATCAACTACATAAAAATATATAGACATCATATAAGCAGCACATGAGGTATATTAACACGTTACTCAGATAATCTGCTACATTGCAGTCTGCGGGAATATGATAAATCCTTAAAATAGCTTGAACATATCTTAGCTTGGCCAAAATAAGCCTAAAAATAAATCATGCAATTCTGCTGCTGCAGATTGCTCTATTTATATCCGAAATTTACCAGTTAGCCATCTGTCAGAAGCATCCGAAGTCAGACATCTCGTAAATATTAGATCTCGTCTCAACAGGGTTTTAAGTCGGTATACATGTTAAATCAGTCGATGAGTAAAAACATCATACTCGATGTATGGTGACTACAATGACTCTTTTTCTTTTTTGCACTAAGCTTTAATGACATTACACGACAGCATCAATATCAAAGCCATCAAAAGTGCTTCCTTATTATTCCAGCAACATAAAACTAGGACTAGTCATAGGCTCTTTACAACAATAGCTATTCTTATCACTTCTCACTACTCACTACTATAGATTTACCTCTCTACTAGGACTATCTGCAGTTCCAGTGATACCCAACTTTTGAACCTTATCTTTAACATGTTTTTATATGTCTGTGGACGGGATACAAGGTGGTATAAAGTCAAAATAACAAAATTCAATGTTTCTCGTACTGTCAATGTATATAAATGCTATATATAAAGATCAGTGTTATCTTACAACGATAAGACAACTTTCATTGTGATTATATTCACTTTAATAGGAGTAAATACGACACCTTCTGCAAGAATGTGTTATAATGCCTTGGATAAGCTCCTCTTTCAACAGTGTAATGAATGCTGAGTGACTCTACCAACCTATATATATATATATATATATATAATACGTACGATTGGCATCTTTGACCCCAAATAAATGCTTGACACGTAGCCAAAGCGCGTTTTGATTGTGCCTGAAGTTGATAGGTGTTTCGTCTAACTATCGCACGGTGTAACATGTGTCGAATACACGAACCCAAATCGAGTCACAGAAAAAAAAGAGGGCGCGCTCGTGATGCGCGCAATTCTGGTGATTAATAGGAAGGGCGGAATGTGCAAAGAGGTGATAATTGTTCTTTGTTTTTTCTTATCTCGTATTATGTCTGACCTAGGAAGTCCTATTGTGAACAGGTATGCTGAGCGCTACAAGTCATTTCTGGTGGATTCGCCTCCAAGAAATGAAACAGCAGTAACCAGTGTTTTGAGAAATAGCCCGTTACAGCCAAATCGTACTGGAGAACACAAGATATATGAGGGGGAAAAGTACAGCTCTTATGAAATCAAGAATGAAGACAATGGGGAGTGGCGTCAACTGAGTGCAACTGCTGAAGATGACGTTAAGAAGGTTGAAGTGAACAGTCCAAGACGACACCTGCAAGAACCCAAGACGAGTTCAACTACAAGTAATCAGTATAAAGAAAAGAGTCAACCTAGAGAGAAACCCAAAGAACAAGTAGAGGAGAAACCCAGAGAGTCATATCCTAAAGTGAAGCAAGAAGAGCATACAGAAGTTCGACGAGTCAGAAAGGTCCCTCATTACATGATGGCAACTACATCCTTTCAAAAAAAAACAAATCCTTCTAGCCGTGATGAGATTAATCTAGGCATTCGTACAAAGGGCGGTATAACCGTAAGTAGAATACTTGACTCAAGTGTACACCAAATTGACCACATATTTGTTAAATAGAAAAGAGTCGGTACATCCAAAGTACCTAGATACAAATCGACAACAAGCATCAATGCTATAGACGACATCAAATCCGAGATGACATCTGAAGATACCTATGTGCCCATGGCTGCCCGTATCAAGTTATTTGAAAAAAACTTGGGTAATGGAGCCAATAGGCCCATTCCTAATGTAAGCGTAACACAATATAAAAAAATGTGGGTAATGCAAATCTGACTCTATTTGTGTAGCAATCGATTTCCACTGCACACTCTCGTCAATTGAAGCGTTCGCCCAGCGTCTCATCGAGAGCATCACCTTCAAGCCAATCTAGTCAAACCCGCACATCAGCGCCCAATTATACGAGAAAGGTAACTGCATTCTATAGCAAAATGTCTTTACTAAAACCGATGTTTGTAGACAATTTCAACAGAAGAAAGAGAGAAATTAACCGACGAAGCTATGAGTCGATCATCTTCATCATCCTCCACCCCAAGCAGAATGTCTGTTAGAACTAATTCTGATGATACAAAGGTATAGATGATTTTAAGGGTTTTTACTTAAAAAAGTAGAGTAATTCAGTATTTATACATAGTCTTCCACTATCAGTAATCACAGCACCCCATTCAATGACAAGCTTAAACTATGGAAAAATAAAGAAATACAAAATACAAAAAGCACACAGTATCGAGGACTTAAACGCAAGGTAGTATACAAAGATGTATAGAATGTAAGTTGGGGGGTGTTATTAATGCAAAAAAAATGATAAAATAGAACCACGAATCCCACCAAAAACAGTAAATAAAGAATAACAGTCCGAAGAACGCCACCACGTCCTATTTTTTTTTTTTTTGCCTTTTTTTTTTTTTTTTTTTTTCTTTGCGTAATTTTTTGAGAGGGAATTAGAAGTCAACAAAAAGTTTTTTTCATATTTTGGAACTTCTTCTTTTATTTAATAAAACTTAAATGGTAATCACAATAACATATTAGTCTGTAATAATACTAGAACTTAACACTAATACGCTAATAAAAAGGTCAACTACGTTTTGTTCGAGACAGCCTCCGGCTATTCTCTTTTTGAGCGTCTTCAATCTGAAGAGATCGGATCCAAGTTGGAATCTGTTCAAAACTCCATTGCTGATCTCTCCAAGTTCAGTAAAATGCTCAAGCTCAAGTCCTTTGCTCCCTTCAAGAATGCTGCTGACGCTTTAGAGAATGCTAACGATATTTCTGAAGGTAAAAAAATTTTCCTTGACATGTGTCAAAAAAAACATACTAAACTTTTTCTATTTTCAGGTATTGTTAACCCTTCATTAAAGGCTTTCTTGGAAATGAACCTTCCCAAGGCTGATAAAAAGTCAAAGGTTGTTCTCGGTGTCACCGAAAAGAACTTGGCTGGTGCCATCAAGGCCGAACTCAAGGTTGAATGTGTTTCCGATGAAATGGTTCAGGAATTGATCCGTGGCATTCGTCTTTGGGCCGACAAGTTGTTGGGTCAATTGAAGTCTGGTGATTTAGAAAGAGCTCAACTCGGTCTCGGTCACAGTTATTCTCGTTGTAAGGTCAAGTTCAATGTTAACCGTGCCGATAACATGATCATTCAAGCCATTGCTTTATTGGATCAAATGGACAAGGATGTCAACACCTTTGCTATGCGTGTCAAGTAAGTGCCTTATATATTATGTAATATTTTTGCAGTTTACTCATATATATTCTTCGTGCAGAGAATGGTACTCTTGGCATTTCCCCGAGATGGTCAAGATTGTTAGCGATAACTACAAATACGCTAAGCTTATCAAGGTCGTCAAGAACAAGTCTGATCTCTCTGAAGAGAACATTGAAGCCATGGCTGAAATCGTCGATGGTGATGAAGCTATTGCTCAACAAATCTTAGATGCCGCTCGTGCCTCCATGGGTACTGATATTTCTCCCATTGATATGATCAACATCCAAAACTTTGCTGACCGTGTCATCAGTCTTGCTGAATACCGTAAGAAGCTCCACGGTTATCTTGTCACCAAGATGAACTATGTTGCTCCTAACTTGGCTGCTTTGATTGGTGAAGTTGTTGGTGCTCGTTTGATCTCTCAAGCCGGTTCTTTAACTAACTTGTCTAAATACCCTGCTTCCACTCTCCAAATTTTGGGTGCTGAAAAGGCTCTTTTCAGAGCTTTGAAGACTAAGGGTAACACTCCCAAGTACGGTTTAATCTACCACTCTTCTTTCATTGGTCGTGCCGGTCAAAAGAACAAGGGTCGTATCTCTCGTTATCTTGCTAATAAGTGTACAATCGCTTCTCGTATCGATTGTTTCTCTGATAACCCCACTGATAAGTTCGGTCAAGCACTCAAGAAGCAAGTTGAGGAACGTCTTCAATTCTTCGATAGCGGTGCTCTTCCCGAGAAGAACATTGACGTCATGAAGAAGGTTATGAATGATTTGGACTTGGATATGGAGGAAGCTCCTGTTGCTGTCGTTGCTGGTAAGAAGAGAGCCCTTTCTGACGATGAGGAAGAGAAGGCCCCTAAGAAGGCAAAGAAGGAGAAGAAGGAAAAGAAGGAGAAAAAGGAAAAGAAGGAGAAGAAGGAGAAGAAGAACAAGGCTTAAAAAATAGATATAAAACCTTCAAAAGAAAAAAAAAACATATATAATTAGTACATAAATTTGATTTTAACACACCAAACATTCATCTTCCCATTTTATATACACTTTTTTTTTTTTTAAATCTTTCTCCCCACACTCACAAAATCACTCAATCACTCACACACTACTCTATCTCACTCACACACTACCACCACCCCGCATGTTCATATCGAATCTTTTTTTCTTGTTTAAATATAATAAAATGCTGCTACGTTCCTGTTGTACCATAAATTACAAGCCACTTCTCTTTTGATTCATGCTGTCAGATGTCACACGTTGCACCCAACTAACGTAACTGTCTACAACTTGACCCGCGGTGTCTGTAGCCTGTGTCGATCTTTAACCTCCACCTGTATCATAGCAACTGTCAATTAAGCAAAAAGAAAAAAGAAAAAAAAAATCACGCAAAAAAATCAGTAACAAGTTCATGGAAAAAAAAGAGTACGTTGTGTGCATATGATTTGAAAAATAAGCGGTCTTTAAAAAGAGGCGGGTGTAAAGGTTCATAAATATTACAGAGTGCGTTATGATTTGATAAACCTTCTCTTTATAACAACGTAAGATATCCTACCCTATAATCCATCCATCCAACCCTAACATCATCCATTATAGTATAAAATGCCTCCCAAGTTCGATCCCTCTGAGGTTAAGATTATCTACCTCCGTGCTACTGGGTAAAACGTCGATTTTTTTTTATACACATATTTTTTTTTACATTTTGAAAATTGGAAATTCACAAAATGAAAATCACTTTTGAAATGGAATCAACACAATCAGAACGGTTATATTAATACGACACTTTCTTTTTTTTTATATGACATTAGTGGTGAAGTTGGTGCTTCATCTGCTCTTGGTAAATATTGAATTTGACGAATCAAAACATTGAATTATCATTAACATCATCATTAGCTCCCAAGATCGGTCCTCTTGGTTTGTCTCCCAAGAAGGTCGGTGAGGATATCGCCAAGGGTACCAAGGACTGGAAGGGTCTTCGTGTCACTGTTCAATTGACCATTCAAAACCGTCAAGCTCAAGTTTCCGTTGTCCCCTCTGCTTCTTCTTTAGTCATCAAGGCTCTTAAGGAACCTCTCCGTGACCGTAAGAAGGAAAAGAACAGTAAGTATAGAATCTCAGTGGAACACGTGCGATATCCAGTGCATGGCAGAATCTAACGCATTTTTTTTTGAATGATAGTCAAGCATTCTGGTAACGTCGCTCTCGAGGATATTATTGAAATTGCCCGTACTATGCGTTTCAAGTCTTTGGCTCGTGAGCTCTCCGGTACTGTCAAGGAAATTCTTGGTACTGCTTTCTCCGTCGGTTGTACCGTCGATGGTCAAAACCCCAAGGATCTCTGTCACGCCATCGATGCTGGTGAGGTCGAAATTCCTGTAAGTCATATCATTTTGTTTGTCATAATTCCTTTCTTGCTAACTTTTTTATCATTACACAGGAGAAATAAATTATTATTTAACAGACTTTTTAATCCCCCCGCAATCTAAATAAACATACAGTGTATCGTAACGAGTGTACAATTTTCTTTTGATTGAACAAACACCACAGTTTTGAATCTGAAGATTCCTCAAATAGATGTGGTTACATACACCTATTCTGGAACTTGGTGTTTTTTCTATTTATTTCTTTGAGTTAGTGATCAAAACTTCCCAACTAGATTAAGCTCAATGACTATGGCGAACATTAATTTTCATTGAATCATAAATTGGTGCGTCATTTATATAAAAGTAATAGTTTTACTGAAAGTGATCCGGGCCATGACCTTAATCCAGGTTGCTGCTGGAAGTGATGTAAATCCCGAGAAACAGGCACCAAAAGACCTGCGAAAATAGTTTTATCTAAGTGGATGTATACAGTAGTATATTAACTTTTTGGAAATTTAAAGGGTTAGTTCTTTAGCTGTTAAACCTGAGCTGACTAAACATTTAAAGTACAATTAAAAAGCAAGTGCTCTCAACACAACATGATTTATCAGTATAATACCAGGTAGCTCGTGTTGTATTGATTGTTTAGAAACAAGTCATGTTTAAGGTTTGAAGAAAATCTGATTATGCAGAATTATACGATAGTTACTTAAATATTTATTAAAGATCCAGTCAAGTATGTAGCGAAATCAAAAGTATAAAAACAGAAAAGCTATGCGGTCTTGTATTTAGCCAAAGGAGAATTTATCTGTTATATGATTAAGCTGATCCCTTAACAGCTCTTTTTCTGCATTTGAACGGTGTTGACTTGTCCTCGTTGATGATTTCATGAGATGTAATGATTTCTAAACTCCCTTCGTTATCAAATACAACTTCCTTGTTTTGTTTATAGGCCCTAAAAAAATGTTTTAACATGTATGCGATTTAGCTTAAATTGTTTTGAAGGACTTTCAATTAAATCAGCAAAGTCCACCACACGGAGTCGGATCATAATATTAGATTTGGAAAAAACTTCCAGAAGATCTAATAAAGTAATTAATATTCCCTTCTGTACATATGTCTTATAAAAACTATTCCAGTAGCGTAGCGACAACCACAATACCTTGCACGTCTCCGTATACGTTTTTAAGCTGAGTGATCGTTGGGTTACTCTCAGAGTCCTTTCTTACAATAGTCGAGGTTGCTTTGCAGCATGGGGATGCGTACACCCTTTAACACATTGCCATTGTTTTTATCTTTTTGCCATCTTACTTAAAAGCCATATGCGATCGACATCAGACTAGTCTGAAGGAGAATTTCGGACATAGCCGATATTTTTTCTCGAACGGTTTGGCAATGCTGGTAAAACTTTAAGTAACCGTTAAAATTGTTTAAACAGGAGCACAAGTTATCATTTTGTCCTTACCCGTCTTCATAACAGCGCCTTTTATGGTTTATTCAACCTTAATAAACAATGAATGAAATATGTTTTCCAATAAGTTAAGTAATCATATCGAGCCTTGACTTCAAACTTATCATTTTCGTCAACGAACAGCCACCAACCGTTGCTCAGGCTACCTACAATTCGCGCTTTCACAATTGAACCAAAATGATCATTACGTTAATTAATGATGGGGCACAGTTGTTGCATCGAATAAAAACTGTTCAAATCAGACATATTCATAATTAGGTATTCGTACCAGTTCTTAGCCACGAATGGAGGTGCTGGGGAAAACCTCATTGTATATAGGTAAGAGGTAACCATTTCAAATCATTCAAACCATGTTACAGGAACCTCCATTTTTTATTAAAATAGAGATAGTGGAATTCCTAAAGTGTGTATTGCTTCACCACCCTTGTCACTATTTTTCCGTGATTACGGGGTATCTAGTCCTAAACCAACTGTATTACATGTTTGCGGAATATGCTTGCTGTGACCGCCAAGGTAAAATCGCCACCCCAACATAGCTTCGGTGTTAGTGGGGCATTTTATTCCTCTTCTGTTGTGTACTGTGGGTAAACCATAAGGAAAAGGACATTAGAATTACCTGTAATCATAGGAGTAAACCTGCATTTCGAGAGCAACACAAGAATATAATAAAAGTACATAGATACGTCTCGAGTCAGGGCGTGCATTTACCTTCTCGCGGTCTGACCTATTAAACAGCTCTTTATTGGGAACTAAGAGAAGTACATTTACAATAAAAGTTATGTTTTGCAAATGATTTACGTTTTTTTTATGCGATGATAAAGATTAAAAACCAGGTAAATATTTTTGAATTAAGCGTTTCTTGGGCGATTTTACTTGGCAAAACAAACGAGCCGTTTGAAGATGGGGTGGGATGTTAGATAAGAATTGTAGCTTTTTTCTAACTTTGGCTTTCTCGGCATCCTACTTTTGTAACTCGAGTATTGATACAGAAACGAAGAATATGTCTAACAGTTAGAATCAATGGGCTGTTTCAATACATTTCTGACATATTATGCTGGCTTTATCAATTTTATTTATTACAAATATTTAATCTGAAATAAAAGTCGGCAACATATTTGGTGACAGGATTCTGTGTAAATGCATCTGTAGAATTAATAGAAGTCTATTCAATCTGACGTGTCAATGATGCATGTCTCGAATAAAATAGTACAAGCCAATCAACGCTGGTTTGAGAGGTTAGACTAATGCATCGTAAAAAGTCTGAAATTATGAAAATAGAAATTAATACGCATTTTTGGAGACCATGTATTATAAAAATTTGACGATATAGTTCTTAAATCAAGTATAAATAAGTCCATACAATAAATGTTGACCCTTATTCATGAACATTACGTAATGGAATGAACTTTTCCCTGCGGAAAAACCTTTCCCATATTTATCCACAACTCCGCAGAGAGAGAATGATCTTTTTACCATTTAAATTACAGTGATACTCACTTTTTCTTATTTCTCATTTATTCCTTCTTAATTTTTTTCACTAGACTTTACTATGAATGATATCGAATCTTTACCGCTGATAAAACCAGACATAAAGAGAAGACAGTATAACCGATGTATCAGTGTGGCCATATTGTTCCTGTTGGGATCCACAATTACCATTGCATGTCTTTTATATAAAAGTATGTACCCCTCCCATAGTCAGTTTATTTTTATATTGAAGTGTCCTTTCTTTAGCCGATCAGCCATTAGAGAGCCCTGTTGTATTCAAAGGGCGAGCTGCCAGAGGAGCCAAAGGCGCTGTGGCGGTTGAAGCGGAGGAATGCTCAAATGTTGGCGTGGACAGTAAGTCAAGCAATTAATCGATTTGACAGATGATTAACAGACTGGTTATAGTTCTGAAACAAGGAGGTAATGCAGTAGACGCAGCTATTGCTTCCACACTATGCATTGGTGTTATTGACAGTTTTGCAACCGGTATGGGAATATTCATAAAATAATATGGGCTATCTTAATTGGTTTGCTAATCAGGTGTTTATCTAGGCATTGGGGGGTAAGATAAAGAAAAAAATGAATGATTTGTTATCTATGTCATTTGTAACAATTTGTTTAGCGGTGGATTTATGTTGATTCGATCGCCGAATGGAACTTTTGAATTTATTGATTTCAGAGAAACAGCACCCGATGCATCGACAGAAGATATGTTTGTACGAGATCCCGAGCTAGCCAAAATAGGTGCGCTCTCTGTCGCCATACCGTGAGTAATAATGGTTTATTAGAGGAAATTTTTAATGATTGTTTTTTTGTAGTGGTGAATTAAGGGGATTAGAGCTAGCCCATAAAAGGTAATTATTCGTAATACGGGTTTCACAACAAAATGATTTCATAATTTATGTCGTTGTAGACATGGGAAATTATCTTGGAACGAATTGTTCGCACCCGCTATACGTATCGCTAGAAATGGATTTAAAGCAACACCATTACTAGAAGTTCGTGTCAAGGTAACTTAAAAAAAAAAAGAGCAAGTGCATTTCTTAAAAATCTCGCGATATTGTAGACGGAGGAAGTCTGGATGCGTAAATCGACAGAATGGTCTGATGTGTATCTCCCAAACGGTGTTGCTGTAAAGCAAGGTGATATTGTTAAAAGGCCTACTTTGGCTGATACGTTAGAAATTATAGCCACAAAAGGAGCAGATGAATTTTATCAAGGCGATATTGCAAAGTCTTTGGTGGAAACCATCCAAGCTGCTGGCGGCATTGTTACATTAGAAGACTTCCAATCCTATCAACCTGTCATACGACGTACGCTAAGTACATATTACAATGGCCGTAAAGTAACTACCTGCTCAGAACCTACAAGCGGGCCTGTTCTTCTTTCCGTGTTAAACTTGATTGAAAGGTTTCAATTCAAGGTGGAAGGCTTGATCGGCTTAAATTTGCATCGTTTTGTCGAAGCATTTAAATTTGGATATGCCTTTAGGACTGAAATGGGTGATCCAGATTTTGTACATAACGAAGAAAGAGTGGATGAGATGACTACCAAAGACTATGCTTCTAAAATCCGTCAACGTATCACTGTAAGTATGATGTAAATGCTATACAGATTAAAGAGACTTACCAACAATATACTTCTAAAGGATGGCACCACACATGAACCATTATATTACAACCCCAAATTTGATCATGTTGAAGCGCATGGCACAATGCATCTCTCTGTAGTAGATGAGAATGACGGTGCAGTTTCACTTACATCTACTGTTAATCTGGTATTTGGTTCACATATCATGGATGCCAAAACCGGTATTGTTCTAAATGATCAAATGGATGATTTCTCGATACCAAAGTAAATTATTTATCTGCATCTTGTATCATATTTAAAATTGACTTGTATACAAACATAGCACCCCAAACCAGTTTGGGCTCTATCCTAGCGAATTCAATTACGTAGGACCTGGTAAAAGACCACTTTCCTCAATCACACCCACCATTATTGAAAAGGACAACAAACTTGAAATTGTTATCGGTGGTTCAGGTGGATCTATGATTCCTACCGCCACATTAAATGTAAGTGGTCACACCTTTTATGTAAACTGGCGATTATTAACTTATTGTTTTCAGGGTATCATTAACTTGCTCGACTACAACAAAGATATTTATAGCGCAGTAGCAGCGCCTCGTATTCACCACCAACTTTTACCCAATGTTGCTATTACAGAGCATGGATTTGATACAAGGCTGGAGAAAGAGCTTTTATTGCGAAATCATACTGTATTCCAACTTCCGGCACTAATGTGTGTCTCTGCGGTTCAAGCAGTTAGGAGGTTACCAGACGGATCTATCGAAGCTGCAAGCGATCCTCGAAAAATGGGACTTGCTGCAGCCTATTAGATCAGCAAAAAGGTCAGTGAGTCGATCTTTAACTTAGGTTGCACTCACGATATAATGAAGAAATTTTTTCTCCCATTAGTCTAAATAAAACAATTTTTATATACCAATAAAACCCAAAGCTTGCAAAATCACATTTACAAGACTTGAAGATCTCGAAGGATTTAACAGTAAAGTCTGTAAGAAAATAATTCACGTCTATTCATGTGACACATCATTTAATTTTATTAAGTAGTATGTGCAGTTTTCATGGGATGCTCGATTCGTTTTTTCATAAAACGTTCTTCATTATTGGTACATGATATCACTGAAAAACTAATATATACCAGCTATGAATTTGTGTAATAAAATGAAAGGTTTCTTTTTACATGGTTGCACAGCGTATGTTTGTTATCTAGGCCTGTGCATACTTTATAAATCTGTTTCTTTCATTTTTTACCGTATCTCAAGTACGCTTTGATACTAGAGCCTACCCCTGTTTTCCGATCATCTTTTAGCATAACCAGCTTCAGATTTCTGCATATAAACTTACATAATTGTAGACAGGAACATCAGTTTTACAATCAATTTTTTTTTTTAGTTATCCTCTTTTAAGTTGTAAAAGATAAATTAGAGGACCAGCAGGAACGACATTCTTTTCGATCCTTTGACTGCGGATATTCAATTAAGTTTTTGAATTGCATTTTCATCCTGTACACTATGTATGCTTCTGCAGCGACGCGCCCATTCCAAAGTTCAGAATACCAGTACAATACAAACAATCCACCCTGGCAAAAGCTTTTATGGGTAAAGCAAAACTACCCCGACAATTATGTCGATAATACTTTTCTAGATGAACTACAAAGAAATGGTAATATATGAAAAAACCTCCTTTAAAAGTCGATTAAGACTTTATTTTAGTCAATGTACGATCATACGATTATTGGACCATGGTTTATGAATCCGGAGTCATTACACAACATATAAGCAGCGTTGTGATCTTTATTGCGATTTTCATCTACCTACAAATTCATTCAGTTTCAGGCAACCACTTGATCTGGGCAGGTTCTTTATTAACGGGCATTGGCTACATAATCTGGGATCTAACTTTACTAAAAACTAGAAGCAATCACGAATTTAAACGTAAATCAACAATAGCCTTAAAGTCGAACATTCCGCTCATTTTTCTTTTCTTTTTTTTATATCTGCAGGTCAAAGAGTTGCCAAAAGTGCTTTTTTCTTTTTTGTAACCCTATTGGGACTATCACCCATATTAAAAACCTTGACTAGCCAAACAAGCGACGATACGATATGGGCTTTAACTGTGTGCTGTTTTCTTGCCAATGTGTTATTTCACGATTATAAAACACAAGCCAACAGCATAAAGTAAGTTTGTTGATCTGTATTTTCTTGTGTAACTCACAGTTTTGTTTACAGGATTCCTGGTTCCTTATCAACCAATGCTGCTATCTTTGCATCAGTTCTATTAGCCTCAAGATTGGACACAAATTTCGATGTATTTGGATTGTTATCATTTGCTGTGGAATGGTTTTCCTTATTTCCTATCTTTAGACGATACCTTAAAGACTTGAGTCCAAAGATCCAAATTGGGGTAACAATAGCCATGCTCCTAACGTGTGTGGCATTGTTTGTACATATTTCGAAGGCGGTTGCTTTTATTTATGTGTTAGGATTCTGCTTTCTAACTTTTATTTGTCCTTACTGGCTTATATTCATCCAAAAATATAAAAAGTACGTGTATACACTAGTGCATTATTTTATTGATACTTATATATTTTTAATAAATAGCGAAATTCACGGACCTTGGGATGAAGCACGACCACGTTTACAAAGACCAAGACGTAATATTTATCGAAAAAGATCAAACTAATGAATTTGCATACCTGTATTACCACGAAACTAGAATAGTTAAATAGAAAACAAACTTAATCATCTTTCCAATTATTTTAAATATCGACAAGATTTCTCAAATTTATTAGACATATTATTTGTCCTGTCGCCCATTTCTGAAAGAAGTCCCTCCCAAAATGAAAGGACAAGTCAAGGGTTTTGTTCGCAAAGGCCTACCTTATTAAAAGCAGTCATTTAGAAGGTGCGGGTATATTTATCATCTAATAGAAACATATTACTAAAAGCATGTTTCGATTGTGTAAAGGGTGGAAACGGTGAAGGCAAAATCAGCCATAAATACAGTCACACTAAAAATCTTGATTTTTGGATAACTTGCCTCTTTACAAATACATAAAGACTAGTTATCGATTTCAAAATGACCAGTTCAGAACGATCCAACACAACTCACACAAAATATTTAAAGCGAGAGGAAAAAAACTATTGGGGGTGTATTGGTTACATAAGCTAAACTACTCAATGGGCCGCATTGCGGACGAGGTGGGCATTCCCAAGCCAACAGTTCAAGGTATCATAAAGAGAATTAGAGAGAATGATACTCCCCTTCCAGAAAAATCAAAATCAGGTGGCGCACCAAAGAAGTTGGATGCCAGAGATTTAAAATGTTTGGAAGAAATAGCAAGAAATGAGCCATTTGGGTCTTACGAAAGAATAATCGCTCAGCTTAAAATTCATCAAATTGACATCACGAAAAATACTTTGGCGCGTTATTTAAAGCAAATCGGGTTTGGATCTTATTTTGCGGTGCTCAAGCCAATCCTAAAAGAAGCCGACAAAAATAGAAGGCTTTGTTGGGCCAAGGAACGGGTCGACTGGACTACACAACAATGGAATGGCGTTGTGTGGTCAGACGAGGCTCGTTTTACAGTCGAAAATAATGATAAAGGTATAAAAGCATTTCGCGAGGTTGATATGACAAAGCAGGGAAATGGAACGGTGATCCTTTGTGGCTGTTTTTGGGCCGATGGGTTTGGCCCTTTGGTCTTTACTGATAGTACTGTTGATGAGACGACTTACTTTAATAATTTGGCTTCAAAATTCCCACCTTGGTTCACCGAACTTTGTGAGAAAGAGAATAAGAAATTTATCCTTCAATTGAACTCCAGCTTTAATACTGGAGGATCTACGACGTGGTGGGAAAACAACGATTCAATCAGTCGCTTTGAGTTTTTGCCCATTAAAAGCCTAGATCTGAACCCGCTTGAGCTTATTTGGAGCTTATTTGACGTTCTCATTAGTGATAAGAGGGCCCGAATCAACGATGTTAATGATTTAAAGATATGTTTGCAAGAAGCATGGAATAAAATTAGTGTCGATCTGGCTGCTCGACTAGCTGAAAGCATGAAAGGCAGATGTCAGGCTATTATTGATGCAAAAGGTGGACCAATCAGAATCTGAAAGTTTTTTATTTGCTTAAAAATAAATCTGTCAAACCATGATTGTACTGATTTTAGGCATTACAAAAATGAAAAGATAGTACGAACATTATTTAGCGTGACTACATTCCCCATTGTAATCAGCCATACTACAGAATAGCATGATACCTTTTGGGATTATCTTTTTTTTTTGTGCAATTCGACAATTTCAAGGCTACAAAGAGGTGAATAGGATTGAAAAATAATGTAATAAGGTTGAGAGTTATACTGTTTATAAAATCAGCACAATTGAGAAGCATGGTTTCGGATACGAGGTTGATTAATTAGATCCCAGTAATTGTTGCCTTTATGATTCTTTGAAGCCAACATAATGAAAAATATTATATCCGCAATCATCAATATTAGTAGAATGGTGATATATCTTTATTTATGTCACTGTTGCATAGCTTAAAAACAATGTCCAATAAGGTGAGCCAAACAATAACAACCAGAAATTGGAACGATAAGATGTACTTTTTAAAGTGTTTGTGGACAAAACTAGAAAAATGGGCTTTGCTAGAGTTGAATTTCAGCAAATATTTGTAGGTGATCCCGAATAGTAGTAAGTACCATTCATTATGATTTGAAAAAACAGAACTGTTGTACTTTAAATCATTGGTAGTCCAATTTTACCAGCAAAGTTGTACAATAAAATCTCAGAGACATACCATACAGGCCCAATCGAATCCCGCAGCAAAACTAGCCATTATTATCATCATTCTTAAGCTTGCATACACAGCCACGAGTTTTTTTTACTGCTTCATTATGTTGCACTTGATACTATGTTCCGTAACTTGTGTAAGGGAATATTAAAGGCTCAACATTCAGTTAAAATAGCCCCGGCAGCAATGCGAGACTTAAAAAATATTCCAAGCAAATAGTGACACATCAGATGAGTCTGTATAACTGATTATACTCGCAGATACATGTCGCCTTTTGGTAACCATTACAAAATTATACAGCGCATGAAGCACTCTTTTTTATTTTGTTCTCTAATAATAGATCTTCTGATATCCATGTAGCACATAAGGAGTAAAATGATGCTGTGTTCATAACAGATTCCGGTAGGTATCTCGTTTGTTCGATGCTATTTTTATATGAATGTCTGGTTTCAAAATAGTTTTTTTTTTTTAAAAAATTGATAAGTAAAATTTACAAAAAAGGAGATTTCCGAATGGCCATCCTTTCTTTTCTTTTTTTTTTTTGTACAAGATGTTCCAATGGACACAACATGCTTACGTATCGCTCAGCTGTACGGATAGCTGAAATAGAGCAATTAGCAAATTACTGCTTTAGTAACCATTACGCGGGAAGAAAAAAAAGTCACGTTTCCGCTGTATCGGGAAGAAGGACAGTCCCAAGTTCGCGTAACATTAAGTCATGCAACATGTTTTTTCATGTCAATTAAACACATACCAAAATTGGTTTCATGCTAGTTTAAAAAATACATCAGCATTCGAAAAATACACTGTGCTTACGATTAATTAGATAAAACTATACTTGAAGCGTTATCCAGTCTTTAGAAAAAAAAATAGAATGAAAAAAAAAAGGTACGACCATCGACTGGGGTTTAATAAGGCGACTTTTTTTTCCTTTGTCTCGAATCCTCTTTTAACAAATAAAATAATTTTTTCCACAAAATGTCTGAAGTTGAGGATCTTACTAATCTCGCTAAACCATCTTCTGATGCCACATTAACTGTCCGTTGCATCAAGAACTTTGAATACCGCACGTGTAAAAACCTTGTGCTTCAACACGTTAACCTCGAAACCTGTACAGTTGGCGAGTTGAAAAAAATTGTTATGGACAGTACGTACACACGGATATTTTACAGACGAGAGTAAAGCAGTTACTAAACTTACGTATAGAAATTCATTCACAGTCTGGCTGGAAGCCTTATTTGAATGTCCAATTCGGTAAGAATTAACCCTATTCGATCTTATAATGTATAATTAAATCAGGCTTTAAATAGATACACTTAAGGTTTACACCGTTGCTCACGGACACAAGGTAATTGACATAAAATGATACTAAATAACATGGCAATCTGAAAACTCAGTCTTTTTTTAGACTATGAATTTAATTATAAACGTTGAAGATGATGACAAGTTAATCCTCTTTGATGATAGTGCTGTTTTAGCATGGCAAGGAATTGGTGAGTGAGAGGGACTTTAATGGTATAAATAGCTCTTTTATTTATTTAACCGTACTTTTTGTACTTTATGTTGCCATAGAAAACGAGACAGAATTGTCATTCTTCAATTTGAAAGATTATCAAGAGTTTAAGAGACACCCTGACGTGATGAAATGGTAGAAAGAGAGAGAGAGATCATAGAATAAATAATATTGCTATTTTTATAAACTATTCAAATGGAATTATTTTACCATATATAGTTGTTTCACCAACATAAATAAAATGCCTCGTGTCATGACGCTCCTCTAGGTTTAACGTCTTATTGATCGACAGTTCGAAGTCCTTTTTGTATTCAGTGACATTTGGACTATAAAAATGATAAAAGTTTTTTCTTTATTATTTTTTGTCTTTCTTTACTTCTTTATTCATTCCTTTTTATTCTCTGTCACTCCTTTTTTCATAAATGCGTGTCTTGTCATTAATTGCTGTTGCCACTGCACTCGCTTCATCTGCTGTTTCCGCTTCCAAGAACAGCGTCCTTACCTACTCTGTCTCTTGTAAGACTACCTACATTGTACAAAATGGCGATACCGTACGTAATGCCAACTCGAGTAACCAAAATAGTTACTAAATTTTATTTCGTTCAATAGTGTAGTAAAATCGGCAAAAACTTCAACATTTCCACCACCAGCATGAAGAAATGGAATCCTTCCAGTAAGTCATCTATCGTCTTTATACTACCTTCAATGCCTATCTAATCGCTTAACCTATCTTTTAGTTAACTCTGGCTGTACTAACTTATACATTGATCAAATTCTCTGTCTTAGGTAAGAATAAAAAATAGATTGTCTCGGATTGAAATCATCATCTAACCATTACCCTAATTTTCTTTAGCGCTCCCACAACTCAGTCTAGTGCCGTTCCCATTGGTACCACCACCGGAAAGACACCTACATCCACCAAGAGTACCGCCGCTGCAACCACTACTGTTCTCACTATTGCTGGCTCTCAATGTACCAAAGATGGTGATTGTGCTGGTGCTCGGTAAGTTTTTTTTTATGTCGTTATCTAGACCTATTTTCTAACTTATAATGTCTTGTAGTTGTTGTAACCTTGCTAATAACCAATGTGTTCTTGACCCTGAAAACAACATTTGCGGTATCCTTCCTGCTCCTGCTGCCCCCACTTCTAGTGACAGCACTGCTTGTTACCCCGGTTCTTATGGTTTAGGAAACGGTGATGGTTACAAGAGCTACTGTTGTAAGACTCAGGCTGATTGTAAAGATGATTGTATCAGTGGTGCTTGTAATGGTCCTGTCAACACCAAGACTACCTCTGTTAAAGGTACCAAGACTAGCACTGCCAAGGCTACCACCACCGCTGTCACTGGTTGTATTGCCGGTTCTTTCGGTTTAGGTAATGGTGATGGTTATAGCAGCTACTGTTGTAAGACTCAAGCCGATTGTCAAGATGACTGTATTAACGGTGCCTGTAATGGACCTGTTAACACCAAGACCAATGCTCCTACCAAGACCTCTGCCATCAAGACTACCACTGCTGCCCCTGTTGCTACCAGTGCCCCTTCTGGTTTAACTGTTCAAGTCAGCTCTAGTAAAGATTTCTGTCTCTTCTTGCCTCCTTCTCCCGGTAACAAGGTCAACAATGGTGGTAAGCAAGATATCGATGCTATTGCTTCTTCAGAAAAGTTTGCCGTTGCTTTCTGTACCAAGCCCAATATTAATGCCCAAGGTGCCGGTATCTTGCCTGCTGGATTTATCACCAAAGCTGTCTATCAAACTAACTCTGCTGCTGGTTTCGTTCAAGTCCGTGGTACAATCAACCGCAATGCCTATGAATTAAGTGCCAAGGACGAAGGTGGACAATATGATAACCACGGTGCTGGTTCTCCTCCCAAATCTGCTTGTGCTGGTTACCCTTATTACGTTTCCTTGGTCGAGCCTAGCACCAACGATTTCTGTATTCGTTGTTGCGAGACTTATTCCGACTGTAATGCTGGTAGAAGTGCTTACGGCTGTAACCGTGTCGTTCCTGCTCTTTAAGTAATAATAATAAAAATAATAATATCTATTCATGCAATACTTACGAAAATGTTGATTGTATGACATCATGCTGTTATGCTGTCAGTGCTTTCAGTCCTCTTTATCCGAGATTTAATTTTCGTCCTTTCTTTTTTTTTTCTTTCTTTCTTTTCTCTCTCTATTGCTCTTTCACACTTTCTTTGCAATGTCAAGTCGAGAGACTGCACCTATTAATCCTCTACCTTCTAGTGTTATCATTGTAAATGAGTCAACACCACTCATCTCTCATGACCAACAATTAGCTGGAGGAAGTTTACATGCCGACACAAGTTTCCATTTATCTTCAGTTATTGCCCTTAGTACTGAACCAGAAACACGAGATAAAGAATTAGGGGGGCTCAGTTTGCTTATTATATCCTCATTGCTGTTTACGGGTGTCTCTGTACTGGTGAAATTATTGGGGACCACATTCCCTTCGTTTGAAATTGTGTTGGCTCGTTCTTGCACGCAGTTGCCTCTGGGTTTGATTGGGTGTTTCATGTTAAACGTATGTCCGTTAGGAGAGAAAGATGTACGCAAATGGATATTATTTAGAGCAGTGACAAGTGTGATTGCCTTGTCCTTGTTCTTTTACAGTTTAACAGTCTTACCATTGATTGATGCGACAGGTAAATCAATAAAACGACATATACGTATAGGGGATATTGATGTTGTTTTTAGCCATATTCTTTTTAGGACCAATATTTAAAGTGATGATTTCTGCTATTGTTTTAAATGAAAACTTCACAATTGTGGATGGATTTTATTCGATTGTTTGTTTTCTCGGTTTAATTCTAGTTGCAAGGCCAAGTTTTTTATTTAATCATGTTGCATTTATCAGATTTGATGAGGAAGAAGAATATCAACGGTCATTTGGCATTGCATGTGCATTAGTCGCCTCCTTGATGTCAGCAATGGCGTATATCACTGTCAGAAAAGTAGGTCAAGGTACACCTGTCATGGTTCATGTTGTTTATTTTGGCTGCGTGGCTTCTTTGTTGAGTATTATTGTTCTTGCTTGTCAGCTTCAAGGGTTTGTCGTACCCTCTTGGAGCTGGCATGAAATGGGCTTACTTTTAATGACTGGCGTCATGGCATTCTTAGGCCAGTTTACTTTGAACGAAGGGTTAGAAAAAAAAATACACTCATTCATCAGCCATCAATGTTTAATGTTTTCTTTTTTGTATTAGGTTGAAAATAGCCCCAATTGGTCCAGTCACTTTGATACGGTCAACTGATGTCATCTTTGCGTTTGTTTTCGGCGTGGCCTTTTTCAAGGAAATACCTGGATTTTATACCATGACTGGCTCTTTACTTGTAATGGGAACTACTACAGCCATGAGTTTATATCGCTGGCATCGACAAGAATTAAGAAATGCTGCTATCCGAAGAAGAAGGTCAAGAGACAGACTTACACGTCAACAACAAGCTCAAACAGCTTCATAATACCCCCCTCCTCCTTTTAAATACTGATAAAAAACCCAAAAAAAAAACATTTATTTTAATATACTTGGTTCTCCGGGAATCCATTTACGAAGCGCTAAAGGTACATTGATTGTGCCATCGGCATTTTGATGGGTCTCTAGTAGAGCAATAATCACACGAGGCACTGCCATAGCTGTACCGTTTAAGGTGTGACAGTAATCAACAAATTTCTCCTTAATATGCCATGGAACACGTACATCCTTTGCACCTTCATTCTCTTGAAATTCGTTTTTCAAATATCTCACATCTAAACGACGTGTTTGATAATCTGTACAGTTTGAAGTAGATGAGATCTGTTTTTTTTTTAAAAAAAAAAAGTGTGTTATTTTTACGTGTCATTGAATGGTTACAATTTTAATGCTTACCTCTCCCCATCCATTCTTGCCTGGCATCCAAGCCTCGATATCATATTTTCGATATGCGCTAGCTCCCAATTCTTCTGTAGGCATGTCCAATACTCTGAAACATAAACCTAAATCCTTGAACAGATCTTCTTGTAAATCCTGTAATTCTTGCAACATGGCTTCACTTTGTCCCGGTGTAGTAACAGTAAATAATTCAACTTTGGAGAATTGATGGACACGATATAACCCACGTTCTTCTGCAGACCCATGTCCAGCTTCCGCTCTAAAAGCATGCGAAAATCCAACAATCTTTTTGGGCAATTCTTGTTCTTTGTACAATTTTTTGGCAAACATACCAGCCAACGGAATTTCTGCTGTTCCTACCAGGCATAATTTAGGTGCTGATGCATGTGTACTTGGTGTACTAACATCATAGATTTGCGAGGCCTCCTTCTTTCTAGGTTGGAATCCACACCCGTAAGCAATAGAGGTACGTACCATATCAGGTGCTAATACTGGGCTAAATCCTTTGGCAGCTGCCTTGTGCATCGCATATTGAATTAATGCAAATTCTAACCAAGCTCCGTAATTCTTTAAATAATAAAATTTGGATCCTGTCACAAGAGACGCTTGTTCGAAATCCACCATGTCAAGTCGCTCAGCCAATTCAACGTGGTCCGCAAGAGGTGTTTCAGCAGTAGATAAGCGTGGCGTACCAATAGTCTTTACGAGTCTAGCATTACTTTCAGGTCCTATAGGAACTTGTGTGTGTGTATCATTGGGGATCAAAAGTGCTTGGTTAATCAACTCGGACTCTAATCGAACAAGTTGATCTTGCACTTGACGTAACTGGTCTTTCCAGTGTTTTGCTTGTGCGATATAAGGTTGTCGAGACTCCTTGGTGACAGCGGTACGAATTTGTTGGTTCACAGTATCACGTTCCCTGGTCAAGATCTCGGCCTTCTCTTGCAACTGGTTACGTTGGCTATAAAGTTCCTTCACGCGTAATGCACAATCAGTCTCGTAATTTCTTAAAGTCATGTTGCGAGCAATGGCATCAGCATTCTCTGCATAGTATTTAAGGTTGAGTTGGGGAGGAATGCGATGAATGTCGTCGGTTTCGGCTATTTGACTGTTCCAACGTATACAGTTAGGTGTTAGCTTGGTATTTCGCAAGCGTAAAGAACTGCATCTAGAAAGGTGTTTTAACATTTTAAGTGTCAAACTGGGAATTTGCAACGAGGGATGCTGGTTTTTTTTTGGCCGGAGCAACGGAGTTTTATTTCTTGTAACAATAGCGGCACTTTTTAGTAACTGAATCTCTTGTCAAATCATCTCTCGTTCTTTTTTACTCATCAAAACAATACTCGCTGATCTTTACAATATTTCAAATCGTGCTATTCTCTGGAACATAAAATTTAACTGTCTAATCAACACATGTTTAATATGACTTAGAGAGAGAGTTATTGGCTCAAAGGAAGATACCATGCCGCACGCATTGTTGGCGCAATTGCAGTTGTGACATGATCTGGACCTAATCCATGTTGTCCGTTTCCTGCCACTCTTTTTTAAATTAGAATTCAATGTGTGGTCATCTGTAACACTATTAGTAACAGTAATATATTCATATCTACACCATTAGTACGAACGTATCCATGTCAATTTAGAAGTCATACATTGAAATAGATAGCTTGTACTATAAGCACATTTATTGTACGCAGTGCGCCACTGTGAACGAGGAGCTAGCTAGCTATAATTCCTTCTTGTTAGTTTTTAATGTCTTTTTTAACCCATAAAGCAGCTACTTGGACTATTAGTTATTACTAAAACCAATGTATTCTAAACCCAAATTCTAAAGTATTTTTGATATTTTTATTGACATGTTTTGATAAATAATTCATTATTATTTCCATGTATTATTAATAGAAAGGTATAATCACAATCAGGACCTTCTGGGTTAATACTTCTGATCACTCTTTCTTTAGTTATAAAAATTATAAGGCCAACTTGGTCTTTTTGGTATGATTAATTATTGGGTCAAAATTGGAAATGGGTCGTGGGGCACTTGGTTCTCGTGATCTCTTTTTAGCGTTATTAGTGGATACTTTGGTTGCTGGATATGCAATCTTAGAGGCTGTAATTGGTTTGGAAAGGATATTGTTGATAAATGTAACTGCAGCTTCCGTGTTTAAGTCAATCGCTCGAACAGGATCGATTTGAAAGGGAGACCGGAAATCAAACAAAGTCCAATAACGAAGCACAAGCTATGAAAAGAATAAAATTAGTCAATACCATAAAACAATCATGATACAAATCTGTTAACTTACCAAGACATCAGACTGATGTTGGTGTTCGGTTCCGTTTAATGATAAACATAAACTCTTGTTTGAGTGAACAGAGTGGTCAATGAGTTCCTGTACAGATTCGTAGTTATCAGGCCAAAACGAAAATTGTTCGCTCAATATAGCAATTACTGGTCTTTGGATATGTACGTCGGTATCTGTCATCATCATTAATGGTTGTGCCCATGGATCTAATAGTAGCCCACACTGGAATCGACAGGCTTTATCATTCAACATGAGCATCTGTATAAATGTTAATACATATTGACATAAAATGAGCAAGTAGCGTATACTAACCGTTGTTGCTCCACCAAAGCTATGGCCAGCCATAACAATTGACTTCATATTGAGCTTTCCTTCAAAGTTTGGTCCACCTTTATTTGATTTGGTAATAGCCAATTCATCTAGTCCGGCTAAACATAATTCGACTTCGGCTACTCTGTGTCTCAGTTGATGATGTCTAAACCCCCACACCTCAGGTGGAACATTATCATACTTGACCCATTCATCTTCGACGCCTTTAGCCAAACTAGCAGATCCATCCCGATGTTCAATAGCAGCCACAATAAATCCGTGACTAGCAAGATCAGAACATATAGACGAATAGATTAACCGGTTGCCACCAAGGCCATGTGAAAATACAATGACTGGAAATTGCGTTGCTTCATCAGTTTCAAGTACTTGGGCATCCTTGTAAAAACGTGTTTTCTTGATAGATGCTAATCCTGATAACCAATTAGACAAGAATGCTGGTAGCTTTGCTATATCACATAAGGCTGAGTATGTAAAAAAAAAAATATTATGAGTATTGTGTTCCAACTAAAATATCTATCCCAATGTATGTTGTACCTTTAGCATAATCCGGATGAGTAATCCAATTGGCTTTATGATCTCCCTTTTTAATGGTTGCGGGGTAGTATAATCTCATCAGTACTGATTTACAATACTCGTCAGGTGGTGTTCTTGAATTGGAAGGTTGCTGGTTTTGCCACTCAATATCGTGGCACCCAACAGAGTAACGTCCGGTCAAAGGTGGGAAATTAGCTAATAATAAAGACATGTTTTTCTTTTGATCTATTTTTTGTTTGCTATTAAGTAGGATTATAAACAAAAAATTATGAATAAAAAAAATCAATTTTTATGAAAAGTGATAAAGTAAATTGGAAACACACACAACAAACAAAAGCAACAACTTTATTCTATTTTTTAAAATGTATTTATACAAAAGTAAGATTATGCCGAGTAAAATATATGATCAAAAAAGATGTACATATCATGTCATTTGAATTCATTTTAAAGGGTAGTACAAAATCCCTGCAGAAACCTATGTATTCATTTCGGCTTTTTTCTCGGTGGGGGTTAACAAATAAAAGCCTCGTATATTGAAAGCATTTGGGCGTTACGAAGCAGGAAATACTTATCTTTTTTAAAAACTATGAATTCAACCATGTTTTTTATTTTGCATAAGCATTCACATGTGTACGTTGTTAGGACCAGAAGAAATAACGAATCTTCATTACACAGTAATAATCTAAAACATATAGAATAATAGTCTAAACAATAATTACATCGTTCCCATCAAAATGTTTATGGAATGGATAGCATCGTGAATAGATAACACTTTATTTATGACTAATACACTATGTTAAAAGAATTTCTAGCGTGCTATTGTATGTACATATGTGCCTTCTAGTAATAAGAATTAAAAAAGGCATCTGAAATTTTAGAATTGTGTAATTATCACCTGTTTACATGTACTGATGTTATCATCATATTCCAAAAGGAAAAAATTTAAGGGAATATGTGATCATCGGCTATAGTAATCGATAACGATGCTTTGAATATCCCAGTGTAATTTAAAAAACATTATAAATTTATCGTATACGAAAACAAAAAGGTTTGATAAAGTTTGCTTTGACCGGCTCTAACCGCTCCAATAATTGCTTCACAATGGAAAAAAAAATTATAACCCTTTACCAGAGTGTAGGACAATTCTGCAACCGGGGAAAGAAGGAATGTTCCTTTAAGGAACCAATTTTTCGGCTTGATAGATATGCCATCTTCTAAAAGAGGGGGACAGAAATATTCGGCAGAAGGTAAAGGAAGCCTTTTGTTACGTAAAAAAAAAAGGCTCAAGGATCTAGAATCCAGTTTACTGTCTTAAGCTTCGAACTCCCATGCGCTGGTATGATTTCATTTATTTCATAGATCAGCAGAATTTTGATGAGTTATATTTACTCGGCTACCGGAGGTATGAAGCCCGTTGCTTATGAAATAATCTGGTGTATAGAAAATTAAACGTTCTATCAAACAATAGCATTATATCTGTATTTGGGGTTTTAAGCAATATTGTCGACACTCAGAGTTTTTTTTTTTTTTTTTTTTTTTTTTAAGTGCTTAAAATAAATTGTGTTGTTTGTCTACATTATTTTGCAGAAAAAAAGAAAAGAAAGTATACATGGCTACATAAAAACAATTAACCCATAATCTTATATTTGCTCCATATCATAGGCTTATCGGTAACCCTTTAAAAAAGTGGCTAAAAGCAACTCAATTCGGTGAGTAATTAGCGAGCTCCTTTTTTTGATAAATTCTTTTTGGAAATCACAAGCGATATTAAAATAGTTTTTATAAAAACCGTGACTTCATGTTGTAAAACTTAAGCTTAACTGTACACTTGGTACAAGAATATAAAAGGGGGATGGAATTAACAAAACTATAAGTTATTTATCGTTTTACACCCGAATTTCACTCATGAGATCATTCGAAATTTCCTTATTGTTGGGAATCTAGACAAAGTAAAATGTTTTATTATATGCCAGTCGTTTTATTTGTTATCTAAGCTCATTTTTAGTCGAGATTCGATCGGTTATGTCGAATTTCGATTTTAATAAAATATGCACTACACAAGACGGCAGAAATATCTAGCATTTATTGTAAAATATATATATATATATAAGCATGACAACGATTATCTTACAATGTGATACACATAAGATTTCAGTTATTCGGGAAGATACACCGAGACTTGTATATTAGTTTGGTTTTGACCTGAACGGAAATGAATTTTGTTTGTCTAATTGAAAATCTGCATTGATAAGCAGTACTGGATCAATTGAAACACAGGGTTTTTGTTGCATTATTGAACCCATAACTTTATTCAGTCAGTTATGGATAGCCTAAAATTATTGAACACGGGTTCAGTGAATGTATCCAAGTTAACAAGTAATTAACAAACCATACAACCCAACATTTTATGGTCATTTGAGTGCTTGATCCTGGAATTTCAGTTATATGTCATAATCATTATATGGTTAGCATTTTTTCTTTCTTTGGGTGGTACACAAAATGCAGTTATCAAAGAAAATGGGATGCTGTATGCTGATTTTCTTAGGAGGGAGTATACAATATGTGAGCTTTCTAATTATTACCATTTAATTAGACTTTTTTTTCTTAAGTTAGATATGACTTGCTTTATACATGGTTCAGCAATCTCAGCTTACTCAATAACAACGTGTAACTGTGCAAAATGAAGGACTAGGAGTAATAGCAGATGTTTAATACGAGGTACTGCTCAGTAAAAAAAGTTGAGGAGAAGAGAGGCTTTAAATTCTACAATGTTTTTATAATCATGGAAGACGCTGTTTTCAGGTTCTATTCTGCTTTTACCATTCTTATCCGTATCTGATATACAGGATTTTAGTCTTAATTGGTACTGGACACACTTGAATTGATAGCATCAACAACAAATGCAGAATGCTTATCCATTACTATAAAAAATCCTTTTGCAGACTTTCATTTGGCGACCCTGCCTGCAACTACAAAAATGAAACTCCGTGTCCAATCTCGTCAAGACACTTCTGCCCTTTTCCGCGCTTTCTTTCTTTCTCTGTTTTTATTAAACAATGGTTCAATTAAAGAACAAGTTACCTTGCATTTTAGCTGCCATTACTCTTGTTTTAACTGCAGCAGAGGCAGCTTCTGCTTCAGTACGAGGTGTTGCCCCAGAAAGTAAACTTCCTCTTTCGAAAACAAATTAAACTTTCTATTAACCTTTTTTATTTTTGTTATTTTTGCATAGAATACGAGTTATATAAAGCCTCCAGTGATGGCACATGGACTTGTTTAGACGGTTCTAAAATTATTTCGCATAGCGCCATTAACGATGACTATTGCGATTGTGTTGATGGTTCCGATGAGCCAGGTATTTCATCAAGTAGTCCTTCTCCCTTTTTTAAAAAAAACTTACAGAAATTCGCGCCTCTCTATTTTTTAATATATAGGCACCTCTGCCTGTCCCAATGGTTTGTTCTATTGTGCCAATGTAGGCCATATTCCTTCCACTATCAAGTCTTATGCGGTGAACGACGGTGTATGCGATGAAGCCTGTTGTGACGGTTCTGATGAAAACGGAGGCTTGATTACCTGCCCCGACCGCTGCAAGGCAGTCGGTGAAGCCTACCGCCGAGATCAATCCAGTCTCCAGCAATCTACATTGGCCGGCCTCGCCGCCAAAGAAAAGCTGATTGAAGAGGCCGAGAACCAAGTGACTTTGTGGGAGGAACAACAGATCAAGTTGGAAGATGAAATCATTCTTAAGAAATCCAATGTGCTTCGTTTACAACGCGAGTTGAAGGCTTTGGAAGCTGCACGTACTACAAAGAAAAAGACAAAGTGTCAATCAAATGTGTTGGAGATTGATACATTGAAACACGATATCACCATCTTATTAAAGGAGTTGGAGAGTTTAAAGAGTATCTTGGGTGATATGAAGCGTGACCATAACCATAATTTCCATGATATGGCTGTAAAGAGTGCTATTGCTGGCTATGATGATTTCATGAATCGTTATGAAGGAATCAAGGAAAGCATCAATGATGACGTTGCCAATATCAATGTTCAGGAACCTGAGGAACAAGAGGAAGAAGAAGAAGAAGAACCTACAATTGAAGAGGAAACGATCGATTCTAAAGAAGAAGGTAGGCAGCTAATTTTTACTAAATTTCATTTTATTAGGATCTTTTCTCACTGACGAATATTAGGTAAGCACTCTTTTGCTATGACTATTGTTGAAAAATTGGAATCAATTCTTCCCGATGTCTTGAAAAAGAGTCTGTTGGATAAATTGGTCCCAATTGTAAAAAACGATAATAAAAAAGCAATCCCACATAGTGGTATTAGTAATGAAGCAGGTGTGGGGAGATATAAATGCTTTTTTGACCTAATATTGGTAGAAAAATAACAGTATTGCGTGTACTAAACATTCTTGTTTTAGACGTGGAAAATGCTCGTAAATTATACGAAGCCGCCGACTCCGAAGTGGATCAATTGACCGCAGAGTTACAAAAGATCAAGGACGACTTAGCTATTGACTATGGTACTCAAAGAGAGTGGTTAAAACTCAAGGATGTCTGTGTCGAAAAAGACGAGGGAGAGTAGGTTATTCTCCAGAAGCTAGCTTCATTACCTTATCTAAAGTATTATAATAGGTACACTTATTCATTATGTTTCTTGGGAGATGCTTATCAAAAGAGTAACAAGGATAGCACACGTACATTTTTGGGGTAAGTACAAAAATAAGTGTATGTATATACATGTATACTTAATACTTGAATCATACAGTAAATTTAGCAACTTTGATGACGGCAATTATAAGACGCATGCGCATAGTCAAGGCACACGTTGCTGGAATGGACCTGAAAGAAGTGTCAAGGCCACCATTGAATGTGGTGTAAATAATGAAATCATTGAAGTATCTGAACCCGAGAAATGTGAATATCATTTCCGCATGTTGTCACCTGCTGTTTGTCAACGTATCCAAGAGAGCACTGAAAAAACTACTAATAATAAGCCAATTCACGAAGAGCTTTAGTTAAATAAATAAAGTGTGTGTGTAACCGATTTTATATTGAAAAAAAAAAGAAAAAAAAATATACATGTTGGAGGTGGAGGGGGATAAGAGAATATATATATATGCTGTTTTTGTTATTGTACTGGTTCTTTTTTCAAAGTCTGGCCAGTGGTGGTAGCATTTAATTGGCTTGAGGATTGGGATCGTATGATGGGCGCAGGTGCAAGGCCGTTTTTATTCCGTTGAAAATCCGCATCCAATTCATCGTCGTGGACTGGTGAAGAAGACAAGTAATAATTGGTGCGATCTTGTTGAGTATATGATGGGTCATTCATATTAGAGACGGTTGATACGGCAGCCGGTGAGGAATGCTGTCTAGGCAATTGAGGTGGAATAGGACCTCCAGCAGCATTAGATCTCTTCAGCTTCATGACTACTTCACATTTCTTGAGAATATGTCGCACATTCAATTCCATGTCACCTTCTTCATACGATAAATTCTGTAAGAGTGGAATAAAGTCTTCAGGTACAGAGGCGAATTCTTCTGCATTTTGAAGCATCATGGTAACGGTTTCTATGGCATATAATGATTCATCCTTGATAGGGTCTTTACTTTTAGAGTAGAGGATATTGGGTGCAAGTACAGTGGAAAGATTGACAATGTGCATCTTGCTACCTGAATCATCTTCCATATGAGCAAACTGCGACACCCATTTCATGAATATAAACAAAACCTCCATCGTATCACGATTTGCTTTTGGTAATAGACAGCAAGCTAAATGAGTTACACGTTTTCTATCTGACTCTGATTCCAATTCTATAAATAATTTTTTTTTAGTTGTAGATAATTAAAAAAATGTGTGTAAGCTTACTTTGTGCAGTAATAAATAACCTGTGTAATCTAAAAGTTAATAGAGGATCTGGAAGCTCTCGCAAGAACTTTTTAATTAACGCTGCCACTTGAATAGGCGTTTCATTTAGTAATTGGACGCCAGTAGGGTTCCTGTCGATCTCTTCACGTAACTCTTTCAAGCCTCGGATATTGCCGTTTTTACGGAAAATACCTTCAACAGACATATCCATTTGCTTCATGGCAGACACACAATCATCAATAAAAGAAGGAATCTTGATGATTCGTGTAGGCCCAACACCTAGGTTGGATTCAATACCATTTTTTTCTACCAGAACATCTATCGGTACACCAAAAGTACCCTCTATTATATTTCATCAATACACAATTAAACTATATATATTTCTATATTTTTACCTTTGGGTCGTGGAGCCTTTTTATTACCACCTGCTTTAAGACTAGTTACGAACTTACCCCACAAGGTGGAATTCTTCTTATCATCAATTAAATCAGCTAATTCTTCCAACGTAAAATGATCATGTAATATTTCTTCCAGATAGAGCACAGCGATATGTTTTAGCATGAAATGTTGTAATGCACCCAATTCTGCAAAATAAAAACTTTTGGCCATTGGCACTGACTTTGTATATTGATGATGGTATGTGTGATGTGATGTATTGAGCGAACTCAACGAGAGTTGAGAGAAATCTCCACCATGACCATTTCCCATCTCGTTATTATTCGATGATCTTCTTGTTGCAGATGTATCGGTAGACACACTGGCTGGTCGGCTTTCGCTTTCATCTGTCTTATTCGCTACATACGCAACATTGGGACTGGGCGTCTCCATCAATGTAGAGCGTTTACCCACACGATGTGAATTAGTAATCTTTCGGTTCATATGGGTTGACTTCATACGTTTAATATCATTCAAATGAATTTCTTCATTGGGGAGATGTTCATCTTTGGGAATCTGTGGTATTTGACGGGGAAGTGGTACACTCTGTGCTTGTTGATGCTGCTGCTGTAATTGTTGTTGTTGGTGATGCTGCTGTTGTTGCATTTGCAATTGCTGTTGTTGTTGCTGTTGTTGCTGTAATTGCTGATGTAATTGGTCGCCGGTCTGACCATAATAAGCAACCATTGGGTCTATAAAGGGGATGTGAGGGGTGAGTTTTTTTTATGTTTTTGGATAGATATACATAAGCTTAATAGTTTACCTGGAACATTCAACAAGCTATACAAACGACGTAAGGCGACTCTTAATAAGAAGGAGGACTGTTTCAACTTTGAGATATATTCCACACCTTGAGAATAGCCTTCAGTGTGTTGAATACATTTTTTACAAGTGATGGATAGAGAAGTATTATCGATATAAGCATCGGCATATTCGTTTCGAAGAGGAGCACAACATGTGGAACAAGCGAAACATGCGTCGTGCCAAAGATAGGCACCATAACGATAACAAGCGTCTTCGCAGGCCTTTCTACAGAACTGACAAAGATCTGAGGAGACGGTATAATCAGCTTCATGCAGGTGTTGCCTCTTCTTATTTGCTAATTCCATGAGTTGACTTAGGAATCGACTGATAGCGCCTGATCTCGAATCGTTTTTGGTTTCTAATCTTAGGGCACCGGTAAGACCAATTCTGATCAATACCTTAAGATAGTGCGCTAAACCTGTCACTAATGATAACAGATCTTGGGTGATGCCAATCTTTCGAAGACCACTTTCTTGCGTATGCGAAAATAATGAAAAGAAATTCGAGACTTTTTTACAGAGCATGCTGCTTTCTCGGTCATAATACAGTTCTTCGCCTGTTTGCGCAAAATAAGCGTTGGCTAAATCATCAATTGCTGTAAACAAGACGTCCACATGCGTGACAAAGTAATCTGCCATCTTGACACCATCAGCATAACCTCCTTCGGATACGTGAAGTAACATGTCGGAAATACAGCCAGCAGCAGACTCTAACATTATAATTCAGTTATTCTATCTAACAAATATCTCTCTCTGTCTGTCTGTCTACCTTCAAAGGCTGATAATACGGTCCAAATTCGATATACTTTTTCTTCCATGATTGTTTGAGTATCTTTGAGTTCGTCCGAGCTCATATGGCTGAGGTCTAATATATTCATATAGGAGTGTTTTTATGTTTGAATTTAACTTGGAGAAATAAGGGGACATAGCAACAACTTACCCATATTCGAAGAAGTTGGTTCGTCATGACCAAAAGAAAGAGCTAATTTCACATTCCAAAACTAGGGCAAGAGGTAAGTCTCTCAAGAAACAAACCAGTGCTTTTCTTTTCTTTCTGTTTTTACCTTGTGAATCATGTAACATTCCGGATGCCAATGTTCATCGACATTATTTCTATTGATCTCGACAAATTGTTTAAGAATGGCAGTTTCACAGCCAATACATTTGATTGCGAATTGAATGGAATAATGGTAATGACAATAAACGTTTGTGTCGTGTTCGTAATAAGAGTCATCCGGGCCAAAGACAACTGAACACACACTACAACAAAAGTGCTCTAAATGGAATTTTTTGCCTACTGCAGTGATGTACGAACCTCGTAAGGCTTCACCACAGTTATCACAAGCGAGGTTGAGTCTTTTAAAGTAATCCCGTTCGCATAATGGTTTTTGTAGGCCATCATCCAACTCGATGGGAAAGAATTTATCGGCTACTGGTTCATTGCAATCCTAATGAATAAATAAAAAAAAGTTCAACAGGTCGTTGCAACCTCCTTTCTCCCTTTCATACTCACAATGCAAAGGAAACACTCCCAATGAAAAGCACCATCCAGGGCGCGTGCAAAATTACCGTCTAATTGATTTTGGCATGAAGTACAGTTTATTGTGGTTGTGTTTGTGGATGATATTATAGTTTGTTGAACTTTGGTCGATTCAGCTTGATTCATAATAATAAGAGGGTAATGGAGAGAGAGAGAAAAGGGAAAGGGAGGGAAAAGCTTTTAATTTTTTTTAGAAGAAAAAAAAAAAAAAAAAAAAAAAAAAAAAAAAAAAAAAAAAAAAAATAGAAAGGAAAGGAGAAAGATGCTTAAACAACAACAAAAAACTCACACACAGAAAATCAAGAAAGGGTAGAAAGTGGAGATTTAATTTATTCTCTCTTGGTAACACTAATTGTTAATTCACCATCACTGTCTTTTACCAAATTCTCTAAAAGATGGAAACTATTTTCAAGAACAGCATCCTCATTGGCTTCAGGTCGAACCACAATTTCTGCAGTACCAATACATTTACCATATGAATTTTGCCAGAAATGGACTTTATCAATCGAAACAACATTGGGGTTTTGTTGTACCTGATTTTTTGTTAGTATTTTCTGTGTTCCCCATACAACAAATAAATGAATAAAAAAACTCACCATTCTCAGATTATTATCAACTCTGGATTGGAGTGAATCAGGCATGGTCTGTAATAATACTTTGGCTAATGCAGCTGCAGTAGGTCCTCCTAAATAAAGCATTAATGCAGATTCCCCCATTGCCATCATCTTATCCAATGTGGGTGATCCAATACCGAGCAAGTGGACCATAAACACAATTCCACCAGTACACACAACGGATAACGAATAAATGTTGCTCTTTACCGATTCCAATCCACCCTCACTCTTCATGTCGTTGTATGAATATTCTCCATTATTGGATCTGCTTCTGACTAAGAAATTACACAAATGTTAATATATTTTAAGCTTTTTTTTTTAAAACCAAGACAAACTTACGATTCACCAAATTTTCATGATTTTTTAATTTGATGTTTGAAACAACAGAAGCTCCCATTGCTATGGATACCATTAAGAGCAAACCAAATGGATATGAGCTCTTACCATGATGGTCACCATGTACCTCCAAGAGTAAGTGCTCCAATGATTCCTTGGATGTATACATGGTGCCAAATAACAAAAAGATTGTGTTCGCGAGTGCAAATACCAATTCAAAACGTTTGACGCTATTAATAGAAGCGGTGAATAAAAAGAAACCATTATTAAAAAAATATGTGTGTAACTCTTACCCAAATGGTCTCTTGGTGCTGCTGGTGTTAAATGCAGGATTCATTTCAAGCACGTTCGACACCAAGTTGTTCAAGATACCAAATGCATCAAACAATACCAAATAAGAAAATCCAACAACACCTATCTCTCCCATGTTAACTATCATCCTTTCTCTCATCACAACTTCTTTTACCTAAACTTTCACGAGATGCACCTAACCACCATACAATAATACCAATCGCAAAATGTCCAAGGAAACAGGTGAAAAGCACCTGCTGATGAGGTCCTAAAGATGCGAGAATGGAAGAATACGAGGGCAAAGGTGGGGTATAAACTTGAGGAAAACTAGCGTGGCTGTGACCGCTATGATCATGGCTGTGGGCTCCGTGGTCATGGTTATGGGCTCCATGATCGTGTCCAGCGTGGCTGTGCCCAGCGTGGTTGTGCCCAGCATGATTGTGCCCAACATGGTTGTGCCCGCTATGATCGTGGCTATGTCCGCTGTGATCATGCATAGTATGGCTGTGAACACTGGCGTGGTTATGTCCGCTGTGATCGTGTCCAGCATGATTACTATGATCATGTCCAGCATGGCTATGTCCGCTGTGATCATGTCCGCTGTGATCGTGTCCAACATGCTGGTTATGATCGTGATGCACTTGTTTGAAGCCATAATCAGGAGCCGCATGCTGATGGCCGTGTCCGTCATCAAGTTTTTTGTGTTGAGCGGGAGCATATGGGTTAGTAACAGCAGCCTAATAATAAAGAGAGCGTTTATATATAAACATTAAATAAGTATGCTCTTTAAAGCAGAAAAAATTACTTGATGATGCTCATGCACTTCTGTACGAATGGGAGTTGAGCGTTGAGCAATATGAGTGGGGGCATTACTCTGAATAGCTAAACCGCTACGAGGAAGCTTATTTCCGCCAATTTGTAAAGCATCAATCGAATTCTGTTGTGTTGTTAAAGGCGATTGAGGTCTACGTTTGGTAAACTGTCGGGTTTGATGCATCTTTATGATAATCTACTGAGAAACAAACAAGGGGAAACAGATAGATTAAAAAAAAAAGAATGAATTGATAGCGGGGAATCAATCCAGGTACAGCCCAATTTCGGAGCGCCACGACGGGGGGAACTGTCACAAGTGTGTGTGCGTGTGTATAAATGCTTTTTCGGTGCCTTGTTGACTTGCACTATCCGGTAAATAAAACACAGGGCAAACCGTGTTTCTGGGTTAAAACCATGCTTATTTTTATATGTAGCGTATACTTTTAACAGATACACTATGGTAAATGTAAATACTATGTAAGCTTTACCCATAAAGATGAGCAAAAAATTTTCTTAGAAAATTTTTCCTCCCCTTTTATAGAGCTATTCCATAATAACCAGGTCAATAATAATAATAACAATACAACCCCTCTTTCTATCCCTTGTATGCCGTATAAAAAAAAGCCTTTAAAATGGATTTAAATATATATAAAAAAAATCTGAGAACACAAACCCGAATTCTAAAGTGATGCGCAAAATTTCCTTTTTAAAAAGAAAAAGAGAGTTTGGTGTAGCAGTAGAATTATTCTATGTTTGACTTGAATGTGATACCGATTAAACAGAGGTCTCATAAGTTTTTGATTAATGTATTATTTTTGGGGCCTGCTCGTTTTAAATATCGCTACCTCGCTTGGCTACTTATGTTTGGCTTAAAAACGTTCGCAACGAATGGTAGCATTTTTTTTTTTTTGTTTAAAAACTATTGTTTGCCGAAATAAATAGAAAGAAAAAAAAACAATTCATAAATTGACAATTCTTAGTTAGATACAAAAACAAGTTAAAATAGAAAAAGATTTCTTTTTTTTATTTTTAATTAGCAAGTGTTAATTGGACGGATATGACTCTAGCAATAATGAATCATTTAAAATTTATAAGAATCTCACATTGTATTATTTTTTCTAGATATAAGATAAAAACTAAATACTTTTAAAAAACAAAAAAAATTATAACCCCTGCATTTTAGTAACTAAAAAAGTTCATCTTTTTTTTCCTAGAGCAAGTTGAAAACAAGTAATATGATAATGTGTAAGACGTCACGATGAAGAGATACCATAGAAACTCCAATGAACGCGTGTGATATGATCCCAACAACTATTAGGAGTACGGGGACTTTGTTATATCCTGGATACATCAAGTGAAAGATAGCCAACATAGTTGGGATGAGAGACGAACTTAGAAAAAGTTTGCAGTACATTGTGACTAATCTTTTTTTTTTTTTTTTGTTCAGCTATATCTAGGCACAATTGGGGAGAGAGAGAGCGAGAAAGAGTGGAGTGAGTGAGAGTGAGCTAGAAAAGCCCTTTCTCACCACTTGTAAAAACAAAATTTGCCTTCTTTTTTTAAATTTTTTTTTTTTATCTATTCCTCTTTCTATTCATATGGAGAGCACACTACAGAAACCCCAAAAACCCGTCGTTTGTTACCGCTGCAGAAAATCGTCGTCAAAAACCAGTACTTTGGTTGCGTGCGATCTTTGTGCATTGTTTTGGCATTTGGGCTGCATTTCGCCATCTCTTCAACATGACCCACCAACTGGTCATTGGATGTGTCCTCAACATCAGAAACCAGTAAGTTTTTTTTTTCCTTCTTGTTGCTCCTCCTTATATATCCTTTAAAAAAACGTGTACTAGTCCAAGCGACAAAGCCCAGGACGTAAACGAGTTTCCAAAATAAAGGCTAGAGAAGCCACGACTGAAAGTCTGGAAGAGGCTGATGAATTTTTAAAATATGGGGGTGTGTTACATAGCATTCTGGCTGAAACAGTCGAAGGCGACTTTCTACGTTATGCCAAAAGGTAAAAATAATTTTATATAGTTTTTTATATATCAGCTATGCTTAAAAATGCAGCCTTCATAGATACAGACAGTTCAATCACTCTGAACGAAATAGAAAGCGACATAAATTACACGCTGACAAGGTTAGTAATGAAATATCACCTCCTTTTTTTTATAAAAAAAATTATACATGTATTTAAAATACCTTATATAACTAGTGGCTTGACAAGCTAACCTGTGTTCAATTGAATGATACGGATGGGATACAAATGCTAATAGACGCTGCCAATGTAAGAGCCTTTATATATATATATATATATTATATACATATACAAAGTCATTTACTAATAATAATTTGCAGGTTCAATCAGACAATAATACATATGTCAATCTAGACGAGACTCAACTTAAAAGATTTGAAGCAATACAAGAACTTGTAAATATTAAAGGCGAAGGTGTCGTGATGGACATCTTGTCCAAAACTTTATAAAAAAAAAACGTTATTTTTTTTACTGTACAATTTTTTTTCTTTTTCTTAATCTAAATATTCTTCTTGTACTTCCTCGTGTAAGGCTTCCTGTTCAGTTCTACCTGTCTTATGAATCATCATGAGCGCCAATAATATAGGCAAGTGCATAATGCTACCAAAGAATAGTTGTTTTGCGCTTTTATCATTACTAAAAATAACAAAGACGTCAAGATAAATATTGCTTCCTCCAAAAAAATCAGAAAATATTTAACTCATCTTTACCTATTGCGCCAGAATTTGACAGCACCGTACAACATGGCAGCATTAACAATGGTAGAATCAGCCGCAAAAGTCCATGTAGTGACATCTAAATAGGATAGACTCCAAGACAAGGGAAACATGGCTAAGCTGTATCTTAGCGACACACGCGCATTTAATTTAGGATCCGTAACAGACATCATACGGTACCCTGCCTTGGAATAATCCGCACGCAAGTTCCAGGCCAACGAGTTAAAATGGGGGAATTGCCAGGCATATAAAATCGCACCCAGGACCCAAGCACCGGGATCCAATGAATTCGTGACAGCGGCCCAGCCCATCATGGGCGGGATACCTCCTACCACTGCACCAGCCCAGGTGTTGGCAATGGAAGCACGTTTCATGGGTGTATATACCGCCGTATACAAAAAGATATTGGCTGCTCCCAAAGCGGCTGTCAAGGGGTTCACCATGGTTGCTAACATGGCCACACCAGCTGTGCCTGTCAATACGCCAAAATTAAAGGCATGGAAAGGGGATAACGCACGTCGCCCAAGAACTCGGTTACGAGTTCTCAACATTTGGGCATCGTAAGGAATCTCGATCCATTGATTGATGGAATTAGCAGAAGAAATGCAGAGTACGGTACCAACCGTTGTATATAGCAACGAAGTAACGTCCATTGCACCAGGGGCAACTGCATACCCAGCCATAGCTGTCAGGGCAACCAAACCACCTAGTTTCGCTTTCACTAACTCTTTATAAACTTTTGGTAATTCCGGCATTGTAGCCCCGTTCAAGGGTTTAAACTTGGTGCCTTTGAATTCATTCGTGGTTGGTGTATTTTGGGTCGAATAGCGAGAAAGAACGATAGTGGCTGACGAAGAAACAACAGGTGGTTTATATGTAATGGGGAAATAATGACTTCTTATAACTCCATGCCCGTTCTTGCTGAATAAAGAATGTATGCGGTGTGAAGAACGCAACATACTTTTTTATTTTATTTTTTTTTACAGGCGGAAAAAAAAAAAGTTGTTTACAATTACTGAGAGAGTGGGGTACACACACACACACAAGCACACGCCTAAGGGGGGATAAAATATTAATCCGACTTTTTGTCTCGCTTTATTTCAGGCCCAGTGTATAACTTTTTTTTTTTCTTGCACACACAAACATGTCAATTGACGTTCAAACCTGTACTGACATTCTTCCACCTTTTCAATTGGTAAAAGGCATTGATCTCGGTTATAACAATGATTATTTATTTGATGTCACTGCCAATAGTCAATATGCGCTCACTTCGGCTTCTGACAATTGCGTGCGTCTCTATGATCTCGCCACTTTACAACTAGCACACACCATGCCAGCCCATACTAGTAAAATCTCTAAAATGAAGTTGAAAAACGACCAATACCTGTTTACAGCAAGTGAAGATGCTACTTTAAAACGTTGGGATCTTCGTGTACCAGGTACTACTGGTCCTTCACAAACATTCAAGTGTAAGCTTTACCTCTTATTACATAACCTTTTATTCTTATATTTTTTCTGTCAGATACAAAGCCTTTGACTGCCTTTGATATCAACTGCAATGATACAATGGCTATTGTCGGTACCGAATTCTCATCTTCAAATTTTTCTGCTGATATTGGCTTTTATGATACAAGAAACACCAAGTTAATGCATACATTTACTGATTCGCATGGAGATGATATTACAGAGGTAGATCAAGCATTGCTATCCGCATGCCTTGTTATTAACAAAAACCAACTACCTAGATTCAATGTCATGCTAGTATGCCTGCACAATTCTTGTCCTGCTCTACCGACGGTATGATCAACAATTACGATGTGACTGAATTTGACGAGGAAGAAGCCATGGTGTCCGCCATCAATTCGGGCTCCTCTGTCAACAAGACAGGCTACTTTGGCCCTAACGCGGAATATATTTACTGTCTGACACATATCGAATCATTCTCACTGCATACACTCGAAGGCGATTTGATTTGCGATTATGGCGATATTAGAAACATTGGTTTGACGCCTGTCAAATATGCTATCGACTGTAGTTATGATCCTGCTACTCAACGTTTCTATTTAATCACCGGCAGTAACACGTAAAGTTTTTTTTACTGTAACTTTGTTTAAAAAAAAAGCATTGTACTTAATTTTTTCTATAGCGGAAGCGTTGATTTCTTTCATGTGAATGTGGGTCAACTTCAACATTGTCAACAATTGAATATCCAAGGTGGTCATTCTGATGTTGTTCGCTCTCTATATTGGAATCATGCTACACAAAGTATTCTGACTGGTGGTGAAGATGGAAGATTATGCGCCTGGCAGGGACAAACTCATTAAATATAACAATGTTATTAATGGGAGGGTTAAAAAGAATAGAAATATATTTTATATAAATTGTATTAAATGAAGAAAAAAAAAAGAAAAAAAAAAGTATGCGAAAATAAGGTACTGAGGGAAGAGGGGAAAATACATGAATAAAAAAAGGGGGTGGGGTGGGGGTAGGTAGGTAGAGAAAACAAATGAAATAATAATAATATAGTATATAATAATAGAAAAAATTAAGTAAGAATGGTGAGTGTGTGTGTGTGTGTGTGTGTGGGACTTATTGAGCATAGATTTGGTTTAGTCTCCAGTTAACCTTGCGATCATTACTTCTTGGGTTGCCTAGCAACGAAGCAAACATATCATCGGTGGTTGAATCGTCAGGAGGTAAGAAGTTTAAATCCGAATCATAAGTTGGCATAAACGTTTGTTTATGATGAATCGAAAACTGTTCTTGTTTCAAAGAGAGTATATTTTGCTGATGCTGCTGCTGCTGTTGTTGTTGTTGTTGTTGTTGTTGCTGCTGCTGATGCTGCTGCTGTTGTTGTTGTTGTTGTTGATGTTGTTGCTGTAATTGTTGCTGTTGTTGCTGGTATTCTTGTTGTCGCAAAAGATCAAGATGGTGCTGTAATAACATGTCCTGTTGCGTTCGATTGTTAAGAAGTTTTTGCTGTTGTGGCATGTTAAGCATCTGCGCTGCTGATGATGATGTTGATACAGGTGGTGTTACAGATGAAAAGGTGGGATACATTGTATTGTTATACAATGAAGAAGGTAAGACGTTCATCATATTCATTGGACTCACTGGACTCACTGGACTTGCAATCTTTTCATTTTGAGATCGTCCCCACGATAAACGAATACGTGAATTGCCAATTTGATATCCGTTCATTTGTTGAATGGCCAATTCGGCACTAGTACGTGAAACATATTGAACAAAGCCACATCCTTTTCCTGGAGGAATCTTCACGTAAACAATGTCGCCAAAATGTTGAAAGTATTGTCTTAATTCATCTTCACGAATAGGAGCAGATAACCCACCTACAAATACTGTCGTGTTGCTCGAATCCAAATGATGATGGAGAGAGGGTGATTGAATAGGTGATTTATTAGGCGATGTCATGAGTGAAGAAGGTGCTGTAGAAGCTGCAGAGAATGCCATTTGCGATGTTCGGTTCTTGGGGGTCGCCACTGATACACGAATAGCACGCGAACCAATGAAATAGCCTTGCATTTCAATTAAAGCCCTTTGTTGATCCATTTGTTCTGCAAATCGTACAAATCCATATCCACGAGTAATACCCGTTCGTGGATCGGTCATAATCTTCGCTGATTTATAAGAAACGTAACGAGACTGAAATATAGACTATGTTTATAGATTAGAACAACAAATATAAAACAACGGTACTTTTTTTTTTGCTACCAAAAGATCCATCTCTGTGATTTCAGGGCTTAAATCACCCACAAATATAGAATACTCTGGCTGTCTATCCTCTCTATCGAAATAATTTAGTATGTATATCTAGTTTTTTAAACAAGGTTTCCTTATTTTACCTTCTGTCAATAAGACCACCACCTGAGGCCCAGTTAAGTTTGAATTGTTTGAGCGAATTAGGCATCATGACACCATTAAGTTTATTCATGACTAATCTGGCACCTGCCGCAGTACCAAAATCCACAAAAGCATAACCTGCACTGATACTTTTTTTTTTTGGGTATATATCACGGTTAGTAAAGAATGAAAACTTCTTTTCTCTCTTTGTTAGAAAACTGTAGTTATTACCCAGTCACTTTGTCTCTGATGACTTTCACCATAACCTTCTCGTTCAGGTTAAACCATAATTGTTGAATGTACTGCTCGTCCATCCATGGTTCTAATTCTCCCATCCTATAAAGTTGTTTTTTAGTCTCATTTTTACAATAACCAAAACAAATAACACGCATACCATAAAGTTGTCTTTTGTTGTTCATGAGATATCAATGGAGACTGCTCAAAGGGGAAAGAAGACATAAGTTACTTTCTTTACTTTTTTTTTATGGTGAAATAAAAAAAAAAAAAAAAAAAAAAAAGAAAAAGAAACAAACATTAAAAAAATTTGTAGAGTCTATTTAGCTGACGTTTGTGGAACTTGAAACTGTCTTCATGGCCCTGAGAAGAGGTTGTGTTTATCATGAGCTTATTTTCATGTAAAACTCCATGATTCATTCAGGACAGGTCTACACGGGGGAGGGGGGCCTACTTTCGGTATCGTCAGCTTTTGTTGGCCCGCTCGAGTTATTTTTTGTTATTGGTTACTCAAGAGTAAAAGCGTTCGTTTCCTTTTTCTGCACATAAATTTATTCTTGTAAGGATATCACGTTGATTATCCATGTAATGTCTAAAAGATTACGTACAGTCCATCGGAATTTGCTTTTCTTGAAAATTCAGTGAGATTAAACTGTAAATCATGCTTTTCTTTGTTTTACATACGGCTTACGATCCAGACAATTATCATTATTTTCGCAATTTAACCAATAATGGCAATTCATGCTGTGGCTCCCGTAAATACAAAACAAAAAACATGGTGTATCGCTACAGTTAAAACAGCTAGATAGAAACAGTCAATTGATATAATTTGACACTTTTTCCTGCTCGATAATACTCGTCCGAGTTTCCTAAACCTGTTTCCACCCAATTGGAAGAGCCTCGCACGTATCTCATCACGCGCTAAACACTTACATAATGGTTATTTTTTGTATGTCGAAAATATACTGCCAGCTGACTCATACATTTCATATTCTGGGGAAGCTATAGAAGTTTGTGAGTAAAAGAGTGTAAACAGGCACAAAGGTCTCGTAAACTATTGTTATGCTTGTATGGTTTATGGTCAATCAAATAAAAATGGAAGCGGAAAGTCGTAAAGATCAATCTGCTTAAAGAGCTGCTTCTTCATTATTAAAATCAAGAATCCTACGTACAAGAAAGTTTTTAAATTATGCATAGCTTTTGAAACTTTTTATCAGTCACATTTTACTAGATATTGCTATAAACTCGATCAATATAATTTTTTCAATGTCTATTTTAGAATTTAATAGCGAAAGAGACAATGAGTGGTTCTTCTGTTAGGATGATTTAATTGTTTATTCATCAACTTAGAATCATCTTCGAATAACCCAAAGCTTATATACGCCGTGGATTTTTTTAAGGAACAGGCGTATATATTTTCACAAAGAAGGGATAGAAGTTATCTAAGTCCGGAATATCTTTGAGAAGATCTCCATTGGTTAATCCAAATGTTGAGGTCGAGTGGTTGTCAAGTTACTCGATCCTAAATCTGTCCTTATTAAGTTCATCATCAATGACACAGTAGTTGCTTGGAGGCGCATAGTTTATTTTTAAAACATCAAGTATTGAAAAAAAAGGTCTAAAGACTTATCTCAGTCGTGCTAAAATCTTGTAAATGAAAAGGTCCAATTGCGAAATCATTTTTTAGCGCTGTTTCGGCTCTCTTTGAATTTTAATTAAGGGAGATCCACAAAAGGCCCATGGATTGGATTTACGGTGCCCAAAAATATATATATATATTTTAAGGTACAGAAAACACAGTACGACCTGCATGTGTCACAACAGTTTATTGTTTGTTCGTTAAGGAGCATATTTTTGCTTTTGTTGAAACTAAATTAAACAAGTTAGCTTGCGACCGCAAACTATGATTTGGCTCTAAATGTTATTTACATAAGGGTCCATTTACCCACCCAACTAAAGTCTTTTTTTTTAGACAAACAGTGTCCAATCACATGGTGTGGCGGAGCCCTTTTGTAAACACACACAGAACTCTAACGGTTTGCAACGAATTTATATAAGATATTTTTAGCTTTTTTTTTTTTTTTTCTATCTCTTCTTTTTATCATAATGTCGTTTTTTTCTGGTTCTTTTAAGAAAAAGAAAAGTTCGGGATACTACGGGGCAACTTCTCCCCGTTCCTCGATCGACAGTTCTTCAAGAAGAAGTGGAGGTGCCAATGATGGACCTGACGCAGAACACCAGCCTGACTCTGACGACCAGATAAACGAACTCTTTGACCAAATGCTGGTATATTTTATATACTTTTTTTATTTTAGAACCACCTCTTTAAACACTTTCTGATAGGTTCGAAGAGGGTTGGACGAGAACAAGAGAAAAGCACTCAGTGAAACAGTTGACCCCAAAACTCAATGGGCCATGATTTGTCAGGATCGAAAAGCCGAATTGTCAGTTTCAGGCAGAAGACCTACCACTGTAGAGGGCGAAGAAGAAGCTCCACCGTTAATCAACGTCCTATCTGATCTGGCTGGTGAAATGTGGTCAGCAACCAGAGATTCCACAGCAAGAGCTGTAGAAAGACACTCGAACAGAAGTAGTCATTTGGCACCTGCAGGACGTCGAATGTCTGAAGCCATTCAACCCTCCATGTCAAGTTCGATCAGTACTGTTACAGCTGCTCCCTCTACCTCTATTGCGTATGAAGGAGCTTCTGCCTCTGATAAGAACTCGCCAGAATTCTACATTCGAAAATTTATGGAGAAGGATTTAAGAGCCGTGACCCCAACCTTGGCTGATAACTTGGCCGTCAGTTTAAGAACTCGACCATTAGAGTAAGGCGAGCTTTTGTTCAAACATCCCTCTTTATTTAAACTTTTCTTTATCTTTTGTAGTTGGGTCTTGCGATTTACTGATCTAAAAGGTCTTCGTACCATTTCAACAGGTTTATCTTATTTGAATAAGAAACCTGATAGTGAAAGGTAATTTCTATTAAAGGATTTATATGGCATGATTATTTTATATTTAAACGGATGACAACAGAAAAGGACAAGCGTTGGAATTAGAATATGGACTTATCAAATGTATCAAAGTGTTGGTCAATGCTAGAGTAAGTGTTTTCTATGATCTCGAGAGATAACTTCTTTGACACGTATTCTTATTTTAGTGGGGTGCTCGTGAAGCCATTTTAAATCCTGAATATATTCACTCGTTTGTATTTTCGATTGTTTGTCCACAATGGCAATCCCGAAAGATCATTTGTGATATCCTATTGTTCATGTGCCATTGTGATGTACCATTGGGTCATACCATTGTTATGCAAGGTTTTGAAGCCTTGAGAAAACATCGCAAAGATTTTGGTATCTTTGATTCATGGTTAAAGAACTTTGAGAATACCTTGGATGGAAGACGCAAAGTTAGTCGATCTGGATCGATTGATGATTATCAAAAATTAGGCGTCTATGTTCCACCTGATAGTCACTTGGTTGAATACGCTGTAAGTATGATCACGTACACGTATATCTATACGTTCTAATATGCATCTTTTTTTTAGATTTCCAACATCAGTTTGATCAATGCACTTGCTTATATACCCACTGAAGTGACAGACCGTGTCTATTTGCGTAGTCAGTTCAAATCATCCGGGTTGGATCGCATTTTCTTGAAATTAGAAAAATTAGATGATGCTACCCTCTATGACCAAATGGATAAATACCGTTCAAGAGCAGAGAGTGATCTCGATGAAGCCTTTGGCGATGAAATCTCTTTATACAGTGATATCTCGCAACCCAATGAGCTTTTAGATCTCATCCTTGAAAATATTATTGATGCGCCAGAGGCACTTGGATATTTGATTCAAACCTTTAGAAGCATGTTGTTGATTAAAGGTGATGCTGATAAAAAGTAGGTATTTCGCTTTGCAGATGTACACAGATGAATTCATCACTTTCTCGTTAGAACACATTATCATCAAGCTATCAGTGAAATCGTGTCAAATATCGTGATGGATCGCAGAGACAGTGTCAGTGTGGATGAACTTGGGTCCTCTGCATTTGGTATCTCTGTAAACAGTATGATTGGCAGATTTAATGAACTGGATCGTTTACAAGAGCTTGCTCGAAATGCAGAAGAGGACAGAGAAAGAGCCATCAGTTTAGAAGCGGAAAATCGAGAGTTGAAAGAACAATTAGCCTCTTTACAGAAAGTCAACCCAACCGAATCGCGCAATTACAAGATGGAAAACGTTGCTTTACGTGCGTTACAACAACAGTCAAATCGCACTATCGCCATGTTGCAGGAACAATTGCGCGAAAAGACAGAAGCATTGGAAGACAAGGACGATGATACCGTATTAGCCAGTTTTGTGCGTTCACCTATCGTTGTAGGTGAGGAATGGAAAAAATCCGGAAAGAAGTCGGAATCACTTGCTTCACTTTCTCCCAGTAGTAGTTCAACACACCACGACCAAACATCTCATAACATGCATAATATCGGTCCAGGTGGACACGTTCAACCTTTGTCGCCTTTACCACACTCTCATGATCTTCATAAGCAGCGTCCTACACATTATTTACCTGTAATTGGAGCTGAAGAAGATAATTCGCATGATTTACCCAGCAATAATATACCACCCCCTCCTCCTCCGCCACCCATGCCTGGAGCATCTACTGGCGCTCCTCCTCCCCCACCACCACCACCTCCTCCACCACCTCGTAAGTTGCCACAGGGTTTTTTTATTTTATTTTTATTTTTTTGCTAACTTTTAATTCGTCATAGCACCCGGAGTTCCTGGAGGTCCACCACCACCTCCTCCTCCCCCACCTCCTCGTAAGTTGGCATAAATAATCTCAGACCTTTTTTATTTATTTTTAACCTTCATATTACAATAGCACCAGGAGGCCCTGGCGGTCCACCTCCTCCTCCTCCGCCACCACCACGTAAGTATATATTTGTAAATTGATAGGTTGAATACTAACAAACGAAAATTAGCACCTGGCGGAATGGCTCCTCCACCACCTCCACCTCCACCTCGTAAGTAGATTCAAATCAATATTTTTTTTAAAAAAAAAAATCTAACATTTATCATATAGCATTTGGAGGACCAGGTGGACCACCTCCACCACCCCCGCCTCGTAAGTAAAAAAAGTTGTTACTTTTTAGTTGTGTGAAATATGAAGCTAACAAAAACAATAGCACCTGGAACACCCGGAGCTCCACCTCCACCTCCACCTCGTAAGCACAAAAATAACAAAAGAAAAAATGTTCATAAGTATTCTGACATATTTTTTATATTATTAGCGCCTGGCGGACCTGGTGGACCACCCCCACCCCCTCCACCTCCAGGTGGACCTCGTGGACCTGCTGGACCTCCTATTCCTACTGGACCTTTACGTAAGCAATTGCGACATTATCCACAAATTCAACTTAAAAACCTGCAATGGCAAAAGCTGGATGCACGCGGTGTTGAAAAGACGATTTGGAAGTTGGAGGATGTGAACGAAAATGAGATTGAAGATGATTTGGATAAACACGGTGTGTTTGAAAAGATCGAAACCCTCTTCCCTGCAAAGATCAATACCTTCTTTGATAAGAAGAATAAGGCCAAGATTGCAGAAAAGAAGGACGCTGTTAAATTCTTATCAAAAGAAAAATCTAGAAATATCAGTAAAGTCTAAAGATACAACTCCACACTAACAATTCACTTACTTCCCTCCTTTTCCTTTAGATTTGGCTGTGCTCCCCAGATGTAAGAATTTCGATGACTTTGCCCAAGTTCGCGTACACATCATGATGTTTGACGATGAGCTCTGTACAGAGACTTTCTTGAGTAATTTAAAAACTTATATCGTCAGTAAGGACGACGATCTCAAGATCATGAAAAAGTATCAGGACGGACCTGTTGAAACCTGTGTAGACTTGGATATTCCTGAGCAATTCATTATTGAGGTAAAAAAACACACGTACACACAATTGGGATCAATCTTATAACTAATCCTCAATAGATGTATCGCATGTACCGTTACGAGACCCGTATTCAATTTATGCTTGTCCGAGTTCAATTTTGGGAAAAGTTTGATCAATTAGAGAAAAATATGACAGTTGTCTTAAATGCTTCCGACGCCTTAAAGAACTCACATAGTTTAAAACAATTACTCTGCTTGATCCTTGTTCTCGGTAACTTTATGAACGCTTCCAGTTTACAGGGTGGTGCCTTTGGTATGAGAGTCACTAGTATCAATAAGCTTATTGATACCAAAGCCAATATCACTTCTGTCACACTTTTACATGTCTTAACAGGTGTTATCAGCCGACAATTTCCCCAACTCTTGACCTTTTTGGACGATCTTAAGGATATCGAGCAAGCAGCTCGTGTCACTTCTAGTTTGAACGACATGGTGCAACAGTACACAGAAATGAGAAAGGATTTGAGAGAGTTGGAATTGGAATTGGGTACTAAATGGCAGCCTGAGGATGTCGAGTTGGAGGAAGGAGATCGTTTCCGTGAAGTCATGACCACTTACAAGGAAAATGCTTCAAGTCGTTTCCAAGACCTTCAAACTTTATATATTAATATGGACGCCAAATACAAGGATGTCATGACTTTCTATGGTGAAAATCCCAAGGTTATGAGACCCGATGATTTCTTTGGCACCTTTGCTCGTTTTGTAGTCACTTGGAAGGTAAATTTTTTCTTCTTTCCGTTTCTCTTTACTATCGCTCATATTATTATTATTATGTTTTACTTTATATATTATAGGAGGCTACTATCGCTGAAGAAAAGATGGTGATTAAGCAAGAACGCGAAGAAAAGAGAAAGCGTGACGATGAAGAAAGAAAAGAGCGTTTGAGGCTCAAGAAAGAAAAGGCCGAGGCTGCCTTAAAGGAGAAGCGAGGTTCAGTACAAGGTATCAGTACCGATACCGAAGGAAAGGGCGAGAGCGACCGTAACATGATGGATAACTTGTTGGATAAATTGAGAACGGGCGATGTGGAGGTGCGTACCACTAGACGTCGTAGTAGAAAACATAAGCACAGAGCTCAAGAAGAGGAGGCTCCTGCTGATGAATTATCGGCCGCAGACTTGTTGAAAAGCCTTGCATTAGAGGACTAAATCCTCTTACAATACATTTACATTATTTCAAATTTAATAACACTATCCTAATTCTGTACAACCCACACACACATTTATACAATAAAAATAAAGGAAATATCCCCCCTTATTAATTTATATCATTCACAAAAAGTAAAGCAAGACATCGGCCAAAAAGATACCTTGGTATTCTATGCACTTTGTTGCTTATTAAATAAAGCCGTGACGATGTAGTATCTGATATGCAGGATTGATTCCGTTTATATGTGTATTTATCACATAGGTTGTGTTTTTCATTTAATCCATTGATTTGCAAATGCTTTTTTAGGGCATATTTACAGACAACAATAGCAGCAATGTTTCAGGCCGACAAGGGCATTCTTATTTCAAAGCTTAAAAGGTTATGGTAGACAGAGAAAAATAAGGAGATTTAGCCTAAATTTAATAGAATAAGGCGTATGAAGTTGTGCACAAAATAATTTAATGATACTTAATGGAAACACTTGCACTGTATCCACAATTTATACATAAACAATAATAAATACAGTAAAACCAAATTTATTACATCTTTTAAAAGGCTGGTACCGCGTGTTCGTATTGACGAAGAGCTCGACGGTTGATTTTACCTGTATTGGTTTTAGGCAACTCATCCAATACAAACAGACCTCCTCGGAGCTGTTTAATATCGGGCAAATTTTCTTTAGTTATATCTATAATTTCTTGCTTCACTTGTTCTATCTCTCTATCGTGCTCTTTTAATGTGACAAACGCACGAATGAGCCATTCATTCTGTTCATCACAATGATAACCAACGACTGCACAATTAACTACCAATGGATGCATCATCTATAATATAATTTAAAATTAAGGGGAGAGAGGGGATGCTTGTATTAATAATTACCAAAATAACTTCAATCTCTTGTGGAGTGATCTAAGAATGTCTTAATTTTAGCTTTTTTTATACATATACTACTTTTGTTCTCTTCTGTACCTTTTTGTATCTATACTTAATTACATCATTGATCCGATCAATATGAGTAAAGTTGCCGTACTCATTAACACAAAATAAATCTCCTGTGTGAAAAAAACCATCCACATCAAATGCTGCAGCATTTGCTTCAGCGTTATTATAATATCCCTAAAAAACGTGATGTTACTTTATGTAACATTTTACGATGTTTGCACACTTATTTACAAGTTTTTTGGTTGGCTCTTTTAAACAAAGCTCTCCAATTTCGTTACAGCCAACCTCTACGACAACATCAATGAGACTTTCCTGTCACAGAAGATTGTTACGTATGCATCCTTACCTTTTCCATCGTCATCAATTAACTTGCAAGAAAACCCCTGTCCCAAACTACCCACATATCCTGTTATAACACAACCAATCAATACCTTATTTATGTGCCTTTAAGTTATAGCAATTTTAAGAACAAACCTTGGGAAGATCTTTCGAAATCTGTTTCGAATGGTGCCATTGTTTCCGTCATACCGTACATATTGACCAAAAGAATGTTGAGCTTCTTCAAGAACAATTGACACAATCTTTTACTAGTAGGAGATCCAGAGCAATACCCAACTCGAACTGTAGAAAAGTTGTGCAGTTTTAAAAGTGTATCATCCTTGGCAATGGTAGCGGCTATCCAAGGTTGAATACTGATCGTATTGATCTTGTTCTTTTCAATAGCTATAAAATATTTTTCAAAGGTAAATCTTTTCAGCATAAACACACTATAGCGATTCTTTAAGTATGTATGCATAGTAAACAACAAGCCACCCCCATGATGAAGTTCGGAATGCGATAAAGCTCTGGTTTCGAAAGGATGCCAGTCTTTGTTATTATGCAACCAGCTAATCAAATTCTTTTGCCTAATTTTTTTACCGCAATATTAGAAAGAAACCTATTTTTTTTTTTTTTTTTTTTTTTTTTGCATGAATATGCAATTATGAAAAAACTGCTTACGTGATAGCTACTGCCTTCTTTTTTCCCGTAGTACCTGATGTATAGTAAAAATATGATGGTACTGTTTCTAATTCAGCTTTGGTCATTTCCCTAGGTGCAGCCAACTCCTGATGAGTCCACATGGCACTATGCACAGATTTGATACCATCGACTTGGTTCTGGTCAAGCAAAAATATATGCCTACGAGGTATGCCTACCATTGCAGCAGCTTCAATAGCACGATCTAGCGTCTCTGAGTGCGCAATTACAATTTTTGCACCAACTGTTTGGAGACACTCAACAGCCAAGTTTACGTCGGATGAATGATCAAATGATGCAATTGCACCCCCTATAAATCAATAATTCTTAAAAGGACGAGAGGCTTATATGAAAATCCATCACTTACCGGCATATACTATTCCATGAACTACAGCTGGATAATACAACTTTAGATTTTGTTTGAAATGTACGAGGTTAGATAAAAAAAATGCATCGTCTACATAAAAAGGAAGCCTTACTTCGTTGGGTGAGTAAATTGCAACAACATCTCCTAGAGCAAATTCGGGAAAGCAATGATGTAAACCAGTAGCAAACCTCTTGATCAGATTATCAAAATCACCATAGCTAAGTGTTTGAGAATCATCCTCTGCATCAATAAAGCATGGCTTATCCCAATCAATACTCTTTGAGTCTTCATTGAACAGATACTGGTGAACTGTTACATCAGGTACGCATCCTTCTGGAATTTTAGAGTTGATGACCATGATTATATTTTAATAAAATAAGATAAAGAGTTAAAAGAAAGAAAGAGATGATCGTTGCGTTATTTTTATTTTATTTTTTAAATCATTATATATTTCCTGCATCAGGGCTTGTGTATAAACAAAATTGTGCATGCTTTGACTATAATTGGAAACATGAATTATGTAATTGTGCCGCTCAACAAGAAAAAAAGACAATGGGATTATAGGCAGTGATTACAAATCTTTTGCTGTTCATGCAACCATAGACTGTAAAATAAACCATTAAACCTATCCATCAGTAGATTCTAAATCAAATATAGACAAAACAATGAAAGCGATAAATATTTTTATTTGTTTGAATTTAATAACATAAAGGGTAAGTAATAATTATAAGAGGTAAAAAAAAATAATAAAAACTGTGTAGGACAAATTAAGCCCATTCACCGATCAATGACATGAGACCAGCACCGAGATACATTGAGATGAAGCACAATACTTTGCGACCTGTAGGAGCATTATGGAAAGCCGTATTATGACTGATTTCCATGCTCATAAGAGATACATAGGCGTTATAAAGAAGAATACCAGCAGAAAGTGAATCAAGAATGGCTGAAGCCAATACAGAAGAGTAAGAGTTGGGGTTGAAAGAAGAATGGATTCCGATACCAATTGCTACGCCAATAGGTGTCATGATAATATAGAGCAAGCCAAGAGCAACAGGTTTGTACCATGTCTTGTAGGACATTTCGTTTAAACGAGTACCTAAAGCCATACCTTCGAAGAACTATAAAGTGATTGTTCAGTTTAGTTTGACATGTTCATATAAAACTAGTATTTTTATTTTCCTTACCTGATGGAATACAAGAGCAATCAAGAGTGTAATAAACTCGCTGTTCTCAGTAGTAGACAAAGTGATACCAATAAGAATTGAATGCATCACAATACCAAGTTCGAGAATATAAGTACCAATATGTTTATAAGCTTCGTCTTCTTCTAAGAAAGCACCATGAGCATGACCATGAGAATCTCCAATATGGTGATGATGTTCGTGACGCTCTTCCATCACGTTTGCGGTTGAAGCAGCAGTATGCTTAGAAAAATGAGATCCATTTTCAACAGGCACCTTGTCGGTATAATCATGGCTGTTTCCTAATTCTGCCTCAATTTTTTCTCTGTTTCTTTGTCTCATCTTGTTCATGTGCGAGACCGAAACAACCTCTAGTAATTGAAGAGCAAAAGAAGAAATCATACAAAAAATACCAGCAAAAGCACCATACGATAACCAACCTTGTGTCAAACAAGGGCTCGAGAAATTTTCAAGTGCATCGGGAAGCATGTGAACAAATGCCGTAGCAAGAATAACTCCAGTACCAACTATATTTTAAAAGTTAGAAAAAGAATCGTGTCAAATGATATCATTTTTTTTTTAAAAAAAAAAAGGGGGACTTACAAAATTTTCCAACCGTCAAAATCCAGTCTCGAATATCACCGGGTTTGTAAGGACTGATACGATGTAAGAGAATAGGAAGATATGTACCCAAAGCACTGGTTGCCAAAATGATAAATACGGATCCAACTCGAAGACCCATATTATAATCCTCGAGAGGAATAGCAGCACAAGCATCTTCGTCTGCATCTAAGGCTGCTTTTTAGAGAGGAAAAACAATTATAAGGTTAAATGATTTGTAACAAATGAAGTATTTTATAATATGTATTACATTCATCACTTTGTGCGAAAGCTTGTTTCATCAGCAACGTCATCATAAAAGGTAATAAGAATTTCAGATGAGACATATTGTTTTAGTAAACGTGATAAAAAGGTAGAGAGGGGAGAGATAAAAGTAAAAAAGAATATAGTAATGCTTCTAAGTGTTTGGCCATGGCACTATTTATACAGACCTAAAAAAAATACTAGATCATGAAACTGATAAGGTACACTAATAGTGCCTTCAAAGTGTCACCTCTGGCCAATCAACGGCAAAAATTTCTGGTAAATAGTCACGTTTGGAAGACCCGAAAGGTACTCTTACGATGTTTCTATATAGCGAACTTTATTATCCTAAATTGGATGTTTTTGGTGTTACTGTTTAATAAAATAAACACTAAAATGGGTAAATATTGTCAGACGAAAATAAGAAGGGAGCTCTTGGCTGCTCTCAAGTAAAATATTTGATACCCCTATCCATTTGTAAAATTTATATTCACCGTTTTCTATTTATAATTCGCGCCTACACTCACGGTATTTCAAGCTACGTGATATTTGATTTTTTTTTGTCATGAAATTCGCTTCACTGTTGGCTGAAACATTATTAAACAGTAACTAAAATTTCGACATCACATATGTGTAAGCATGAGGCAATTTTTATATGAATCAATCGATATATGTGCGTGGCTGTTTGCAATGATATATATCTAATATATGTAAAGACTCAAAAATTATGCGGGTGATTAAACAGTCAATTACTTCATCCTGTCATAGATCAGTTCTTGTTTATCAGTTAATAAGACTCATTCACGCACTTTTTTCTTTCTGTTTTATTATTTTTTATATGCATGTATAACACTATCTTTATTGAAGAAAGTGCTGAAATCTTGAAAAGTAGGTCAATAATGACTTTTGAATTTTTAGAAAAGAACTAAAACAAGACCTGTTCTCTTAAAAACGAAAAGTATGCTACAATATTTTTGCGGGATTTAGGTGATATTACGGTTGTGGGTTGTCATCGTTATACGAGAAGAACCCTTGGAGTTAAAAAAACAGGTAAAAAACGTCATAGGGAGCTACCTGTCTGAGAAAAGTTTATTCATTTTGCCACATATTATGGTGGGTATATCGTATTGAATTTACGAGAAGCAAAATTTCTAAGCATCTATCCAAAATAAAAAAAGGATTGGTTTACTTGCACAACTGTTAGCTACTCTCGAAGAACGGGGTATATTAGTTGCAATTTCTTATTGTAAAAAGCTCGCAACCTCAATGCAGATAATGATGTCGTTACAGTAGAAGAAAAAGCATCTTTGGTTCAAATAAGTAAAGGTAATGTTCTCATGGAACAGCCAAAAGCTATATCCTGTCAATAGCAAGGAATTATACTTACTACGATGGATTGTATTTAATTTCTTAAGACTGTCGATGGTAATTCTTTCATCGAAACGAATAGTAAAACTACCAGTTATACTATGGTTTTGATAAAAAACACTAAGTTGAAATTGATACGTTGAAGTTTAATGACGACTACCTCGATGAGATTAGCTTTTTAAGTAATAGCACCAACGGCTACTACGAAGAAGAGGAAGTAAATGATAAAGATAATAAAAACTTCATTGAATTGACAAAGGTGCTTTTCTAAAAGAATGAGGGCACTCCAATGTGTATGTAACACCATACTGGATTAATAATAGCTTATTTCTTTTGTAATAAAATCATTGCACTTTTCAATTATAAATTATTTAGTTTGTTAACTTTTGTAATATCAGTTCGTTTGATTATTGAATTTTGTGTCTGTATATTTTTTCAGAAGGTGATCCTCAAAAGATTATATGGGCACAAATATCCGAGCTTTCCTATAGGCAAGCATTTTGTTTTAGTGCCTAAAGAAGTTGGTTGGGATACTAGGAACAATGGTTTCAGACACTTGACCAAAATTAATCTGCAGTATAACCTTACACAGTACCCAAAATCATTTAAAAGTGAACAGTGTGCTTTTAAACATCTGGCAAAGGAGCGGGAGCACTGTATAGCCGTCTTTATGTTGCTAAAGAGATCTGAAGATGAAAATAAGCGTGAATACTAAAAGTTTATACCCTTTTTAGATCTATAGAAATTTTTCTCTTTTTTTTTCAAATAGCGGTCCGTTTGTAGCACTTTATATTCTACAATTGTCATTATTGTTCTATAATGGAAAGCATGTGCTATTATTAGCGCTCCGTTACAGGGTTCAGTGGGTTATACAAAATGTATCATGGCACTATGTTTATACTTCCATGGCTAGGAACTACTACTTGAAAATCGTATCATTTGACATTTAAAAAGAACGGGCGGGTAATTTCATCAAATTAAAAATTTTTGACAAATGTGTCGGCGACAAATCTCGCGATTTTACCTGCACTCCCAATTCTAAGCAAAAAAGGTTTGTGCACATTTTTTTTTCTTTAGCATATGCTCAGTTGTATTTCTGGGATTTTTTTTTTTTTTTTTTTTTTTGTATAAAAAAGGGCCAAAGTAAACAAAATTGTATGATACAACGTTTCATACTTGATTTAGTTTAGTTTGGTGTCAGTTTATTTGTATATATTCATCAACATAGAAAGTTTTTTTTAAGTGTTAATGAAACGTAAAATAAAATTCACAATACTGATTCGCGCGATCCAAAATTGTTTTGGGTTGTGCATGAGAGCACTGTCTCTACAAACATCTATACCGGAGTAAAAGGGACTCCTTATGTGATGAAAACACGTGATGTTTAAACAATGAGCTCAATCTAATAAGTGATGGATAGTCATTGACAAGTATTAAATAGAATAACTTAAAATGTTTTATATCAGTCAATGTTTATAATAAGGGTGATTTATACGCTTATATATATATATATATATATATATATATACTTGTCATATTACCTTATCATGTAATAAGGTGCAAACAATGTGACATTGTGACGTATCCTTTTTGTTGTTTATCATATTTATAATGGGCAACATGGTCCTCATGCTTCTTTTTTTTTTTATTCCTGCGTTTAGATGCGCCTTGATCTTATGGATGCGCTGAGACTAAAACATTATTGCTTAGACGTAAATGATCAAAACTCGACGATTCATTTAGGCTGTAGGTATACATTCTGCTAGTGTATTAAAAACAATTGTTTTATGCTGTCATATCGATGATAGAAGTGATAAATGTCTCTCGCTAACAAAGAACCCAAGACAAGTATGTGCTAGATATTTTATTAATTATTTAGCTGTTAAAAAATCTGAGCCGACTAAACAAGAAAAATAAATTTGAAAAGCAGGATCGCTACAAATACTCTTAGCACAATTTGATGTTAATAAGTAGCTCATTTTGTGTAATTTTTTTTTTTTTTTTTTGATTAATAAGTCTTATTTGATTAATAAGGCTCGTAGAAAATCTGATTATGCAGAAATATGTGATAGTTACTTGAATGTTCATTGAACATTCAGTCAAGTATGTAGCGAAATCAAAAGTAAAAGAGCAGAAAAGTTAAACGCGGTCTTATATTTACATTGTCAATATTCATCTGGTACTGATGCCCTCTTTACATATAACCAATTTCGCTCTCTACTGTATTTTTGTTTTCATTAAGTGATACAATAATATTGACTTTTTACAAATTTGAAGAGGAAAATGTTCCTTGTAATTTTTTCTCGGTATGATCCCCCTTTGCTTAATCTTCCTTTTTTCAAGTGTGACTATGTCAAATTTAAAACATCAAATAGTCTATTAATGCGACCCTTTTATACATCAAACCGGATGTAGCTATATCAACTATATTTATTTGACTCCTATATCCACGCTGAAACAACTCGTGACCACGCTAGTAAACTCCTCTTGATTATGAGTAGAAGTCTTGAGGTGTACAAAGTTTTGTAAACAAAGATATCGCCACGTGTATTAGTTTGCACAGCATGAGGAGTGGGTATGTTCAAAATATACTCCACTCAAAGGCAAGGACCATTTCTCCATCACACTATATACAAGACGTTTACATTAAGACAATAACATTAGAAAAGACAATGTGGTTTTTATTATTATAAAAAATGGAGACTCGCTAGCCAGTTTCCATAAAAGAAAACTGCCCAAGTGCAACTGCAAGGAAGTCAGTCTCCGTGTGCACTCGCCCACTTTTTATTAGTTTTGATAGCTCGCAAAAAGGACTCTCGTGAATCACCACAAAGAGGTCAAAACACCATGTTCTCAATTTATGATCGTTCTACCTGTTGGAGTTTCACTTATTCATGAACCAATTCCGACTTAAACGACGAGGGACCCATTTCTTCCAAACTCAGGAGTACACAGCCGGCAAGTAGAATGTTCCTTTGAATCACCAAATACAGCTCCCGCCCTTGAGCTAGGGTACCTGAAATATGCTCCAAACGGTAAAAGTGAAGTTGAATTCACCTTCAGCAGCTCGTTAAATAATTCCCCCCAGACCGTTTTCTACATACACCGAGTGGGAAAGGTGACGTTACCCATACCTAATCGTCAACGTCCAGTATCCCAGCAAAAAAAAAGCCACGAAACCTGGCATAATCGGGAATCATCTAATAGCACTTAGTGACGAAATACCTAGACGACACAATCACCCCAAATTGGCGCAAGATAATGAGATACCTTGATGAAGCAACTATTCTGGAGCGCAAGTGGTGCCGTGTGAATTCAAGTACAAACACCAAGGATTCACTCCCAATAAAGACTTTTGGCACGAAGAAGAAAAGAAAAAACGCCCAAATTTTTTTTTTTCGTCACTTGTGCGTAGTAATCATGCATAATTTTCAAAAAGAAAAAAAAAGTACTTCAGCTTCTCTGAGCAATGAGTGTCTGTAGCGGATAATGAAGGCTGGATCAATCATCATTGTTCATAGAACTACTAACCAATTTGTTTAATCGGGTCTCTTAGGGACAGCCAAATTTTCTTAGGGACAGCCATTTTTCTTAGGGACAGTCAGGGTGCGCGTAGCTGTTATGTTGGGATTATAGACACCAAGAGGTCAATAAAACTTATCGTCTTGAACTAGATACAATTTATAACAACCAACATAGTTTAAACCAGTATGTGTGTGCTATAGCTTACTTTCAGCTTCTCATTTGGCCTTTAACTTAATCATTCTGCGTAAGAATAAAATCAAATGGGCTTAAAGGAGAAATAGTGATGTTAGAATGTAATATACATTTATTCGTAATTATCACATTGTTTTTGATTACATTTTCTTGTTTTCAGGACTAAAGGGCAGCCAAATCACAGATCTTACGTTGTGGCTACGTGCACTTTAGCCGTTCCTAAGAAAAGCGTAAGAAAAAACTGCCTTCTTCAAGAGCAATCAGGATAAATTATTACCTCAGCAACTCATTTAGGACGTATCAGTATTTAATCATCAATTGACAGTACTGTATTTGGGCTGGAGTGATCTTTAATGAGCTTTGGTAGGTAGTCATTCCGCTACTATGAGATTTGTTTATGTGGGAAGATATTTTCCTAGCATGACATATCCAGTAATTCCCGCACATATAAATTAGGTATACCTAATGTATACAATTGTATGTTTAACAAGCTAAAGTTTTTTAATCATGACAAGCATCCCAACTTGTACACAATAAAGGAATAAATTATAATTTTCTTCGATCTTTACGCTGGTCATTAAAAAGTGTAAACATATGCCTTTAAGACGAGCTGATATCTGACATAATAAACTTATATTGACATATATGCCATCTGCTATAAAACCCTTTTTTTTTTTTTACAAGTGTGGTTTTGTCAAATTAGAATTATTACATAGTCTATTACAATGCGAACCCTTCATACGATAAAATTGATGTAGCTGTTCATGGCACGAAGGATGGCTTTGCTGTAAGGTATTGCATGTTCAGCTTACGAAAGGTGACATTTACTTTGTTTTTTTTTCCCTGTCAGCTTTTTATTTCTGGTCTTTGTGTAGCTTCTGAAGCATCCAGGTGGCAACAAACAAACGCGACCTGTTGATTGGTTGTTATTGGTCTTAAACATTTTTTTTCACCTAGCAACGAAAAAAAAAAATACAGAAAACTGTCAAGTTCACCCCCCACTGATAAGCGTATGTCCATATATAAAGAAGAATTTAATCGTAACTGAGGTATCCCAATGAAATGAATGTAAGTTCTTTTCTTTTTTTTAATTTATAAAAAAAAAAAAAGAAAAATGTCTAAAAAAAAGACAATTGTGTGATTTACTCGTCACCGTCACCAAGAAGGGCGAAAGGGTTGACTAAGAAAAAAAAAACATAGGATATGAGTATTTCCTACTTTTCTCTCTGTAACACACACACACAGACACACGCCTAAAATAACTTACATGTCTTCTTCTCCTTCTCCTTTTCCTTCTTTCTATCCTTGGTCTTACGGAAAGACATGACAACATCACTCTGGTTGGGAGTTCTAGTGACACCAGGGATAAAGGCCATCTTTACAGGAGGCAACTTGGCGAACTGACTACCAGCTAAAGCCAAAAGAGTAGTGCGGTCATAATTGACACGATTACCTACATTTATTCTAATCGGTTAATGTTTCGGTTATTTTATTTTAAAATGTAGCAGTTTAAACAGAAAAAAAAAAGATCTAGAAAGCGATTTGACAGTTCCCTCCCATACCCCCTCCTCTTCTTCCCAAAAACATTAAATCAACGCTTTTAAATTCTGGAATAAACTGCAGAGAAGGGAAAAAAAAAAGAGAATGCTCTCTTTTTTTAAAAAAAAAGACATGTTAATCACCTTGTTCCAAAGCCATGATCGAGATCTTTATAAATTTTTGTAAGGGCAACAAGACCAGACTCCACGAAAAAAAAAATTTTGTTTTGTAGGAAAAAAAAAAATAAAAAAAAAATTGGCAGGCCAATCAAATGACTTGTTTATTTTTGGGTGAGGTGGTCCTTCATAAAATCAACAATCATGGTAAGACTGGTACGATATTGAGGTGTCTCTGGTATAGCCATGCTCATAAATGAATGGATGGTTCCTAATACTCGCATACCCACTGTATATACACCCGCACTTGTCAGCTTAGCTGCATAGGCCTCACCCTCATCACGAAGAATATCACATTCACACGTCAAAATCAAGGCAGGTGGTAATCCTACCAGCTGTTCCGGTGTAGCCAACACGGGCGTGATATAGATGTTATCCAGTTTTCCCTGTAATGAGGTTGGGATATAGGCAGAGGCACAAAGCTCGGCTTCTTTGGTTGATAGATAACAATCTCCATTACCATAGAGCTTGTAGGAAGGATAAATTTCAGTATCAGCTGCAACCGCAGGATACATTAAAATTTGCGCCTTGATGGCATCCTTCATACCACGATCCTTTGCCATCACTAATTTTTTTTTCTGTTAATCCAATAGTTACCAAATTGAATTTTACTTGTGTATAGTCTTACTAGATACTACGGTTGCCATGTTTCCGCCCGCGGAATCGCCAGCAATCACAATTTGTTCAGGATCTATGTGGATGGATGAACCATGTTCACGCAGCCAACATAATGCACCATAGGTTTGTTCATTGGCTACAGGAAATTTAAATTCAGGACTATGACTGTATTCTACCAACATCACGGCTGCTCCAGACCGAATACATAACTACAAAAGTAACTGTCTATCAGAATAAGTTACAAATTAACACATTGGATGACTTACATCTGTCGCTAACTTTGCGTGTGTAATTGCACTACCGAGTACCCAACCCCCACCATGGCTAAAATGAATTGATGTGAGCTTGAAAAAAAAAACTGGATATATAAGGGACAGCGAGGGCTTACCAGTATAAGATAACGGGTAGGATCTTGTCCTGAGATTGGAGGGGTCGAAAGATGGTTGTGTTGACTTTTGTATTTTTGGGACCTCCCACGACCTGTTGCTGAGTACGACATGTTTCAGGGACAGGATGTTTCTGTGCAAATTCATCAGCAGCTACACGGACCTCTGTAATGGCCTGATATTCAGATTCAGGTGTTGCCACTCCACCTGCTTTCAAATACATCAGTGCTAATTCTTTAGCATGGCGTTGGCATACTTCTTTATAGAGTGGGTGGATAGGATATACGCTGATTAATGTGTCCATTGTCTAGTAAAAAGAAAGAAAAAATAAGAAGAAGAAGAAAAGTATATAAGAAAGGAAAATGTAAAAAAAAAAAAAGAGTCTACTTGAAATAAATGCAAACTAAAAAGATTATCCCGAAAAGACGTCATTTTGCTCTTTCCTCTTCCTTTGGTCCGTGAAAAGGTAAAGCCACTCCGCGTCTATGTGCACTACAAATACCATGTGTTTTTGTAAAATAATATTTGTGTCTATCGAGAGCAAAAATAAACAAATGTATCTTGCTGATCGAAAAAGCTTCGTAAGTTCGTAACACAAGGAAGAAGAAGTTGTCTTTTTTTTACATGTTTTCTTAGTAGAGACGTCATTTCTAAATCGGAGCTATCCTTTAACTTTTTACAGAGAAGGTAGTGTTTTAACACAAAAAAAAAAAAAAAAAAAAAAACGCTTTGACAGTTTCAAGCCCTTACCCCGGTCTTTTTTTTTTATAAGCCAGAGTTTCATTTAAAAAATGCGGAGAAACTCCAAAAAATTGGTTTTTTTTTTTTTTTCTTTCTTATCTTTATTTTTTTTCTTAAACATGTTGCGTACCACCACCACCAAGTTCTTGAACCAAGCTTCCGTTCTTAACCGTTCTAACCGTCTTTTCAGCACTGCCGCTGTCGCTTTGGTAAAAGAAGAAAAAAAAAAAAAGAAAAAGAAAAAAAGCTTAAATATGTGTTCCTGACTTTTGTGTAGCAAAAATTCCGTGCTGAACGTGATACCTTTGGTGATCTTCAAGTACCCGCTGATAGATACTGGGGTGCTCAAACTCAAAGATCTCTTCAAAACTTTGATATTGGTGGTCAAACTGAACGTATGCCCGAACCCTTGATTCGTGCCTTTGGTGTCCTTAAGAAGGCTGCTGCCACTGTCAACATGACTTATGGTTTGGATGCTACTGTTGGTGAAGCTATCCAAAGAGCCTCTGATGAAGTGAGTTTTTTTTTTTTTTGTATTTCCACACACATACACACAGAGACAAATGGAATTAATCATAACAATAATAATAGGTCATTGATGGTACTTTGATTGATCATTTCCCTCTTGTTGTCTGGCAAACTGGTTCTGGTACTCAAACCAAGTAAGTCATAAAAATACCTTTTCAATGTCTAATCTAGACTAACCCGGAATTTCCTTTTTTTAAGCATGAACGTCAACGAGGTAAAATAATTAAAAAGAGAGAAAAAGAGAGAGAAACGAGGTATTAAAAAGATGAATGTTTTCTTAGGTTATTTCCAACCGTGCTATTGAACTCCTCGGTGGTGAGCTTGGATCCAAGGCTCCTGTCCACCCTAACGATCATGTCAACATGAGTCAATCCTCCAACGATACGTAAGTTACTATAGATAGTCAGAAAGAAAGAGATAAAAACTAAATGGGGTGTATGTCTTCTTTAGTTTCCCCACTGCTATGCATGTTGCTGCCGTTGTTGAAATCACTCACCGTCTTATTCCCGCTTTGACCAACTTGCGTGATGCTCTTCAAGCCAAGTCTACTGAATTCGAACACATCATCAAGATTGGTCGTACTCATTTACAAGATGCCACTCCCTTGACTCTCGGTCAAGAGTTCTCTGGTTACACTCAACAATTGACCTATGGTATTGCCCGTGTTGAAAGCTCCTTAAACCATCTTTACAACCTTGCTCAAGGTGGTACTGCTGTCGGTACTGGTCTTAACACCAGAATCGGTTTCGATGTCAAGGTCGCTGATGCTATCTCCAACATCACCGGTCTTCCCTTCAAGACTGCTCCCAACAAGTTTGAAGCCCTTGCTGCTCATGACGCTATTGTCGAAGCTCATGGTGCTGTCAACACCGTTGCTTGTTCTTTAATGAAGATCGCCAACGATATCCGTTACCTTGGTTCCGGCCCCCGTTGTGGTCTCGGTGAACTTTCTTTGCCCGAAAACGAGCCCGGATCTTCCATTATGCCTGGTAAGGTCAACCCCACTCAATGTGAAGCCATGACCATGGTCTGTGCTCAAGTCATTGGTAACAACACCACCGTCTCTGTCGCCGGTTCCAATGGTCAATTCGAGGTATGTAAGGAACAAAATATGATTAACACGTTTATACTCATATGTTATATGTGTTTTTTTTATGTAGCTCAATGTCTTTAAGCCCGTTATGATCAAGAACTTGATCCAATCTATCCGTCTTGTTGCTGATGCATCCAACTCTTTCACCAAGAACTGTGTTGTTGGTATCCAAGCCAACGAAAAGAAGATCAGCAGCATCATGAACGAAGTAAGTACTAAGAGATGAAAAAAAAAGAGAAAGAGAGAGAAAATGAACTAACATGGGTGTATTTATAGTCCTTGATGTTGGTTACTGCTCTTAACCCTTACATTGGTTACGATAAGGCTGCCAAGTGTGCCAAGAAGGCTCACAAGGAAGGTACTACCTTGAAGGAAGCTGCTCTTTCTCTCGGTTACTTGACCTCTGAAGAATTTGATCAATGGGTTAGACCCGAGAACATGATCTCTGCTTCCAAAGAGTAAACTCATTATTTCCCCCCTCCCACTTCGTCCCTACATTGTATTTTTTTCCAACTAGAATTAAAACTCCTCTTTTTTTTTTGGCGCAATCATCTGCATATAAAAAAAAAAAAAAAACCAACTTTTTTATAACAAATAAAAAAAAAAAAAAAAAAAAAAAACCCTTTTTTTTCTTTCTTTCTGTTTTTACTCTGAATCCTTTGCAGCTAAATGTTGCTTGAGGACTTCCATAGCTTCTTGAACCTTACTATGTAAAGACTCTTTATCTTCTACAAGATGCAAGAGTTCGGTATTATCCATTTCTAAAAGCATACCGGTGATTTTACCAGCATACTCAGGTTCTTGAGCATTGATTAAAGGATACAATCTTTCACCCAACATCTGCTTTTGAACTTCAGGAGCAGCAGAAGCAAGTGCACTGGCTGTCAAAGGTTTGGGTTCACCGTCTAATTCATTACCGGATTCTCCACCTTCTTGTTGATGCATCTCTCCAGGTCGACGATGACCACCTCTTGCACTGGCTCCACCACGAGGAGGACGAGGACCACGAGGAGGTCTTTGCATAGGAGGATAACCTTGAGGCATAGGTTGAGGAGGATAACCAGGTTGTTGTTGTTGTTGCTGTTGTTGCTGCTGTTGTTGTTGAGCCCAACGAGGACGAGGCATCATATTACCTTGAGGGAAAACAGGACGTTGACCTTGTTGAGGCATGAAACCTCCAGGAGGAGCATAAAACATGGGAGCACCAGGCATATAACCAGGTTGAGCACCCACACCACCCATACCCATGACACGCATCTGGTTACGCTGAGCCATTTGAATCTCGAGTTGAGAACGACGTACTTCTTTACGTTGAGCAAGAGCAACGTAAATAGGCTTGGAACCCAACATACGACCATTCATCTCAGTCACAGCACGCGTTGCTTCTTCAGGGGAGGAAAAGCAAACAAACCCAAACCCACGACTCGCACCCGTCTTTTCATCACGCATGATCTTGGCAGAAGTAATCACACCATACACAGAGAACTCTTGTCGAATACGATCATCGTCGACGTCATCATCCAAATTCTTCACATACAAATTCACACCTTGATACTTACTCAATTTTTCAAGCTTGGCTTGCTCGTATTGATGGCGCAACTCTTCTTCACGTTCGTTCTTCTTTTGTGCACGAGAGACATACAACTGTTGTCCATGATGCTCGGTTTCATTAAGAGCTTCAACAGCATGGTAAGCATCGTCATGATCTTCAAAATTGACAAAACCAAAACCACGTGACTTGCCATCGTTGTCGCGTGTAATGACAGCAGAAGTAATAGGACCAAACTTGCCAAACATTTCACTCAATTCTTCATCCGTGACATTGTCGGCTAAATTCTTGACATAGACATTGGTAAAGTGAGAGCGAATCTCTTCAATCTTACTCTGGCGTTCCTTGCGGGGAATGTGATGTCCGACGTAACTATACAAGATGATGATAAAAAAGAGATGAGATGATGAACTTTTTTTTTTTTTTTTTAAAAAAGAAAAAAAAAAGGGGGGGTGGATGACTCACACTTTTCTGTCGTTCAAGAGCATACCATTAACATGCTTGATGGCGTTATCAGCAGCTTCTTCAGTTTCATAATGAACAAAGCCATACCCCTTTGATTTACCTTCTTCATCTTGAGCGATTTTACAAGATAAAATATTACCAAAAGCGGAAAATGTATCATGGAGTGCCTTATTGTCAATGGTTGGATCCAAGTTCTTGATAAAGATGTTCCCGTTGCCCGTCTTACGTAAGGCAGGATCACGTTGGGACCACATGATACGACAGGCACGACCTTTGATTAAACTGTAGTTTAAAGACTCCAAGGCTCTTTCAGCTTGTTGTTGTTAGTCTTGTGTTTTATAACAATAAAAAAAAAAAAAAAAAATTTAGCTTACCATCGACAAGGTTATGGAAATTAACATAGGCATATCCTAAACTTCTTCTGGTCACAGCATCTCTACAAACACGGATACTAGCAACAGGACCAATCATATTGAACATTTCAAAAAGCATTGCTTCAGTTACAGAGGGATCAAGTTCACCGACATATAAAGAAGCAGAAGGGGAAGGAGCGGTGGTAGCTTGGATAGGAAGACCCTGTTGCTGTTGTTGTTGCTGTTGCTGCTGCTGTTGTTGCTGTTGTTGTTGCTGAGACAACTGTTCAGCTGCTTGTTGTTGTTGTTGTTGTTGTTGTTGTTCGGGTGCAGACATTTTGTTGGTAAAAAAAGGGAAGAAAAAATTTTTTTTGGGGGAGAAAAATAATCGTTTTTTTTTTTTTTTGTAAAAAGGGTTTTTTTTGTTTTCTTTTTTTTTTTTAAAGGCTTTTTTTCACTGGGTGTTTTTTATATTTTTTTTTTGGATTATATATAAAAAAAAGAGGTTTATAGAATTAAAAAAAAAAAAAAAGATCAAACCTTTTTTTTTTTTTTCAAAGTGTGCGTTGGTTTTCGTTAAAAAAAGAGAGAAAGATCAAAAAGGGGCGCCCAAAAAAAAATCTCTCTTTTTAATGCAGCAATAAGCAAAGCATCCAACGTCACCAATCATATGAGCGGTGTTCTAATCGGACATAGTCGATACGAGAATTAGAACGCTTCACGATTGGTTGATTTTTAAACTCCGTTTAATCTTTCTTCTTCTTTAGGCACCTATATATTTGTTAATCGCTTTTTTTTGGTTCTTTCACAACAACAACTCAAGGACCATTTATTATTTACACTGAGGATGTTCAATGAAATATAAAAAATGATTGTGGTAAATAATCTGTGTCGGTTAAAAAGTTAAGTCTAGGAATGAGAATTGATCGTGTTTTAGTCAAAGATCGAACACTAGTGTTGACATGTGAGGACGAGACACATTGGGGAAAAAAGATAAATGGCACGGAGTTCCATTTGGGCAGTGGAGGACACACTACCGTGCACAAACCTTCCCAAAAAGCAATAAAAGAAATACATCCTACAACATGTGTTCAACTGATGAATAAACTATTGGAGAAGTGGCAGTATATGTTGTCGCTGTGAAATGAGACAATGATCACCTGTCTACCTTGTCATTACAACAGCATTTGGATTGTTTATTTTTTTTTTTATTTTTATTAATAGACACAAATAGGACCTAATTTTAGTATAATAAATAGTAATAATAGGATTTTGTGGCAAATTTAATAACGAGAGCAATTGCCAAGAGATGATTTAGTATTCATGTTTAAATATGTAGGCCCCCCCCCCATATGTTTTCTTTGTCTGTGACTTGGGATTTGGGGGGATCCCCTTTTTTTTTTTTTTTTAGCTCCCTTTTTATTTTAAAATAGCACGATTTTTATTTTTTTCTTTTTTCTTTTTTTTTCTTTCTTTCTTTATTTACCATTTATCAATGACTACTGACGCTACACACGTTGCCAACCACATGTTGGAATCCATCCTTCGAGATCTATGTTTTTTAAAGGAAAATAAATTTATACCAAATCAAGCTTACAACGATGTTGTTAGCATATTACCTAGTCGTATTCAAGAACGGACAATAACATTACCATCACTACCACCAACAACAGCACCAGCACCAACAACAACAACAACAACAACAACAATGATGATAGAATCTGTAAAGCCTCCTTTACCCACTCGTAAAAGCACACGTGAGTCACCTGTTCCTGCAAGCCGTGATGTAAGTTCGTTTCCAAAGTTACCTACCAGACGTACAAATGATTGGCAACCACAGCCAGAACAAGAAAAATACACTGCCTCTCCTCCTCCACCTGCTCCTCCCGCTTACACTCAAAAACCCGTGATTCCAGAAACTAACATATTGACTTCTGCAGAAGCTTTATATGACTACCATGGTGAAGATCCTTCAACAGATCTTTCATTTAAACAAGGCAATATCATTGAAGTTACAGAATACGGTAAAAAAAAGACTCCATAACAATTCAAAAGAGAGAGGTCTAGACTAATAGAAAAAATAGTGAATGATGATTGGTGGAAGGGTTCAGTGAATGGAAAATCAGGTATTTTTCCTCAGAATCATGTCAAAAAAATTGCACCCAGCATCAAACCAAAACGTCCTTGGGTACCACCCACCTCCGCTAAACCCTCCTTTTCAACAAGCACACCCACTACCACACCACCTTACAGTTACCCACCCCCTCCTACAGCTGCCATCTATCAACCTCCTCCTCCTCAGACCTACAATACATCATCCTCCGCCTCCTCGGCATCCTATTATCAACCGGCCTATAATCAACCAACCTATAATCAACCACCTGTAGCACAACCACCCGTCACCACTGCGGTTGCTACAGAAGAAGAAGGAGGAGATAAAAAGGTTCATAATATGGCTAAAAAGTTTGGTGGACATGTAGCGACAGCTGCCACTTGGGGTTTTGGTGCTACACGTAAGTTTAAAATTATATATTGTTACTCTCTCTCTCTCTTGTATCTAACTAAATAAATTTACTATAAATAGTTGGTAGTCAGGCAGCAAATGCTATTTTTTAAACAATAAAAAAATAATTGTTGTACAACCATGATTTATTTTGGAGCACCGACACATGTATTAGAAACGAAAAATAAAAAAAAGAGAGAGAGAGAAAGGGACGTCTGGAATAAAATCCTAGCCATGGGCTATTGCATAACTATAGGAATAAATATATCCCTTAATAAATGCATACAACCTTTTAACCGAAACTAATTGAGTGACAGCAATATTTATTTATTTATCTCATCCTTGTTGATATTCTATTCTTCCATACATGTATATAAACACATACTTTTTTTTTTTTTTTATATTTTTTATCTCCCTTTTTTTCTTTCCTGTATAAAAAAAAAAAATGTTGTTTTGGACAAAACTTTTAACAATAGCTCATGCAGTGACAACAAGTATTCATCCGTTTTTACCACTGTACTTTGCACACATGCTAAAGTTTGATATATTAACCATCTCAATATTAATCTCCTGTACCTTAATACTAAGAGTGCCAGCATCAGCCTTTTGGATTGACCTTGTAGATCATAAACCACCACTTCACGGTGTATTTACCGGTCTTTTGACTGCAATTGGGACAGCTGGTATCCTCCTGATACTATCTGTACCACCCTCTTGGACTTCAATGACATTACCCGTCGCCATCCTATCCACTATCTTGGACGGCTTATTCTATCAACCTCTAATTGTTCTCATCGACAGTGCCATCATCAAAATATTAGGAGACTACAAAATATTGTATGGTATGTAAACACTTTTTATTCTTGTTATTCTTTCAACAAACCATTGAAATATTATGTGTTTTATATATAGCAAAAGAAAGGCAGTATGGGAAATTGGCTTCGGCTATCATGTCAATCGGTATTGGCTGGAATTTAGACGATGATCATGATTTCGATACGCTCATGGTAACAACTTTAATTGGATCCGTCATCTTGTTCTTACTATCACTCTCCACCAATGTTCAAGCAGCAGATCCAAGCCTACTCGATATCATCCAATGTCACGAAGAAATGGATGAGACATCACCCTTGACAAAATACAGTGGCTTACACCAAACTGAAACGACCTCATGTTACAAACCTTATAGTCTCTTTGGTGAGCAATTATCTCATATCTCTGAGGAAGATGCAAGTATGCTGCGACGTATGATAACAACAAACTCTACTTCTATCCGACCATTACCTGCAAGCATTCATTCTTCTCCGTACACACCTCCAATCTCCAGAAATAATAACATACCCATTCATTTCATCAATGATAATTTACCTCCATCTTTTGAACTGGCTCGGCTGCCTTATCCGCCTCCTGTTTCACCTAGTGTCGTTTTAATCACTTTTATTCCCGGCTACTATCAAAAACATCAACATTATAGACCATTACCTTCAAATTTGCCCCATGAAGAAGAATATTATTATTTACATTGTTATCAACAACAATCCAAATGGATACTAAAATCATTCATGAGTTCCATCTTTTGTCTAGGCTTGGTTCATGGTATGACCCAATCCTTATTGTACATCTATCTTCACGACGCCTTGGAACTTCCTATGCATCTAATAGGTATTGTGGGTCTAATTATTATTACTGCAGATCTCTTGGCAAGTAAATTAGTGATTTGGGTAAGTTTGTGACATTGCCAAAAAGAAAAAAAAAATTGAAAGAGATGTTCAACAGGACAGGATGCTGTATATGTATATATTTAAATAACAATACTTGTCCTATTCTAGATTATCCACCGCTTTCAGCTGTATGTCATTATTGCTTGTGCACATGTTGTTTTGGTTTTATGCGCATTGTGTTACACCTGGCTTCAACCACGTCTCTTATCCACTGAATTGTTTGTTATTATTTTACAATGTTTACAAGGTATTATCGGTTAATGATAAAAAAAAGTACCAGATAAATAGTAACACTTACATCTAAAATTAGGTCTGTCCCTTCATTCGATTTGGTTATTGGCAGCACATCAAGTGGACTCTGTGGTTTTGACAGGTCATAAACGGATGATGTTAAAAGGTGGGATGGCTGCTTTGTACAGTAGTCTGGGTCCGGCTGTAGGCGTATTAATTATGGGCTATTTAGTAAGTCAACATGGAATCGAAGGTTATACATTAGTGTATCAATATGCGGCTGGATTTACCGTTCTAAGTGCCATCTTGTCTTGGGAGTGGTCAACTACAGACTAATTACTTTCTTTCTTTCTCTCACTATTTGTACATATTTATTTTACTCGACCTATTTTTTTTTTTTTAAAAAAAAAAAAAGAGGGACAATACTTTTCTGAAAAAAAAAAAAAAAAAAAAAAAATTGTATCATATTTATATAAAAAAGTTCTTTTTTTTTCTTTACGTTTACGCATTCTGCAGTGCATGTGTAAATCTACACACAATTTCTTTTCTACCCATTTAAATGTCCCCCTCTCTCTCCCATATTTGTATCTTTACCGTACCATCATATATTTGTAAAAAAATCTTGAAATATTCAACTTATGAAACAGCCCAAACATAAAGTTCGCGGAAAGCTGTTTCATTTCTCCAATAATAAAAAAAACACAATAGAATATGTATAGCTGGTCACTTAAAGAAATTATGTAAGTTAGGAATGTTTCTTTGTAAACAGCTCATACACAAAAAAAAAAAAAACGTTATTTGAACTCAACCCTTTTGCCTTCTTTTATTATTATTATTAATTCCTGCTATAGTTTGTAATAGCCGAAATAAGCTTAAACGACTGTTTGATATCATCTAAGCCCCTTACCCGTAACACTTGTTCAAATCAATCATCTCATTTCGGTGCAAAACAGATAAATCATTTAACTTTTAAAGGTACAAAATCTCTTATTGCTAACGCTGGTCACAACTGTAGAGTAAATTTCAGGCGATCATCTTATTTCGGTCTTTTATAACTACCACCGCTGTCAATAACCTTAATGTGCTTTTCCCTGATACCTTATAACCACCCATTCTATTAACAGTCTCAACACCTGTAACACTTCAATAATGGTATGTTAATTAAACTAACACTTATCATTTAAGCAATTTTTTCGTAAATTTTGGATACAGGTATGATACTTGTAAATCGGAACAAGTTTACTACAGTTGAGAATATGGCTACATGAATTTTAACTTTTTAAATAAAAAAAAACTTGCTTATTTCCTTCGACATCCTCAGCTTTAAAACAAGCCATTTCCGAAATATTGTGTTGTGATTGATTGTCACTATCTCACACATTTCTTTTCGTCTCAATTCATTTTAGAGCCATATTCTCACATGCCCTGGCTATAGCCATGATAAACTAAATTTTATTTTTATCACTTTTTTTTTTCGCAAGGTCAAGCATTTTTTAGTCGATTCATTATCTAATGAAGTCTTTAACTCTATTTATCGCATACCCACTAATAAGCTACGTATAATATCAAGCGCAAAATGGTTGTTACGGCCATTATCCCTTTCAAGAAGAAAGGGATAAAACATATGACTAGATGCACTACGTTACACGAAATATCGAAAAAATGAAAGCCCAACGGGGGGGTCGAACCCCCAACCTTGAGATTAAGAGTCTCACGCTCTACCGATTGAGCTAGCTAGGCGATTTGTTAATTTTTAAATATGCATTACAAATACAAATCAAGTGTTGTAAATAAAATTTTATCACGTGATTGTCACGTGTACGTATTATGATTGGGCATGTTCTTTTTAATTTCAGGTACGAAAAGCACTGGATTGGATAAAAAAAGTAGCTTAATCTTATTGGTTTCCGGATTAAACTTTGGGATTCTGCATTTCTGTAGTTGATCATATTTATAATCAAATTATTGTGAGAAGTGCGTTGAAATTGAATGAGCCATTAAGGCACCTATATAAATAGGATTGGCATAACCTTTATGGAAATAATATTTGAGCATGGAATAATTTATCAGTATTGAGTTATTTTAATGGAGTGTTTTAACTTTTTTAATTGGGGGTCAACTACAACGGGTAAGTACTGTGTCGTAATTCATGGTTACATGGCAAACAATTTTTTATTTTTTAATTTACAAAATCGACCGACAAAATATATAGATAAACTTTTAACTGCATTTTGGTAAGTCGAGAGGGGTATCGGCAAGGACTCCGCCTTTAATTCTGCATGAGCCCTTGAAAGCTTGTCTGATACTATGGATATCTGCGTGTTTTTTGGCATCAGTAAACGTGCATGTACCACACCTTATAGCCGCCTCTGGTATATCGCAGTTTTCCAGAAAGCCACCAAATGGAATACATGAAGTATGGTCCATGACCGGTAGAATACAACTTCCTGGAACGATACAAGATAAGCTAACAGGTTCAGTAGCAGATACCGATGTAGAAAATAGAAAAGAGGAAATTATGTATGACAGTTTCATGTTTTTAAAAGAAAATAATATGTTAAAATCAAAATTCAGCAAGAAACAAAAAGAAAAAGAAAAACAAAACAAGGGCTATTTATACACAATCAACAAAATTTTAGTTTGGCTGCATTACGCAATCGACTCTGTAAAGTAAAAACGGGAACTGTAAAATGTAATCTCACGTAATGGTTTATGCAAATTCCCAAAAAAAAAAAAAAAAAAAAAAAAAATGAATTGACTGCAGTAAGGTAATAGATGTCTGACTCCTCAGATGATGTAAACACCCAAGCAAGAATATTGCTCACTTACGTAGGATTACATCATGCAATAATGAACTCCTCGATCTATAACACTGATTACAGTTATTTTTTCCTACTGGTGCTTATTCAGGGCAGTTATTCTGACATAAATATCCGTAACATGAAACAAATTAGTTTTCAGATATGCTTAAAAATTCTTTACTTGTAGGCTGCTATCCAAAGTGAGGAGTAACCCCATTCTGGGTAATATTTTGCGCTGAAGTATTTTGCTGAGATCTTGAAAAATCTGGACGCCTACTATTGTCACTTCAAATTTCTTGCAATATACGAAACATGTTCTTGTCAGTCATTATATACCTATTCCAAAAGGCATTACGGTTGTTACAAACTGATATTAAAAATAAGCTTAGAGGATAAAGTCATACTCAGAACGTATGCAGATCGTTAATATCTAGAAGAAGTAGCTCACTGAGCTGCTGCTTTGAAAGAGCATGATAGTAAAGACTCTCAAATGTAACAGAGTGTAGTTTTAAACTTCCCTACAAACTACCCAAATTTTCCTGGCAAGAAGGGGTAATTATTTGAAAACGCTTAAATACTAAAAATGTGCGAAAGTCAACTGACAGATGACTGGCTTTTACAAGAATACCGTAAAACATACTATGAAACTCAAAAAGGCATAAACATCATCATGTCGAATATCAGCTTGGTTTATAGGACAGGGTTCGATGTCTTGGTCAATGTTTTTGAGTTTTACTCGTTTACAAAAAAAAAAAAAAGGGGGGGGGGAGAGTTGAGGGTTTTATGATGGTAAAATAAATAATAAATTTATGTAATTGAATGCTATTAATACAGGAAGGACTATTCTACTTTAATAATTTAATTTGTGTCATACAATTATGACATTTAAACACCAAGCTGCTGGCAAGACTGTATTTATTCTTGGCATGAGGACCAGACCCAACACCGTAATGATTACGTTCGTTTGACTTGAGGATCAGTTGGACGTCTGCCTCAGCTTGGGTGTAATTTTTATCCAAGATAAGCATAAGCGCTCTTTCATAATGACTAAAATAAAAAATATAATGATCCAAAAGAATGTTGTCAGCATTATCAAAAACAAAATTTAGCGACTGTTCATGGATCTGATGCATGGTTTTTATGTCTTGGCCTTGCTCGAATAGCATTCTCGCTGTAATAGAGCGCAAAAATTGAGCAAGACAAGCATCGTCGTAATAATTCGTTGGTAATTTTTCCTGATCGAGAGATGACAATCTATTTAATTCTACATTAATACGCTCCATGGTGTTATTTAATATATCCACTGGCATAAAGTCAAAGGCTGCGAATGCATTTAATATCTCGAGATCTGGTAGCAAGAGATAATTGCCTTGGCTCTTAAACTTCCTTGCCTTGCGAGCAACGAATTTCTAAACACAATTTTTCAACTTTCAAAAATTACCGCTATGAAAAAAAGTTACTCCGTTTTCTTACCTCCATAGGAATGGATTTTCCAGCGATCTTCTTCTTTTTCTCCGTCACTTGCTCCATGTAGGAAACCACTTTTTTCATATAATTAGCCTTGATAGTTTCATCTGATGTTTCGTTTGCAAGCATGTACAGGTTGATCGCCTTCAAATATATATACACTGCCTTTGACCAGTTACTTTCTTTACTGAGGATTGTGTAAAGGTCGTACGCTTTTTGCCATTTCTGTTGCATAATGTAAATAATACCCAACTCCCAGAAACACATATGTTGTAGTTGCTTCCAATCCTTTTGTGTATCGATTGCGTGTTGATATTCCTCTTCAGCTCTACCCAGCAATCGTTTGCTTACCATTAATCGTCCATTGAAATACAAGAAGAATACGCCTCGAGGATACCGCGATAGACAGTCATTCAGGATGGTTTCCCCAAAGGATATATCTACGTCTGAAAGCGGAATCATTTTTGACAAGACAATATGATATAAAATCAACACCATTTCACACAAGGGTCGTCGTAAACCTGTTTTGGCTTCCATGGCATTGCTGACTGTGGTGGATGTATGCACTTTATCCCAACCTCCTACCGCTTCCAATACCTGGAGCCCATGAGCTCGGTCTGAAGAAAAGCCGATAAACTCCGCAACCTTAACGACGGATGAAGGTAACATGGAAAGAATTAAACTAAAGCATCCCACACCAAGTGCAACACCCGAAGTAAAATTAGGATCCAATTCTTTGCCTTTGCCTTCGCTTTGTACATAATCCACGTATTTCTCCAAAGTCATGTACGAGCTGTAACTACTGCGGATGTTCAAACTTTCTCGAAGAAAGGACATGACACTTTCATCATACAAAATGCTTAGTAACGCTTTTAATAGATACGCCTCAGAATAAACCAGTTCCTACATTTTTTGTTTTGTTTTTTTTGTTTAATGATAATTCTTATCAATTTTGTTTTTTGTTTAAATGATGATCACATACTGCGTGACGTTCTACAACGGTCATCTGTTTGACATCTTCCAAGGTAGTACCTTTCACCCAGCTTGTTATGTTATCCAACCAGCCTCCATCTTTTTTGCGTTCATGAGCGGCCAATGCGATAGTGTGTTTCAAGACATTCAAGGTATTATTGATATCATCATGTTGGAAGGTCATGACACATTTCAAATACAGGATAAATGAATAGCCCAAAGAATAATACATAGAATCCTCATAGCGAGGTTTCAAGATCGCCTCTGCTTCACTGATATTTGAATTCAGGAAATAATCCAATGCCTTGTGAACTGCGGCGATATCTTCATTGAGTTGCTGCTCCTTCAAATGTTTTGTGGGTGATGGAGGGGGTGAGCCTGAAGGTGTTGTGGGCGATGATTTTACGGAGAACGAGCTTAATCTCGATAATAAGCCTCGACCCTCTGGAAGTGTCTTTACAGAGATGTTGCCACTGCTGCTACTTTTTTTGGAAGCGCTGAAAGGAAATGCTTTTCCCGTTTTAGAATCCATATTTTTTTTTTATAAAAGAAAGTGAAAGAGATGCGAAAAAAATTCAAAAAAGAAAAAACCAAGCGATATGGAACCAACATACGAACAATGGAATTAAGCGAATCATTAAATTCGGTTAAAAATACTTCCGTTCCTGACATGGAAAAAATGAGCAGGGGGATTGATTGATTTCTGCGCATTATCCACTGGCTTTGAAATGGAGGGGCACACGCGCTTTTGGTTTTTTTGTAACATCGTGTCATACGCCAGAAATTAAGATGGCTTATTAATTATAGGAGCCAATTTCTTTTTCCCGTCGTTGAGGCCTGATATAATTTATTATGTTTACAAAAAATGGCTTTTTAAGTACGTCGGGCTTAGCACAACAAATAAGCTTCTTGAGACGCTATGTACTCACACGAAGGATGGGCTACATGAATTTTACAGCTTGGATTCGCCTGTATTGTTCACCATCCAGTGGTAAGTCCAGTCTACAGTAGCTTCAATCATCTCAGGCGACCACTCATGACCTACACCAGGCACTAAATAATACTTCCAATCCACACCTTCTTTGCCTAGATGTGTCTTACGCAAACCTTCTACAAGAGGAGCATTGAACTTTGCCTTTACCAGTTCATCTTTCTCTCCATTTATGATGAGGATGTGCGTTGATTTTAATTTTTCATCCAAGTTTGCCATTTTTTCAGCAAATAGCTTTTGGATGGGTTTTGGAAGATGGGTTTCAGCCGAAATGTTGGATTCCTCAAGTCGAGACTTCATTAAAGCTAAAAAATCAGATATTCCAACAATGGGGATAGCCACTGTGATACGAGGATCTGTAAGAAAAGTGATAGGTGAGCCAGTTTGTAAAAAGAGAGGCGGAACACTATAATACCATTAGCAGCTGCTAAAAATGCAGCATGACCGCCCATAGAAAATCCAAGCACACCCCACACTTGTACAATAGGATTTTCAGAAGGGCCAAACAAATAATGCTCCAGCACATCAATTAATTCAGAAACAGTGGATGTGGCAGAGCTAACCATGCCCCACATATCCATTGCATGATTTGGGTTCTGGTGCTTTCCTTCAACCCATGCAAAATTGGCAAGCTTATGAACGAGTCTGCTACCATGGTTTGCAGAGTCAAACGTAACAACCAAAATATGACGTTTTCCTTCTGTTCTAAACTCATTCAGCTTGCAGAGTTCTTGTGCAATAGGTTCCATTTTGGACTGGTTCTCTATGTAAAGTCATTTTAGACATTGGGGCCCATTGACTTTATAAAAAGACTAAACTTACGAAGTCTACCATGGAGAGCAAACATGACAGACACAGGTGTGTCTTTGCCGAGTTTTTGATACTCTTCTAAACCATACACGGTCAAGCTTAAGCCATTGACATGGATAAGTTGTTTAGACACCATGAGAAATTTAAAATGAAAAAAAAAGAGAGAAAGAGTATGTGTAACTTTTATTGCTATTTATAATCCTATTCCGCACGTTAACAACTACTTCTTTAACAAATCTTCGATATCTTTTGCGATTTCAGAAGGTTCAGTCTTTGAAGAGTAGCGTTTGTAAACCTGTCCTTCCTTGTCAATCAAAAATTTCTATGATGAAAAAAAAAAGAGGGAGATTAATGGAAAGTTTCTTTGTAGATATGTTATATGCTTACCTCAAAATTCCATTTGACGACGTGTAAACTAATGTATTAAATGAGAGTCAGAAAACTTTTGTGTTGACGCGTGAAATGATACATACTTGAAAATTCCCGGTTTTGATTCCTTTAAAAACTTGTACAAAGGTGATTCATTTTCTCCATTCACGTCACTATGACAATTTGATTAATTTTTTTTTTTTTTTTTTGGCAGAAAATTATAAAAAATAAACTTACAGTTTAGCAAGAAGTGGGAAAGTAGCACCATATTTGGTTCTGACAGCTTTTTCAATTTCTGTTGAAGAACGATTAATGTTTTACAATACTTTATCAATAGTGGCGATGATTTACCCTCTGGCTCTCCAGGTTCTATGAAAGAAAAAAAAATGTTAAAAAGATTTCCATACAGATTCTTTGAATACCATTTACCTTGATTTAGGAATTGGTTGCAAGGGGCTCCGATGACTTCGAAACCCTTGTCTTTATAGGTGGTGTAAAGCTTTTCCAAACCTGTGTATTGGCTGGCAAACCCACACTTGGAAGCTACGTTGACAATAAGAACGACCTGACAAAGAGACGGAAAATTTAAGTATGAAGGGGCATATTTGATACGCAATGCAAATAATAAAGTACCTTTCCCTTGAGTGAGCTTAAATCCCAATCCGTGTTTTTGATGGTTTTAACTGTAAAGTTGTATAAAGAAGTCATGATAAATACAGCAAGTGGGAAAAGAGCAGAAAATGATAAACACTGGGTATTTATTTTAAATTGGGGGGTGCATATGAAAAATAACATTGATAACATTATGACGTCTTTTGGCATGTGGGGCATGTTTCATTCACATTCTCTATTTGGGAGCAAAAGAGGAAGCTAAAATCGCTCTTTGCATGAAGGGTTTGAATCGAAGATATTCCATTGCCTCGTCAAAGTTACACTAAAAAGAGAGACACCAGTGTGTTAATGGCATATTTATAGAAGAATGAAGGTGTGTTATCCTTACCCATTTACGCTGACGAAAGCTGCTTTCAGGCCATTGACTACAAATCTCTTCTACTTTTAATTCGTAGAACCAAACATTAGATTTAGGCTCGCCATAGTAGTTGTAGTCAATAAAGCTGCCAACCAAATTGCCAATCTGACCTCTGACACCAGCTATGAAAAATAGAGTTTGTCCTACAGCTCGCTTAAATATTTTATTAATCTTACCTTCTTCGTATGTCTCACGGGCAGCAGCTTGTTCTTTTGTTTCATCATCCTCCCATCCTCCCTTGGGCTGAAATAAATAATTTATTATTATGTCATTATTACCCCAATTGGGTTACCATATCAACTTACGAGAACCCAGACATTTTCACGCTTGCTACTCGAAATGATCAAAACTTTGTTGGTGTTGGGATCGATGGCAATGCAACCAGCAACCTAAAAAAGAGATTAAGAGATGGCACACCATGCTTCGTTTAAAAAAAGTAAATACCTGACGAATGTTTGAGTCGTCATAAACTTGATTTTCTCTGCCTGTGCGGGCCTCAGCAGGGTAGTCCGTATAACTCGTATTGCTACCCATGAAAGTTAATTAATTGAAAGATAAGAGTTTCTCCGGGCAGAAATTAATTTTTTTTTTTTAAAGTATATATTATTTTATTTCATGCAAAAAATAGATGGAGGGGGAAAAAGAGTTTGGTAAGAAAAAATAAAAACAGAGTGTATAAAAATATAATAAGAAAAAAAGAGTGCTATACAATATAAATGTGTTCAAAAAATGGGAAGATTATAGTAAAAAGAGGATTTGTTTTTTTTAACGACGATCAGTGGAACCCATACCACGTTTACCAGAGAACAAATGCTTAGGCATCTTGGTTTGAATCTGTCTGTCAGACTCACCACGCTTACCCATAAGCGCACTTGGCTTTTGAGCACGGAGCTTCTGCTTATCGGCTTCAAGCTTCTGTTTAACGTTACGGAAACCAAGAGCACTGACTTCTTCAGCTTCGGCATCACCACGATCATGGGCATCAGCGTCTCTGACAGCTTCATCAGGGGTAACTTCAGCACGTGTACGCTTACGACCGGCAGCAGCGTTACGTGTACGTTCAGCAGCATCTGTAGCATCAATACCCATACTTTCAAGATGTTCACCCATCTCATTGACAGTAGTAAATTTGGCAGCTGTAGTCTTGGGTAATGTAGGTCTAGTTCTACCACGAGCAGCACGATGAGCTTGGACAATTAACTTCTTACGGTCACGAATGGCATCAGCAGCAGTACGGAGGATCTCTTCTTCATCGTCAAGGATCTCATCGTCTGATTGATAGAAACCTTCAGCTTCCAAGCGCTCTTCTTCTCTCTCCAAGGCCTCCAACTTCTCTTCAATCTCAGGATCGATAAAGTCAGCAACGTTGTGACCATCCAAGAACTCGGGAATAGTATCATATTTCCATTCATCATCTTCCAACAAGTACTTCTTCTTGACATCAACATTAAAGACACCAGCACCACCATTCTCTTCTTCGATATCTCTTTCAAGTCTACGACGGTTAGGATCGTTCTTGTCATATTTAACTCTGGTCTTGGTTTCGGCAGGGATATTGGGAAGACGAGCAACGTTGTCTCTTTGTTGAGGAGTGGCCAAATGAATCTTGTTGATAACATCGTTAATCTTGTTACCCTTCATCTTCATTTCAACACGAGCAGCTAACAATTTATCACAAGCATTGTTACGCACACTCATCACACCTTCATCGTTGTAACAAGACATAGTCAAGACAGTGGCGTTCTCTTCAGCAGCAATCTCTTCAATCCACTTTCTTTGCTCCTCAGGGAGATCCTCAGGCTTCACTTGATCAATCTTGTTGATGACCAACACGATAGGCTTGTTGGCAAAAAGAGGTTTGATACTATGGAATAATTTGACTTGATCTTCAACACTGTAACCACATTGTTCGGATAAATCCATGAAATACATGATACAGGATCTTAAATGAGCCATGGCAGTAATAGATTGCATCTCAATCGTATTACGTTCCTCCAAGGGGTGATCCAAGATACCGGGTGTATCAATGACTTGCCATCTCATGTATTTGTAATCCATGTGACCGACAAAGAGAGATTTAGTGGTGAAAGCATAAGGTTGGACATCGACTTCAGCACGGGTGATCTTGTTAATGAAGGAAGATTTACCAACGTTGGGGTAACCACAGATAAGAAGAGTACGGGTGTTGGGGTCGATGGAAGGTAAACGAGACAAATGTTGACGCACTTGTTCGAGATAGGCCAAACTATCCTTTTGACGCTTCATGACGGTTGCCATTCTACCCAAAGCAGCCTTTTTTAATTGCTTACAACGATAAAGAGAGTCACCGAACTTTAAAAGACGAACATAATCCTTAGCAACTTGATCAATTAAATGACGGGCTGTGTTGATTTGACCTAACGCAAGCTTGTAATGATCTCTATCGTAAAGAACATTCATCAAATCAGCATAGAAAGGATGGATATCCTACAGTTTAACATATTAGTAATTAAATCCTATAAACTCTTCATATAAACAAAAACATACCTCTAACTTGGGGAACTCATCCAAAATGTTCTTGAACTTCTCTTCAAAGTTCTCTTGGGTGAACTTAACCTTACGCATATAAAACTGTCTAATACGTCCAATATTGTAATTCTTATGGATAACAGTGGGTGTCTTTCTTTGTGTCTTGGACAAAATAATGTCGACAAAGTCAGAGGCCGTAGGCACTGGCTCGATCTTTTTGAAATTATAGAGTGATGCCATTGTTGCGAGAAGGAGATCTATAAAAGAATAACTTGCAAAAAAAAACTTTTCTCGATTAACATAGGCATAAAAGAAAAAAGACAGTCCTTTCATCAGCCCAAAAAAAAGTGACTCTTTTTTTTTTTTTTTTTCTTCAATCCTTTTGTCTATTATCTAGCTGTCTTGTACTTGACACTGTTATGTCTCCTAAGCTTTTTAGAGAATTCGATATATGGCTGCTAACTCTTAGCTCTTTTAGTACAGCAGATGGTAACTTTTCATCAATCTGTCAGATAGAAAAAAAGAAATTTCGATCACCGTGATTCAGTAACTGGGTACATTTTTCAGGAGAAATAAAACCTATCAACTTGAAGCCTCTCTTTTATCTCGAAATCATAATTGTTTCAAAATCCTGTTAACATGAGCCATTCAACAGCAATGAATTACATATTTTAACACCAGGATGCAGGTTACACATCCCTTGAACCACGGCCGAGAAAAAGATGCTGTTCAGTGCAGCGCTAAACAAGATACACTTTCTGCAATACTCAATGCGCTACTTGAAATCATTGTTTGTTGTAAAGTCTTATAGATCCTCAATGAAAAATTTTCTGTTTTTTCGTGATAATCTCATATAAGAATTTGCGGCATTTATATATAACGCTTGGGGGGGATACTTGGTGTATCAATATATTTCCAGTTACAGACATATAACGAGTCTTTAGTGATGTATCAACTATCTCGGTTATTTTAGTTTCCTTCTTTTATTCCGCATAGCAGAATGCTCAAAGTCAACTCATCAAGCTTCGTACACAATTGAAATATCAGTTTTTTAAAAAGCACAATAAAGTCTGCCTCAAGATGCAGAAGATTTCAACCCACTACCGATGGTAAAACATCCAGTGGCAAGCTAAAAGCATCCTCATCTGTATGTGTAAAGACAACATAATCACACATAGAAGTATCATAAATAATGCCCGTCATATATATATATATATATATGTGTGTGTTTTTCATTATATTGTTTAGTTGAATCATCAAAAGGAAAGAAATGAAGCTTTTAGATCAAATTCAGCAATATAATTTTTAAGCAACGCCAATTTTACTTGGTCCAAAGATAGATACAAAGTAAATCCAGTATGGTGAACGTTTACCAGTCACTGCACTGTCTGAGATTCCCATAGCACATGTCAGTATTAAGGTGCATCAAAGCAATATTAAGATGCATCAAAGTTTTGGCGAGGGATTTAGAAACAAGTTGATAACACTAGGTATGAAAACATACTAAGATTATGTGTATGAATATGAGTACGCATAATTGCTTGTTATGTCTTTACAGGAAACACATTTTGTTACAGAAAACGATCGTCTACTTACCTTGCAGATAAAACAAAGAGCTAATTGGATAGCTTTAATATTAAATGCCCACTCTACCTTGCATATGTTTATGGCGTAAACTAAGTTTGTTATTCTCATGAAAAAACAAACACTCAGCGTAAAGATATACATGAGTATACAGTTTAGAGCCATTGTAGCATCACAGGCCATCATAGCGCATGTATTTGTTATACAGCGTATGAGGGTATCTGGGTATTTTCGCACATTAAATATGAAAACTCCGACTAAAGTGCCATAAAAGAAGGGTAAGGGGTGGCGCACGCTCCACAGACCAAATAAAACAAGACATAGTTCCCACAGTTCTGGTAATACAATGTGTAAAAGAATATAATATGGGGTGATTTATCACGCTAATTACAAGGGGTTTTTATTCAAACGAGGTATGATAAAGGGGTGAGAGGAATATATGAGGGATTGATTTGTTTTTTTTAATGAAGCCATTTTGTTTATTTTCTAAAGAACAAAAGGTACTTAAAATGCGATGCCTTTTTTTGGTCTGGGCCCATAAGTATGTGCACTGTAGTATCACCACAGATCATTGTATAAATATAGTACAAAGTTAATGCAACTACCAATTTAGTCAGACTGCAAAGTAAATTCAATCTCCCTTTTAAATCCAAATATTATTATTCTGTTACAATTCAAAATGAATGCTCGTTTATTAAAAAAGTGGATATATAAGTTTGGGACAATTTGGATTATTTCTTGGCAAGAGAACACTTTTCAAGAGCAAGATGAGACATGCGCTTGCTTTCGGTGGCGGTAAGAGCATCTTCATAAGAAACCTATTTTTAACAGTTAGATAAAGAACGTGAATATGCTTCATACTGTCTATATTTACCCAGACACGTTCACGAGTGGCATCGGGCCATGTTTCGAGTAATGTGGGAGCATTGACCTCATACATCCAATGATGAGCAATGACCTTACCCTTCTTGTTGGATTCAGAGTAGGAACCAACACGGCTAGACAAGAAGCTGGCAGTGACACCGGCCTTTTCATGTAAGAGACGAATAGCAGCCTTTTCAGGGTGTTCTTCTGTGGGTTCAGTTTGACAATCATCACGAGGAAGAACATACGCGCCTTCCTTTTTGCGACTACCCAACATGAGGATCTTTTGTGTGGCGGGATCAATGACAATGACACCAACAGCCTACAAAAAGCAATTATACTTAGCCACTGTCTCTCTCTCTTATTTATTCTATCCATCCATTAAAAGCTTACCTGACGAATGGCCTTAGGTTCCTTCTCTTCCTTGGGCTCCTTGGTCTTCTTTTCAGCCTTTTCAGTAGTATCGGCCTTCTTTTCCTTTTTATCCTTCTTTTCCTTTTTGTCCTTCTTGTCTTCCTTATCCTTCTTCTCCTTCTTGTCTTCCTTATCCTTCTTCTCCTTCTTGTCCTTTTTCTCTTCCTTGTCCTTCTTCTCCTTCTTGTCCTTCTTTTCCTTCTTCTCCTTCTTCTTGGGAAGGTCTTCGTCAGCAACTACGGGAGCTCCAGGAAGGAGAGCATCGTCAACGGGAGCAAGAGTTTCAACAGTCATTTCTTTAATTAAAATAGAATAAAGAGGAAAGAATAATAAAAAAAGAAAAATTTAAAAAAGGAGAGATGCCCGGTTATTTATTCTTTTTTTCTCAAAGGGCCCAAACCGCGGGCGACAGAACCCGGACTATGAAAATCTATAATTATAGCTGTCAATGCCCTTTTGAAAAATATTCCGGGGGCCGTTTACGTTTACAAATGCGGTAAAAGAAAGCAAGGTAAAGGCTTATACATGTAAATTATTTTATTAATTGATACATCCAGAAAAACGGGATGACTGATGCCATGGTTCAGAAAATTTTAAAGACACTTTTTCATGTCTTAATTTAATCGGATCCTGTACATATAAAATGACTATTTTAAACGAAGTTCTGATATATTTTTAGAACATGAATTACATGTTGTCGCGATTTTTTTTTATAGCTGTTCGTAAATCGAATGATGTATAAGGTTTGGGTCACATGCCGTCTTGTCACTTCGTCCCATCCTTCTAAATGGCTGTTGACAATGATTGCGACCATATTACTGGTTGCATCTAAATTAACTCGACTATTATAGAAAAAACTGTGTCTATATTTGTCGCAACTTCATGATCCCATTACTTGTACTTGTTAAAACTATGATTATTATATTTTTTTTATTATTATTACAGAATTAGAGGGATAATTAATTTTCTTCTTTTTTTTTTACTCGGACTTCTTTTCAGTTGCCTTATCTTTCAAGTAATCAGAGCTATCTGATTTAGTCAAGAATTTTTGAAGACGACCATAGAACACATATACGAATACCATGAAACTGAGTCCAGTCCAGAACCAGGGATTGCTAATTTAAGGTAAACCAATCAATATCTATCATCTCTTTATTCTTGTATACAAAACTTACCTAAAAGGTGAGTTTACATCAACAACCTCAACTTCATAGATAACTGCAGTGTTTCCTAAAAGCAACGAGGGTAAATACATGTCCTCACAGCCAATATAACCTTATCTTATTTACCTGGAACCAAATGGGGAAGACCAAATTCACCATAAGCTACAGAAAAAAAAAAGCTTAAAAAAAAAAAGTAATACGACCAATAAGAATTCTCAACTTACCATATTCAGCAGGAATAAGTAATCTACGTACTTCTCCTTCACACATACCGTGCATACCCTGTTCCAATCCTATCATTTCTTATAAGTATACAACTTTTTTATGTTCCAGCACTTTTCTTTTTTTACCCTTCATAATTTTATCTCTGCCTATTAAAAAACATTCTTGTTAGAGGTATAATAAGATCAAGTTAGCTGCCAAGACTTACCAAATTTCACTTTTAAGGGCTCTCCTGCATAGGTATTTTCATAAAATTCATCCTCACCCCAAACACGAGCACGGTAATGATAAAGTACTTCAGAGTTGGAAGACACCTTAAAACCACACTTTTCAGGTCTCTTAAGAACACCTATAGACTTTTATTGGTTTCTGCTATATAAGGAGTTATCTCAGTCGAATATATATTATACCTCCAAGAAGCTTGGTAGGTTGCTCCAAGTCAGCTTCATTGTTTGCATAAACTGTAGCAACTAAAGCAATCAAAGCACTCAGCTTGAAAATATTTGAAAAGAGCATTTTTGGGAAAGAGAAGAAAAAAGGAAACAAGATGTTCAAGATGAGATGAATGTTGGTCAATGTTATCTATCTCTCTTATTGATTAACTGTGTGCAACCGGTGCTTAAAATCTTATAATTGACAATTTGAGTAATAATGTCCTTTTAAAGAAAAACAGAACATGATGGGGCGTACATAGGGACATATGTTTCTTTTGTGCCTGAATTCTTTCAATAAGCCACAACTTGAGAGTTAAAATTCAGATGCTGTTTGCTGATAATAAATGCCTAGCTACAAACATGTCCGAACTATTTAGTTTGTAAATATCTGAATTGTCCTCTTAAACAAAACCGTTTTCGCTACAGTCGGCATGTTTTTACTGATGGTATTAAAATACTGGCCCCACAGTATATGACAGAGTTTAAATTCTTCTAATACCTTGGAAGCATCCCCTGGTCCTCACAACTATCACATACCTTTGAAAAATGAGTATCGAACATTTCTCTAATGCTGTATTATAAAAAAAATATTGACCACTGGGGGTATAAACTTGTTTATGACAACAATCGCAGATACAAAGGCCCTGTTCAACTATTATATTAAGGCCTCAAGCATCATATCGTTGTCTAGATATTATGTCAATGGCGCATCTTTCATATTTATTCGGTCATCATACTATTTTTGCATCAATGATAAATAGTACAGAACAAAAATATTAACAATGTCAGACACTACAAACACCAAAGCAATCTATGTTGTAGTAAATGGAGAATTGATTTTTATCTGTTAGGAATTATTGTCTTACGAATATTCGATACGGCAATTTAAATGTAAAATGCCTTATCTTGATACTTTGGTTGACATGGGAAAAGCTTACCGAGGTTATTTTGTTAATCAAAGGGCCAGTATATGTTTTTCAGTTATCGCAAATGATACAAATTCTTATGCGCTTCAATTTTCTGCCAATCAAAAGAGGCAAAAATCTGTACACTTTATGATAAATAGCAACAAAGTCGATCAAAATGAATAGGCTAGGTTTATTATACGGGCCTGATAATTTCTTGTTTAATTATAACCATTAAAAAAGATCTTAATAACTATATCGACACCCAGGTTAAGGCAGCAGGTGTTACGAGTTTTTGTCTATAAAACATTCTTAATTCTGTCTGTTTTTCTTTACGCTTGTCTGCTGTCCGGAACGCTGAAGCATTCGCTGCTTCTCATGCCAACAACATGTGGCACCTCACAAATAAATATCTGATATTTCTTAGTTTAGTTCATGCCACTTCTAAAGCATATATGTGATACTTATCAATGAAGCATATATTGCTTCTCAGGCCGAGGTATGCCGATCTATAAGCCAAAAATAAGCATAGACATATTATCTCTCAAGCCAGGATATGCCGCTGGAAAAAAAGTTTACAGTGGAGGTGACAATAAGAACTGATATTCCCGGGAATAGCGGATACCACTTTCTAAATATTGATGTCTATTGTCCTTTTCTTTTAAAAAAATAACAGAAAAAGTGTATTGCCTCAAATATTTGCCCACATTGGACAAAGAAAGGAGTTGTTTATTAAAATTAATTGCCTTATTCATATTGACTATGACAAAAAAGTTTCAGAAAGTTGCTGTTGCGGTTTTTCGAACCGTAAAAACAAAGCTACATCAAGGCACACCAGTGTCTATTTAAAAACGAGCTTTCGTTTGGGGCTTTGACAAATGTTTTTAGACTCGCTGTAGATATGTATTTCGGCAGACGGTCTTACGTGCTCTCTTTCAAAATGGCTCATTTTTAGTTAGCGTGTAGCAGTTGCATATTCAAGTCATTTTGATTGGTTTAAAATTGATTTGCTGTTTTAGGGAGTTGCAATCCAATGAAACTCTTTCCCAACTTAACGGACATCATGGTCCGGTACTGCAAAACAATGTAAAACCCTTAACTTTTGAAACGCATACCTTTCTTTTTTATACGTCGACTTGTAATATAACCATTTGCAAAATATGTCCTTTATTTTCCAAAGCATGACCGTATTGTAATATAATCGTTTGTTTTCGTGTATCAAAAACAAGGTGTTCTTGAAACTTTTTTTTGTTTAAAAAAAAAAAAAGATGCACCCTCTGTTACTGTGCGTATGTGACTACTTGGGTAAATAAAACGTCAAGCTGTTTCTGCGTTATATAAACAAATGGTATCACTGTGGTTTGTTTAGCGCATACAACATATAGAAAACACTATGTAAAAAAAAAAAAAAATATTAAACAAAAGAAAAAGGGCTTATGATCAACACATTGTATTCAAAGGTAAATATAAACATGTGGTTTAAAATGGACAAAATACGTGTATGGATTTTTAACACCTAAATTAAGCTCAAGTTTAAGGTTTAGAGCAACAGGTAACCATAAGAAAATTCTTGGGTGTAACTAACTTTTTGGGGACAGACGACATTCTTATCATGTGTACAAACACGACCTAACGTTTTTATCTTCTCGCTTGCATTGTTCATGAAATTTTCCTCTGCAAAAAACGATCCGCTTTATAGTGAAATAAATATCGAAAAGAGTCATTTAATATTACAGAAAAAAAAAAGTTTGGCATTTCTAGAATTAAATCACAAGATTTTATTTTATATTTTTGCCGCGCATCGGTAAACCCGAAAATAGAATTTTTAGGCAAACCATAAAATAAATAGTGCCTTAAAGTCGTACATAGATGTCCATGCTACATTTACGTTCGTTTTCACAAGCATTGTACTATGTCAGTTTTTAATTTCAGGGAATACGATCTATACTGCTATAGGCCGCATGTAAGCAAAGGGTAGAAAAGTTTATTATGCAAAAAAAAAAAAAAAAAAAAAAAAAAAAAACTTTTTACCGTGTATGTGTATGTGGTGTGCGTATGTATGTGTGCGTGCATGTGGGGTTTTGTATCGCATGGTTGGTCTTTTGTTTACTGTTAATAACTCCTACTCCTGTGTAATTGTTGTTATTCCCTTTTGTCGAGAATTGCAAATTCCATCAGAATCAACAAATACTGCAAATATGTTACAATAGCAGTTTTAAAAAAATAGAAGTGAAGAAAAAATACACAAGAAAAACCAAACGGAGATAGAGAGCGTACCGAACCAAGCGTGTGTGTGTAATTTATTCTACCAAAAACATACATGTTCTGGGTACTCAAAGCTTAAAAAATGCAGTCATTTCCCGGCCAGACTCCAAATAATGGAAATAGCCGTTTAACATTAGTGTAGTACATAATTCACATAAAGAGAGCATCTCCTTTCAAAAAAGAAACATAACAAGGACATAGGCCGTTCCATCATTTTCTCAAAAAGTGGCGCTATATATTTGCCCCCCCCCCCCTTCAAAAATAGAGAAAATAAAGAGCTATGTACGTTTAACATTCGCCGAAGGCGTATATTTCTTTGTTCGTTGATCTGACGTAAAAGGATTTTTTATTTTTTCGCAACTATGTATCAAAATAGTCCAAGTTTCAAGTGTTACAACAGAAAAAAAGAAGCACGAACGAGTGTATAGTGGCAAACAAGATCTTTGTACCACAGTTTGTTACTCGGCATAGTAAAAAAAAAAATCCTCACGGACAATAATAGTAACAGTTTACTTTTTACTAAATCATTCGAAATAAACAAAAAGTTCCTCTTCTTCTTCTTCATCTTTTCTTTTTTTTTACTTAGAAAAAAAAAGCCTCCCTATTAGGTTTCTTTTTTTTTAAACACACAAAGCTCATTTATACAAAAAAAAAAAATCTTTTTTACCTAAAAACCCACAAAAAAAAAAGTCTTTATTTCTATACCCACCTATACTCATTTTTTTTTGTAACTAAATGTTTGAAAAAAGTGAAAAATTCCCTGAAGGATGGTTCTTCATCAAGAACAACAGCAACGGTTATGTTTTAATGGTTGATAACGAATCCCAGGAAGCCGGTAGCCCTGTTGTACTCGCTACTTTGCGTACAAAGGACTATAATTCTCAACTTTGGCGACATGATCCCAAAGGTTATCTTGTCAATAAAAAATCAGGTCAAGTGATGGATATCGCAAAGGGTAAGTTTTTTTTTATTTAATATAGAAAGTGCTACAAAATGACGGGAGCATACCGAAATTCGGAACTCTAAATTTGAAAACACTTCTAACTCCGTTTTGCATTGCACAGGCACACCAAAGGCAGGCGTCGATATTGTGCAACGCGTTCAATCCACCGATGTCAAGGAAGACGTAAACTATCAAACTTTTGGTCTCTCCCCTTACGGTCATGTATACTTAGTCAATAAGCCCACACTCATTCTCGGCATCAAGGAGTCTTTCTTTGCTCGTCGTGAAGGACTTCATGTTCACCTCCAACTTGTCGATAAACGTCACCTTGACCGTAAGGAGCAACGTTGGGATTTCGTACTCCCTATTGTCAAGGAAAGAGCTGTCGAAAGAAGCCCTAGTTCTAGTACTATCAAAAGCGTTACCCCTAGTGTCAAGGTTCCTGCTGTTACTCAAATCAAGGAAGATGGTAATTATATTTTATATATATTACATAAATTACGTGTCATCCACATCCCAGATCGCCTAATTTTAGTTTTATTATTTTAATTAGATGCCCGTTCTATTCGCTCTACCGCTGACTCTTGCACTAGTCTGGACCATGACGACGCCAACGCTGTTCCTTGTGGTTCCTTCCCCGAGACCCCCTTCTTTTTAAAGTCGGATGCCTCTGGGCTCTACATCAGTGTCGAAGTCGCCACTTCCATGACTTCTGGTACCCAACTTACAATCGATGCTCTTCGTAAAAGAGCCTATGACAGTCAACTCTGGACTTACGAACATGCCACTCATCATATCGTCAATAAGAATTCTGGGTTGATTCTCGGTATCGAATCAAACTCCATTAAGGATGGTGCAGATATTATCCAATCCACTCCATCAAATGAAAAATCCCAAACCTGGATCTTGTCTCCTGAGGGAGAGCTTACTTTGAAAAGTGATACGAGCTACGTGATTGGTTTCAAAGAAAGTTGGTTCGGTAGCCGTGAAGGTGCTCATCTCCATCTTCAAAAGAGAAAGCAAGGTCACGGACATCAAAAGTTCACTGTCGTCTTGCCCATCTTCAAGAAGTCTGAAACCGTAAAGACTGAATCAAGAGGCGTATTCCCTAATGGTTGGTTCTTTGTAAAGTCTCAAGCTAGAGGTCTCGTGCTTACCGTCACAGAGTCTGGTGTTATTGCTGCCGAAGTAGCTGCTCAAAAATTGGATACTTCAAACTACTCCCGTCAACTCTGGAAGTACAGTGAAGGTTATATCATTAACAAGGCTTCTGATATGGTTCTTGATATCCGTGGTGGTAAGTTCTTTTTTTTTTTTTTTTTTTTTTTTTTTAATAGTCTGTAGTCATTTAACAAATTGGTCTAACGCGAGAACTTTAAAATAGGTTCCATCACTAGCGGTGCAGGTATCTGTCAATATAAGCAAAAGAGCCACGAAAACCAAAATCAACAATGGGCTTTATCCCCCGAGGGTATCATTTTCCCTCAAGCCAACAAGAACCTTGTCTTGACTGTCAAGGAAAACGAAACTGTTCGTTCTTCCTTGTATTTGAGCGAAAGACGTTCTGCTGGTCACAAGGAGCAATGCTGGAATTTCGTGTTACCTGTTTTCAAGAAAAAGACAAGTAAGACCTGCCTCGAAAATACAAAACGTGCATTTTAATTATTTAAAAATACTAACTATCCTACCCTGTCCTTTGTAGCTACTGTCACTAAAATCAACACATTCCGATATGCCACCTATCCTTCTGGTTGGTTCTTTGTACGTTCTTATGTCTATGGTTCAACCACCGAATCTCCTTTGGTCTTAACTGCTCGCGATAAATCTGTTGAATTGAAATCCCTTGATCGTCAAAACTGGCAATATCAACTTTGGTCATACTCTTCTGGAAAATTGGTCAATTATGCCACTGATTTATCTATCGATGTTAGCTGTAAGTGTAATTATTTATTTTAACGCGATTTGTCATCTCACATCCCATTTATAGCCTTTGCCGCTGGCGCTGACTTGATCCAATCCAACTCAACCAATCAAAAGTGGTACATGACTGTGGACGGTTATCTTATCTATGGATCCTCTGATTCTAAACTTTCTCTTGCCGTTGAAATCCAAGAAAAGAACAAATACAGACTCACACTTTCTAGCCACAAGTATTCTGAAGAATTACGTTGGGGTTTCTTGATTCCCAAGTTCGGTTACCGTTACGGTTCCCAGGTTCTTTCCCAATGGTCTATTTCAATCCTTAGAGAATGGCGTAGCACCACCACAACCACTAAAAAAATCAATCGTCACCCTGTTGCTCAATGGCCTCAAGGTGAATTCTACATTGGTGGTCCTGATGGCCTTGCCTTAGCTCCTGAAAAATCAGAGGCAGGTTCTGAACTCGTCATGAAGAAGCTTCAAGTTGATCTTAGCAGTTTGTTCAAGTGGACTTATAAAAATGGATATCTCGTGCATTGTGCTACTGGTCTGGTTATGCGTGCTCAAGGTAATGAGAAAAAAAAAGCTTAATTAAGTCGTGTAACATACTTAACGCGTATCACTTTTTTTTTATAGATAAATTTACAGAGGGCGCTAAACTTCAATTGAGCTCGGAAGCTGCTGGTGATATTTATCAATCCTGGACTATGAGAACTGATGGTTCCATCATGTCTAAGAGAGATGAGCAATACGGTCTTAACCTTGTTCAAGTGAATGGTGTTTGGACTATCAGAATTACAACCACCACTTACTATTCTTGGAGAGTTCTCTATGGAAGATACGAGACACGTTACTCTGAACAAGAAAAGAAGGATGTTTCTTACCTTACAAGTTTCCAAAGAATTGTTTTATCTATCTGGACTTATCAAAAAAGTATGCAAAAAAAAAAAAAAAAAAAAAAAAAAAGCTTTACTAAATAATTTTGTTACATAGGTGCTGAAGTTGAACGTAAATTGGTCACTCATTCATACGGTGTTTTCCCCAAGGGATGGATCTTTATTCGTTCCAAGTGCGACGATAGCCTTATTGTTACTGTTTCTGACAAAAAGAAGGGAGCTAAATTGATTTTGGCTAAATTAGACTTCAAGAGTTACAGACGTCAATTATGGAGATACCGTAGCGATGGTTGTTTAGTCAATTTCGAAACTGATTATGTGATCGATGTTGCTGGTGGTAAGCTTTTATCCAACTCAAACATCATTCAATGGAGTCCCAAATTCTTGCGTGCAAGTCGTAAAAACCAAATGTGGGGTCTTTCCATCGATGGCCATCTTCATCCTCAATCCAATTCTAACTTGGTCCTTGGGTCCTTAACTGATGCTAAGGAAGGTGCCGAATTAAAATTGGTAAAGCGTGGTGATTTGTCACTTGATTATCAACAATGGACTTTTGCCTCTCCTATTTTCAAGAATTGCACCCATACTACCCACGCTGCTCAACAAGCTAATAAGGATAGTCTCGTTTTAGAAAAGGTCGGAAGTGCATACTCGTTAGAACAATCCAGCTCAGAGCGTTACGAACGTGTCACAAAAACGATCATCACTCGTCGTTGGGGTGTTTTCCCTGAAGGCGGATTTTTCATTCGCTCTACCCACAACGGTAAAAATTTGGCATTGACTGTCGAAAAGACCGAATCTTCAGGCTATAGAATCGTTATCCGTACATTGAACTTTAGTGCTTACAGATGGCAACTTTGGACCTACAAGGATGGTTACTTGTATAACGAAGAGACCGGTTTGGTTCTTGATGCTCAATCATCTCAAGATATTCCTGTTGAAGGAGAGCAATCCGAAGTTTACCTTAAAGAAAAGGCATTCAATGAAGGTCAATTCTGGGACCTTGGTGTGGATGGTGAAATCCACTTGAGATCCAATGCTAGATTGGCTATTGGTGTTGCAAATTCTGATGAAGCATCTGTCGAAGGTGCCAAGGTAGGTATCAATAAAATTCGTATCATTCGTACTAACGTAGATGGAAAGCAAGTCTCCACACTCAAATCCGAACAATGGTTACGTTGGTCTTTCTCTAAGCCCGTATTTGGAAAGCGCGTTGGTGGTTCCACCGAGGGTGAATTGGAAATTGAAAAGTGTGAAGATGAGAAGGTTACTGTTAAGGAAGCCGAGGAAGAGTTAGACGAAGAGGAGGAGCAAGAGGAGGAGGCTGAAGCAGAGGCCGAAGCTGCCGCAGAGGCTGCAGAGGAGGATGAGTTCGAGATCCAAACTCCTATTCAAACACCTTCATCATCTACCTCCACATCTTCTAATGCTGCTGGTGTCGCCATCGTTACTGCTGGCGCCGTTGTTTCTGTGGCCTCAGGTGCTGCTGCTGCTATCAATGTAGTTACAGAAAATCCCAAGACCGAGGAAAAGACCCACGTTGCTACTATTACTACCGTCGATTCTTCTGTTAAGACTGACCTTGCTGCCACTGTTGAAGCTCCTGTCAAGGCTGAAGCTCCTGTCAAGGTTGAATCTCCTATTAAGATCGAAGCTCCTGTCAAGATCGAAGCTCCTGTTAAGACTGAAACTCCTGCTACAGTTGAACCTGCTGTTTTGAAGAAGTCTGATTCATCGAGATCTAACCGCCTGCACCGTAAAGACTCTTTCCAATTGGACGAAAATTATATTCCTACTGGTTTTGAAAAGATTGTACGTTACAAAACACACCATAACGGCCTTCCCTCAGGATATTTCTTCATCAAAAGTTCTTTGCATGGTTATGTTTTAGATGTTGTTGGTGATATTAAGGAACACAGTTTTGCTGTATTGACACGTATGAAGTCAACCGATTATGCTAGTCAACTTTGGACATATCAGAATGGCTTCTTAGTTAATCTTAAGGGCCGTACTTTAGTTTTGGATGCTGCTACTGATGCTCTTACTGCCGGTGAGCGTCTTCATCTTTCTACTCGTCATGCCAAGAATGAAAATGCCGAAGACCAAATTTGGGAATATGCACCTGAAAAGTGTATCCATCTCAAGGCTAAGCGTTCTCTTGTGTTGTCTCTCAAGGAAACTAAGCGTTCCGATAAGTATGTTCAAATCGATGTTTACGTTCAAGAATCCAAGTCTCTTGTTAAGAAGGAAGCTCGACCTGAGCAACATTGGGAAATTTTGGTACCTGCTTTGATTCCTATCAGCCAAGGTGAATCAGGTGTCAAAATCATTGAATCCGGAAAGGTCGAAAAGGTTACTAGCTCTGCTTCAGCTGTTATTTCTTACAAGTGGCTCAAGGAAACCTATTGCCATAAGGTCACATCCCAAAACCAATGGCCCGGTACTGAAGGTTGGTTCTTCATTCGCTTCGGTGTGGAGAAATACTTCTTAGGCTCCGGCGAAACTGCTCAAAGTCAAGTCGGTCTTTACAAACTCTCTGACGAGATTGATTACAGAAGATTCTTATGGACTTATGTTGATGGCTACTTAATTAACTATAGATACATGCTTCGTCTTATTTTAAGTACTTGTAAGTTTTTATCTTTTTTTTTTTTTCGCCCTCTAGCACTTCTCTTACTCACACCCCCATTTTTTTTCCATAGCTCATCAATGGGTTTTGTCCAACTCTCATAGCACTCTCAACCAAAAGTTTTATATCTCTGCTAATGGATCTGTCTCTGTTCGCATTTCCAAGACTATTTACTATATTCGTTTTATTCGCACAACTTCTGGTTCTTACAAACTTGGTATCACTTCCGATAGTACATCTAGTGAAGCTCAAGGATTGGAGCTCCATATTCCCGTCATCTCTGACGCTGAATATCAGAAGAATTCAGTTTTAGCTATTGCTTCTGCTAACGCATGGATCTATAAGCAAAAATCAGACTGGAGCATTTTAACAAGTAACACAACTCAAAGAGGTATCTTCCCTGTCTCTACTTGGTTCTTTGTTAAGGTCAGCGGATCCTCTGACGAATTGGTTCTCGCTGTACAAGAAAACAGCTCTCAACTTGTTTTGAAGAAGTTGAACTTTAAGGCTTTCAAGAGTCAGTTGTGGACATACAATGATGGTCTTTTGATCAATTATGGCAACAAATCTGTGATCGATATTCAAGGTAAGATAGATAAATAATAATATAAACTATATCGATATTAATTTTTTTTTCTAAGGCAACATCGAATTATCTTCCAAGGTCATTCACTCAACTGAAGCTGGTGTTAGTAGCCAAAAGTGGATTTTAACAGCCGACCAATACATCGAACTCGATAGCCACGATTATTATGTTCTTGGTTCTTCTGATATTAAAGATAATGCTGCTGTTTTACTTGGTACATCTAATGCTACAAACTCTGTTAAGACAATCCAATGGAAGTTCTCTGTTCCTGTATTTGGTAAGGGCACAACTAAATTATCAACCGCATACAACATCACCAAAGCCATTGAGAATGGTGTTGCTATCGAAAGTACCCAAGAAGTTCCTTCTGTAAAGAAATCAGCTTTGACTCTCACACGTACAAACAATAAGAGTTCTTACATCATTTATCGCGAGATCCGCTTAATTATCAGCTGGTGGAGAATTATCTTTATTCGACGTATCTCTATGTGCCGTACCCAAGAAGAATATCTTGATGTTCTCGAGGAATACCGCCAAGTTTTATATGGCCGTTTTATCCAATATATCAGTGTATATGGCGCCACTATTAGTAGAGAAGAACGCCGTGCCCTTGAACAATCTATTGAGGAAGCCAAGTCTACTCTCGAAAAAGAAATTTTCAACAAATCAACTACTTACCTTAAGACCTTAAAGTCCGACCAAGTCGTTGATGCAGATAAATTCGATATCGTTGCTGTTGTCACCAAGTCTTGCACTGATTTGGATAAGAAGTACGAATCTGTCGTCGCTAAATATGAGAAGGATAATGCCGCTAAGAAGGAGAGTGCATCTAACAATGTTGTAACGGAAAAGAAATCTCAATTGCAAGTGGACAGTGTTCTTACTACAGTCAGCACAATCCAGGTTACAATCCGTTATTGGTATAGAATCCTTTACATTCGTATCACTGAGGCATCTAAGAATGGTGCTAAGCCCGAAGAAATTCAAAAGTTAATCAAGGATTCTCATCAAGAAGTACAAAATGAATTAAAGAAGTTGAGCCAATCCACAACTACTACCGTCAACAATTGTACTACCCTCAACGAAGCCGATAAGAAGTCATTGGAACAAACCGTCACTGCTGTTATCGAAAAGTCTAACACCGAATTAAACCACTTCGTATCCAAGGTAGAGAAATCTTCAGATGTTGCTTCCGTCGAAAACTGGAAGAAGTTGACAAACGAGGTTGATCACAACTTGAATGTTAAATTCAATGAGTGTAAAAAGATTATTCATAAGTGCGATACTGTTACCAAGCCTGAGCTTGAGAATGAACAAGTTACTCAAGAAGATGTTGAAGATTCTACTATTGAAATTGTTACTACTTTGGCTGAATCTAAAGCATACGTTGTATCTTGGTTTACAAATGTTTACAAGGACCTCTCTTGGTCTATTGATCATCAATCTGTTTCAAATAACTCCCAAAAAGATACCCTTACTATTATTGACGCCGCTGAACTTGATATTATCTCCAAGATTGATGAGTCTACAGCTTTAATCAGTGTACTGTCTGCCAACCTTACTTATCTTACCTGGGCTGAGCGTCGTAGCTTGATCACTTACTACATTACCATGAAGGGCTATATCGTAGCCAACATCAAGCAATTCAGACAATCCCTTACTGAGTCCACTGATAAGGATACTATTCTCAAGATCTGTCATTCCACCTTCGGTACCGACGGTCAAGAAGATATTGTCAAACACATTGATGAAATTTTAGAAAATGTCACAACAAAGGGCACAACTTCTACCTCAACAATTGTTGTTGAAAACGAAAAGGGCACAACTACTGTTGTTGACGTTGAAGAATCAGTTGGTGTTATTGAAGAAAAGAAGAATGTTTCGGTTATTGATGAGACCAACCAATCCAGAGTTACTGTCACTAAGGATTTAGTCCCTTCAAAGGATATCAAAATCATTGAAAAGGATTCCCAATCAGTAACCATTGGTGTAATCGATAATTCTGAGACCACATCTCCTCACATTGATGTTGTTACCAATGTCTCTGATACAATTACCGTTGGTGCTATCGATGTCCATGAAGCAACCACTGTTGAAACTGTCATCAAGAACCAAGATTCTGTTACGGTCGGTTCCGCTGTTGTTGATAAAATTACACCTGTTGACACTGAGAAGACAACCTCTACAAACACCGATGTCATTACCAAGGAGTCAGAATCCGAAAACACCGATATTGTTGAAGATAACAAAAACAAGCTTGTCACCAAGGACACTACCGTCATTGTGACTAAACCAGTCACCAAGGAGACTACTGTGATTGCTTCTAAGCCTGTTGAAGGTGTAACCGTTGTCGAAGAAGTTAAGAAGCACGCTGATGTTATTGTTGTTGAGGACATCAAGAAGCAAACTGATGTTGTTGTCGAAGAGAAGCTCTCTAGTAAGTTGTATTTTTTTTCTCTTTTTTAATAATATACTAACATATTTTTACAGCTGAAGTTATCGAGACTGTTGAACACATCGAAGTTGTCACTGACAAGACCAACACTTGGTTTGGCGACTTAGTTGAGAAGGTTAATGGCATGATTGAAGTTGGTGAAACTCCCGAAGCCGTTGATGCTGTCATTGTTGAGGAAAAGGCCAAGCTCCAAGTTGTTCTTGATAAGTCCAAGAAGGAATTGCCTGTCTCTGAAACCAAGGATACTAACACTGAAACCACTGATTCCATTGCTTTCTATGACAAACTCCAAGTCTCTATCGAAACTCAAGTCGAAGAGGTCAAGAAGACTGTCAAGGATAGCTATGCTCCTGAATCCGAAGTAACCAAGATTGATGTCCACACTGTCAAGGAAGACTTCAAGAAGGCCGTCGAGGTTGAACTTGTTGAAGCCAAGACTGTTGTCTACAAGGATGCTGGTGTTACTGAGTCTGAGGTTACTGTCATTGCTACCAAGCCTATTGAGCACGTCAAGCACGAGACTGTCAATGTCTGCAAGCCTACTAAGCCTGTCACCAAGGACACTACTGTCATTGTTGCTAAGCCTGTTGAAGGTGTTACCGTTGTTGAAGAGGTTAAGAAGCACGCTGATGTCATTGTTGTTGAGGACGTCAAGAAGCAAACCGATGTTGTCGTCGAAGAGAAGCTTTCTAGTAAGTTGAATTGTTTGTATCTCTTTTGATAATATACTAATATATCTTTACAGCTGAAGTTATCGAGACTGTCGAACACATTGAAGTTGTTACTGACAAGACCAACACTTGGTTTGGCGATTTAGTTGAGAAGGTCAATGGCATGATTGAAGTTGGTGAAACTCCCGAAGCCGTTGATGCTGTCATTGTCGAAGAAAAGGCCAAGCTCCAAGTTGTTCTTGATAAGTCCAAGAAGGAATTGCCTGTCTCTGAAACCAAGGATACTACCACTGAAACCACTGATTCCATTGCTTTCTATGATAAGCTCCAAGTCTCTATCGAAACTCAAGTTGAAGAGGTTAAGAAGACTGTCAAGGATAGCTATGCTCCTGAATCCGAGGTCACCAAGATTGATGTCCACACTGTCAAGGAAGACTTCAAGAAGGCCGTCGAGGTTGAACTTGTTGAAGCCAAGACTGTTGTCTACAAGGATGCTGGTGTCAGCGAGTCTGAGGTTACTGTCATTGCTACCAAGCCTATTGAGCATGTCAAGCATGAGACTGTCAATGTCTGTAAGCCTACTAAGCCTACAACCAAGGACATTACTGTCGTTGTTACCAAGCCTGTCACCAAGGACACTACTGTCATTGTTACCAAGCCTGTTGAAAGTGTTACCGTTGTTGAAGAAGTTAAGAAGCACGCCGATGTCATCATTGTTGAAGATGTCAAGAAGCAAACCGATGTTGTCGTTGAAGAGAAGCTTTCTAGTAAGTTGCATTTTTTTTCCCCTTTTTTAATAATATACTAACATTTTTTTTCAGCTGAAGTTATCGAGACTGTTGAACACATCGAGGTTGTCACTGACAAGACCAAGACCTGGTTCGGTAAGTTAGTTGAGAAGGTGAATGGCATGATTGAAGTTGGTGAAACTCCCGAAGCCGTTGATGCTGTCATTGTTGAAGAAAAGGCCAAGCTCCAAATTGTTCTTGATAAGTCCAAGAAGGAATTGCCTGTCTCTGAAACCAAGGATACTACCACTGAAACCACTGATTCTATTGCTTTCTATGACAAGCTCCAAGTCTCTATCGAAACTCAAGTCGAAGAGGTTAAGAAGACTGTCAAGGATAGCTATGCTCCTGAATCCGAGGTCACCAAGATTGATGTCCACACTGTCAAGGAAGACTTCAAGAAGGCCGTCGAGGTTGAACTTGTTGAAGCCAAGACTGTTGTCTACAAGGATGCTGGTGTCAGCGAGTCTGAGGTTACTGTCATTGCTACCAAGCCTATTGAGCACGTCAAGCACGAGACAGTTAATGTCTGTAAGCCTACCAAGCCTGTCACCAAGGACACTACTGTCATTGTTACCAAGCCCGTTGAAGGTGTTACCGTTGTTGAAGAAGTTAAGAAGCACGCCGATGTCATCATTGTTGAAGATGTCAAGAAGCAAACTGATGTTGTCGTCGAAGAGAAGCTTTCTAGTAAGTTGCATCTGTCTTCTTTTTTTTTAATAATATACTAACATGTTTTTACAGCTGAAGTTATCGAGACTGTTGAACACATCGAGGTTGTCACTGACAAGACCAACACTTGGTTTGGTGATTTAGTTGAGAAGGTTAATGGCATGATTGAAGTTGGTGAAACTCCCGAAGCCGTTGATGCTGTCATTGTTGAAGAAAAGGCCAAGCTCCAAGTTGTTCTTGATAAGTCCAAGAAGGAATTGCCTGTCTCTGAAACCAAGGATACTACCACTGAAACCACTGATTCTATTGCTTTCTATGACAAGCTCCAAGTCTCTATCGAAACTCAAGTCGAAGAGGTTAAGAAGACTGTCAAGGATAGCTATGCTCCTGAATCCGAAGTCACCAAGATTGATGTTCATACTGTCAAGGAAGACTTCAAGAAGGCTGTCGAGGTTGAACTTGTTGAAGCCAAGACTGTTGTCTACAAGGATGCTGGTGTTACTGAGTCTGAGGTTACTGTCATTGCTACCAAGCCTATTGAACATGTCAAGCACGAGACAGTCAATGTCTGTAAGCCTACTAAGCCTACAACCAAGGACACTACTGTCATTGTTACCAAGCCTGTCACCAAGGACACTACTGTCATTGTTGCTAAGCCTGTTGAAGGTGTTACGGTTGTTGAAGAGGTTGAGAAACACGCCGATGTCATCATTGTTGAAGATGTCAAGAAGCAAACTGATGTTGTCGTCGAAGAGAAGCTTTCTAGTAAGTTGCATCTGTCTTCTTTTTTTTAATAATATACTAACATGTTTTTACAGCTGAAGTTATCGAGACTGTTGAACACATCGAGGTTGTCACTGACAAGACCAACACCTGGTTCGGTAAGTTAGTTGAGAAGGTCAATGGCATGATTGAAGTTGGTGAAACTCCCGAAGCCGTTGATGCTGTCATTGTTGAAGAAAAGGCCAAGCTCCAAGTTGTTCTTGATAAATCCAAGAAGGAATTGCCTGTCTCTGAAACCAAGGATACTACCACTGAAACCACTGATTCTATTGCTTTCTATGATAAGCTCCAAGTCTCTATCGAAACTCAAGTCGAAGAGGTTAAGAAGACTGTCAAGGATAGCTATGCTCCTGAATCCGAAGTCACCAAGATTGATGTTCACACTGTCAAGGAAGACTTCAAGAAGGCTGTCGAGGTTGAACTTGTTGAAGCCAAGACTGTTGTCTACAAGGATGCTGGTGTTACTGAGTCTGAGGTTACTGTCATTGCTACCAAGCCTATTGAGCATGTCAAGCACGAGACAGTCAATGTCTGTAAGCCTACCAAGCCTACCACCAAGGACACTACTGTCATTGTTACCAAGCCCGTTGAAGGTGTTACCGTTGTTGAAGAAGTTAAGAAGCACGCCGATGTCATCATTGTTGAAGATGTCAAGAAGCAAACCGATGTTGTCGTTGAAGAGAAGCTTTCTAGTAAGTTGCATTTTTTTTCCCCTTTTTTAATAATATACTAACATTTTTTTTCAGCTGAAGTTATCGAGACTGTTGAACACATCGAGGTTGTCACTGACAAGACCAACACCTGGTTCGGTAAGTTAGTTGAGAAGGTGAATGGCATGATTGAAGTTGGTGAGACTCCCGAAGCCGTTGATGCTGTCATTGTTGAAGAAAAGGCCAAGCTCCAAGTTGTTCTTGATAAATCCAAGAAGGAATTGCCTGTCTCTGAAACCAAGGATACTACCACTGAAACCACTGATTCTATTGCTTTCTATGACAAGCTCCAAGTCTCTATCGAAACTCAAGTCGAAGAGGTTAAAAAGACTGTCAAGGATAGCTATGCTCCTGAATCCGAAGTAACCAAGATTGATGTCCACACTGTCAAGGAAGACTTCAAGAAGGCTGTCGAGGTTGAACTTGTTGAAGCCAAGACTGTTGTCTTCAAGGATGCTGGTGTCAGCGAGTCTGAGGTTACTGTCATTGCTACCAAGCCTATTGAGCATGTCAAGCACGAGACAGTCAATGTCTGCAAGCCTACCAAGCCTACCACCAAGGACACTACTGTCATTGTTACCAAGCCCGTTGAAGGTGTTACCGTTGTTGAAGAAGTTAAGAAGCACGCCGATGTCATCATTGTTGAAGATGTCAAGAAGCAAACTGATGTTGTCGTCGAAGAGAAGCTTTCTAGTAAGTTGCATCTGTCTTCTTTTTTTTTAATAATATACTAACATGTTTTTACAGCTGAAGTTATCGAGACTGTTGAACACATCGAGGTTGTCACTGACAAGACCAACACCTGGTTCGGTAAGTTAGTTGAGAAGGTCAATGGCATGATTGAAGTTGGTGAAACTCCCGAAGCCGTTGATGCTGTCATTGTTGAAGAAAAGGCCAAGCTCCAAGTTGTTCTTGATAAGTCCAAGAAGGAATTGCCTGTCTCTGAAACCAAGGATACTACCACTGAAACCACTGATTCCATTGCTTTCTATGACAAGCTTCAAGTTTCTATCGAAACTCAAGTCGAAGAGGTTAAGAAGACTGTCAAGGATAGCTATGCTCCTGAATCCGAAGTCACCAAGATTGATGTTCATACTGTCAAGGAAGACTTCAAGAAGGCTGTCGAGGTTGAACTTGTTGAAGCCAAGACTGTTGTCTTCAAGGATGCTGGTGTTACTGAGTCTGAGGTTACTGTTATTGCTACCAAGCCTATTGAGCACGTCAAGCACGAGACAGTTAATGTCTGTAAGCCTACCAAGCCTGTCACCAAGGACACTACTGTCATTGTTGCTAAGCCTGTTGAAGGTGTTACGGTTGTTGAAGAGGTTGAGAAACACGCCGATGTCATCATTGTTGAAGATGTCAAGAAGCAAACAGATGTTGTCGTCGAAGAGAAGCTTTCTAGTAAGTTGCATCTGTCTTCTTTTTTTTTAATAATATACTAACATGTTTTTACAGCTGAAGTTATCGAGACTGTTGAACACATTGAAGTTGTCACTGACAAGACCAACACCTGGTTCGGTGATTTAGTTGAGAAGGTTAATGGCATGATTGAAGTTGGTGAAACTCCCGAAGCCGTTGATGCTGTCATTGTCGAAGAAAAGGCCAAGCTCCAAGTTGTTCTTGATAAATCCAAGAAGGAATTGCCTGTCTCTGAAACCAAGGATACTACCACTGAAACCACTGATTCCATTGCTTTCTATGACAAGCTCCAAGTCTCTATCGAAACTCAAGTCGAAGAGGTTAAAAAGACTGTCAAGGATAGCTATGCTCCTGAATCCGAAGTAACCAAGATTGATGTCCACACTGTCAAGGAAGACTTCAAGAAGGCCGTCGAGGTTGAACTTGTTGAAGCCAAGACTGTTGTCTACAAGGATGCTGGTGTTACTGAGTCTGAGGTTACTGTCATTGCTACCAAGCCTATTGAACATGTCAAGCACGAGACTGTCAATGTCTGTAAGCCTACTAAGCCTACAACCAAGGACACTACTGTCGTAGTTACCAAGCCTATTACCAAGGACACTAGTGTCATTGTTGCTAAGCCTGTTGAAGGTGTTACCGTTGTTGAAGAAATTAAGAAGCACGCCGATGTTATCATTGTTGAAGATGTCAAGAAGCAAACCGATGTTGTTGTCGAAGAGAAGCTTTCAAGTGAGTGTTTTGTTTTATAAATATGTTTGAATTTTTGGTACTAACTTGTTTCTATAGCTGAAGTTATTGAAACTGTGGAACATATCGAAGTTGTTTCTGAAAAGACTAATGGATGGTTCGTTCATTTCATTGAAAAGATTAATAGTATGCTCGAAGTCGGTGATTGTGCCGAGGACGTAAATGCCGTTATTGTTGAAGAAGAGGCTAAGCTCCAAGTTGTCCTTGAGAAGTCCAAGACCGAGTTACCTGTCTCTGGTTCCAAGGACACTAAGCCTATTGATTCTATTGCTTTCTACGACAAGCTCCAAGTCTCTATTGGATCTCAAATTGACGAAATCAAGAAGACTGTCAAGGAAACCTATGTCCCTGGTTCTGAAGTTACCAAGATTGATGTTCACACTGTCAAGGAAGATTTCAAGAAGGCTGTCGAGGTTGAACTTGTTGAAGCCAAGACTGTTGTCTACAAGGATGCTGGTGTTACTGAGTCTGAGGTTACTGTCATTGCTACCAAGCCTATTGAGCATGTCAAGCACGAGACTGTCAATGTCTGCAAGCCTACCAAGCCTGTCACCAAGGACACTACTGTCATTGTTGCTAAGCCTGTTGAAGGTGTTACCGTTGTTGAAGAGGTTAAGAAGCAAGCCGATGTCATCATTGTTGAAGATGTCAAGAAGGAAACTGATGTTGTCGTCGAAGAGAAGCTTTCTAGTAAGTTGCATCTGTCTTCTTTTTTTTTAATAATATACTAACGTTTTTTTTCAGCTGAAGTTATCGAGACTGTTGAACACATCGAGGTTGTCACTGACAAGACCAACACCTGGTTCGGTAAGTTAGTTGAGAAGGTGAATGGCATGATTGAAGTTGGTGAGACTCCCGAAGCCGTTGATGCTGTCATTGTTGAAGAAAAGGCCAAGCTCCAAGTTGTTCTTGATAAGTCCAAGAAGGAATTGCCTGTCTCTGAAACCAAGGATACTACCACTGAAACCACTGATTCCATTGCATTCTATGATAAGCTCCAGGTCTCTATCGAAACTCAAGTCGAAGAGGTCAAGAAGACTGTCAAGGATAGCTATGCTCCTGAATCCGAGGTCACCAAGATTGATGTTCATACTGTCAAGGAAGACTTCAAGAAGGCCGTCGAGGTTGAACTTGTTGAAGCCAAGACTGTTGTCTACAAGGATGCTGGTGTCAGCGAGTCTGAGGTTACTGTCATTGCTACCAAGCCTATTGAGCACGTCAAGCACGAGACAGTCAATGTCTGTAAGCCTACTAAGCCTACAACCAAGGACACTACTGTCGTAGTTACCAAGCCTATTACCAAGGACACTAGTGTCATTGTTGCTAAGCCTGTTGAAGGTGTTACCGTTGTTGAAGAAATTAAGAAGCACGCCGATGTTATCATTGTTGAAGATGTCAAGAAGCAAACCGATGTTGTTGTCGAAGAGAAGCTTTCAAGTGAGTGTTTTGTTTTATAAATATGTTTGAATTTTTGGTACTAACTTGTTTCTATAGCTGAAGTTATTGAAACTGTCGAACATATCGAAGTTGTTTCTGAAAAGACTAATGGATGGTTCGTTCATTTCATTGAAAAGATTAATAGTATGCTCGAAGTCGGTGATTGTGCCGAGGACGTAAATGCCGTTATTGTTGAAGAAGAGGCTAAGCTCCAAGTTGTCCTTGAGAAGTCCAAGACCGAGTTACCTGTCTCTGGTTCCAAGGATACTAAGCCTATTGATTCTATTGCTTTCTACGACAAACTCCAAGTCTCTATTGGATCTCAAGTTGACGAAATCAAGAAGACTGTCAAGGAAACCTATGTCCCTGGTTCTGAAGTTACCAAGATTGATGTCCATACCGTCCAGGAAGACTTCAAGAAGGCTGTCGAGGTTGAACTTGTTGAAGCCAAGACTGTTGTCTACAAGGATGCTGGTGTTACTGAGTCTGAGGTTACTGTCATTGCTACCAAGCCTATTGAACATGTCAAGCACGAGACTGTCAATGTCTGCAAGCCTACCAAGCCTGTCACCAAGGACACTACTGTCATTGTTGCTAAGCCTGTTGAAGGTGTTACCGTTGTTGAAGAGGTTAAGAAGCAAGCCGATGTCATCATTGTTGAAGATGTCAAGAAGGAAACTGATGTTGTCGTCGAAGAGAAGCTTTCTAGTAAGTTGCATCTGTCTTCTTTTTTTTTAATAATATACTAACGTTTTTTTTCAGCTGAAGTTATCGAGACTGTTGAACACATCGAGGTTGTCACTGACAAGACCAACACTTGGTTTGGTGATTTAGTTGAGAAGGTTAATGGCATGATTGAAGTTGGTGAAACTCCCGAAGCCGTTGATGCTGTCATTGTCGAAGAAAAGGCCAAGCTCCAAGTTGTTCTTGATAAATCCAAGAAGGAATTGCCTGTCTCTGAAACCAAGGATACTACCACTGAAACCACTGATTCTATTGCTTTCTATGACAAGCTCCAAGTCTCTATCGAAACTCAAGTCGAAGAGGTTAAAAAGACTGTCAAGGATAGCTATGCTCCTGAATCCGAAGTAACCAAGATTGATGTCCACACTGTCAAGGAAGACTTCAAGAAGGCCGTCGAGGTTGAACTTGTTGAAGCCAAGACTGTTGTCTACAAGGATGCTGGTGTCAGCGAGTCTGAGGTTACTGTCATTGCTACCAAGCCTATTGAGCACGTCAAGCACGAGACTGTCAATGTCTGCAAGCCTACCAAGCCTGTCACCAAGGACACTACTGTCATTGTTGCTAAGCCTGTTGAAGGTGTTACCGTTGTTGAAGAGGTTAAGAAGCAAGCCGAACTCATCATTGTTGAAGATGTCAAGAAGGAAACTGATGTTGTCGTCGAAGAGAAGCTTTCTAGTAAGTTGCATCTGTCTTCTTTTTTTTTAATAATATACTAACATGTTTTTACAGCTGAAGTTATCGAGACTGTTGAACACATCGAGGTTGTCACTGACAAGACCAACACTTGGTTTGGTGATTTAGTTGAGAAGGTTAATGGCATGATTGAAGTTGGTGAAACTCCCGAAGCCGTTGATGCTGTCATTGTTGAAGAAAAGGCCAAGCTCCAAGTTGTTCTTGATAAATCCAAGAAGGAATTGCCTGTCTCTGAAACCAAGGATACTACCACTGAAACCACTGATTCCATTGCATTCTATGATAAGCTCCAGGTCTCTATCGAAACTCAAGTCGAAGAGGTCAAGAAGACTGTCAAGGATAGCTATGCTCCTGAATCCGAAGTAACCAAGATTGATGTCCACACTGTCAAGGAAGACTTCAAGAAGGCCGTCGAGGTTGAACTTGTTGAAGCCAAGACTGTTGTCTACAAGGATGCTGGTGTCAGCGAGTCTGAGGTTACTGTTATTGCTACCAAGCCTATTGAACATGTCAAGCACGAGACTGTCAATGTCTGCAAGCCTACCAAGCCTGTCACCAAGGACACTACTGTCATTGTTACCAAGCCTGTTGAAGGTGTTACCGTTGTTGAAGAAGTTAAGAAGCACGCCGATGTCATCATTGTTGAAGATGTCAAGAAGCAAACCGATGTTGTTGTTGAAGAGAAGCTTTCTAGTAAGTCGTATTTCTTTTCTTTTTTCTAATAATATGCTAACATTTTTTTTCAGCTGAAGTTATCGAGACTGTTGAACACATTGAAGTTGTCACTGACAAGACCAACACCTGGTTCGGTAAGTTAGTTGAGAAGGTTAATGGCATGATTGAAGTTGGTGAGACTCCCGAAGCCGTTGATGCTGTCATTGTTGAAGAAAAGGCCAAGCTCCAAGTTGTTCTTGATAAGTCCAAGAAGGAATTGCCTGTCTCTGAAACCAAGGATACTACCACTGAAACCACTGATTCCATTGCATTCTATGATAAGCTCCAGGTCTCTATCGAAACTCAAGTCGAAGAGGTCAAGAAGACTGTCAAGGATAGCTATGCTCCTGAATCCGAGGTCACCAAGATTGATGTCCACACTGTCAAGGAAGACTTCAAGAAGGCTGTCGAGGTTGAACTTGTTGAAGCCAAGACTGTTGTCTACAAGGATGCTGGTGTTACTGAGTCTGAGGTTACTGTCATTGCTGCCAAGCCTATTGAACATGTCAAGCACGAAACCGTCAATGTTTGGAAGCCTGCTACCAAGGACGCTAACGTCTTTGTAACCAAGCCTGTTGTGGGTGAGGTTATCGTTGTTGAAGATATCAAGAAGGTTACTGAAGTCATTCATGATGTTAAGAAGCCTTGTGGTGTCGTTGATGAGGTTGTTGAAGTTGTGAAGGATGAAGTTGTTGAAGGTGAAGTTAAGATTGTTGAAGGTGAAGTGAAGATTGTTGAAGGTGAAGTGAAGATTGTTGAAGGTGAAGTGAAGATTGTTGAAGGTGAAGTGAAGATCGTTGAAGGTGAAGTCAAGATTGTCGAAGGTGAAGTTAAGATTGTCGAAGGTGAAGTCAAGGTTGTTGAAGCCGAAGTAGTAAAGAAAGATTCTATAGTTGTCGTTGAAGAAAAGCTCCCTGGTAAGCTATTTTTATTTCTATTTTTATAAAAATTAATATGTTTATATTAAATCTTCTTTTGCTTTAGTTGAAGTTATCGAAACTGTCGAACATATCGAAGTTGTTTCTGAAAAGACTAACGGATGGTTCGTTCATTTCATTGAAAAGATTAATAGTATGCTCGAAGTCGGTGATTGTGCCGAGGACGTAAATGCCGTTATTGTTGAAGAAGAGGCTAAGCTCCAAGTTGTCCTTGAGAAGTCCAAGACCGAGTTACCTGTCTCTGGTTCCAAGGATACTAAGCCTATTGATTCTATTGCTTTCTACGACAAGCTCCAAGTCTCTATTGGATCTCAAGTTGACGAAATCAAGAAGACTGTCAAGGAAACCTATGTCCCTGGTTCTGAAGTTACCAAGATTGATGTTCATACTGTCAAGGAAGATTTCAAGAAGGCTGTCGAGGTTGAAATTGTTGAAGCCAAGACTGTTGTCTACAAGGATGCTGGTGTTACTGAGTCTGAGGTTACTGTCATTGCTACCAAGCCTATTGAGCATGTCAAGCACGAGACTGTTAATGTCTGCAAGCCTACCAAGGCTACCACTAAGGACACTACTGTTATTGTTACCAAGCCTGTTGAAGGTGTTACCGTTGTTGAAGAAGTTAAGAAGCACGCCGATGTTATCATTGTTGAAGACGTCAAGAAGCAAACCGATGTTGTTGTCGAAGAGAAGCTTTCAAGTGAGTGTTTTGTTTTATAAATATGTTTGAATTTTTGGTACTAACTTGTTTCTATAGCTGAAGTTATTGAAACTGTCGAACATATCGAAGTTGTTTCTGAAAAGACTAATGGATGGTTCGTTCATTTCATTGAAAAGATTAATAGTATGCTCGAAGTCGGTGATTGTGCCGAGGACGTAAATGCCGTTATTGTTGAAGAAGAGGCTAAGCTCCAAGTTGTCCTTGAGAAGTCCAAGACCGAGTTACCTGTCTCTGGTTCCAAGGACACTAAGCCTATTGATTCTATTGCTTTCTACGACAAGCTCCAAGTCTCTATTGGATCTCAAGTTGACGAAATCAAGAAGACTGTCAAGGAAACCTATGTCCCTGGTTCTGAAGTTACCAAGATTGATGTCCATACCGTCCAGGAAGACTTCAAGAAGGCTGTCGAGGTTGAACTTGTTGAAGCCAAGACTGTTGTCTACAAGGATGCTGGTGTTACTGAATCTGAAGTAACTGTTATTGCTACCAAGCCTATTGAACACGTTAAGCACGAAACTGTCAACGTTTGCAAGCCTATCAAGATCACCAAGCCTACCAAGGACACGACTATCATTGTCACTAAGCCCAGCACTGAAATTATTCATACAGGTTCTGTTATTGTTACTAAGCCCGTGACCAAGGATGAAATTATCTACGAAACTGTTGAACAAGCCGAAACTGAAACTCGTAAGGCTTTGACTATCACAGTCGAAGCTACCAAGTCCAGATTTAGTGCATGGTATGATGTCTTCTATGGAAGAATCAGAGCTATCCCTGTCGATGGTGAACATTACAAGACCGAAGTCCAAAAGGTTATTACTAGTTCTCTCGACGAAGCTCAAGTTATTATCAAGGAGTCCAAGGCTGCTTTAGATTACTCTGTTCCCAAGGAATGTGATGCTCAAATCATTAGTACTGTTAAGGCTACTCAAAAACAAGCTATTGAATCCTTGGATACCATCTATACTATTGTTTCTGAACAAGTCACTGTTATTGAACAAGTTGTTTCTACCACAGATGTTGAATTGATCCAAGAAAAGATCCAAGTCATCGAAGAGCAATCTAGACGCAAGACCTGTACTGCTATTGAATCTACTACCGAGACTGCTATCTCTGCTGGATTCGAAGGAAAGACAATCACTTGGGTTGAGACTACTCGTATCCCTGCATCTTTCAAGGGTGTCAAGGTATTTGCTTTCGACTTGATTGATTCTGTCGTCAACTATCGCGCTTCTATCTCCAAGGCTTGGTATCTACTCGTCAACAAGAAGAGCGCCTGTACTTTTGCTCATATCAATGTCCAACAATTCATTATCCGTTGGTACAGTCTTTACCTCCAACTTCGTATTGAAGCTAGATACTCTGTCTCTGACAGCACTATTCTTCTCAATGCCTTGAGATTAATCTTGGTCGAATTCTCTATTGAATCCGCCTTTACCGAATCTGAGTTGATTACACTCTGTTCTGCCTGGCTCAAGCTGGAACTCTTTGAAGATGCATCTGCCAGTATCCGCAAGATCAAACAACTCGATGGTGTCTATGCCGTTGCTATTTCTCATGCATTCAGTATTCGTACAATGATGGATCTTGCTCGTAGCGGTTGTCTTTGCTGGCACGCCCAGTTTACGGCTGACATGTTTGCTGCCTGTACTATCAACAATGGTACCAGTGAAGAAGTCACCGTCGTCAGCAACACTGCTATGCTCCTCGGTTTGAATGACGCCAGTGAACTTGCTGTTGTTTCTTCTAACCCCAAGATTCTCGCTGCTGCCAAGGAGAATGGATCCAAGACTGTCTTGATTAACCGTTACGGTTTGGAAGCTTCTGGTGCTGCTGAGGCTGATGTCTCTGCTGTCGCCGTTGCCGGTGCCGGTGCCTCTGCTGCATATGCTTCTGGTGTATACAGTTCTGGTGTTTACACTTCCGAAGTATTTGATTTGGAGTTCTCTGCTCTTGATATTTTCTCTGAAAGTTTCGAGTCTTTCTACTATGAATCCGAAGTTGTTTATACAAAGATCGAAGTACCTGTCACTCGCTCTTGGTTCCAAAGAGTCGTCTCTACCGTTACTGAAACTGCCGAAACCGTCTCTCACGCCATTATTGGTTAAACTTTAGCTAGTATTTTCTATTATTATCAAATTATTTAAATAAAATTTTAAATTAAAAAAAAAGTGTTATTGCATTGATGGTCACTTAAAGTGCGGTACTTTTTATTTTATGTCGCAACACCGGGGAAAATAAAGTTATCTCTCTTTTCCTTTTTATATATAAACTGATTCCCAAATGCCAGTAAGCTAATCATCTATCTTTTATTTTTATTTTTCACCAACGTTGACATGACTTTCTTTGTCCCTCGTAGATTAATTGGTTATTACTTGTTAGTAGACAAGGCAAAGTTCGTCTCACAAAATGGTTCGTTACCATTCCACCAAAAGAAAAAGCCAAAATTGTCAAAGATGCCACACAACTTGTCTTGGCTAGAAGAGTAAAGATGTGTAATTTCCTCGAATACAAAGGTAAACACTAGATCTTTTATTCCTTCATTTTGTAGTCTAACTCTTTCTTTTCCCTAAAAAAGACCAAAAAATTGTTTACAGAAGGTAAATAAACACGACAAAGATAAAGAAAGGACAAGAAGGCTAAAAGAAAAGTGTTATTTGGCGAATAGATACGCAAGTCTTTTTTTTGTAGCTGGCATCAATTCAGATGATAACGAACTCATTACGCTCGAGATTATCCATCGTTATGTCGAAATTCTTGATCGCTATTTTGGAAATGTAAGTACAACTTGGGGGTACAATACCGTCTTACTTTCCCTCTAAATTTTGTTTGTCGCTTTTATTTAGGTATGTGAGCTGGATTTGATTTTCAACTTTCAAAAGGTACAAAGATATAAAGTAGAATACATAAATCATAAAAAAAAATTTAATGCTGCTTCCCTTTCAGGCATATTTTATTTTGGACGAATTACTTATCGCAGGTGAATTACAAGAGACCAGCAAAAAGTCGGTCTTGAGAGTGATTACACAGGAGGATCAGTTTGAGGAGCAAGAAGGAAACGAGCCTAAGGCTGCATAGATATCACACATAATTAAATAAATTGGAGGAAATACTTTCTTTTTTTTTTGCAGCATAGCCTTTTAAACGCGTTATGCTTCAAGGAGCCACACATACACATACACACATATAAGCGGGCATTTAAAAAGTACAGCAGGATGTGAGGGGGATGGGCTTGTCAATTATCCTACTGTTTTTGTTTTTTATCAATTTTTTTAAAATGCTGTCAAGAACAGTTCGAATCTCAGCACGGCAATGGCAGCAAGTAAGACAAACGCAGTTTCGAAGACAATGTTCACCCTCACATTTGATTAAATCCATAACATTCTCTTAGTGTCGCTATTCTTCCACTGTCGCATTGAAAGAATGTCTCAGCGCCATCGATGCTTATAATTCTGAAATCAATGCATTCACCTCCATTAATGACAGAGCTCTTCTTCACAAAAAGGCGCTCGAATCAGACGCCCGAAAAACCAATGGTGACTTAGACGCTTTCCCTGAGTTTTTCTTAAATATTCTAACAAGTATAAAATACAGGAACTTTGAAAAGTGAATTAGACGGTACAACTATTGCCATCAAGGACAATTTTTGTACAACTTTTCTTCCAACTACATGTGCTTCTATCATGCTTAAAGGTAAAAACTATAACCAAAAGAATTTTTTTAAAAAAATATTTAATAGCTGAAGAATAATAATAATAATAATAAAAAAAAAAAGATTTCACTTCACCCTATGATGCCACGGTTGTAAAATTATTAGATGATGCCGGTGCTTTAATTATGGGCAAGACCAATATGGATGAATTTGGTATGGGGTAAGTATCCGTGATGTATAAAAAAGAGGTCTCTGAAGACTAAAACGAGATATTAGATCTGCCAATATCCATAGTGCGTTTGGGCCTGTGATCAATCCTTGTAGTCATGGTGACGAGATCAAACGTTCTGCAGGCGGCAGTTCTGGAGGCAGTGCAGCTAGTGTTGCTATGAACATGTGTACAGCGTAAGTGTATGTCGATACTACATGAAATCACCTGTGAAATCTCATGTATCTTTTAATAGTGCCTTAGGGTCGGATACAGGTGGATCGGTTAGAATGCCAGCGTCTTATTGTGGTTTAGTCGGATTTAAGCCATCTTATGGCCGATGTTCACGACACGGATTGGTTGCATATGCAAATTCTTTAGATACGGTGGGTATTTTAACTAGAAATGTTCAAGACTGTTCAAAAGTATACGGTAATAATAATATAAAAAAAAAATGGAAGGGTCTAGACGTTAAATATAGGGCAATTTAGATATTATTTCAAATTACGATATTCAAGATCCTACATCGATCCCAAATGAATTAAGAACTGAATTAGATGCAAATGATACACAACTTTCATTACAATTTCAAAATGATTTAAAGGGACTGGTGGTGGGTGTTCCACAAGAATTTTATGTGGATTCTCTCTCGGACGAGGTTCTGGACGTGTGGCGTAAAGGCATTCAACATCTCGAGAGTTTAGGTGCTAAAATTATCTCGGTCTCCATACCCCATGTATCATTAGCTTTACCTGCTTATTACATCATTGCTTTGGCCGAAGCAAGCTCGAATTTAGCAAGATATGATGGAATACGATATGGTAATTAATGCCCTCCCCTTCCCCATATAACAATCAGCCTAATTAATTAATTTCATCCCAAAATAAGGTCATCGGAGCCCTGACAATGAAGATCATTTATTATATGAGGAAACGCGATCAAGTGGATTTGGTGATGAGGTTAAAAAGCGTATATTACTCGGTACACACGTATTAACAGCAGGGTAATACATACACAATGAAATAATACGATATGAATTAATTTTTTATTGATTAGCACGTACGAGACCTTGTTCTTGCCAGCTCAAAGTGCACGAAGATTGATTCAAAAGGAATTCAACGGGGTGTTTAAACAACCCAATTTATTATACAATGAAAATACACAAGAAGGAGAAAGAGCACACATTTTATTAGTGCCCAGTGCCACATCCGAAGCACCGACATTAAATAATAAGAAGAGTGGAATTGATGAATATATCAATGATGTAATGACTTTACCGGCCAATTTAGCCGGTATACCAGCCATCACGGTTCCTTTCAGAAACACTCCAAACCCCATTGGACTCCAACTAATGGGTCAATACGGTTATGATCAATTCCTTTTACGTGTTGCTGATATCATGACCTCCAAAAAATCGCCCATTTAAATAAAAACACGCTATTTATTTCCTCAATTAAACAGGAGGAGAGCTATATTTAAACTTTTTGAGCCACTTTTAGGTTATTTTCAAGCCTCTTTTTTTATTATTTTAATATGCTGAACATTCTTTTTCGGTAGCATCTCTTTTCTCTCCTTATTCCATATAGAACAAAAAAAAAAAAAAAAAAAAAAAATACCACCTTATTTTTTTTTTTTTTTTTTTTGGTTACAACTTCAATGGACTCTTATTATGAAAATGCTGATAACCTAATTGGAGAAGAATGCGAAGACCCTCATTGTCACGGGTGTCAGAAACCTATTGAAGATGGCTCAGTTGTCCAGTTTGGTGATGGTATCTGGCACTTTGAGTGGTAAAACCAATAATACATTTTAATCTTGCAACTGAAAAAAAAAAAAACTAAAAGACACACACAAAGCTTCCGTTGTGCTAAATGCCAAAAATTAGTAGAATGCTATAGCAACTTGTTATTGTTAAGAGATGGAAGTCCCATTTGTGAAGATTGTTCTTACAGTTGCCACGCTTGTTTTAAAACCATCAAGGATGAGGCTATCATGACAGGTAACAATATATTATTTATTCGGGTAACCATAAAATTAAAATGTTTTTTTTTATAGGTGATGAAGCTTATCATGCGGATTGTTTTCGTTGTGTCCAATGTAGTAAAAAAATTGACGATCTTGTGTTCACACAAACAAGCAAGGTACACCCACAAGATCTGCATTGACAACATCCATATACTAACTATTGCTTAAATATAGGGTATATATTGTACAAAGTGTCACGAAACAAGGAAATTACTGCGGCTGAAGCGACGAGACGAACGGAACAACGTAATATATTAGCAAAACAAACTTGATACTTGTAACTAAAAATCCTCCCCTTTTTTTAGAACAAATCTGCAGCAGAAAATAAGCTAGTACGTCCTAATCCTGCATTCCGAATCTCATCCACTACTTCTATCGTCAATGCCTATATCGATGAACACACAAAGACACCCATACTAGGTAAATTAGACATGCAATGTTAGTCGTACACTGTGTTAAGATCATTTTAATTATCTTGTAGAATCTAACGACATCACGGAATTGAATGAAATGTTAATGACTAGAAATAGCGAAGAAACCATCCGAAACTCTGTCGAAGTCTCTCCTAGATCCGATTATGATTCATCCTCTGACGACACCACACGAGCACTCCGTCAAGAGTTGGCTGATACGAAAGCACGTCTCTCTGAAGTAGAAAATAAATTCGTCAAGATCAAGACTATCAGTAGAAGAGCACTGGATGAATTTAGAACGGTTAAAGACAGTTATGCTTCTGAAGTTAGTGCCAGAAGAGACGCTGAACAGCTTAACGTAAGGCTCAAGAGCGAAATCAACTTTTATCAGCACGCTTCTGTCTTTAGCGCTCAAAAATTTGTCGATTACAGTAAAGATGAAATTGAGGATCTCAATCAGTCACGCGCAGATCTAGAACAGATATGCCATGAGCTTCGAGCCGAAAGAAACAGTCTGGTCGAAGAACTCGAACGTCATTCAGATAACATTGAAAAACTTTTTGCCTCTCAAAAGCCTCAAGATTTACATTGGGAGCGACTTCAACACGCTTATCAACAACAGTTGGATTCTATGCATCAGGACATGAATTCTGCCAAAGCTGCTTATGCAAAGTTGATTAAAGGACGAGAGGATATTATATCGGACATGATCTTGTTAAATACAAAGAACGCAGAGCTTTCTCAATTAAATAATGATCTCTCAAGACGTGTCATGGAAAAGGAACAGGAAGCAAAAGCCGTCTTTGCCGGCATGAGCTTCCTTACGCCACCCGAAGATAAACAACCGGAGAAGGTCAGCAGTAGCAGCAGTAGTACAATTAGTGCCAATACAGAAAAAAACAACAATAACAATCATCGCAGAAACCTCTCTACTGGATCCATTGGGATCAGTCATAGCCATTCCTTGTCAGATATCAAGAACGATGGTACTAGTGTTGCCCCAAAAATAGCACAGAGGGATAGTTTTAATGGTTCTGCCGCACCCAAGCTATTTAAATTTAGAAGAAACAGAAGCGGATCCGGAAAGAAACCAAGTACCGAAAAAATCATTTCCATTCCTTACGAAAGTAATCATAATACAAGATCTCTTGAGCCGGTCTCAGAATCTTATTTGAAAAAGGAGCCGGAAGGTGTGAAGGGAAAGCATCATTTTGCTCAAACAAAATTCTTTAAACCCATCAAGTGTGAAGCTTGTGGTGAAAAAATGTGGCGAGTAAGTGAATTGAAGTGCTCTGGTAAGAAAGTTGTTATGGTTTAAAAAGGCATTATTTTTAATCCATTTATTTTTAGAGTGTGGTGTAGTTTGTCACTCAAAATGTGTGTATAGCGTTCCCCAAGCCTGTAACAGAAAGTCTAGTTTGGATTCGAATAAATCTGATCCCGATAGTGTTCGACACATGTTTGGAAATGATCTGATCAAGCAAATACAAGCTGAAAAGAGCAAAATACCTCTTGTTGTGGAAAAATGCGTAGAATCCGTAGAGTCCAGAGGTAAACATAAATTGAAAACTTGCGCCTGCTTCAATCAACAAACGTATTTTAATAAATAGGCATGGACTATGAGGGTATCTATCGTAAATCAGGTGGTGTGGGACAGATGCGACAAATTCAGCAAGCATTTGAAAAAGGCGAAACACCCAACTTAATTGATGAAGAAAAGTGGAATGATATTTGTGCCATTACCAGTGTATTGAAGCAATATTTCCGTGAGCTACCTAATCCTCTCTTCACCTATGAACTTCATGCTAAATTCATTGATGCTATGAGTAAGATAGATTTCTGCTTTTGAACTTCTTGTGTTTATCTAACCTTACCTTTTCTTTATCACGTAGTGATAGCAAATAGTGCTGATCAATTACAGACAATCACCCAGTTAATACAAACTTTGCCCATCGAAAACTTTAATACACTAAAGTATCTCATGGATCATTTATTCAGGTAAACCTTGTATACCTACATTTTGCCATTGTTTATGTCTAACCCCATTTGCAGGATCCAACAAAGAAACAAGGAGAATCTCATGACCTCCAAAAACTTGGCCGTGATTTTCGGTCCTACATTGTTACGAGACCAAGATGAGAACCGAGATTTATTGGAGATGAACCATAAGATTGGCACGATTGAATTTATTTTGAACCATATGGATACTGTATTTGTGATTGAAACCATCAAACCCGCTAATGATCATCGTCGTATGCATTTACCTCCGCTCCAACGAGGAGAGGACTTGAGCTCCATCTTGGGCAATTACCAATTACGCAGCAACACGGATGAACCTTCACCAGATGTTGTGGCCGCTGTTCCTCCTAGACAAAATGCAGGTTACATTTAATCTCTTACAATGTGCAGAACAAAGTTGTATATATTACCACCAGTCATATAGGATATCTTTCCCCTCCCCCACTCACCTACTCATTTTGACCCATGTTTACCGAACTATGTTAAATAAAAATGCCCCTTTATCATAATCGGATTATACATAGGATTTAAAAAAACGAAAACACTGTTTGAGTTTTACCTCGTGTTACAAGTTCGATGAATCCAGCTTAAAAAATTTTAAACAGCTTATGACTTTATGTAACATGCTGTGTCTATCGTTTTTTGTGCTGCGTTTATGGTACCTTTGTGCTGTACCTATAGTCTTTGCATGCTGTATCCATCATATCTTCATGCTAAATTTCTAGCAAGTCAATTAAACATTTTATTTGGGCGTACATTCAAACACGGTCCGGACCACCTCAGACTATAAAAAGACTGTGAAATTCTTTTTTGTTTTCTTTTTCATAGACTTTCAACCATCCAAAATGTCGGCGTACGATCACGTCAAGAAAGGATCGTTGAAATTTAAGGGAGGCGAGACAGCTTCCATAAAGTAAATGAAAAAAAAAAGAATAAGACTATTTGAAGATTTGACACTAAAGCTTTTCGTTTATTTCTGCAGAAAAAAAAAGAAGAAGTCTAAATCAACCAAAGAAAAACTTGAACGGGCCTTGGGATCGCCACAAGATGAACGTTACCAGGATGTGGAGAAGACAGAAGCCGAACGTAAATTTGAAGAAATTAAGCGTCAACGAGTAAATATATTTTCTACCTTATCAAAAAAAAATAGGAAAATAACCTGTCTTCTTTATAGCAAATGGAACGAGTATCCAAAGCCGCAGCCAAATCACATAAAGATCGTGTATCTGAATTTAACAACAAGTTGGAAATGTTGAGTGAGCATCATGATATTCCTAAAGTCGGACCAGGCTAACAGCGGGTATTTTCCCTCCCAAATACCACAACTCTCTTTTTAATAAATTCCTTTTTTGCCACTTGCCCAAAAACAAATTGAAATTATGTCATGATTTACGGCTTGACAAGAAAGCCCCGCCAAACAAACTCCAAATAAGGCCTATTTTCGTTGACTCCTTTTTTATTTATTCTTTTTTCTTTTTTTATTTACATTCAATTAACTAAATGAGCACATTAACAAACACAGAACAGACACAACTTTCTAGAAAGACACCACCGTTACTACCAGGAACACTAAGGGTAATGAATTGTTCCAAAGAGTAAGGTCTTTCCAATTAAACGCCCTTTCTTATATCTTCTGTTATAGATAACCATCAATAGCTGCTTTTTAAATGTAACAGTAAAACGACCTTATGTCACTATCACCATTGGAGGTAAATATCACAATGAAATATATGTAAGTAATTTTTATTGATCAGGTTTCCGCAGATCAATACTACAAGACATCTGTATCTGAATACCCCCAAGGAAAATGGAATGAAGGATTCGAACTAAAAGTGACGTACCATAATCAATTATTTGATACGATCCAACTCGACTTGTACGACAGTTATACCTTTTTTATGGATAAACATATCGGTCGAGCAGAAATAAGGATACGCAACCTAGAAGGCATGCCAGAGATCTTCACTAGTTATTACGAAGTCCTTGAAAAAAAACTATCCATGGGGGCTACATCACAGGTCAGCAGAAAGGCTTTAATGACCTCTGGTGTAGGTGCTATCCAAGCTCAAATTGCGTACCAGTATATTTCATCCGTTTCCGAAAACGAGAACAATGACCTCTCAGAGATGAACTGGTTGATAGACAAACAGACCCACGCACTATCCACAAAAGACTTATCCGACCAAGAATTAATACTCGAGTTCAATCAACTCTTAAAAAACCAGCGTCGTGAAAATGGTGATATTCAGTTCCAAAAGTTTGAACAGAATTATCCAGATGAGGATGAAAACAGCACTGTGTCCCCCACCGCTACCACCAGCAGTACATCATCGGACGAACAGCATATACCGCCATTAAAATCACGCGCACTGGTTGAGAACGAACCTAAAACAAACACCATGTTTGAAACTGTATCTTCTTTTTTTGGTTATGGAGCACCCAATCTCTCTCCACCTTCACCGCCCATCGAAAAGAAGGAGGCTCCTCTGTCTCCTCCACCCTTGGACATTTTAAACACAGAGGACGAGAGTTTAAAATCATTTCCAATTTTGGATACTATCGGTTCATGGACAATGGCTAAAGAAACAAGTCAAGTCCTGCGGGCTATAGGTAAGTTACTCGTGGCTTTTGTAAGTATTCCAGTAACAAAATTATCTTTGATAACGAAACTCACTTGTAAGTAAAGGGTCAAGGGTTTGAATTATCCAACCTTCAAATACTCTCGGGTTTCAACGTTGTCGAGAAATTCTACAATGATTTACCAAGAGAAAGAACATGGGATTTAGTAGAAGATGTTTCCGAGATTGAAATGGCCTCTTACATGTGGCGATATGCTATGGCTTCCTATGGTTGGAAAGGTTTGAACTTTATCGGCAAAGGAAACGGTATCTTTTCAGACGCTATCCGCTCTCAATCCGATGCTCTATCCATTTGTGAACATTTGGATCTTGCCAAGGAAGATTTACTGGCCTACGAGTTTAGAACTGCCGCTGCCTTCAGACCTAGTTATTTCATTGCCAGAGATAGAAAATTGAATGCCATCGTTTTGAGTATCAGAGGCACCATGGTAACAGGAAAAAAAAATTACATAAATATCGACCACAACTAAACACATGCACACTCAAAATAGAGTACATTTGACACCATGACGGATCTTGTTTGTGAATATGAGCCTTGGAAGGGCGGTCTTGTGCATAAAGGGATGAAATCTTCTGCTAATTGGTTCTTTAGACATATTGCCCCCAAACTCATTGCGTATGTTAATAAGCATTCAACCACATCGCTTTATATCGTCGGTCATAGTCTAGGTGCTTCCACCGCCGCCATTCTGACCATCATGCTTCAAGACTTTATCAACGAATTTAGAAAGGGGAAAGATGGAGAATTTAGTATTCATAGTATCGGCTATGCTCCTGCTTGTGGCCTAAGTCTTGATCTTGCAAACAAGTACAAGGTAAAGAATGCCAACACGCCCCTTCATTTATTCTCTTTTTTAACAAATAGAAATTTAGGATCAAATTCAATCCATTGTATTCGCAGATGATTTTGTCAGTAAACTTAGTTATGGATCCATGATGGATGTTAAAGAATTAATTATAGCTGGTGCAGAAGCAGCCAACGCGATGGGAATTGGACAATTTATCTGGACGGGTGAATTGGATAACAACAAGAAATGGAAAGCCGCTTTTGAAAGGATCGCGGAATGTCGTCGCCGGTGCTTAGAATCTATGTCCAACCCAAGGGTAAGAAAAAAAAAGGAGGATCTGAATCTTTTTACTAACTTTACTACTTTGAAGTTGTATGTAGCTGGAACCGTCTATCAATTCTGGCTTGTAAGTTTTTTGCGATGTGATTTAAATCGGTTACATTTGGTTGACATAAATCTTTAATAGGACCCCATACCCAAAAATGAATCCCGTATTGTGATTGAGAGAGCTACGCCTGAAAAGGTGTCGACAGAGTTAATCATTCGCATGTCTATTCTTCTCGATCATTTACCAACCAATTTTGATGTTGCATTTAAACGAGCCTTGGAAGGTTTAAACTCGGATAGCAATGTTATCAATGAAGAACACCCCTTACCCGAAAGAAAACCATCGATGGAAGACAAGTTATTTGATTCCGTAGCTGAAGTAGGATTAAAGGGGACAACAGAGAGAAGCGGTGGTGAAGGAAATGTCGTTGGACAGGAAGAAAATAGATAATGATTCCATGTTAACTCTCCCAATTTTTGATAAATTGGTAATAAAATAGACCATACATTCCATCATAATATCCATGGAGTCCTTCATTTTTGCAAACTAATCGTATAATCCAATATTTCAGTAGCGATCTAGGACGGATTTTAAATATGACAATATTATCTAAAGGGCTTGTCTATGACGGTAATCATGCAATTTCACCTTTGATTACATGGTGGTTCTCACCAGTAATGATCACATGTCCCTATGAGTGTTTACAATTACTCAATTCTATGACATGTTACCAACGCAAATAAAAAAAAAAAAAAGACTTAATTACTAATTGCAAACGAAAACTTATATTCAAAAAAATAAAAAGTGTGCTTCTCTTAGTTCCCAACAAAGAATTGATTAACAGGTCAGACCACGAGAAGGTGAAAGCACATCCTGACCCAAAAAAGGGTTTTATTCTCTTTGTCCTTACTCTTACAATTCTTGTGCGTCGTTGAAATACCCGCTTACTTCTAGATTTACAGGTCTAACTAATACTTCCACATGGTGCCTATCCACAATGCACATTAAGAAAAGTATAAAAGACCCAACTGCCACCGACGCCATGTTGGGGTGACGTTTTTGTCAACGCGTTTACAGCACGATGATATCGTATATAGGACCAACAGTTGGTTTAGGACTAGATACCCCGTACCCACAGGAAATAGTGACGAGGGCGGTGACCAACACATGCTACAGAGCAACTCTACTATTTCTAGCATGATAATAAAGTGTCCAGCATGATTAACATGATTGATATGATTACCACCTATTAAGAAGATAAAAAAGGTTTCTCCAAAGCCTACGTTCGTGCCCAAAAATCAGTACATTCCATTTAGTCATCTAAACCATCTTTCTTCCTAGAAAGAGAGATGTGGCCGAGTTTCATAGGTGTGCTATTTCAAGGGTGTATCCCAAAAGCTACAATTACGACCATGCCAGAAAACACATAGGCATACAATATAACCACTCAAGTCATAACTTTTAATTCACTACTTTATCACATAAAAGTAATACCATCAGATTCCTTATAAAATTCTGATTTCAACCATGTAAAGAACATGGTGCTGTATCAAACATTTTGTGTCATAAAAAAAGACTGAAGAACTGTAATTTTTTATTAGTTTATGTCGTGTACCCGTATGAAAAGAAAACTCTTGAAATAAAGATGTATGGTATGTAAACTTTCTCGTTAATTTGTAGCAGTAATAATTATCATTATTATTATACTCACTGTCAAATTCTGCTTCAGATTATGTGCGTAACATTATATCGGATGTCACTTTTATAGGTGTAACTGAATACATATGTCTAATATGTTACACAATGCCAAACGAAAGCAGTGAATATGCACTGACCGCCGGGATTTCAGAAGCGTTGTATTACCAGTCAAGCCCAAAATAAAATAAAAAAGTGTAATCCATCTGTCTTTAAAGTTCATAATTTCAGTGTTGGTTACATGACTACTTGCTTTTTACTTTACAAACTAAGTGGCTAACTTTTCGACTGGTATTTGAACAATGGGTCACTTCAGATCAAGCATTTAACGCAGGCAATGAAGGAACTCTAACTCATATGCCCAACTTTATAATTATTTTTCTTTGAGTTATGGCGTATCATTTTTATTTATTGACAAGGAAGTTTTATGCCTTCAAAGCACCGTCTAATCTAATAACAGAGCCATTCAACATTCTCATACCAATCACCTGAACTACCAGATCCGAAAATTCTTGAGGTTGACCGTACCTTGAAGGAAACAAACAGGTTGGCGCGGTATTGTTCTGTCTTTGTACAATGGGCGTATCTAAAAAATAAAAGTTCAGTCATATGGTCAACAAAAAATGCGAACACAGAGTCTAAAATAAGTAGAACTTACCAAACGGTCCCGGAGCAATACTCATAACACGAATTCCTTGGGGAGCCAACTCTTTTGCGAGAGGCAAGGTCAGACCAGCAATACCAGCTTTTGATGTGCCATAGCCAACAAGTGTACCGTCCAGACCCAGGATAGACGAGACGGTAATGATAACACCTCTTTCACCATCATCGTTTACAGGTTCATTTCTCAAGAGCTCTTGGGCTACTTTTTGAGCAACACAGTAAGTACCTAATAAATTGACACGAATAATATGTTCAAATTGACTGTAACTAGTAAGAGTCTTATCAGGACCATAACCATCCATGGGAGAGAAAACAATGCCACTAGAAAGAATAGCTCCTCTTAAAGTACTGGTCGAAAAATATTGAAGTGTTTTTTGGACAGCGATATTTACTTGATCCTTTATTTTTTACACGTATTAAATTAGCATGAAAATAATCTAATGCTTTATAACATACCTCTACAGTAACATCAACAGATGAAGGAAAATAACACTTGTTCTTCCCAAGCTCTTCAACCAAAGCAGTTGCAAGTTTAACATTGATATCAAAAATCTAATTTACAAAAGTTATAGACCAACCCCTCTTTCTGTTTAAAAACTACTATACTTACAGCGACAAAAGCACCCTGTTCAATAAGCGAGCGTACAACTGATTCTCCTAAACCACTAGCACTATATAACCATTGTCAAAATAAAAAACTAAAAACTCCTGCCTCCATGATTTTTTATATTTACCCTCCAGTGACAATAAAAGTATAGCCTGATATTTTCATTTTTTATATTTTGATTTTCTGTCATCATTTTTTTTAAAGACTGAAGTTATTTATGTAAACAGACATCTTTTGTTCGCCCAAATAGGTAAGGCGAATAGGGGTGAATAAAATAAGCTTTCAGTGGAATCAAATGTAAACAAAAACCTTATCTTTGGACTGTGTAACTGTCAAAATCAACAACAACAAGAACGATGACTATGTAAGCGCATAATACATTATACCACAAACTAATTTCCTAAAATGGATTCCCGTGTGTATAATTCTGAACGCCATTTCAAGGAGAAACGGCCGACTTTTCATATCCGAGCCAGTTCTCCTGTCCCATATATCAAAAGTATGAACAATGTTTTGAGGTTATTTAGAAAATATACGCAGTGGTTTATTTCTTTCCTGATAAACAACTTTTCATGAAAACAGCACTTTTTTATTACATGGTTTCCTTCACCTATATGACACTGAGATAGTATCACTTCTTCAATAAACAGCTTTGATCGATAAGATATATATGAATACCGTCATTTCAATTTGAAGCCACTTTAACTTACGAACATTTAAGTTGTCTCAGTATTTATGAAAAAAATATGTTGTTCCCCAAAACCTGACTCTGTTTAATAAATTTGTCCATGACATTCTATACCCTACCTTCTGCCTCCTCATTTTGGAAAAAACCATCTGATTGAGATCAATATTCGGAAACATTAAAAATCTGATTTGGAGAGTACTGATAGAGCAAATAGGCTAATGTTTTATTCACATTAAGCATAAATCGCACTTTGCCTTCTCCTTCCTAATATTTCCATGGCTATGTTAATCCCTCCATGTCTCTAATGAGAGTAATATTCAAACCTATTTTTCTATGCATTTATTGTTTTCATTGTACTCCCCTCGTTCTGACTCTAGCTTGGATTGAGTCAATAAAAGCTTTACCTATTTTATTATTTTTATCTGCACCTGGGAATGCTTTGAAGACAATCTTTATAAATCTAAAGTTATGCAGATCAACACAGATGTTGTGCAAGATGCAACATACCATAGTATCCTCATTTTTTTTTTTTTTTTTTTTTTTTTTTTGCTGGTCTATAAAACTTGGCCGTAAATCTTCAGCGAGGCAACAACATACCAAATTTTCTGTCAATTCTTGTTAATGACAAAAAAAGGGTTAAATGTGCGGCTATACAACCCACACTGGTCTTCCGGAAACGGGGCGGTGAAGTTGTGGATTATGTGATACTCAAAGTCACTGACTAGATTTCAGGAGCCTCAAGCTTATCTCGGTAAATTTTACTAGAGCGAAAGCTGCAGCTTCGTGCGTTCTTCCTTATAGGTCGGTGTGTGATAGCCTCTAAACTTTTTTGTCGTTGTACCTGAGTCGTCTGCTTTTATGAAGGTGAATTGCAAGTCAGAATCTGATTCAGAGATCACAAAAAAAAACAGGTAAGTTACTGATATTGTTGATGATGCGTGTTTTTAAGAAAATAGTCAGTTTACAAGACAGGTGAATGATGCATCAAAGCACTCCAGTAATTAAGGTTTGGTCGTTTACAGAGTAAGTTGAATTACCAACTTTAAATAGATAGGTAATACTGGCATTGCTTTATTATAATAATGACCGTATTAAACACGGTTTTCTGTAAAAAAAATGGGGTCACTGGTGGTGATGATTGTTTACGAACCCTGCCAACGGAATAAAAGATTCCTCATTGGTACGCTTGCACATTTAATTTTGTAGCTCCTCTTATCCCCCCCCCCCTTTTTTTTTCTTTTTAACTAATATTTACAACTCCGCACCGAAAATATTCGACACTTTTCACAAAAATTTGAGTTCCTTTAGTCATGCATTTTTTTAAAACCAAAAACTTGTTAATAAAAGGTATCTCAAATTCTACCAAACTTGACAAAATAGCAATATATATATATATTTTGTAAAAAGAAACTTTTTTATTTACGTTAATAAGTGGTATTTGAGCCACGAGCTTTTTTTACTGCCCGGCATCTATCGGGCATACTTTCTACAAGCTTATGACACACTTCATCCCCCAACAACTTCCATTCCTGATGAAGTGCAACCTCCAATTCATTAAGATTTTGAAGCTGGGCTCTTCTTTTAGCAATCCTTTGTCCCAGGAGGCGCCAAAGGTTCTCAATCGGATTCAAATCGGGACTTTGAGCGGGCCATCGCTCAAAGCCTGCAATCCCAGCCTTCTCTTTCCACCACCTCGTATATCCTCCTGTATGGCATGGGGCACCGTCTTCTTGGAAAATAAAGTCATGACCATATTTCTCTGTCAATTGTTCAAGCCAAGGGAGAAAGTTTTGACTTAAACAATTGACATATTTTTCTTGATCGACAGACCCTTTTAGTGTCACCAAAGGGCCCAAACCGCCTGCCCAAAAACATCCCCATACCATCACTGATCCCTTACCAAATTTAAATGTTGGTAAAACAAATCTATCCATATACCTTTCACCCTTCTTTCTAATAACTCTCACACCACCGTCGTTGTGCCTGAGTGCGAATCGCGACTCATCGGACCAGATTACCTTCTTCCAGTCATCTAATGTCCAATTCATCTTGTCGTCGACCCATTCTCTTCGCGTTTTTTTATGTCTAAGACTCAAAAACGGTTTTTTGGAAGGTCTGCAAGAATAAAAACCGTTTTTGCGAAGTGCATTCCTCAATGTCGTCAGGCTGATTGGATCGGTAGCCTTCGCAAGATTTTGCATATGAACACTTAAAGGTTCAAAGGAGTCCCTTCGAACTAAAAGCGTCAGGTGATGCTCAGCTCTTGCTGTCAGCTTTGCTGGTCTTCCTGGACGAGGTTGGACAGTCGTGATCCCTTCAGTTCGATACTTTTTTATAATCGTAACAACGGTTGTTCTAGGAACGCCCAATTCTTTGCTGATTTGGGTACCTGTCCATTTGGCATGCTCTGCCAAACCGCAAATGACTCCACGATCGAAATCTGAAAGTTCCTTGCTTTTTCTAGAGACTTTGTTAGTAATGTCAGTAAGTGGCATGATAAATTGTGTAATAAAATATGAAAGAATCGTTGAACGAAGAAAGAGTAGGTTTATTTATTTTTTTGGCTCAAAACGGAAGTGTCGAATATTTTATGTGCGGAGTTGTATAAGGATTGCATCCATGCAAGAACAACAAGATTACTATAGCTACCTTTTAGACACGAATCAGCCAGCACAAAGAACGTCGGAAGGTTATTTCAATAACAACAACTTTCCTGTTCCTGCTGTTTTGGAAAGTGATAAAGGAGAATCGAGTACGTCTGTAGCGTTAAAGGGAGGGACAGATTTTCGAAGAAGAAAGAATTGGAGTGAACGAATTCTAGTAGAGATCACGGGATTATTACATGTGTTGTCACCAACAGGAAAAATTTTGTATTGCTCCGAATCGACACATGAGTTGACTGGGTATCGACCTCATGAGCTTGTTGGACAGGCACTGATGGAGTTTCTGCATGTGGATGATATGGATGTATTCATACGAGATTTCCAAATGTCTTTTCATACCCGTTCGCAAATCAAGACTCATTACCGGTTTCGAAGAAAGGATGATTCTTATGTGATTTTTGAAGTAGTAGGGCATCCTAAAGCGGATATACCAGGGCAGCCACCACAGTCATTTTTTGGTATTGCGCAACCTGTGCCTACGAAGAGTGGAGCATTAATTGACGCGTTTTTGGAATTGAAGGCTGAAAATAACTGGCTCAAGAAACGAATTGATGAATTATCCAACAAATATGGTAAATTAGAAACGATTTCACCTTTGACGCAAGATGAAACAAACGATACAACCCTTGATGGATTTAATGAGGACTGGATGGATACAAATAATTCAGATTTAGACGATTTTATATACAATAACACCAAGGAAGAAATGGGTAATAATCTGCTTGAATCGGAAAGAAAGGATAAATGGAAACCTCGCGTAAGTTTTCTATTATATATAATATATACTGTTACTAACGTAAACTTAGAAAAAGCCAAAGGGTGCTGATGAATATGTTTGTGCTGATTGTGGTACAACTTCATCACCAGAATGGCGTAAAGGACCACATGGACCAAAAACGTAAGTTGTTATTGTTCCCTTATTTGACGGAGATATTCTCTCTTCTTTTTTTTTATTAATATTCACCCTTTTTTATACTCATTAGTTTATGTAACGCATGTGGTCTTCGCTGGGCAAAGAAAAATAAAAAGAGGGATTTGAATGATGACTGAAACGAACAATAGATTCTCCGAGAACACATATAGTGATCATAAGCGGGTTTTTTTATTTTTATTTTTTTAGTATATTTCTCCCTCCCCCTCCCCCTCTTTTTTTTTACTTTTTCTTTTTTTTACCTTTTTTTTTCATCTTCTTTGTACACATGGATTATTCAGACATAGACAGCCGAATGAAAGCGCTAATTGATCGACCAGCTAGTAATCATTTGTTGTCACATATATCGCATCAAGCATCATTAGTTATACCATGTCATCATACGACAGAACAATATAAAAGTCCTATACCACCATTGGCAACGTTTGTCAATCTATTGGCCAGGAGATCCTCTGCTCGCACTGGAACACTCTTGGCATCGCTCGTTCTATTAGATAGATTGAGACAAAGACTAGCGCAATTTGCAAAAGGGATGCCTTGCACTTGTCAGCGAATCTTTTTGGCCACATTAATCGTGACAACAAAGATACTCCATGATACCTCTCCCAAGAACAAGCATTGGACTAAATATGCAGTCTATTTCACATTGCCCGAAGTCAATTTGATGGAAAAGCAACTGCTAGCTCTGATGGTATAATTTAAAAAAAAATCATAACAACGCGTATCATTGATCATAACAAGATACTCCATCAAATTTTAGAATTACCAATTAGTGATCACCCAGAAAGACATGTATTATACCTTTATTAATTATGATAATACCACCGCTTTACAATTGCCTCCCATTTTACCCGACAGACATTATCTGCCAAAATCTGCCTCTTCTTCTTATTGTACCAATAACTCTCTTTCAAACATGATTCTGCAACAAACAGCCCAACACCTCAAAAAGAAGAAGCGGAACAAAAGACTAAACACATCCAATTCGTCTTCCTCCTTATCATCCAATTCTTCCACTGATGACCTATTCGTAGTCACACCAAAGAACTCTCATGATTATCACAAAATACATCATCCTACCACTAACTCTAACTCTTCCATCATGTGGTTAGACCCGATACTACCACACTATCAACATCACCATGGCAACAGTAACTATAACAACCACCGTAACATTATATTTAAAAATTAACATGTACATTTCCCCCCTTTATATTTCTCCTACCTTTTTTTTTTATTTTTTTTTTTTTTTTTTTTGCTTTCTTTTTTTTTTTCCTTCTCCTTAAATTTTTACAACTCACACGCTTCACAATACAACGGCAGTCATTAACGAAACAATTTGTATTTTACACCAAAAGTCCGAAAAAAGATCTTAAAAGTTTGAATTGTCTATCAGAAACGTTAGTTGTAAATCAATTTGTTGTAAATAAATGAAGCAAATTTTCTGAACACCATAAAGTCACTAGTGATTTTTTTATATGTATTGGGGACGCCACTGGTTACTGTAAAACGTATTATCGTCAGGTGCTTTATTTGAATATGACACTTTATGTGGATGATATTAAAAAAAAAAATCCAATTCTACCTGTTTAGCATGATATTCCTATTCGGCTATTATTTGCCTTCATACCACACACCCGATTTGCATACTTTGATGAAAAAAATTCTCGGTATCAATGGGCTTTCAATATTGAACATTGCTTTATTCTCATGTCTGTTACAATTCTAATGACATTACAAAACGAGATTCTTCTCGAGGGTTAGACCCACTTTTTTGAGAGGACCTCCAAGTCTGGCTCGAAATAACATTTTCTTGCATGCCCACGTTTATGGAACTTTTCAAATAGCTCTGTCTATTTTTTTTTTTCATGAAATGATACTTGGTGATACGATATTCACTGTTCCAGATAAATGAAACAGAAGGTTGTACGTTTTAAGCTTGTTAACGTTTGGAACATGATCAAACTCGGTAAACACGATTCATTGTGCGTTTAAAATTCAAAACGTTCTTTTCTGTCCAATCAAGCCTTGTTGTGCCATGAAGTCATATAAACTAAATGCGTGAAACACACTTACGACATTTACCAACCATCCCCTTTGCGTGTACTCTTTATCTACATATTATTTACCTCAAAGGCGGTTCTCAATATAACGGCTTTTTATTTCGGGTTTCGCATTTGCAGCAAAGGGGAATAATAAAAGATGACGGGATCACGCCTGTAGTATCCTAAAGCGGTATAATGTATATTGTTCTACATAATCAGTAAGATAAAATTACGTTACAAGATATGGCATTCAATGCAATGATCAATCGGTCCTCAATTTTGAACGACCTATAGTGCCAACCATTTGTGATAAATCTAAAAAAAAAAAAACAATCGCTCTATAGATTTTTTTTTTTTTGACTCTGTTCCATACTATTCAGTTTACACAAGCTGCCTGCAAAAAACACGTAATATGAGGTCATAATGAGGTATAATTCATCATTTTTGTTTAGTTAAAGTCAGTAGCTGACCTACTGAACAAATAGCACCAAATGGATTAAGCAACGCCAAATGCTTCAACCACTCTGCTAATAGTATATTAAAATCACCCGGATGGCTGGAGACATGCTTTATGCAATTTGACTCAGCTGTACACTATTTTCATAAATTATTCGTGCACGCTTAGAATAAAATTTCAATCAGCCACGGAATAAACAATCGCATAAAAATCAATTAATTTTCCATGTATAGTCTACAAATGAAATGAACGAAAGAGAAATATATCTGTTATCATTAAATGGGTATACTGCTAAAGTAGAAGGAAAATGTTTCATCATATTGAAGGACCCGGATAAGTGCCCTATTGTATGCGTATAATATAACTTTCATTTAAAGCCACTTCATCCAAAAGACTAACCTGCTTGAGTTTGCATTTAAAAATTGAACGATTGAGTTTAGACCAAATAATTATTGTCTTCTTTTTAAGACGCACAAACGAGCAAAACTTGATATTGTTGTTATTCACCCATTAGGGGGGAGAGGGGTAGCAACAACACCCACCCCCCTTATTTTTCTTTTGTCAGTACTTTAGATGTGTTGCGTTACCAAGAATAAATTAAATACCACTACCTCGTCATAAACAACACGCTTATTGGCAACAAATGTATAAATGGGTAAGTATATCGAAAATAATGGATATGGATGCACCAGATTTCCTTCCTTACCTGACACCCTGAAAAGGTATCTAATCTGTTTTTTTTTTGTTAAACCCCAAAAACTAAACGAACAAAAGACCTAAAAGCACTCAGACACGTACACTTTTACTTGAAATAAAGTTTTATTTTATTGTATGTATTAGGGGTATCTCAAGCAATTTTTATTTTACTTTGAATGATATAGAATGAGAGCTAGAAAAAGTGCTTCAAGCGAATTTTATTGTTTTTTGTTTTTCTCCCTTTTAGTAAATTATTTTAAAGTTAGAAATGAACAATGAAATCTTATATAAGTAGTCGGTAAAAAAGTTTACCTCAATCCTTACTCAATTTTTATTTTTCTCTTTCATTGTTATTTTACGTATAACTATCTTTATTCTCAAACTCATAACACTTTTTACGTAAAAAAATAAATATTGTAACAACCAATCCAAAATTGAGTGACATTTATTTAACATGTTACACATAGTTAAAAGATTAATTTCGTGCAGTCAATTATGTCTCAGTTTTGGTATCGGTTGGGTCAATACCAACCAAACAATTGACATTAATCCGACAAAGTGATTTCTGTCGGGTGGAACAATACCATGCAAAGATTGACAATCGAATTTGCTTAACTTGAATATAGTGGGGGGATGGGTTGACTTTAAATCTTGTAGTAACACATTTTGTGATGTAAGCTGCAAGCAACTATTTAAAGTTATGCAAACATCACGTTCTCCGATGACAATTGTTATTTTTTTTTGTGGAACTTCAAACTTTGTACATTATGCAATTCATCAAATAAACAAACGATGCAAATCGTGGCTAAACAAATAACTTAATTACTGAATGATCTCATGTATCTGAAACTAAAAGCTTAATCTATTATTACTTTTGAGGTCTTTATAAACATTTGTATTTAACGCTTCGGGAATTGTCAGGGTTGATCCTACACTACTCGCACAAAAACACACAAAAACACACACATACACACACATATACACACATATACACACATACACAAAAGGGTAAGGTTTCATAAACGTTACTCGTTGCATATAGCAAATTATTCGATGTATAAGGGAATATTATGAGGAAAGTATATTCTATTTTATTTTATTTTATTATAGAAATAGTAGAAAAACAGCGCTATGTATCTTTTTGTCTAAGTATTTCCCGTATCAGACCTCACAGTAGAGTAAACCAGCGCAATTCGCTACGGCCAAGCATTAGAATTAATTACGCAGAGCAGTCGCGTTGTTCCTGTATTTTTACAGCTTGCATAACCTTTTGAAAAAAATTAGATACGGGTATGCTTAATAAGATATTGTTTTTGTGTACCTACTGTTAAACTGACTTAATGGTCCGGGAATAGAGGTGGTTAAGCTGATATAAAAAACATTTAAAGTGCACCTAAGAAATACGTCCAAATGATAGCCTATAATAGATATGCATGTTTGGATTTCAAAGAACTAAAATAAAGCAATATATGGTTAAAAAATTTGGCATGACAAGTATGGGAGTAAAGCATTACATTTTAGAAAGTTTGAACAAAAAGAAAGAAAAGATATTAAAAAAGCCGAAATAATTGTTTCCTTCTTTTATATTTTCTTCTACACCGGAGGCAACTGATGCTTCGTAATATGCATGAGTGGAATAATACTTAAAAGACTTGATAGTATGTTTGTCAATAAAAATCACGTTAAACCCTAAAAATTGAAAGTCCATTTATACTAGTCAGGTACCAAAGGTCATACACAGTTTCGGTCCCAATTGGAATATCACAAAAAAACATAATATTGAATGAGAGCTCATCTGTGTATATATGATTATTTCACGTTTTTCATCCAGAAATTACTTATTCTAAATATGACTAGACCTACCAACCCCTCTTCAAGATATTCTTCTTTGCCTAACAGAGCAACTAGAAGTCGTAGTAGCTCCGTCTCGTCGGTGACAGACAATATTCAACAAGAAGATATGGTATCTATTGCTCCCATGAATACGTCGCAATTAAGCAGCAGAGATGATTCAGCAACTGTTGGTGCCTTTGTAAAATGTTTTCAGATAACAGGAATTAAAAATGATCTGAACAGTATAAAAAATGAGGTCAAGGAAGCCATCGTTACCGGAGAAATTTTGAGGGCACGACTTGACATGGTGGAAGATAAAATTGACAAAATATTGTCTATTCTTTCCGGTGAAGCTGCTGTTTCTTCAGCTACCCCCGCATTGACTAATGGAAATGTACCTCCTTTCCAAATAGGGGGTGCACTTTACAATAGTTTGTCGGTATGTCACCAAGAATAGAGAACCGTTCATATATCTAATCTACCTTGTAATTATAGGCCTGGATTAAAACGTCCATTGCTAACCAGAAGGTTGGTAATCTGGAGTGGAACCTATCTAAGGCATTTATGACGGTAGAGAACACCCGTATAACTAAAAATATTATCGATTTTGTTGGTGCTCAAATCACATTGTCAACCAAAAAGAACTGGACGGAATCCATTACCTAC